TGGTTTTTCTCGAGTTGCGGCGGGGACCTGGGGTATGTTCTCGACTTACGGCGGGGATGGCCCTTCAAAACACGAGTTTCTTCAGTGACGTCAGGACTCCTGTCTAGTAACGAGGGACACCTCAGGAATCTCTTCGAGGCTTGGCAGGGCCAAAGGGACGCTTCTCGAGGTGAGGCAGGGCACCCAAGGACCCTTTCCAGTAGCCACAGGGATTTTGGGATTCCTATCAGTATTCAAGAGGAGTCAGGCATCGTCACCTTTTGAAGCAATGAACTCCGCGTGCCTCTCGAGGTGTCAGCGGGATGTGAGGCATTCCGTCAAAATGAGGCAGGGACCTAGGGCTTTCTCTAAGGTCTCCACAGGGGATTCAGACATCCCTTCATGTTGTGAGATGAAAGACGAGCCTGTATTCAAGCCACTGCAAGGAAATCCGGCCTCCTTTCAAGTTAGGGCTTCTCGCTGTATATTCCCCTTGAGGCAGCAAACTCGGGGTCCCTCCCACATACCTATTGCTGAGAGAAGCCTCCTCCTGAGGTGCTTCTGGGAAGTTGGCATACGTCTTGAGCCTAAGCCAGGGAATCAGCTCGCATCTCGAGACGACTTGGGGTACACGGAGCATTCCGCGAGTTGCTGTGCTGAAGTTGGTGTTCCTCTAGACTTGGGACAGTGTTCTCGGGGCATCTCTGGAGTTGCCTGAAGGAAGTCGAGCCACCGGTCGTGTTGAATGGGGAACGGGGAATGGCTCTGGAGTCAATGCAGGGGAATCGGGCCTCATCTCGAGTCGATTTGGGGCACATGGAGCTGCTTTGCGTTGCTGGGGTGACCTCAGGGTCCGTCTAGACTGGTGACAGTGTTCTTGGGGACTGTCTCGAGATCCATTAAGCAAGTCGAAGCTCCTGACTTGTTTGAATGGGATCACGGAATATCTCTGCATGCACTGCAGGGGAATGGGGCCTCATCTCGCCTCTAGGGGGAAGTCTCATGGTTTTTCTCGAGTTGCGGCGGGGACCTGGGGTATGTTCTCGACTTACGGCGGGGATGGCCCTTCAAAACACGAGTTTCTTCAGTGACGTCAGGACTCCTGTCAAGTAACGAGGGACACCTCAGGAATCTCTTCGAGGCTTGGCAGGGCCAAAGGGACGCTTCTCGAGGTGAGGCAGGGCACCCAAGGACCCTTTCCAGTAGCCACAGGGATTTTGGGATTCCTATCAGTATTCAAGAGGAGTCAGGCATCGTCACCTTTTGAAGCAATGAACTCCGCCTGCCTCTCGAGGTGTCAGCGGGATGTGAGGCATTCCGTCAAAATGAGGCAGGGACCTAGGGCTTTCTCTAAGGTCTCCACAGGGGATTCAGACATCCCTTCATGTTGTGAGATGAAAGACGAGCCTGTATTCAAGCCACTGCAAGGAAATCCAGCCTCCTTTCAAGTTAGGGCTTCTCGCTGTATATTCCCCTTGAGGCAGCAAACTCGGGGTCCCTCCCACATACCTATTGCTGAGAGAAGCCTCCTCCTGAGGTGCTTCTGGGAAGTTGGCATACGTCTTGAGCCTAAGCCAGGGAATCAGCTCGCATCTCGAGACGACTTGGGGTACACGGAGCATTCCTCGAGTTGCTGTGCTGAAGTTGGTGTTCCTCTAGACTTGGGACAGTGTTCTCGGGGCATCTCTGGAGTTGCCTGAAGGAAGTCGAGCCACCGGTCGTGTTGAATGGGGAACGGGGAATGGCTCTGGAGTCAATGCAGGGGAATCGGGCCTCATCTCGAGTCGATTTGGGGCACATGGAGCTGCTTTGCGTTGCTGGGGTGACCTCAGGGTCCGTCTAGACTGGTGACAGTGTTCTTGGGGACTGTCTCGAGATCCATTAAGCAAGTCGAAGCTCCTGACTTGTTTGAATGGGGTCACGGAATAGCTCTGCATGCACTGCAGGGGAATGGGGCCTCATCTCGCCTCTAGGGGGAAGTCTCATGGTTTTTCTCGAGTTGCGGCGGGGACCTGGGGTATGTTCTCGACTTACGGCGGGGATGGCCCTTCAAAACACGAGTTTCTTCAGTGACGTCAGGACTCCTGTCTAGTAACGAGGGACACCTCAGGAATCTCTTCGAGGCTTGGCAGGGCCAAAGGGACGCTTCTCGAGGTGAGGCAGGGCACCCAAGGACCCTTTCCAGTAGCCACAGGGATTTTGGGATTCCTATCAGTATTCAAGAGGAGTCAGGCATCGTCACCTTTTGAAGCAATGAACTCCGCGTGCCTCTCGAGGTGTCAGCGGGATGTGAGGCATTCCGTCAAAATGAGGCAGGGACCTAGGGCTTTCTCTAAGGTCTCCACAGGGGATTCAGACATCCCTTCATGTTGTGAGATGAAAGACGAGCCTGTATTCAAGCCACTGCAAGGAAATCCGGCCTCCTTTCAAGTTAGGGCTTCTCGCTGTATATTCCCCTTGAGGCAGCAAACTCGGGGTCCCTCCCACATACCTATTGCTGAGAGAAGCCTCCTCCTGAGGTGCTTCTGGGAAGTTGGCATACGTCTTGAGCCTAAGCCAGGGAATCAGCTCGCATCTCGAGACGACTTGGGGTACACGGAGCATTCCGCGAGTTGCTGTGCTGAAGTTGGTGTTCCTCTAGACTTGGGACAGTGTTCTCGGGGCATCTCTGGAGTTGCCTGAAGGAAGTCGAGCCACCGGTCGTGTTGAATGGGGAACGGGGAATGGCTCTGGAGTCAATGCAGGGGAATCGGGCCTCATCTCGAGTCGATTTGGGGCACATGGAGCTGCTTTGCGTTGCTGGGGTGACCTCAGGGTCCGTCTAGACTGGTGACAGTGTTCTTGGGGACTGTCTCGAGATCCATTAAGCAAGTCGAAGCTCCTGACTTGTTTGAATGGGATCACGGAATATCTCTGCATGCACTGCAGGGGAATGGGGCCTCATCTCGCCTCTAGGGGGAAGTCTCATGGTTTTTCTCGAGTTGCGGCGGGGACCTGGGGTATGTTCTCGACTTACGGCGGGGATGGCCCTTCAAAACACGAGTTTCTTCAGTGACGTCAGGACTCCTGTCAAGTAACGAGGGACACCTCAGGAATCTCTTCGAGGCTTGGCAGGGCCAAAGGGACGCTTCTCGAGGTGAGGCAGGGCACCCAAGGACCCTTTCCAGTAGCCACAGGGATTTTGGGATTCCTATCAGTATTCAAGAGGAGTCAGGCATCGTCACCTTTTGAAGCAATGAACTCCGCATGACTCTCGAGGTGTCAGCGGGATGTGAGGCATTCCGTCAAAATGAGGCAGGGACCTAGGGCTTTCTCTAAGGTCTCCACAGGGGATTCAGACATCCCTTCATGTTGTGAGATGAAAGACGAGCCTGTATTCAAGCCACTGCAAGGAAATCCGGCCTCCTTTCAAGTTAGGGCTTCTGGCTCTATATTCCCCTTGAGGCAGCAAACTCGGGGTCCCTCCCACATACCTATTGCTGAGAGAAGCCTCCTCCTGAGGTGCTTCTGGGAAGTTGGCATACGTCTTGAGCCTAAGCCAGGGAATCAGCTCGCATCTCGAGACGATTTGGGGTACACGGAGCATTCCTCGAGTTGCTGTGCTGAAGTTGGTGTTCCTCTAGACTTGGGACAGTGTTCTCGGGGCATCTCTGGAGTTGCCTGAAGGAAGTCGAGCCACCGGTCGTGTTGAATGGGGAACGGGGAATGGCTCTGGAGTCAATGCAGGGGAATCGGGCCTCATCTCGAGTTGATTTGGGGCACATGGAGCTGCTTTGCGTTGCTGGGGTGACCTCAGGGTCCGTCTAGACTGGTGACAGTGTTCTTGGGGACTGTCTCGAGATCCATTAAGCAAGTCGAAGCTCCTGACTTGTTTGAATGGGGTCACGGAATAGCTCTGCATGCACTGCAGGGGAATGGGGCCTCATCTCGCCTCTAGGGGGAAGTCTCATGGTTTTTCTCGAGTTGCGGCGGGGACCTGGGGTATGTTCTCGACTTACGGCGGGGATGGCCCTTCAAAACACGAGTTTCTTCAGTGACGTCAGGACTCCTGTCTAGTAACGAGGGACACCTCAGGAATCTCTTCGAGGCTTGGCAGGGCCAAAGGGACGCTTCTCGAGGTGAGGCAGGGCACCCAAGGACCCTTTCCAGTAGCCACAGGGATTTTGGGATTCCTATCAATATTCAAGAGGAGTCAGGCATCGTCACCTTTTGAAGCAATGAACTCCGCGTGCCTCTCGAGGTGTCAGCGGGATGTGAGGCATTCCGTCAAAATGAGGCAGGGACCTAGGGCTTTCTCTAAGGTCTCCACAGGGGATTCAGACATCCCTTCATGTTGTGAGATGAAAGACGAGCCTGTATTCAAGCCACTGCAAGGAAATCCGGCCTCCTTTCTAGTTAGGGTTTCTCGCTGTATATTCCCCTTGAGGCAGCAAACTCGGGGTCCCTCCCACATACCTATTGCTGAGAGAAGCCTCCTCCTGAGGTGCTTCTGGGAAGTTGGCATACGTCTTGAGCCTAAGCCAGGGAATCAGCTCGCATCTCGAGACGATTTGGGGTACACGGAGCATTCCTCGAGTTGCTGTGCTGAAGTTGGTGTTCCTCTAGACTTGGGACAGTGTTCTCGGGGCATCTCTGGAGTTGCCTGAAGGAAGTCGAGCCACCGGTCGTGTTGAATGGGGAACGGGGAATGGCTCTGGAGTCAATGCAGGAGAATCGGGCCTCATCTCGAGTTGATTTGGGGCACATGGAGCTGCTTTGCGTTGCTGGGGTGACCTCAGGGTCCGTCTAGACTGGTGACAGTGTTCTTGGGGACTGTCTCGAGATCCATTAAGCAAGTCGAAGCTCCTGACTTGTTTGAATGGGGTCACGGAATAGCTCTGCATGCACTGCAGGGGAATGGGGCCTCATCTCGCCTCTAGGGGGAAGTCTCATGGTTTTTCTCGAGTTGCGGCGGGGACCTGGGGTATGTTCTCGACTTACGGCGGGGATGGCCCTTCAAAACACGAGTTTCTTCAGTGACGTCAGGACTCCTGTCTAGTAACGAGGGACACCTCAGGAATCTCTTCGAGGCTTGGCAGGGCCAAAGGGACGCTTCTCGAGGTGAGGCAGGGCACCCAAGGACCCTTTCCAGTAGCCACAGGGATTTTGGGATTCCTATCAGTATTCAAGAGGAGTCAGGCATCGTCACCTTTTGAAGCAATGAACTCCACGTGCCTCTCGAGGTGTCAGCGGGATGTGAGGCATTCCGTCAAAATGAGGCAGGGACCTAGGGCTTTCTCTAAGGTCTCCACAGGGGATTCAGACATCCCTTCATGTTGTGAGATGAAAGACGAGCCTGTATTCAAGCCACTGCAAGGAAATCCGGCCTCCTTTCAAGTTAGGGCTTCTCGCTGTATATTCCCCTTGAGGCAGCAAACTCGGGGTCCCTCCCACATACCTATTGCTGAGAGAAGCCTCCTCCTGAGGTGCTTCTGGGAAGTTGGCATACGTCTTGAGCCTAAGCCAGGGAATCAGCTCGCATCTCGAGACGACTTGGGGTACACGGAGCATTCCTCGAGTTGCTGTGCTGAAGTTGGTGTTCCTCTAGACTTGGGACAGTGTTCTCGGGGCATCTCTGGAGTTGCCTGAAGGAAGTCGAGCCACCGTTCGTGTTGAATGGGGAACGGGGAATGGCTCTGGAGTCAATGCAGGGGAATCGGGCCTCATCTCGAGTTGATTTGGGGCACATGGAGCTGCTTTGCGTTGCTGGGGTGACCTCAGGGTCCGTCTAGACTGGTGACAGTGTTCTTGGGGACTGTCTCGAGATCCATTAAGCAAGTCGAAGCTCCTGACTTGTTTGAATGGGATCACGGAATAGCTCTGCATGCACTGCAGGGGAATCGGGCCTCATCTCGCCTCTAGGGGGAAGTCTCATGGTTTTTCTCGAGTTGCGGCGGGGACCTGGGATATGTTCTCTACTTACGGCGGGGATGGCCCTTCAAAACAGGAGTTTCTTCAGTGACGTCAGGACTCCTGTCTAGTAACGAGGGACACCTCAGGAATCTCTTCGAGGCTTGGCAGGGCCAAAGGGATGCTTCTCGAGGTGAGGCAGGGCACCCAAGGACCCTTTCCAGTAGCCACAGGGATTTTGGGATTCCTATCAGTATTCAAGAGGAGTCAGGCATCGTCACCTTTTGAAGCAATGAACTCCGCGTGCCTCTCGAGGTGTCAGCGGGATGTGAGGCATTCCGTCAAAATGAGGCAGGGACCTAGGGCTTTCTCTAAGGTCTCCACAGGGGATTCAGACATCCCTTCATGTTGTGAGATGAAAGACGAGCCTGTATTCAAGCCACTGCAAGGAAATCCGGCCTCCTTTCAAGTTAGGTCTTCTGGCTCTATATTCCCCTTGAGGCAGCAAACTCGGGGTCCCTCCCACATACCTATTGCTGAGAGAAGCCTCCTCCTGAGGTGCTTCTGGGAAGTTGGCATACGTCTTGAGCCTAAGCCAGGGAATCAGCTCGCATCTCGAGACGACTTGGGGTACACGGAGCATTCCTCGAATTGCTGTGCTGAAGTTGGTGTTCCTCTAGACTTGGGACAGTGTTCTCGGGGCATCTCTGGAGTTGCCTGAAGGAAGTCGAGCCACCGGTCGTGTTGAATGGGGAACGGGGAATGGCTCTGGAGTCAATGCAGGGGAATCGGGCCTCATCTCGAGTTGATTTGGGGCACATGGAGCTGCTTTGCGTTGCTGGGGTGACCTCAGGGTCCGTCTAGACTGGTGACAGTGTTCTTGGGGACTGTCTCGAGATCCATTAAGCAAGTCGAAGCTCCTGACTTGTTTGAATGGGGTCACGGAATAGCTCTGCATGCACTGCAGGGGAATGGGGCCTCATCTCGCCTCTAGGGGGAAGTCTCATGGTTTTTCTCGAGTTGCGGCGGGGACCTGGGGTATGTTCTCGACTTACGGCGGGGATGGCCCTTCAAAACACGAGTTTCTTCAGTGACGTCAGGACTCCTGTCTAGTAACGAGGGACACCTCAGGAATCTCTTCGAGGCTTGGCAGGGCCAAAGGGACGCTTCTCGAGGTGAGGCAGGGCACCCAAGGACCCTTTCCAGTAGCCACAGGGATTTTGGGATTCCTATCAGTATTCAAGAGGAGTCAGGCATCGTCACCTTTTGAAGCAATGAACTCCGCGTGCCTCTCGAGGTGTCAGCGGGATGTGAGGCATTCCGTCAAAATGAGGCAGGGACCTAGGGCTTTCTCTAAGGTCTCCACAGGGGATTCAGACATCCCTTCATGTTGTGAGATGAAAGACGAGCCTGTATTCAAGCCACTGCAAGGAAATCCGGCCTCCTTTCTAGTTAGGGCTTCTCGCTGTATATTCCCCTTGAGGCAGCAAACTCGGGGTCCCTCCCACATACCTATTGCTGAGAGAAGCCTCCTCCTGAGGTGCTTCTGGGAAGTTGGCATACGTCTTGAGCCTAAGCCAGGGAATCAGCTCGCATCTCGAGACGATTTGTGGTACACGGAGCATTCCTCGAGTTGCTGTGCTGAAGTTGGTGTTCCTCTAGACTTGGGACAGTGTTCTCGGGGCATCTCTGGAGTTGCCTGAAGGATGTCGAGCCACCGGTCGTGTTGAATGGGGAACGGGGAATGGCTCTGGAGTCAGTGCAGGGGAATCGGGCCTCATCTCGAGTTGATTTGGGGCACATGGAGCAGCTTTGCGTTGCTGGGGTGACCTCAGGGTCCGTCTAGACTGGTGACAGTGTTCTTGGGGACTGTCTCGAGATCCATTAAGCAAGTCGAAGCTCCTGACTTGTTTGAATGGGATCACGGAATAGCTCTGCATGCACTGCAGTGGAATGGGGCCTCATCTCGCCTCTAGGGGGAAGTCTCATGGTTTTTCTCGAGTTGCGGCGGGGACCTGGGGTATGTTCTCGACTTACGGCGGGGATGGCCCTTCAAAACACGAGTTTCTTCAGTGACGTCAGGACTCCTGTCTAGTAACGAGGGACACCTCAGGAATCTCTTCGAGGCTTGGCAGGGCCAAAGGGACGCTTCTCGAGGTGAGGCAGGGCACCCAAGGACCCTTTCCAGTAGCCACAGGGATTTTGGGATTCCTATCAGTATTCAAGAGGAGTCAGGCATCGTCACCTTTTGAAGCAATGAACTCCGCGTGCCTCTCGAGGTGTCAGCGGGATGTGAGGCATTCCGTCAAAATGAGGCAGGGACCTAGGGCTTTCTCTAAGGTCTCCACAGGGGATTCAGACATCCCTTCATGTTGTGAGATGAAAGACGAGCCTGTATTCAAGCCACTGCAAGGAAATCCGGCCTCCTTTCTAGTTAGGGCTTCTCGCTGTATATTCCCCTTGAGGCAGCAAACTCGGGGTCCCTCCCACATACCTATTGCTGAGAGAAGCCTCCTCCTGAGGTGCTTCTGGGAAGTTGGCATACGTCTTGAGCCTAAGCCAGGGAATCAGCTCGCATCTCGAGACGATTTGTGGTACACGGAGCATTCCTCGAGTTGCTGTGCTGAAGTTGGTGTTCCTCTAGACTTGGGACAGTGTTCTCGGGGCATCTCTGGAGTTGCCTGAAGGAAGTCGAGCCACCGGTCGTGTTGAATGGGGAACGGGGAATGGCTCTGGAGTCAGTGCAGGGGAATCGGGCCTCATCTCGAGTTGATTTGGGGCACATGGAGCAGCTTTGCGTTGCTGGGGTGACCTCAGGGTCCGTCTAGACTGGTGACAGTGTTCTTGGGGACTGTCTCGAGATCCATTAAGCAAGTCGAAGCTCCTGACTTGTTTGAATGGGATCACGGAATAGCTCTGCATGCACTGCAGTGGAATGGGGCCTCATCTCGCCTCTAGGGGGAAGTCTCATGGTTTTTCTCGAGTTGCGGCGGGGACCTGGGGTATGTTCTCGACTTACGGCGGGGATGGCCCTTCAAAACACGAGTTTCTTCAGTGACGTCAGGACTCCTGTCTAGTAACGAGGGACACCTCAGGAATCTCTTCGAGGCTTGGCAGGGCCAAAGGGACGCTTCTCGAGGTGAGGCAGGGCACCCAAGGACCCTTTCCAGTAGCCACAGGGATTTTGGGATTCCTATCAGTATTCAAGAGGAGTCAGGCATCGTCACCTTTTGAAGCAATGAACTCCGCGTGCCTCTCGAGGTGTCAGCGGGATGTGAGGCATTCCGTCAAAATGAGGCAGGGACCTAGGGCTTTCTCTAAGGTCTCCACAGGGGATTCAGACAACCCTTCATGTTGTGAGATGAAAGACGAGCCTGTATTCAAGCCACTGCAAGGAAATCCGGCCTCCTTTCAAGTTAGGGCTTCTCGCAGTATATTCCCCTTGGGGCAGCAAACTCGGGGTCCCTCCCACATACCTATTGCTGAGAGAAGCCTCCTCCTGAGGTGCTTCTGGGAAGTTGGCATACGTCTTGAGCCTAAGCCAGGGAATCTGCTCGCATCTCGAGACGATTTGTTGTACACGGAGCATTCCTCGAGTTGCTGTGCTGAAGTTGGTGTTCCTCTAGACTTGGGACAGTGTTCTCGGGGCATCTCTGGAGTTGCCTGAAGGAAGTCGAGCCACCGGTCGTGTTGAATGGGGAACGGGGAATGGCTCTGGAGTCAATGCAGGGGAATCGGGCCTCATCTCGAGTTGATTTGGGGCACATGGAGCTGCTTTGCGTTGCTGGGGTGACCTCAGGGTCCGTCTAGACTGGTGACAGTGTTCTTGGGGACTGTCTCGAGATCCATTAAGCAAGTCGAAGCTCCTGACTTGTTTGAATGGGGTCACGGAATAGCTCTGCATGCACTGCAGGGGAATGGGGCCTCATCTCGCCTCTAGGGGGAAGTCTCATGGTTTTTCTCGAGTTGCGGCGGGGACCTGGGGTATGTTCTCGACTTACGGCGGGGATGGCCCTTCAAAACACGAGTTTCTTCAGTGACGTCAGGACTCCTGTCTAGTAACGAGGGACACCTCAGGAATCTCTTCGAGGCTTGGCAGGGCCAAAGGGACGCTTCTCGAGGTGAGGCAGGGCACCCAAGGACCCTTTCCAGTAGCCACAGGGATTTTGGGATTCCTATCAGTATTCAAGAGGAGTCAGGCATCGTCACCTTTTGAAGCAATGAACTCCGCGTGCCTCTCGAGGTGTCAGCGGGATGTGAGGCATTCCGTCAAAATGAGGCAGGGACCTAGGGCTTTCTCTAAGGTCTCCACAGGGGATTCAGACAACCCTTCATGTTGTGAGATGAAAGACGAGCCTGTATTCAAGCCACTGCAAGGAAATCCGGCCTCCTTTCAAGTTAGGGCTTCTCGCAGTATATTCCCCTTGGGGCAGCAAACTCGGGGTCCCTCCCACATACCTATTGCTGAGAGAAGCCTCCTCCTGAGGTGCTTCTGGGAAGTTGGCATACGTCTTGAGCCTAAGCCAGGGAATCTGCTCGCATCTCGAGACGATTTGGTGTACACGGAGCATTCCTCGAGTTGCTGTGCTGAAGTTGGTGTTCCTCTAGACTTGGGACAGTGTTCTCGGGGCATCTCTGGAGTTGCCTGAAGGAAGTCGAGCCACCGGTCGTGTTGAATGGGGAACGGGGAATGGCTCTGGAGTCAATGCAGGGGAATCGGGCCTCATCTCGAGTTGATTTGGGGCACATGGAGCTGCTTTGCGTTGCTGGGGTGACCTCAGGGTCCGTCTAGACTGGTGACAGTGTTCTTGGGGACTGTCTCGAGATCCATTAAGCAAGTCGAAGCTCCTGACTTGTTTGAATGGGGTCACGGAATAGCTCTGCATGCACTGCAGGGGAATGGGGCCTCATCTCGCCTCTAGGGGGAAGTCTCATGGTTTTTCTCGAGTTGCGGCGGGGACCTGGGGTATGTTCTCGACTTACGGCGGGGATGGCCCTTCAAAACACGAGTTTCTTCAGTGACGTCAGGACTCCTGTCTAGTAACGAGGGACACCTCAGGAATCTCTTCGAGGCTTGGCAGGGCCAAAGGGACGCTTCTCGAGGTGAGGCAGGGCACCCAAGGACCCTTTCCAGTAGCCACAGGGATTTTGGGATTCCTATCAGTATTCAAGAGGAGTCAGGCATCGTCACCTTTTGAAGCAATGAACTCCGCGTGCCTCTCGAGGTGTCAGCGGGATGTGAGGCATTCCGTCAAAATGAGGCAGGGACCTAGGGCTTTCTCTAAGGTCTCCACAGGGGATTCAGACATCCCTTCATGTTGTGAGATGAAAGACGAGCCTGTATTCAAGCCACTGCAAGGAAATCAGCCTCCTTTCAAGTTAGGGCTTCTCGCTGTATATTCCCCTTGAGGCAGCAAACTCGGGGTCCCTCCCACATACCTATTGCTGAGAGAAGCCTCCTCCTGAGGTGCTTCTGGGAAGTTGGCATACGTCTTGAGCCTAAGCCAGGGAATCTGCTCGCATCTCGAGACGATTTGGGGTACACGGAGCATTCCTCGAGTTGCTGTGCTGAAGTTGGTGTTCCTCTAGACTTGGGACAGTGTTCTCGGGGCATCTCTGGAGTTGCCTGAAGGAAGTCGAGCCACCGGTCGTGTTGAATGGGGAACGGGGAATGGCTCTGGAGTCAATGCAGGGGAATCGGGCCTCATCTCGAGTTGATTTGGGGCACATGGAGCTGCTTTGCGTTGCTGGGGTGACCTCAGGGTCCGTCTAGACTGGTGACAGTGTTCTTGGGGACTGTCTCGAGATCCATTAAGCAAGTCGAAGCTCCTGACTTGTTTGAATGGGATCACGGAATAGCTCTGCATGCACTGCAGGGGAATGGGGCCTCATCTCGCCTCTAGGGGGAAGTCTCATGGTTTTTCTCGAGTTGCGGCGGGGACCTGGGGTATGTTCTCGACTTACGGCGGGGATGGCCCTTCAAAACACGAGTTTCTTCAGTGACGTCAGGACTCCTGTCTAGTAACGAGGGACACCTCAGGAATCTCTTCGAGGCTTGGCAGGGCCAAAGGGACGCTTCTCGAGGTGAGGCAGGGCACCCAAGGACCCTTTCCAGTAGCCACAGGGATTTTGGGATTCCTATCAGTATTCAAGAGGAGTCAGGCATCGTCACCTTTTGAAGCAATGAACTCCGCGTGCCTCTCGAGGTGTCAGCGGGATGTGAGGCATTCCGTCAAAATGAGGCAGGGACCTAGGGCTTTCTCTAAGGTCTCCACAGGGGATTCAGACATCCCTTCATGTTGTGAGATGAAAGACGAGCCTGTATTCAAGCCACTGCAAGGAAATCCGGCCTCCTTTCAAGTTAGGGCTTCTCGCTGTATATTGCCCTTGAGGCAGCAAACTCGGGGTCCCTCCCACATACCTATTGCTGAGAGAAGCCTCCTCCTGAGGTGCTTCTGGGAAGTTGGCATACGTCTTGAGCCTAAGCCAGGGAATCTGCTCGCATCTCGAGACGATTTGGGGTACACGGAGCATTCCTCGAGTTGCTGTGCTGAAGTTGGTGTTCCTCTAGACTTGGGACAGTGTTCTCGGGGCATCTCTGGAGTTGCCTGAAGGAAGTCGAGCCACCGGTCGTGTTGAATGGGGAACGGGGAATGGCTCTGGAGTCAATGCAGGGGAATCGGGCCTCATCTCGAGTTGATTTGGGGCACATGGAGCTGCTTTGCGTTGCTGGGGTGACCTCAGGGTCCGTCTAGACTGGTGACAGTGTTCTTGGGGACTGTCTCGAGATCCATTAAGCAAGTCGAAGCTCCTGACTTGTTTGATTGGGGTCACGGAATAGCTCTGCATGCACTGCAGGGGAATGGGGCCTCATCTCGCCTCTAGGGGGAAGTCTCATGGTTTTTCTCGAGTTGCGGCGGGGACCTGGGGTATGTTCTCGACTTACGGCGGGGATGGCCCTTCAAAACACGAGTTTCTTCAGTGACGTCAGGACTCCTGTCTAGTAACGAGGGACACCTCAGGAATCTCTTCGAGGCTTGGCAGGGCCAAAGGGACGCTTCTCGAGGTGAGGCAGGGCACCCAAGGACCCTTTCCAGTAGCCACAGGGATTTTGGGATTCCTATCAGTGTTCAAGAGGAGTCAGGCATCGTCACCTTTTGAAGCAATGAACTCCGCGTGACTCTCGAGGTGTCAGCGGGATGTGAGGCATTCCGTCAAAATGAGGCAGGGACCTAGGGCTTTCTCTAAGGTCTCCACAGGGGATTCAGACATCCCTTCATGTTGTGAGATGAAAGACGAGCCTGTATTCAAGCCACTGCAAGGAAATCCGGCCTCCTTTCAAGTTAGGGCTTCTCGCTGTATATTCCCCTTGAGGCAGCAAAATCGGGGTCCCTCCCACATACCTATTGCTGAGAGAAGCCTCCTCCTGAGGTGCTTCTGGGAAGTTGGCATACGTCTTGAGCCTAAGCCAGGGAATCTGCTCGCATCTCGAGACGATTTGGGGTACACGGAGCATTCCTCGAGTTGCTGTGCTGAAGTTGGTGTTCCTCTAGACTTGGGACAGTGTTCTCGGGGCATCTCTGGAGTTGCCTGAAGGAAGTCGAGCCACCGGTCGTGTTGAATGGGGAACGGGGAATGGCTCTGGAGTCAATGCAGGGGAATCGGGCCTCATCTCGAGTTGATTTGGGGCACATGGAGCTGCTTTGCGTTGCTGGGGTGACCTCAGGGTCCGTCTAGACTGGTGACAGTGTTCTTGGGGACTGTCTCGAGATCCATTAAGCAAGTCGAAGCTCCTGACTTGTTTGAATGGGGTCACGGAATAGCTCTGCATGCACTGCAGGGGAATGGGGCCTCATCTCGCCTCTAGGGGGAAGTCTCATGGTTTTTCTCGAGTTGCGGCGGGGACCTGGGGTATGTTCTCGACTTACGGCGGGGATGGCCCTTCAAAACACGAGTTTCTTCAGTGACGTCAGGACTCCTGTCTAGTAACGAGGGACACCTCAGGAATCTCTTCGAGGCTTGGCAGGGCCAAAGGGACGCTTCTCGAGGTGAGGCAGGGCACCCAAGGACCCTTTCCAGTAGCCACAGGGATTTTGGGATTCCTATCAGTATTCAAGAGGAGTCAGGCATCGTCACCTTTTGAAGCAATGAACTCCGCGTGCCTCTCGAGGTGTCAGCGGGATGTGAGGCATTCCGTCAAAATGAGGCAGGGACCTAGGGCTTTCTCTAAGGTCTCCACAGGGGATTCAGACATCCCTTCATGTTGTGAGATGAAAGACGAGCCTGTATTCAAGCCACTGCAAGGAAATCCGGCCTCCTTTCAAGTTAGGGCTTCTCGCTGTATATTCCCCTTGAGGCAGCAAACTCGGGGTCCCTCCCACATACCTATTGCTGAGAGAAGCCTCCTCCTGAGGTGCTTCTGGGAAGTTGGCATACGTCTTGAGCCTAAGCCAGGGAATCTGCTCGCATCTCGAGACGATTTGGGGTACACGGAGCATTCCTCGAGTTGCTGTGCTGAAGTTGGTGTTCCTCTAGACTTGGGACAGTGTTCTCGGGGCATCTCTGGAGTTGCCTGAAGGAAGTCGAGCCACCGGTCGTGTTGAATGGGGAACGGGGAATGGCTCTGGAGTCAATGCAGGGGAATCGGGCCTCATCTCGAGTTGATTTGGGGCACATGGAGCTGCTTTGCGTTGCTGGGGTGACCTCAGGGTCCGTCTAGACTGGTGACAGTGTTCTTGGGGACTGTCTCGAGATCCATTAAGCAAGTCGAAGCTCCTGACTTGTTTGAATGGGGTCACGGAATAGCTCTGCATGCACTGCAGGGGAATGGGGCCTCATCTCGCCTCTAGGGGGAAGTCTCATGGTTTTTCTCGAGTTGCGGCGGGGACCTGGGGTATGTTCTCGACTTACGGCGGGGATGGCCCTTCAAAACACGAGTTTCTTCAGTGACGTCAGGACTCCTGTCTAGTAACGAGGGACACCTCAGGAATCTCTTCGAGGCTTGGCAGGGCCAAAGGGACGCTTCTCGAGGTGAGGCAGGGCACCCAAGGACCCTTTCCAGTAGCCACAGGGATTTTGGGATTCCTATCAGTATTCAAGAGGAGTCAGGCATCGTCACCTTTTGAAGCAATGAACTCCGCGTGCCTCTCGAGGTGTCAGCGGGATGTGAGGCATTCCGTCAAAATGAGGCAGGGACCTAGGGCTTTCTCTAAGGTCTCCACAGGGGATTCAGACATCCCTTCATGTTGTGAGATGAAAGACGAGCCTGTATTCAAGCCACTGCAAGGAAATCCGGCCTCCTTTCAAGTTAGGGCTTCTCGCTGTATATTGCCCTTGAGGCAGCAAACTCGGGGTCCCTCCCACATACCTATTGCTGAGAGAAGCCTCCTCCTGAGGTGCTTCTGGGAAGTTGGCATACGTCTTGAGCCTAAGCCAGGGAATCTGCTCGCATCTCGAGACGATTTGGGGTACACGGAGCATTCCTCGAGTTGCTGTGCTGAAGTTGGTGTTCCTCTAGACTTGGGACAGTGTTCTCGGGGCATCTCTGGAGTTGCCTGAAGGAAGTCGAGCCACCGGTCATGTTGAATGGGGAACGGGGAATGGCTCTGGAGTCAATGCAGGGGAATCGGGCCTCATCTCGAGTTGATTTGGGGCACATGGAGCTGCTTTGCGTTGCTGGAGTGACCTCAGGGTCCGTCTAGACTGGTGACAGTGTTCTTGGGGACTGTCTCGAGATCCATTAAGCAAGTCGAAGCTCCTGACTTGTTTGAATGGGATCACGGAATAGCTCTGCATGCACTGCAGGGGAATGGGGCCTCATCTCGCCTCTAGGGGGAAGTCTCATGGTTTTTCTCGAGTTGCGGCGGGGACCTGGGGTATGTTCTCGACTTACGGCGGGGATGGCCCTTCAAAACACGAGTTTCTTCAGTGACGTCAGGACTCCTGTCTAGTAACGAGGGACACCTCAGGAATCTCTTCGAGGCTTGGCAGGGCCAAAGGGACGCTTCTCGAGGTGAGGCAGGGCACCCAAGGACCCTTTCCAGTAGCCACAGGGATTTTGGGATTCCTATCAGTATTCAAGAGGAGTCAGGCATCGTCACCTTTTGAAGCAATGAACTCCACGTGCCTCTCGAGGTGTCAGCGGGATGTGAGGCATTCCGTCAAAATGAGGCAGGGACCTAGGGCTTTCTCTAAGGTCTCCACAGGGGATTCAGACATCCCTTCATGTTGTGAGATGAAAGACGAGCCTGTATTCAAGCCACTGCAAGGAAATCCGGCCTCCTTTCAAGTTAGGGCTTCTCGCTGTATATTCCCCTTGAGGCAGCAAACTCGGGGTCCCTCCCACATACCTATTGCTGAGAGAAGCCTCCTCCTGAGGTGCTTCTGGGAAGTTGGCATACGTCTTGAGCCTAAGCCAGGGAATCAGCTCGCATCTCGAGACGACTTGGGGTACACGGAGCATTCCTCGAGTTGCTGTGCTGAAGTTGGTGTTCCTCTAGACTTGGGACAGTGTTCTCGGGGCATCTCTGGAGTTGCCTGAAGGAAGTCGAGCCACCGGTCGTGTTGAATGGGGAACGGGGAATGGCTCTGGAGTCAATGCAGGGGAATCGGGCCTCATCTCGAGTTGATTTGGGGCACATGGAGCTGCTTTGCGTTGCTGGGGTGACCTCAGGGTCCGTCTAGACTGGTGACAGTGTTCGTGGGGACTGTCTCGAGATCCATTAAGCAAGTCGAAGCTCCTGACTTGTTTGAATGGGATCACGGAATAGCTCTGCATGCACTGCAGGGGAATGGGGCCTCATCTCGCCTCTAGGGGGAAGTCTCATGGTTTTTCTCGAGTTGCGGCGGGGACCTGGGATATGTTCTCTACTTACGGCGGGGATGGCCCTTCAAAACACGAGTTTCTTCAGTGACGTCAGGACTCCTGTCTAGTAACGAGGGACACCTCAGGAATCTCTTCGAGGCTTGGCAGGGCCAAAGGGACGCTTCTCGAGGTGAGGCAGGGCACCCAAGGACCCTTTCCAGTAGCCACAGGGATTTTGGGATTCCTATCAGTATTCAAGAGGAGTCAGGCATCGTCACCTTTTGAAGCAATGAACTCCGCGTGCCTCTCGAGGTGTCAGCGGGATGTGAGGCATTCCGTCAAAATGAGGCAGGGACCTAGGGCTTTCTCTAAGGTCTCCACAGGGGATTCAGACAACCCTTCATGTTGTGAGATGAAAGACGAGCCTGTATTCAAGCCACTGCAAGGAAATCCGGCCTCCTTTCAAGTTAGGGCTTCTCGCTGTATATTCCCCTTGAGGCAGCAAACTCGGGGTCCCTCCCACATACCTATTGCTGAGAGAAGCCTCCTCCTGAGGTGCTTCTGGGAAGTTGGCATACGTCTTGAGCCTAAGCCAGGGAATCAGCTCGCATCTCGAGACGATTTGGGGTACACGGAGCATTCCTCGAGTTGCTGTGCTGAAGTTGGTGTTCCTCTAGACTTGGGACATTGTTCTCGGGGCATCTCTGGAGTTGCCTGAAGGAAGTCGAGCCACCGGTCGTGTTGAATGGGGAACGGGGAATGGCTCTGGAGTCAATGCAGGGGAATCGGGCCTCATCTCGAGTTGATTTGGGGCACATGGAGCTGCTTTGCGTTGCTGGGGTGACCTCAGGGTCCGTCTAGACTGGTGACAGTGTTCTTGGGGACTGTCTCGAGATCCATTAAGCAAGTCGAAGCTCCTGACTTGTTTGAATGGGGTCACGGAATAGCTCTGCATGCACTGCAGGGGAATGGGGCCTCATCTCGACTCTAGGGGGAAGTCTCATGGTTTTTCTCGAGTTGCGGCGGGGACCTGGGGTATGTTCTCGACTTACGGCGGGGATGGCCCTTCAAAACACGAGTTTCTTCAGTGACGTCAGGACTCCTGTCTAGTAACGAGGGACACCTCAGGAATCTCTTCGAGGCTTGGCAGGGCCAAAGGGACGCTTCTCGAGGTGAGGCAGGGCACCCAAGGACCCTTTCCAGTAGCCACAGTGATTTTGGGATTCCTATCAGTATTCAAGAGGAGTCAGGCATCGTCACCTTTTGAAGCAATGAACTCCGCGTGCCTCTCGAGGTGTCAGCGGGATGTGAGGCATTCCGTCAAAATGAGGCAGGGACCTAGGGCTTTCTCTAAGGTCTCCACAGGGGATTCAGACATCCCTTCATGTTGTGAGATGAAAGACGAGCCTGTATTCAAGCCACTGCAAGGAAATCCGGCCTCCTTTCTAGTTAGGGCTTCTCGCTGTATATTCCCCTTGAGGCAGCAAACTCGGGGTCCCTCCCACATACCTATTGCTGAGAGAAGCCTCCTCCTGAGGTGCTTCTGGGAAGTTGGCATACGTCTTGAGCCTAAGCCAGGGAATCAGCTCGCATCTCGAGACGATTTGTGGTACACGGAGCATTCCTCGAGTTGCTGTGCTGAAGTTGGTGTTCCTCTAGACTTGGGACAGTGTTCTCGGGGCATCTCTGGAGTTGCCTGAAGGAAGTCGAGCCACCGGTCGTGTTGAATGGGGAACGGGGAATGGCTCTGGAGTCAGTGCAGGGGAATCGGGCCTCATCTCGAGTTGATTTGGGGCACATGGAGCTGCTTTGCGTTGCTGGGGTGACCTCAGGGTCCGTCTAGACTGGTGACAGTGTTCTTGGGGACTGTCTCGAGATCCATTAAGCAAGTCGAAGCTCCTGACTTGTTTGAATGGGGTCACGGAATAGCTCTGCATGCACTGCAGGGGAATGGGGCCTCATCTCGCCTCTAGGGGGAAGTCTCATGGTTTTTCTCGAGTTGCGGCGGGGACCTGGGGTATGTTCTCGACTTACGGCGGGGATGGCCCTTCAAAACACGAGTTTCTTCAGTGACGTCAGGACTCCTGTCTAGTAACGAGGGACACCTCAGGAATCTCTTCGAGGCTTGGCAGGGCCAAAGGGACGCTTCTCGAGCTGAGGCAGGGCACCCAAGGACCCTTTCCAGTAGCCACAGGGATTTTGGGATTCCTATCAGTATTCAAGAGGAGTCAGGCATCGTCACCTTTTGAAGCAATGAACTCCGCGTGCCTCTCGAGGTGTCAGCGGGATGTGAGGCATTCCGTCAAAATGAGGCAGGGACCTAGGGCTTTCTCTAAGGTCTCCACAGGGGATTCAGACATCCCTTCATGTTGTGAGATGAAAGACGAGCCTGTATTCAAGCCACTGCAAGGAAATCCGGCCTCCTTTCAAGTTAGGGCTTCTCGCAGTATATTCCCCTTGGGGCAGCAAACTCGGGGTCCCTCCCACATACCTATTGCTGAGAGAAGCCTCCTCCTGAGGTGCTTCTGGGAAGTTGGCATACGTCTTGAGCCTAAGCCAGGGAATCTGCTCGCATCTCGAGACGATTTGGTGTACACGGAGCATTCCTCGAGTTGCTGTGCTGAAGTTGGTGTTCCTCTAGACTTGGGACAGTGTTCTCGGGGCATCTCTGGAGTTGCCTGAAGGAAGTCGAGCCACCGGTCGTGTTGAATGGGGAACGGGGAATGGCTCTGGAGTCAATGCAGGGGAATCGGGCCTCATCTCGAGTTGATTTGGGGCACATGGAGCTGCTTTGCGTTGCTGGGGTGACCTCAGGGTCCGTCTAGACTGGTGACAGTGTTCTTGGGGACTGTCTCGAGATCCATTAAGCAAGTCGAAGCTCCTGACTTGTTTGAATGGGGTCACGGAATAGCTCTGCATGCACTGCAGGGGAATGGGGCCTCATCTCGCCTCTAGGGGGAAGTCTCATGGTTTTTCTCGAGTTGCGGCGGGGACCTGGGGTATGTTCTCGACTTACGGCGGGGATGGCCCTTCAAAACACGAGTTTCTTCAGTGACGTCAGGACTCCTGTCTAGTAACGAGGGACACCTCAGGAATCTCTTCGAGGCTTGGCAGGGCCAAAGGGACGCTTCTCGAGGTGAGGCAGGGCACCCAAGGACCCTTTCCAGTAGCCACAGGGATTTTGGGATTCCTATCAGTATTCAAGAGGAGTCAGGCATCGTCACCTTTTGAAGCAATGAACTCCGCGTGCCTCTCGAGGTGTCAGCGGGATGTGAGGCATTCCGTCAAAATGAGGCAGGGACCTAGGGCTTTCTCTAAGGTCTCCACAGGGGATTCAGACATCCCTTCATGTTGTGAGATGAAAGACGAGCCTGTATTCAAGCCACTGCAAGGAAATCCGGCCTCCTTTCAAGTTAGGGCTTCTCGCTGTATATTCCCCTTGAGGCAACAAACTCGGGGTCCCTCCCACATACCTATTGCTGAGAGAAGCCTCCTCCTGAGGTGCTTCTGGGAAGTTGGCATACGTCTTGAGCCTAAGCCAGGGAATCAGCTCGCATCTCGAGACGACTTGGGGTACACGGAGCATTCCTCGAGTTGCTGTGCTGAAGTTGGTGTTCCTCTAGACTTGGGACAGTGTTCTCGGGGCATCTCTGGAGTTGCCTGAAGGAAGTCGAGCCACCGGTCGTGTTGAATGGGGAACGGGGAATGGCTCTGGAGTCAATGCAGGGGAATCGGGCCTCATCTCGAGTTGATTTGGGGCACATGGAGCTGCTTTGCGTTGCTGGGGTGACCTCAGGGTCCGTCTAGACTGGTGACAGTGTTCTTGGGGACTGTCTCGAGATCCATTAAGCAAGTCGAAGCTCCTGACTTGTTTGAATGAAGTCACGGAATAGCTCTGCATGCACTGCAGGGGAATGGGGCCTCATCTCGCCTCTAGGGGGAAGTCTCATGGTTTTTCTCGAGTTGCGGCGGGGACCTGGGGTATGTTCTCGACTTACGGCGGGGATGGCCCTTCAAAACACGAGTTTCTTCAGTGACGTCAGGACTCCTGTCTAGTAACGAGGGACACCTCAGGAATCTCTTCGAGGCTTGGCAGGGCCAAAGGGACGCTTCTCGAGGTGAGGCAGGGCACCCAAGGACCCTTTCCAGTAGCCACAGGGATTTTGGGATTCCTATCAGTATTCAAGAGGAGTCAGGCATCGTCACCTTTTGAAGCAATGAACTCCGCGTGCCTCTCGAGGTGTCAGCGGGATGTGAGGCATTCCGTCAAAATGAGGCAGGGACCTCGGGCTTTCTCTAAGGTCTCCACAGGGGATTCAGACATCCCTTCATGTTGTGAGATGAAAGACGAGCCTGTATTCAAGCCACTGCAAGGAAATCCGGCCTCCTTTCAAGTTAGGGCTTCTCGCTGTATATTGCCCTTGAGGCAGCAAACTCGGGGTCCCTCCCACATACCTATTGCTGAGAGAAGCCTCCTCCTGAGGTGCTTCTGGGAAGTTGGCATACGTCTTGAGCCTAAGCCAGGGAATCTGCTCGCATCTCGAGACGATTTGGGGTACACGGAGCATTCCTCGAGTTGCTGTGCTGAAGTTGGTGTTCCTCTAGACTTGGGACAGTGTTCTCGGGGCATCTCTGGAGTTGCCTGAAGGAAGTCGAGCCACCGGTCGTGTTGAATGGGGAACGGGGAATGGCTCTGGAGTCAATGCAGGGGAATCGGGCCTCATCTCGAGTTGATTTGGGGCACATGGAGCTGCTTTGCGTTGCTGGGGTGACCTCAGGGTCCGTCTAGACTGGTGACAGTGTTCTTGGGGACTGTCTCGAGATCCATTAAGCAAGTCGAAGCTCCTGACTTGTTTGAATGGGGTCACGGAATAGCTCTGCATGCACTGCAGGGGAATGGGGCCTCATCTCGCCTCTAGGGGGAAGTCTCATGGTTTTTCTCGAGTTGCGGCGGGGACCTGGGGTATGTTCTCGACTTACGGCGGGGATGGCCCTTCAAAACACGAGTTTCTTCAGTGACGTCAGGACTCCTGTCTAGTAACGAGGGACACCTCAGGAATCTCTTCGAGGCTTGGCAGGGCCAAAGGGACGCTTCTCGAGGTGAGGCAGGGCACCCAAGGACCCTTTCCAGTAGCCACAGGGATTTTGGGATTCCTATCAGTATTCAAGAGGAGTCAGGCATCGTCACCTTTTGAAGCAATGAACTCCGCGTGACTCTCGAGGTGTCAGCGGGATGTGAGGCATTCCGTCAAAATGAGGCAGGGACCTCGGGCTTTCTCTAAGGTCTCCACAGGGGATTCAGACATCCCTTCATGTTGTGAGATGAAAGACGAGCCTGTATTCAAGCCACTGCAAGGAAATCCGGCCTCCTTTCAAGTTAGGGCTTCTCGCTGTATATTCCCCTTGAGGCAGCAAACTCGGGGTCCCTCCCACATACCTATTGCTGAGAGAAGCCTCCTCCTGAGGTGCTTCTGGGAAGTTGGCATACGTCTTGAGCCTAAGCCAGGGAATCTGCTCGCATCTCGAGACGATTTGGGGTACACGGAGCATTCCTCGAGTTGCTGTGCTGAAGTTGGTGTTCCTCTAGACTTGGGACAGTGTTCTCGGGGCATCTCTGGAGTTGCCTGAAGGAAGTCGAGCCACCGGTCGTGTTGAATGGGGAACGGGGAATGGCTCTGGAGTCAATGCAGGGGAATCGGGCCTCATCTCGAGTTGATTTGGGGCACATGGAGCTGCTTTGCGTTGCTGGGGTGACCTCAGGGTCCGTCTAGACTGGTGACAGTGTTCTTGGGGACTGTCTCGAGATCCATTAAGCAAGTCGAAGCTCCTGACTTGTTTGAATGAGGTCACGGAATAGCTCTGCATGCACTGCAGGGGAATGGGGCCTCATCTCGCCTCTAGGGGGAAGTCTCATGGTTTTTCTCGAGTTGCGGCGGGGACCTGGGGTATGTTCTCGACTTACGGCGGGGATGGCCCTTCAAAACACGAGTTTCTTCAGTGACGTCAGGACTCCTGTCTAGTAACGAGGGACACCTCAGGAATCTCTTCGAGGCTTGGCAGGGCCAAAGGGACGCTTCTCGAGGTGAGGCAGGGCACCCAAGGACCCTTTCCAGTAGCCACAGGGATTTTGGGATTCCTATCAGTATTCAAGAGGAGTCAGGCATCGTCACGTTTTGAAGCAATGAACTCCGCGTGCCTCTCGAGGTGTCAGCGGGATGTGAGGCATTCTGTCAAAATGAGGCAGGGACCTAGGGCTTTCTCTAAGGTCTCCACAGGGGATTCAGACATCCCTTCATGTTGTGAGATGAAAGACGAGCCTGTATTCAAGCCACTGCAAGGAAATCCGGCCTCCTTTCAAGTTAGGGCTTCTCGCTGTATATTGCCCTTGAGGTAGCAAACTCGGGGTCCCTCCCACATACCTATTGCTGAGAGAAGCCTCCTCCTGAGGTGCTTCTGGGAAGTTGGCATACGTCTTGAGCCTAAGCCAGGGAATCTGCTCGCATCTCGAGACGATTTGGGGTACACGGAGCATTCCTCGAGTTGCTGTGCTGAAGTTGGTGTTCCTCTAGACTTGGGACAGTGTTCTCGGGGCATCTCTGGAGTTGCCTGAAGGAAGTCGAGCCACCGGTCATGTTGAATGGGGAACGGGGAATGGCTCTGGAGTCAATGCAGGGGAATCGGGCCTCATCTCGAGTTGATTTGGGGCACATGGAGCTGCTTTGCGTTGCTGGGGTGACCTCAGGGTCCGTCTAGACTGGTGACAGTGTTCTTGGGGACTGTCTCGAGATCCATTAAGCAAGTCGAAGCTCCTGACTTGTTTGAATGGGATCACGGAATAGCTCTGCATGCACTGCAGGGGAATGGGGCCTCATCTCGCCTCTAGGGGGAAGTCTCATGGTTTTTCTCGAGTTGCGGCGGGGACCTGGGGTATGTTCTCGACTTACGGCGGGGATGGCCCTTCAAAACACGAGTTTCTTCAGTGACGTCAGGACTCCTGTCTAGTAACGAGGGACACCTCAGGAATCTCTTCGAGGCTTGGCAGGGCCAAAGGGACGCTTCTCGAGGTGAGGCAGGGCACCCAAGGACCCTTTCCAGTAGCCACAGGGATTTTGGGATTCCTATCAGTATTCAAGAGGAGTCAGGCATCGTCACCTTTTGAAGCAATGAACTCCGCGTGCCTCTCGAGGTGTCAGCGGGATGTGAGGCATTCCGTCAAAATGAGGCAGGGACCTAGGGCTTTCTCTAAGGTCTCCACAGGGGATTCAGACATCCCTTCATGTTGTGAGATGAAAGACGAGCCTGTATTCAAGCCACTGCAAGGAAATCCGGCCTCCTTTCAAGTTAGGGCTTCTCGCTGTATATTCCCCTTGAGGCAGCAAACTCGGGGTCCCTCCCACATACCTATTGCTGAGAGAAGCCTCCTCCTGAGGTGCTTCTGGGAAGTTGGCATACGTCTTGAGCCTAAGCCAGGGAATCAGCTCGCATCTCGAGACGATTTGGGGTAGACGGAGCATTCCTCGAGTTGCTGGGCTGAAGTTGGTGTTCCTCTAGACTTGGGACAGTGTTCTCGGGGCATCTCTGGAGTTGCCTGAAGGAAGTCGAGCCACCGGTCGTGTTGAATGGGGAACGGGGAATGGCTCTGGAGTCAATGCAGGGGAATCGGGCCTCATCTCGAGTTGATTTGGGGCACATGGAGCTGCTTTGCGTTGCTGGGGTGACCTCAGGGTCCGTCTAGACTGGTGACAGTGTTCTTGGGGACTGTCTCGAGATCCATTAAGCAAGTCGAAGCTCCTGACTTGTTTGAATGGGATCACGGAATAGCTCTGCATGCACTGCAGGGGAATGGGGCCTCATCTCGCCTCTAGGCGGAAGTCTCATGTTTTTTCTCGAGTTGCGGCGGGGACCTGGTGTATGTTCTCGACTTACGGCGGGGATGGCCCTTCAAAACACGAGTTTCTTCAGTGACGTCAGGACTCCTGTCTAGTAACGAGGGACACCTCAGGAATCTCTTCGAGGCTTGGCAGGGCCAAAGGGACGCTTCTCGAGGTGAGGCAGGGCACCCAAGGACCCTTTCCAGTAGCCACAGGGATTTTGGGATTCCTATCAGTATTCAAGAGGAGTCAGGCATCGTCACCTTTTGAAGCAATGAACTCCGCGTGCCTCTCGAGGTGTCAGGGGGATGTGAGGCATTCCGTCAAAATGAGGCAGGGACCTAGGGCTTTCTCTAAGGTCTCCACAGGGGATTCAGACATCCCTTCATGTTGTGAGATGAAAGACGAGCCTGTATTCAAGCCACTGCAAGGAAATCCGGCATCCTTTCAAGTTAGGGCTTCTCGCTGTATATTCCCCTTGAGGCAGCAAACTCGGGGTCCCTCCCACATACCTATTGCTGAGAGAAGCCTCCTCCTGAGGTGCTTCTGGGAAGTTGGCATACGTCTTGAGCCTAAGCCAGGGAATCAGCTCGCATCTCGAGACGATTTGGGGTACACGGAGCATTCCTCGAGTTGCTGTGCTGAAGTTGGTGTTCCTCTAGACTTGGGACAGTGTTCTCGGGGCATCTCTGGAGTTGCCTGAAGGAAGTCGAGCCACCGGTCGTGTTGAATGGGGAACGGGGAATGGCTCTGGAGTCAGTGCAGGTTAATCGGGCCTCATCTCGAGTTGATTTGGGGCACATGGAGCTGCTTTGCGTTGCTGGGGTGACCTCAGGGTCCGTCTAGACTGGTGACAGTGTTCTTGGGGACTGTCTCGAGATCCATTAAGCAAGTCGAAGCTCCTGACTTGTTTGAATGGGGTCACGGAATAGCTCTGCATGCACTGCAGGGGAATGGGGCCTCATCTCGCCTCTAGGGGGAAGTCTCATGGTTTTTCTCGAGTTGCGGCGGGGACCTGGGGTATGTTCTCGACTTACGGCGGGGATGGCCCTTCAAAACACGAGTTTCTTCAGTGACGTCAGGACTCCTGTCTAGTAACGAGGGACACCTCAGGAATCTCTTCGAGGCTTGGCAGGGCCAAAGGGACGCTTCTCGAGGTGAGGCAGGGCACCCAAGGACCCTTTCCAGTAGCCACAGGGATTTTGGGATTCCTATCAGTATTCAAGAGGAGTCAGGCATCGTCACCTTTTGAAGCAATGAACTCCGCGTGCCTCTCGAGGTGTCAGCGGGATGTGAGGCATTCCGTCAAAATGAGGCAGGGACCTAGGGCTTTCTCTAAGGTCTCCACAGGGGATTCAGATATCCCTTCATGTTGTGAGATGAAAGACGAGCCTGTATTCAAGCCACTGCAAGGAAATCCGGCCTCCTTTCAAGTTAGGGCTTCTCGCTGTATATTCCCCTTGAGGCAGCAAACTCGGGGTCCCTCCCACATACCTATTGCTGAGAGAAGCCTCCTCCTGAGGTGCTTCTGGGAAGTTGGCATACGTCTTGAGCCTAAGCCAGGGAATCAGCTCGCATCTCGAGACGATTTGGGGTACACGGAGCATTCCTCGAGTTGCTGTGCTGAAGTTGGTGTTCCTCTAGACTTGGGACAGTGTTCTCGGGGCATCTCTGGAGTTGCCTGAAGGAAGTCGAGCCACCGGTCGTGTTGAATGGGGAACGGGGAATGGCTCTGGAGTCAGTGCAGGGGAATCGGGCCTCATCTCGAGTTGATTTGGGGCACATGGAGCTGCTTTGCGTTGCTGGGGTGACCTCAGGGTCCGTCTAGACTGGTGACAGTGTTCTTGGGGACTGTCTCGAGATCCATTAAGCAAGTCGAAGCTCCTGACTTGTTTGAATGGGGTCACGGAATAGCTCTGCATGCACTGCAGGGGAATGGGGCCTCATCTCGCCTCTAGGGGGAAGTCTCATGGTTTTTCTCGAGTTGCGGCGGGGACCTGGGGTATGTTCTCTACTTACGGCGGGGATGGCCCTTCAAAACACGAGTTTCTTCAGTGACGTCAGGACTCCTGTCTAGTAACGAGGGACACCTCAGGAATCTCTTCGAGGCTTGGCAGGGCCAAAGGGACGCTTCTCGAGGTGAGGCAGGGCACCCAAGGACCCTTTCCAGTAGCCACAGGGATTTTGGGATTCCTATCAGTATTCAAGAGGAGTCAGGCATCGTCACCTTTTGAAGCAATGAACTCCGCGTGCCTCTCGAGGTGTCAGCGGGATGTGAGGCATTCCGTCAAAATGAGGCAGGGACCTAGGGCTTTCTCTAAGGTCTCCACAGGGGATTCAGACATCCCTTCATGTTGTGAGATGAAAGACGAGCCTGTATTCAAGCCACTGCAAGGAAATCCGGCCTCCTTTCAAGTTAGGGCTTCTCGCTGTATATTGCCCTTGAGGCAGCAAACTCGGGGTCCCTCCCACATACCTATTGCTGAGAGAAGCCTCCTCCTGAGGTGCTTCTGGGAAGTTGGCATACGTCTTGAGCCTAAGCCAGGGAATCAGCTGGCATCTCGAGACGATTTGGGGTACACGGAGCATTCCTCGAGTTGCTGTGCTGAAGTTGGTGTTCCTCTAGACTTGGGACAGTGTTCTCGGGGCATCTCTGGAGTTGCCTGAAGGAAGTCGAGCCACCGGTCGTGTTGAATGGGGAACGGGGAATGGCTCTGGAGTCAATGCAGGGGAATCGGGCCTCATCTCGAGTTGATTTGGGGCACATGGAGCTGCTTTGCGTTGCTGGGGTGACCTCAGGGTCCGTCTAGACTGGTGACAGTGTTCTTGGGGACTGTCTCGAGATCCATTAAGCAAGTCGAAGCTCCTGACTTGTTTGAATGGGATCACGGAATAGCTCTGCATGCACTGCAGGGGAATGGGGCCTCATCTCGCCTCTAGGGGGAAGTCTCATGGTTTTTCTCGAGTTGCGGCGGGGACCTGGGGTATGTTCTCGACTTACGGCGGGGATGGCCCTTCAAAACACGAGTTTCTTCAGTGACGTCAGGACTCCTGTCTAGTAACGAGGGACACCTCAGGAATCTCTTCGAGGCTTGGCAGGGCCAAAGGGACGCTTCTCGAGGTGAGGCAGGGCACCCAAGGACCCTTTCCAGTAGCCACAGGGATTTTGGGATTCCTATCAGTATTCAAGAGGAGTCAGGCATCGTCACCTTTTGAAGCAATGAACTCCGCGTGCCTCTCGAGGTGTCAGCGGGATGTGAGGCATTCCGTCAAAATGAGGCAGGGACCTAGGGCTTTCTCTAAGGTCTCCACAGGGGATTCAGACATCCCTTCATGTTGTGAGATGAAAGACGAGCCTGTATTCAAGCCACTGCAAGGAAATCCGGCCTCCTTTCAAGTTAGGGCTTCTCGCTGTATATTCCCCTTGAGGCAGCAAACTCGGGGTCCCTCCCACATACCTATTGCTGAGAGAAGCCTCCTCCTGAGGTGCTTCTGGGAAGTTGGCATACGTCTTGAGCCTAAGCCAGGGAATCAGCTCGCATCTCGAGACGATTTGGGGTACACGGAGCATTCCTCGAGTTGCTGTGCTGAAGTTGGTGTTCCTCTAGACTTGGGACAGTGTTCTCGGGGCATCTCTGGAGTTGCCTGAAGGAAGTCGAGCCACCGGTCGTGTTGAATGGGGAACGGGGAATGGCTCTGGAGTCAATGCAGGGGAATCGGGCCTCATCTCGAGTTGATTTGGGGCACATGGAGCTGCTTTGCGTTGCTGGGGTGACCTCAGGGTCCGTCTAGACTGGTGACAGTGTTCTTGGGGACTGTCTCGAGATCCATTAAGCAAGTCGAAGCTCCTGACTTGTTTGAATGGGATCACGGAATAGCTCTGCATGCACTGCAGGGGAATGGGGCCTCATCTCGCCTCTAGGGGGAAGTCTCATGGTTTTTCTCGAGTTGCGGCGGGGACCTGGGGTATGTTCTCGACTTACGGCGGGGATGGCCCTTCAAAACACGAGTTTCTTCAGTGACGTCAGGACTCCTGTCTAGTAACGAGGGACACCTCAGGAATCTCTTCGAGGCTTGGCAGGGCCAAAGGGACGCTTCTCGAGGTGAGGCAGGGCACCCAAGGACCCTTTCCAGTAGCCACAGGGATTTTGGGATTCCTATCAGTATTCAAGAGGAGTCAGGCATCGTCACCTTTTGAAGCAATGAACTCCGCGTGCCTCTCGAGGTGTCAGCGGGATGTGAGGCATTCCGTCAAAATGAGGCAGGGACCTAGGGCTTTCTCTAAGGTCTCCACAGGGGATTCAGACATCCCTTCATGTTGTGAGATGAAAGACGAGCCTGTATTCAAGCCACTGCAAGGAAATCCGGCCTCCTTTCAAGTTAGGGCTTCTCGCTGTATATTCCCCTTGAGGCAGCAAACTCGGGGTCCCTCCCACATACCTATTGCTGAGAGAAGCCTCCTCCTGAGGTGCTTCTGGGAAGTTGGCATACGTCTTGAGCCTAAGCCAGGGAATCTGCTCGCATCTCGAGACGATTTGGGGTACACGGAGCATTCCTCGAGTTGCTGTGCTGAAGTTGGTGTTCCTCTAGACTTGGGACAGTGTTCTCGGGGCATCTCTGGAGTTGCCTGAAGGAAGTCGAGCCACCGGTCGTGTTGAATGGGGAACGGGGAATGGCTCTGGAGTCAATGCAGGGGAATCGGGCCTCATCTCGAGTTGATTTGGGGCACATGGAGCTGCTTTGCGTTGCTGGGGTGACCTCAGGGTCCGTCTAGACTGGTGACAGTGTTCTTGGGGACTCTCTCGAGATCCATTAAGCAAGTCGAAGCTCCTGACTTGTTTGAATGGGGTCACGGAATAGCTCTGCATGCACTGCAGGGGAATGGGGCCTCATCTCGCCTCTAGGGGGAAGTCTCATGGTTTTTCTCGAGTTGCGGCGGGGACCTGGGGTATGTTCTCGACTTACGGCGGGGATGGCCCTTCAAAACACGAGTTTCTTCAGTGACGTCAGGACTCCTGTCTAGTAACGAGGGACACCTCAGGAATCTCTTCGAGGCTTGGCAGGGCCAAAGGGACGCTTCTCGAGGTGAGGCAGGGCACCCAAGGACCCTTTCCAGTAGCCACAGGGATTTTGGGATTCCTATCAGTATTCAAGAGGAGTCAGGCATCGTCACCTTTTGAAGCAATGAACTCCGCGTGCCTCTCGAGGTGTCAGCGGGATGTGAGGCATTCCGTCAAAATGAGGCAGGGACCTAGGGCTTTCTCTAAGGTCTCCACAGGGGATTCAGACATCCCTTCATGTTGTGAGATGAAAGACGAGCCTGTATTCAAGCCACTGCAAGGAAATCCGGCCTCCTTTCAAGTTAGGGCTTCTCGCTGTATATTCCCCTTGAGGCAGCAAACTCGGGGTCCCTCCCACATACCTATTGCTGAGAGAAGCCTCCTCCTGAGGTGCTTCTGGGAAGTTGGCATACGTCTTGAGCCTAAGCCAGGGAATCTGCTCGCATCTCGAGACGATTTGGGGTACACGGAGCATTCCTCGAGTTGCTGTGCTGAAGTTGGTGTTCCTCTAGACTTGGGACAGTGTTCTCGGGGCATCTCTGGAGTTGCCTGAAGGAAGTCGAGCCACCGGTCGTGTTGAATGGGGAACGGGGAATGGCTCTGGAGTCAATGCAGGGGAATCGGGCCTCATCTCGAGTTGATTTGGGGCACATGGAGCTGCTTTGCGTTGCTGGGGTGACCTCAGGCTCCGTCTAGACTGGTGACAGTGTTCTTGGGGACTGTCTCGAGATCCATTAAGCAAGTCGAAGCTCCTGACTTGTTTGAATGGGGTCACGGAATAGCTCTGCATGCACTGCAGGGGAATGGGGCCTCATCTCGCCTCTAGGGGGAAGTCTCATGGTTTTTCTCGAGTTGCGGCGGGGACCTGGGGTATGTTCTCGACTTACGGCGGGGATGGCCCTTCAAAACACGAGTTTCTTCAGTGACGTCAGGACTCCTGTCTAGTAACGAGGGACACCTCAGGAATCTCTTCGAGGCTTGGCAGGGCCAAAGGGACGCTTCTCGAGGTGAGGCAGGGCACCCAAGGACCCTTTCCAGTAGCCACAGGGATTTTGGGATTCCTATCAGTATTCAAGAGGAGTCAGGCATCGTCACCTTTTGAAGCAATGAACTCCGCGTGCCTCTCGAGGTGTCAGCGGGATGTGAGGCATTCCGTCAAAATGAGGCAGGGACCTAGGGCTTTCTCTAAGGTCTCCACAGGGGATTCAGACATCCCTTCATGTTGTGAGATGAAAGACGAGCCTGTATTCAAGCCACTGCAAGGAAATCCGGCCTCCTTTCAAGTTAGGGCTTCTCGCTGTATATTCCCCTTGAGGCAGCAAACTCGGGGTCCCTCCCACATACCTATTGCTGAGAGAAGCCTCCTCCTGAGGTGCTTCTGGGAAGTTGGCATACGTCTTGAGCCTAAGCCAGGGAATCAGCTCGCATCTCGAGACGATTTGGGGTACACGGAGCATTCCTCGAGTTGCTGTGCTGAAGTTGGTGTTCCTCTAGACTTGGGACAGTGTTCTCGGGGCATCTCTGGAGTTGCCTGAAGGAAGTCGAGCCACCGGTCGTGTTGAATGGGGAACGGGGAATGGCTCTGGAGTCAGTGCAGGGGAATCGGGCCTCATCTCGAGTTGATTTGGGGCACATGGAGCTGCTTTGCGTTGCTGGGGTGACCTCAGGGTCCGTCTAGACTGGTGACAGTGTTCTTGGGGACTGTCTCGAGATCCATTAAGCAAGTCGAAGCTCCTGACTTGTTTGAATGGGGTCACGGAATAGCTCTGCATGCACTGCAGGGGAATGGGGCCTCATCTCGCCTCTAGGGGGAAGTCTCATGGTTTTTCTCGAGTTGCGGCGGGGACCTGGGGTATGTTCTCGACTTACGGCGGGGATGGCCCTTCAAAACACGAGTTTCTTCAGTGACGTCAGGACTCCTGTCTAGTAACGAGGGACACCTCAGGAATCTCTTCGAGGCTTGGCAGGGCCAAAGGGACGCTTCTCGAGGTGAGGCAGGGCACCCAAGGACCCTTTCCAGTAGCCACAGGGATTTTGGGATTCCTATCAGTATTCAAGAGGAGTCAGGCATCGTCACCTTTTGAAGCAATGAACTCCGCGTGCCTCTCGAGGTGTCAGCGGGATGTGAGGCATTCCGTCAAAATGAGGCAGGGACCTAGGGCTTTCTCTAAGGTCTCCACAGGGGATTCAGACATCCCTTCATGTTGTGAGATGAAAGACGAGCCTGTATTCAAGCCACTGCAAGGAAATCCGGCCTCCTTTCAAGTTAGGGCTTCTCGCTGTATATTCCCCTTGAGGCAGCAAACTCGGGGTCCCTCCCACATACCTATTGCTGAGAGAAGCCTCCTCCTGAGGTGCTTCTGGGAAGTTGGCATACGTCTTGAGCCTAAGCCAGGGAATCAGCTCGCATCTCGAGACGATTTGGGGTACACGGAGCATTCCTCGAGTTGCTGTGCTGAAGTTGGTGTTCCTCTAGACTTGGGACAGTGTTCTCGGGGCATCTCTGGAGTTGCCTGAAGGAAGTCGAGCCACCGGTCGTGTTGAATGGGGAACGGGGAATGGCTCTGGAGTCAATGCAGGGGAATCGGGCCTCATCTCGAGTTGATTTGGGGCACATGGAGCTGCTTTGCGTTGCTGGGGTGACCTCAGGGTCCGTCTAGACTGGTGACAGTGTTCTTGGGGACTGTCTCGAGATCCATTAAGCAAGTCGAAGCTCCTGACTTGTTTGAATTGGGTCACGGAATAGCTCTGCATGCACTGCAGGGGAATGGGGCCTCATCTCGCCTCTAGGGGGAAGTCTCATGGTTTTTCTCGAGTTGCGGCGGGGACCTGGGGTATGTTCTCGACTTACGGCGGGGATGGCCCTTCAAAACACGAGTTTCTTCAGTGACGTCAGGACTCCTGTCTAGTAACGAGGGACACCTCAGGAATCTCTTCGAGGCTTGGCAGGGCCAAAGGGACGCTTCTCGAGGTGAGGCAGGGCACCCAAGGACCCTTTCCAGTAGCCACAGGGATTTTGGGATTCCTATCAGTATTCAAGAGGAGTCAGGCATCGTCACCTTTTGAAGCAATGAACTCCGCGTGCCTCTCGAGGTTTCAGCGGGATGTGAGGCATTCCGTCAAAATGAGGCAGGGACCTAGGGCTTTCTCTAAGGTCTCCACAGGGGATTCAGACATCCCTTCATGTTGTGAGATGAAAGACGAGCCTGTATTCAAGCCACTGCAAGGAAATCCGGCCTCCTTTCAAGTTAGGGCTTCTGGCTCTATATTCCCCTTGAGGCAGCAAACTCGGGGTCCCTCCCACATACCTATTGCTGAGAGAAGCCTCCTCCTGAGGTGCTTCTGGGAAGTTGGCATACGTCTTGAGCCTAAGCCAGGGAATCAGCTCGCATCTCGAGACGATTTGGGGTACACGGAGCATTCCTCGAGTTGCTGTGCTGAAGTTGGTGTTCCTCTAGACTTGGGACAGTGTTCTCGGGGCATCTCTGGAGTTGCCTGAAGGAAGTCGAGCCACCGGTCGTGTTGAATGGGGAACGGGGAATGGCTCTGGAGTCAATGCAGGGGAATCGGGCCTCATCTCGAGTTGATTTGGGGCACATGGAGCTGCTTTGCGTTGCTGGGGTGACCTCAGGGTCCGTCTAGACTGGTGACAGTGTTCTTGGGGACTGTCTCGAGATCCATTAAGCAAGTCGAAGCTCCTGACTTGTTTGAATGGGATCACGGAATAGCTCTGCATGCACTGCAGGGGAATGGGGCCTCATCTCGCCTCTAGGGGGAAGTCTCATGGTTTTTCTCGAGTTGCGGCGGGGACCTGGGGTATGTTCTCGACTTACGGCGGGGATGGCCCTTCAAAACACGAGTTTCTTCAGTGACGTCAGGACTCCTGTCTAGTAACGAGGGACACCTCAGGAATCTCTTCGAGGCTTGGCAGGGCCAAAGGGACGCTTCTCGAGGTGAGGCAGGGCACCCAAGGACCCTTTCCAGTAGCCACAGGGATTTTGGGATTCCTATCAGTATTCAAGAGGAGTCAGGCATCGTCACCTTTTGAAGCAATGAACTCCACGTGCCTCTCGAGGTGTCAGCGGGATGTGAGGCATTCCGTCAAAATGAGGCAGGGACCTAGGGCTTTCTCTAAGGTCTCCACAGGGGATTCAGACATCCCTTCATGTTGTGAGATGAAGGACGAGCCTGTATTCAAGCCACTGCAAGGAAATCCGGCCTCCTTTCAAGTTAGGGCTTCTCGCTGTATATTCCCCTTGAGGCAGCAAACTCGGGGTCCCTCCCACATACCTATTGCTGAGAGAAGCCTCCTCCTGAGGTGCTTCTGGGAAGTTGGCATACGTCTTGAGCCTAAGCCAGGGAATCAGCTCGCATCTCGAGACGACTTGGGGTACACGGAGCATTCCTCGAGTTGCTGTGCTGAAGTTGGTGTTCCTCTAGACTTGGGACAGTGTTCTCAGGGCATCTCTGGAGTTGCCTGAAGGAAGTCGAGCCACCGGTCGTGTTGAATGGGGAACGGGGAATGGCTCTGGAGTCAATGCAGGGGAATCGGGCCTCATCTCGAGTTGATTTGGGGCACATGGAGCTGCTTTGCGTTGCTGGGGTGACCTCAGGGTCCGTCTAGACTGGTGACAGTGTTCTTGGGGACTGTCTCGAGATCCATTAAGCAAGTCGAAGCTCCTGACTTGTTTGAATGGGATCACGGAATAGCTCTGCATGCACTGCAGGGGAATGGGGCCTCATCTCGCCTCTAGGGGGAAGTCTCATGGTTTTTCTCGAGTTGCGGCGGGGACCTGGGATATGTTCTCTACTTACGGCGGGGATGGCCCTTCAAAACACGAGTTTCTTCAGTGACGTCAGGACTCCTGTCTAGTAACGAGGGACACCTCAGGGATCTCTTCGAGGCTTGGCAGGGCCAAAGGGACGCTTCTCGAGGTGAGGCAGGGCACCCAAGGACCCTTTCCAGTAGCCACAGGGATTTTGGGATTCCTATCAGTATTCAAGAGGAGTCAGGCATCGTCACCTTTTGAAGCAATGAACTCCGCGTGCCTCTCGAGGTGTCAGCGGGATGTGAGGCATTCCGTCAAAATGAGGCAGGGACCTAGGGCTTTCTCTAAGGTCTCCACAGGGGATTCAGACATCCCTTCATGTTGTGAGATGAAAGACGAGCCTGTATTCAAGCCACTGCAAGGAAATCCGGCCTCCTTTCAAGTTAGGGCTTCTCGCTGTATATTCCCCTTGAGGCAGCAAACTCGGGGTCCCTCCCACATACCTATTGCTGAGAGAAGCCCCCTCCTGAGGTGCTTCTGGGAAGTTGGCATACGTCTTGAGCCTAAGCCAGGGAATCAGCTCGCATCTCGAGACGATTTGGGGTACACGGAGCATTCCTCGAGTTGCTGTGCTGAAGTTGGTGTTCCTCTAGACTTGGGACAGTGTTCTCGGGGCATCTCTGGAGTTGCCTGAAGGAAGTCGAGCCACCGGTCGTGTTGAATGGGGAACGGGGAATGGCTCTGGAGTCAATGCAGGGGAATCGGGCCTCATCTCGAGTTGATTTGGGGCACATGGAGCTGCTTTGCGTTGCTGGGGTGACCTCAGGGTCCGTCTAGACTGGTGACAGTGTTCTTGGGGACTGTCTCGAGATCCATTAAGCAAGTCGAAGCTCCTGACTTGTTTGAATGGGGTCACGGAATAGCTCTGCATGCACTGCAGGGGAATGGGGCCTCATCTCGCCTCTAGGGGGAAGTCTCATGGTTTTTCTCGAGTTGCGGCGGGGACCTGGGGTATGTTCTCGACTTACGGCGGGGATGGCCCTTCAAAACACGAGTTTCTTCAGTGACGTCAGGACTCGTGTCTAGTAACGAGGGACACCTCAGGAATCTCTTCGAGGCTTGGCAGGGCCAAAGGGACGCTTCTCGAGGTGAGGCAGGGCACCCAAGGACCCTTTCCAGTAGCCACAGGGATTTTGGGATTCCTATCAGTATTCAAGAGGAGTCAGGCATCGTCACCTTTTGAAGCAATGAACTCCGCGTGCCTCTCGAGGTTTCAGCGGGATGTGAGGCATTCCGTCAAAATGAGGCAGGGACCTAGGGCTTTCTCTAAGGTCTCCACAGGGGATTCAGACATCCCTTCATGTTGTGAGATGAAAGACGAGCCTGTATTCAAGCCACTGCAAGGAAATCCGGCCTCCTTTCAAGTTAGGGCTTCTGGCTCTATATTCCCCTTGAGGCAGCAAACTCGGGGTCCCTCCCACATACCTATTGCTGAGAGAAGCCTCCTCCTGAGGTGCTTCTGGGAAGTTGGCATACGTCTTGAGCCTAAGCCAGGGAATCAGCTCGCATCTCGAGACGATTTGGGGTACACGGAGCATTCCTCGAGTTGCTGTGCTGAAGTTGGTGTTCCTCTAGACTTGGGACAGTGTTCTCGGGGCATCTCTGGAGTTGCCTGAAGGAAGTCGAGCCACCGGTCGTGTTGAATGGGGAACGGGGAATGGCTCTGGAGTCAATGCAGGGGAATCGGGCCTCATCTCGAGTTGATTTGGGGCACATGGAGCTGCTTTGCGTTGCTGGGGTGACCTCAGGGTCCGTCTAGACTGGTGACAGTGTTCTTGGGGACTGTCTCGAGATCCATTAAGCAAGTCGAAGCTCCTGACTTGTTTGAATGGGATCACGGAATAGCTCTGCATGCACTGCAGGGGAATGGGGCCTCATCTCGCCTCTAGGGGGAAGTCTCATGGTTTTTCTCGAGTTGCGGCGGGGACCTGGGGTATGTTCTCGACTTACGGCGGGGATGGCCCTTCAAAACACGAGTTTCTTCAGTGACGTCAGGACTCCTGTCTAGTAACGAGGGACACCTCAGGAATCTCTTCGAGGCTTGGCAGGGCCAAAGGGACGCTTCTCGAGGTGAGGCAGGGCACCCAAGGACCCTTTCCAGTAGCCACAGGGATTTTGGGATTCCTATCAGTATTCAAGAGGAGTCAGGCATCGTCACCTTTTGAAGCAATGAACTCCACGTGCCTCTCGAGGTGTCAGCGGGATGTGAGGCATTCCGTCAAAATGAGGCAGGGACCTAGGGCTTTCTCTAAGGTCTCCACAGGGGATTCAGACATCCCTTCATGTTGTGAGATGAAGGACGAGCCTGTATTCAAGCCACTGCAAGGAAATCCGGCCTCCTTTCAAGTTAGGGCTTCTCGCTGTATATTCCCCTTGAGGCAGCAAACTCGGGGTCCCTCCCACATACCTATTGCTGAGAGAAGCCTCCTCCTGAGGTGCTTCTGGGAAGTTGGCATACGTCTTGAGCCTAAGCCAGGGAATCAGCTCGCATCTCGAGACGACTTGGGGTACACGGAGCATTCCTCGAGTTGCTGTGCTGAAGTTGGTGTTCCTCTAGACTTGGGACAGTGTTCTCAGGGCATCTCTGGAGTTGCCTGAAGGAAGTCGAGCCACCGGTCGTGTTGAATGGGGAACGGGGAATGGCTCTGGAGTCAATGCAGGGGAATCGGGCCTCATCTCGAGTTGATTTGGGGCACATGGAGCTGCTTTGCGTTGCTGGGGTGACCTCAGGGTCCGTCTAGACTGGTGACAGTGTTCTTGGGGACTGTCTCGAGATCCATTAAGCAAGTCGAAGCTCCTGTCTTGTTTGAATGGGATCACGGAATAGCTCTGCATGCACTGCAGGGGAATGGGGCCTCATCTCGCCTCTAGGGGGAAGTCTCATGGTTTTTCTCGAGTTGCGGCGGGGACCTGGGATATGTTCTCTACTTACGGCGGGGATGGCCCTTCAAAACACGAGTTTCTTCAGTGACGTCAGGACTCCTGTCTAGTAACGAGGGACACCTCAGGGATCTCTTCGAGGCTTGGCAGGGCCAAAGGGACGCTTCTCGAGGTGAGGCAGGGCACCCAAGGACCCTTTCCAGTAGCCACAGGGATTTTGGGATTCCTATCAGTATTCAAGAGGAGTCAGGCATCGTCACCTTTTGAAGCAATGAACTCCGCGTGCCTCTCGAGGTGTCAGCGGGATGTGAGGCATTCCGTCAAAATGAGGCAGGGACCTAGGGCTTTCTCTAAGGTCTCCACAGGGGATTCAGACATCCCTTCATGTTGTGAGATGAAAGACGAGCCTGTATTCAAGCCACTGCAAGGAAATCCGGCCTCCTTTCAAGTTAGGGCTTCTCGCTGTATATTCCCCTTGAGGCAGCAAACTCGGGGTCCCTCCCACATACCTATTGCTGAGAGAAGCCCCCTCCTGAGGTGCTTCTGGGAAGTTGGCATACGTCTTGAGCCTAAGCCAGGGAATCAGCTCGCATCTCGAGACGATTTGGGGTACACGGAGCATTCCTCGAGTTGCTGTGCTGAAGTTGGTGTTCCTCTAGACTTGGGACAGTGTTCTCGGGGCATCTCTGGAGTTGCCTGAAGGAAGTCGAGCCACCGGTCGTGTTGAATGGGGAACGGGGAATGGCTCTGGAGTCAATGCAGGGGAATCGGGCCTCATCTCGAGTTGATTTGGGGCACATGGAGCTGCTTTGCGTTGCTGGGGTGACCTCAGGGTCCGTCTAGACTGGTGACAGTGTTCTTGGGGACTGTCTCGAGATCCATTAAGCAAGTCGAAGCTCCTGACTTGTTTGAATGGGGTCACGGAATAGCTCTGCATGCACTGCAGGGGAATGGGGCCTCATCTCGCCTCTAGGGGGAAGTCTCATGGTTTTTCTCGAGTTGCGGCGGGGACCTGGGGTATGTTCTCGACTTACGGCGGGGATGGCCCTTCAAAACACGAGTTTCTTCAGTGACGTCAGGACTCGTGTCTAGTAACGAGGGACACCTCAGGAATCTCTTCGAGGCTTGGCAGGGCCAAAGGGACGCTTCTCGAGGTGAGGCAGGGCACCCAAGGACCCTTTCCGGTAGCCACAGGGATTTTGGGATTCCTATCAGTATTCAAGAGGAGTCAGGCATCGTCACCTTTTGAAGCAATGAACTCCGCGTGCCTCTCGAGGTTTCAGCGGGATGTGAGGCATTCCGTCAAAATGAGGCAGGGACCTAGGGCTTTCTCTAAGGTCTCCACAGGGGATTCAGACATCCCTTCATGTTGTGAGATGAAAGACGAGCCTGTATTCAAGCCACTGCAAGGAAATCCGGCCTCCTTTCAAGTTAGGGCTTCTGGCTCTATATTCCCCTTGAGGCAGCAAACTCGGGGTCCCTCCCACATACCTATTGCTGAGAGAAGCCTCCTCCTGAGGTGCTTCTGGGAAGTTGGCATACGTCTTGAGCCTAAGCCAGGGAATCAGCTCGCATCTCGAGACGATTTGGGGTACACGGAGCATTCCTCGAGTTGCTGTGCTGAAGTTGGTGTTTCTCTAGACTTGGGACAGTGTTCTCGGGGCATCTCTGGAGTTGCCTGAAGGAAGTCGAGCCACCGGTCGTGTTGAATGGGGAACGGGGAATGGCTCTGGAGTCAATGCAGGGGAATCGGGCCTCATCTCGAGTTGATTTGGGGCACATGGAGCTGCTTTGCGTTGCTGGGGTGACCTCAGGGTCCGTCTAGACTGGTGACAGTGTTCTTGGGGACTGTCTCGAGATCCATTAAGCAAGTCGAAGCTCCTGACTTGTTTGAATGGGGTCACGGAATAGCTCTGCATGCACTGCAGGGGAATGGGGCCTCATCTCGCCTCTAGGGGGAAGTCTCATGGTTTTTCTCGAGTTGCGGCGGGGACCTGGGGTATGTTCTCGACTTACGGCGGGGATGGCCCTTCAAAACACGAGTTTCTTCAGTGACGTCAGGACTCCTGTCTAGTAACGAGGGACACCTCAGGAATCTCTTCGAGGCTTGGCAGGGCCAAAGGGACGCTTCTCGAGGTGAGGCAGGGCACCCAAGGACCCTTTCCAGTAGCCACAGGGATTTTGGGATTCCTATCAGTATTCAAGAGGAGTCAGGCATCGTCACCTTTTGAAGCAATGAACTCCGCGTGCCTCTCGAGGTGTCAGCGGGATGTGAGGCATTCCGTCAAAATGAGGCAGGGACCTAGGGCTTTCTCTAAGGTCTCCACAGGGGATTCAGACATCCCTTCATGTTGTGAGATGAAAGACGAGCCTGTATTCAAGCCACTGCAAGGAAATCCGGCCTCCTTTCAAGTTAGGGCTTCTGGCTCTATATTCCCCTTGAGGCAGCAAACTCGGGGTCCCTCCCACATACCTATTGCTGAGAGAAGCCTCCTCCTGAGGTGCTTCTGGGAAGTTGGCATACGTCTTGAGCCTAAGCCAGGGAATCTGCTCGCATCTCGAGACGACTTGGGGTACACGGAGCATTCCTCGAGTTGCTGTGCTGAAGTTGGTGTTCCTCTAGACTTGGGACAGTGTTCTCGGGGCATCTCTGGAGTTGCCTGAAGGAAGTCGAGCCACCGGTCGTGTTGAATGGGGAACGGGGAATGGCTCTGGAGTCAATGCAGGGGAATCGGGCCTCATCTCGAGTTGATTTGGGGCACATGGAGCTGCTTTGCGTTGCTGGGGTGACGTCAGGGTCCGTCTAGACTGGTGACAGTGTTCTTGGGGACTGTCTCGAGATCCATTAAGCAAGTCGAAGCTCCTGACTTGTTTGAATGGGGTCACGGAATAGCTCTGCATGCACTGCAGGGGAATGGGGCCTCATCTCGCCTCTAGGGGGAAGTCTCATGGTTTTTCTCGAGTTGCGGCGGGGACCTGGGGTATGTTCTCGACTTACGGCGGGGATGGCCCTTCAAAACACGAGTTTCTTCAGTGACGTCAGGACTCCTGTCTAGTGACGAGGGACACCTCAGGAATCTCTTCGAGGCTTGGCAGGGCCAAAGGGACGCTTCTCGAGGTGAGGCAGGGCACCCAAGGACCCTTTCCAGTAGCCACAGGGATTTTGGGATTCCTATCAGTATTCAAGAGGAGTCAGGCATCGTCACCTTTTGAAGCAATGAACTCCGCGTGCCTCTCGAGGTGTCAGCTGGATGTGAGGCATTCCGTCAAAATGAGGCAGGGACCTAGGGCTTTCTCTAAGGTCTCCACAGGGGATTCAGACATCCCTTCATGTTGTGAGATGAAAGACGAGCCTGTATTCAAGCCACTGCAAGGAAATCCGACCTCCTTTCAAGTTAGGGCTTCTCGCTGTATATTGCCCTTGAGGCAGCAAACTCGGGGTCCCTCCCACATACCTATTGCTGAGAGAAGCCTCCTCCTGAGGTGCTCCTGGGAAGTTGGCATACGTCTTGAGCCTAAGCCAGGGAATCTGCTCGCATCTCGAGACGATTTGGGGTACACGGAGCATTCCTCGAGTTGCTGTGCTGAAGTTGGTGTTCCTCTAGACTTGGGACAGTGTTCTCGGGGCATCTCTGGAGTTGCCTGAAGGAAGTCGAGCCACCGGTCGTGTTGAATGGGGAACGGGGAATGGCTCTGGAGTCAATGCAGGGGAATCGGGCCTCATCTCGAGTTGATTTGGGGCACATGGAGCTGCTTTGCGTTGCTGGGGTGACCTCAGGGTCCGTCTAGACTGGTGACAGTGTTCTTGGGGACTGTCTCGAGATCCATTAAGCAAGTCGAAGCTCCTGACTTGTTTGAATGGGGTCACGGAATAGCTCTGCATGCACTGCAGGGGAATGGGGCCTCATCTCGCCTCTAGGGGGAAGTCTCATGGTTTTTCTCGAGTTGCGGCGGGGACCTGGGGTATGTTCTCGACTTACGGCGGGGATGGCCCTTCAAAACACGAGTTTCTTCAGTGACGTCAGGACTCCTGTCTAGTAACGAGGGACACCTCAGGAATCTCTTCGAGGCTTGGCAGGGCCAAAGGGACGCTTCTCGAGGTGAGGCAGGGCACCCAAGGACCCTTTCCAGTAGCCACAGGGATTTTGGGATTCCTATCAGTATTCAAGAGGAGTCAGGCATCGTCACCTTTTGAAGCAATGAACTCCGCGTGCCTCTCGAGGTGTCAGCGGGATGTGAGGCATTCCGTCAAAATGAGGCAGGGACCTAGGGCTTTCTCTAAGGTCTCCACAGGGGATTCAGACATCCCTTCATGTTGTGAGATGAAAGACGAGCCTGTATTCAAGCCACTGCAAGGAAATCCGGCCTCCTTTCAAGTTAGGGCTTCTGGCTCTATATTCCCCTTGAGGCAGCAAACTCGGGGTCCCTCCCACATACCTATTGCTGAGAGAAGCCTCCTCCTGAGGTGCTTCTGGGAAGTTGGCATACGTCTTGAGCCTAAGCCAGGGAATCTGCTCGCATCTCGAGACGACTTGGGGTACACGGAGCATTCCTCGAGTTGCTGTGCTGAAGTTGGTGTTCCTCTAGACTTGGGACAGTGTTCTCGGGGCATCTCTGGAGTTGCCTGAAGGAAGTCGAGCCACCGGTCGTGTTGAATGGGGAACGGGGAATGGCTCTGGAGTCAATGCAGGGGAATCGGGCCTCATCTCGAGTTGATTTGGGGCACATGGAGCTGCTTTGCGTTGCTGGGGTGACCTCAGGGTCCGTCTAGACTGGTGACAGTGTTCTTGGGGACTGTCTCGAGATCCATTAAGCAAGTCGAAGCTCCTGACTTGTTTGAATGGGGTCACGGAATAGCTCTGCATGCACTGCAGGGGAATGGGGCCTCATCTCGCCTCTAGGGGGAAGTCTCATGGTTTTTCTCGAGTTGCGGCGGGGACCTGGGGTATGTTCTCGACTTACGGCGGGGATGGCCCTTCAAAACACGAGTTTCTTCAGTGACGTCAGGACTCCTGTCTAGTGACGAGGGACACCTCAGGAATCTCTTCGAGGCTTGGCAGGGCCAAAGGGACGCTTCTCGAGGTGAGGCAGGGCACCCAAGGACCCTTTCCAGTAGCCACAGGGATTTTGGGATTCCTATCAGTATTCAAGAGGAGTCAGGCATCGTCACCTTTTGAAGCAATGAACTCCGCGTGCCTCTCGAGGTGTCAGCTGGATGTGAGGCATTCCGTCAAAATGAGGCAGGGACCTAGGGCTTTCTCTAAGGTCTCCACAGGGGATTCAGACATCCCTTCATGTTGTGAGATGAAAGACGAGCCTGTATTCAAGCCACTGCAAGGAAATCCGACCTCCTTTCAAGTTAGGGCTTCTCGCTGTATATTGCCCTTGAGGCAGCAAACTCGGGGTCCCTCCCACATACCTATTGCTGAGAGAAGCCTCCTCCTGAGGTGCTCCTGGGAAGTTGGCATACGTCTTGAGCCTAAGCCAGGGAATCTGCTCGCATCTCGAGACGATTTGGGGTACACGGAGCATTCCTCGAGTTGCTGTGCTGAAGTTGGTGTTCCTCTAGACTTGGGACAGTGTTCTCGGGGCATCTCTGGAGTTGCCTGAAGGAAGTCGAGCCACCGGTCGTGTTGAATGGGGAACGGGGAATGGCTCTGGAGTCAATGCAGGGGAATCGGGCCTCATCTCGAGTTGATTTGGGGCACATGGAGCTGCTTTGCGTTGCTGGGGTGACCTCAGGGTCCGTCTAGACTGGTGACAGTGTTCTTGGGGACTGTCTCGAGATCCATTAAGCAAGTCGAAGCTCCTGACTTGTTTGAATGGGGTCACGGAATAGCTCTGCATGCACTGCAGGGGAATGGGGCCTCATCTCGCCTCTAGGGGGAAGTCTCATGGTTTTTCTCGAGTTGCGGCGGGGACCTGGGGTATGTTCTCGACTTACGGCGGGGATGGCCCTTCAAAACACGAGTTTCTTCAGTGACGTCAGGACTCCTGTCTAGTAACGAGGGACACCTCAGGAATCTCTTCGAGGCTTGGCAGGGCCAAAGGGACGCTTCTCGAGGTGAGGCAGGGCACCCAAGGACCCTTTCCAGTAGCCACAGGGATTTTGGGATTCCTATCAGTATTCAAGAGGAGTCAGGCATCGTCACCTTTTGAAGCAATGAACTCCGCGTGCCTCTCGAGGTGTCAGCGGGATGTGAGGCATTCCGTCAAAATGAGGCAGGGACCTAGGGCTTTCTCTAAGGTCTCCACAGGGGATTCAGACATCCCTTCATGTTGTGAGATGAAAGACGAGCCTGTATTCAAGCCACTGCAAGGAAATCCGGCCTCCTTTCAAGTTAGGGCTTCTGGCTCTATATTCCCCTTGAGGCAGCAAACTCGGGGTCCCTCCCACATACCTATTGCTGAGAGAAGCCTCCTCCTGAGGTGCTTCTGGGAAGTTGGCATACGTCTTGAGCCTAAGCCAGGGAATCTGCTCGCATCTCGAGACGACTTGGGGTACACGGAGCATTCCTCGAGTTGCTGTGCTGAAGTTGGTGTTCCTCTAGACTTGGGACAGTGTTCTCGGGGCATCTCTGGAGTTGCCTGAAGGAAGTCGAGCCACCGGTCGTGTTGAATGGGGAACGGGGAATGGCTCTGGAGTCAATGCAGGGGAATCGGGCCTCATCTCGAGTTGATTTGGGGCACATGGAGCTGCTTTGCGTTGCTGGGGTGACCTCAGGGTCCGTCTAGACTGGTGACAGTGTTCTTGGGGACTGTCTCGAGATCCATTAAGCAAGTCGAAGCTCCTGACTTGTTTGAATGGGGTCACGGAATAGCTCTGCATGCACTGCAGGGGAATGGGGCCTCATCTCGCCTCTAGGGGGAAGTCTCATGGTTTTTCTCGAGTTGCGGCGGGGACCTGGGGTATGTTCTCGACTTACGGCGGGGATGGCCCTTCAAAACACGAGTTTCTTCAGTGACGTCAGGACTCCTGTCTAGTGACGAGGGACACCTCAGGAATCTCTTCGAGGCTTGGCAGGGCCAAAGGGACGCTTCTCGAGGTGAGGCAGGGCACCCAAGGACCCTTTCCAGTAGCCACAGGGATTTTGGGATTCCTATCAGTATTCAAGAGGAGTCAGGCATCGTCACCTTTTGAAGCAATGAACTCCGCGTGCCTCTCGAGGTGTCAGCTGGATGTGAGGCATTCCGTCAAAATGAGGCAGGGACCTAGGGCTTTCTCTAAGGTCTCCACAGGGGATTCAGACATCCCTTCATGTTGTGAGATGAAAGACGAGCCTGTATTCAAGCCACTGCAAGGAAATCCGACCTCCTTTCAAGTTAGGGCTTCTCGCTGTATATTGCCCTTGAGGCAGCAAACTCGGGGTCCCTCCCACATACCTATTGCTGAGAGAAGCCTCCTCCTGAGGTGCTCCTGGGAAGTTGGCATACGTCTTGAGCCTAAGCCAGGGAATCTGCTCGCATCTCGAGACGATTTGGGGTACACGGAGCATTGCTCGAGTTGCTGTGCTGAAGTTGGTGTTCCTCTAGACTTGGGACAGTGTTCTCGGGGCATCTCTGGAGTTGCCTGAAGGAAGTCGAGCCACCGGTCGTGTTGAATGGGGAACGGGGAATGGCTCTGGAGTCAATGCAGGGGAATCGGGCCTCATCTCGAGTTGATTTGGGGCACATGGAGCTGCTTTGCGTTGCTGGGGTGACCTCAGGGTCCGTCTAGACTGGTGACAGTGTTCTTGGGGACTGTCTCGAGATCCATTAAGCAAGTCGAAGCTCCTGACTTGTTTGAATGGGGTCACGGAATAGCTCTGCATGCACTGCAGGGGAATGGGGCCTCATCTCGCCTCTAGGGGGAAGTCTCATGGTTTTTCTCGAGTTGCGGCGGGGACCTGGGGTATGTTCTCGACTTACGGCGGGGATGGCCCTTCAAAACACGAGTTTCTTCAGTGACGTCAGGACTCCTGTCTAGTAACGAGGGACACCTCAGGAATCTCTTCGAGGCTTGGCAGGGCCAAAGGGACGCTTCTCGAGGTGAGGCAGGGCACCCAAGGACCCTTTCCAGTAGCCACAGGGATTTTGGGATTCCTATCAGTATTCAAGAGGAGTCAGGCATCGTCACCTTTTGAAGCAATGAACTCCGCGTGCCTCTCGAGGTGTCAGCGGGATGTGAGGCATTCCGTCAAAATGAGGCAGGGACCTAGGGCTTTCTCTAAGGTCTCCACAGGGGATTCAGACATCCCTTCATGTTGTGAGATGAAAGACGAGCCTGTATTCAAGCCACTGCAAGGAAATCCGGCCTCCTTTCAAGTTAGGGCTTCTCGCTGTATATTCCCCTTGAGGCAGCAAACTCGGGGTCCCTCCCACATACCTATTGCTGAGAGAAGCCTCCTCCTGAGGTGCTTCTGGGAAGTTGGCATACGTCTTGAGCCTAAGCCAGGGAATCAGCTCGCATCTCGAGACGATTTGGGGTACACGGAGCATTCCTCGAGTTGCTGTGCTGAAGTTGGTGTTCCTCTAGACTTGGGACAGTGTTCTCGGGGCATCTCTGGAGTTGCCTGAAGGAAGTCGAGCCACCGGTCGTGTTGAATGGGGAACGGGGAATGGCTCTGGAGTCAATGCAGGGGAATCGGGCCTCATCTCGAGTTGATTTGGGGCACATGGAGCTGCTTTGCGTTGCTGGGGTGACCTCAGGGTCCGTCTAGACTGGTGACAGTGTTCTTGGGGACTGTCTCGAGATCCATTAAGCAAGTCGAAGCTCCTGACTTGTTTGAATGAGGTCACGGAATAGCTCTGCATGCACTGCAGGGGAATGGGGCCTCATCTCGCCTCTAGGGGGAAGTCTCATGGTTTTTCTCGAGTTGCGGCGGGGACCTGGGGTATGTTCTCGACTTACGGCGGGGATGGCCCTTCAAAACACGAGTTTCTTCAGTGACGTCAGGACTCCTGTCTAGTAACGAGGGACACCTCAGGAATCTCTTCGAGGCTTGGCAGGGCCAAAGGGACGCTTCTCGAGGTGAGGCAGGGCACCCAAGGACCCTTTCCAGTAGCCACAGGGATTTTGGGATTCCTATCAGTATTCAAGAGGAGTCAGGCATCGTCACCTTTTGAAGCAATGAACTCCGCGTGCCTCTCGAGGTGTCAGCGGGATGTGAGGCATTCCGTCAAAATGAGGCAGGGACCTAGGGCTTTCTCTAAGGTCTCCACAGGGGATTCAGACATCCCTTCATGTTGTGAGATGAAAGACGAGCCTGTATTCAAGCCACTGCAAGGAAATCCGGCCTCCTTTCAAGTTAGGGCTTCTCGCTGTATATTGCCCTTGAGGCAGCAAACTCGGGATCCCTCCCACATACCTATTGCTGAGAGAAGCCTCCTCCTGAGGTGCTTCTGGGAAGTTGGCATACGTCTTGAGCCTAAGCCAGGGAATCTGCTCGCATCTCGAGACGATTTGGGGTACACGGAGCATTCCTCGAGTTGCTGTGCTGAAGTTGGTGTTCCTCTAGACTTGGGACAGTGTTCTCGGGGCATCTCTGGAGTTGCCTGAAGGAAGTCGAGCCACCGGTCGTGTTGAATGGGGAACGGGGAATGGCTCTGGAGTCAATGCAGGGGAATCGGGCCTCATCTCGAGTTGATTTGGGGCACATGGAGCTGCTTTGCGTTGCTGGGGTGACCTCAGGGTCCGTCTAGACTGGTGACAGTGTTCTTGGGGACTGTCTCGAGATCCATTAAGCAAGTCGAAGCTCCTGACTTGTTTGAATGGGGTCACGGAATAGCTCTGCATGCACTGCAGGGGAATGGGGCCTCATCTCGCCTCTAGGGGGAAGTCTCATGGTTTTTCTCGAGTTGCGGCGGGGACCTGGGGTATGTTCTCGACTTACGGCGGGGATGGCCCTTCAAAACACGAGTTTCTTCAGTGACGTCAGGACTCCTGTCTAGTAACGAGGGACACCTCAGGAATCTCTTCGAGGCTTGGCAGGGCCAAAGGGACGCTTCTCGAGGTGAGGCAGGGCACCCAAGGACCCTTTCCAGTAGCCACAGGGATTTTGGGATTCCTATCAGTATTCAAGAGGAGTCAGGCATCGTCACCTTTAGAAGCAATGAACTCCGCGTGCCTCTCGAGGTGTCAGCGGGATGTGAGGCATTCCGTCAAAATGAGGCAGGGACCTAGGGCTTTCTCTAAGGTCTCCACAGGGGATTCAGACAGCCCTTCATGTTGTGAGATGAAAGACGAGCCTGTATTCAAGCCACTGCAAGGAAATCCGGCCTCCTTTCAAGTTAGGGCTTCTCGCTGTATATTCCCCTTGAGGCAGCAAACTCGGGGTCCCTCCCACATACCTATTGCTGAGAGAAGCCTCCTCCTGAGGTGCTTCTGGGAAGTTGGCATACGTCTTGAGCCTAAGCCAGGGAATCTGCTCGCATCTCGAGACGATTTGGGGTACACGGAGCGTTCCTCGAGTTGCTGTGCTGAAGTTGGTGTTCCTCTAGACTTGGGACAGTGTTCTCGGGGCATCTCTGGAGTTGCCTGAAGGAAGTCGAGCCACCGGTCGTGTTGAATGGGGAACGGGGAATGGCTCTGGAGTCAATGCAGGGGAATCGGGCCTCATCTCGAGTTGATTTGGGGCACATGGAGCTGCTTTGCGTTGCTGGGGTGACCTCAGGGTCCGTCTAGACTGGTGACAGTGTTCTTGGGGACTGTCTCGAGATCCATTAAGCAAGTCGAAGCTCCTGACTTGTTTGAATGAGGTCACGGAATAGCTCTGCATGCACTGCAGGGGAATGGGGCCTCATCTCGCCTCTAGGGGGAATTCTCATGGTTTTTCTCGAGTTGCGGCGGGGACCTGGGGTATGTTCTCGACTTACGGCGGGGATGGCCCTTCAAAACACGAGTTTCTTCAGTGACGTCAGGACTCCTGTCTCGTAACGAGGGACACCTCAGGAATCTCTTCGAGGCTTGGCAGGGCCAAAGGGACGCTTCTCGAGGTGAGGCAGGGCACCCAAGGACCCTTTCCAGTAGCCACAGGGATTTTGGGATTCCTATCAGTATTCAAGAGGAGTCAGGCATCGTCACCTTTTGAAGCAATGAACTCCGCGTGCCTCTCGAGGTGTCAGCGGGATGTGAGGCATTCCGTCAAAATGAGGCAGGGACCTAGGGCTTTCTCTAAGGTCTCCACAGGGGATTCAGACATCCCTTCATGTTGTGAGATGAAAGACGAGCCTGTATTCAAGCCACTGCAAGGAAATCCGTCCTCCTTTCAAGTTAGGGCTTCTCGCTGTATATTCCCCTTGAGGCAGCAAACTCGGGGTCCCTCCCACATACCTATTGCTGAGAGAAGCCTCCTCCTGAGGTGCTTCTGGGAAGTTGGCATACGTCTTGAGCCTAAGCCAGGGAATCAGCTCGCATCTCGAGACGATTTGGGGTAGACGGAGCATTCCTCGAGTTGCTGGGCTGAAGTTGGTGTTCCTCTAGACTTGGGACAGTGTTCTCGGGGCATCTCTCGAGTTGCCTGAAGGAAGTCGAGCCACCGGTCGTGTTGAATGGGGAACGGGGAATGGCTCTGGAGTCAATGCAGGGGAATCGGGCCTCATCTCGAGTTGATTTGGGGCACATGGAGCTGCTTTGCGTTGCTGGGGTGACCTCAGGGTCCGTCTAGACTGGTGACAGTGTTCTTGGGGACTGTCTCGAGAACCATTAAGCAAGTCGAAGCTCCTGACTTGTTTGAATGGGGTCACGGAATAGCTCTGCATGCACTGCAGGGGAATGGGGCCTCATCTCGCCTCTAGGGGGAAGTCTCATCGTTTTTCTCGAGTTGCGGCGGGGACCTGGGGTATGTTCTCGACTTACGGCGGGGATGGCCCTTCAAAACACGAGTTTCTTCAGTGACGTCAGGACTCCTGTCTAGTAACGAGGGACACCTCAGGAATCTCTTCGAGGCTTGGCAGGGCCAAAGGGACGCTTCTCGAGGTGAGGCAGGGCACCCAAGGACCCTTTCCAGTAGCCACAGGGATTTTGGGATTCCTATCAGTATTCAAGAGGAGTCAGGCATCGTCACCTTTTGAAGCAATGAACTCCGCGTGCCTCTCGAGGTGTCAGCGGGATGTGAGGCATTCCGTCAAAATGAGGCAGGGACCTAGGGCTTTCTCTAAGGTCTCCACAGGGGATTCAGACAGCCCTTCATGTTGTGAGATGAAAGACGAGCCTGTATTCAAGCCACTGCAAGGAAATCCGGCCTCCTTTCAAGTTAGGGCTTCTCGCTGTATATTCCCCTTGAGGCAGCAAACTCGGGGTCCCTCCCACATACCTATTGCTGAGAGAAGCCTCCTCCTGAGGTGCTTCTGGGAAGTTGGCGTACGTCTTGAGCCTAAGCCAGGGAATCAGCTCGCATCTCGAGACGATTTGGGGTACACGGAGCATTCCTCGAGTTGCTGTGCTGAAGTTGGTGTTCCTCTAGACTTGGGACAGTGTTCTCGGGGCATCTCTGGAGTTGCCTGAAGGAAGTCGAGCCACCGGTCGTGTTGAATGGGGAACGGGGAATGGCTCTGGACTCAGTGCAGGGGAATCGGGCCTCATCTCGAGTTGATTTGGGGCACATGGAGCTGCTTTGCGTTGCTGGGGTGACCTCAGGGTCCGTCTAGACTGGTGACAGTGTTCTTGGGGACTGTCTCGAGATCCATTAAGCAAGTCGAAGCTCCTGACTTGTTTGAATGGGGTCACGGAATAGCTCTGCATGCACTGCAGGGGAATGGGGCCTCATCTCGCCTCTAGGGGGAAGTCTCATGGTTTTTCTCGAGTTGCGGCGGGGACCTGGGGTATATTCTCGACTTACGGCGGGGATGGCCCTTCAAAACACGAGTTTCTTCAGTGACGTCAGGACTCCTGTCTCGTAACGAGGGACACCTCAGGAATCTCTTCGAGGCTTGGCAGGGCCAAAGGGACGCTTCTCGAGGTGAGGCAGGGCACCCAAGGACCCTTTCCAGTAGCCACAGGGATTTTGGGATTCCTATCAGTATTCAAGAGGAGTCAGGCATCGTCACCTTTTGAAGCAATGAACTCCGCGTGCCTCTCGAGGTGTCAGCGGGATGTGAGGCATTCCGTCAAAATGAGGCAGGGACCTAGGGCTTTCTCTAAGGTCTCCACAGGGGATTCAGACATCCCTTCATGTTGTGAGATGAAAGACGAGCCTGTATTCAAGCCACTGCAAGGAAATCCGTCCTCCTTTCAAGTTAGGGCTTCTCGCTGTATATTCCCCTTGAGGCAGCAAACTCGGGGTCCCTCCCACATACCTATTGCTGAGAGAAGCCTCCTCCTGAGGTGCTTCTGGGAAGTTGGCATACGTCTTGAGCCTAAGCCAGGGAATCAGCTCGCATCTCGAGACGATTTGGGGTAGACGGAGCATTCCTCGAGTTGCTGGGCTGAAGTTGGTGTTCCTCTAGACTTGGGACAGTGTTCTCGGGGCATCTCTCGAGTTGCCTGAAGGAAGTCGAGCCACCGGTCGTGTTGAATGGGGAACGGGGAATGGCTCTGGAGTCAATGCAGGGGAATCGGGCCTCATCTCGAGTTGATTTGGGGCACATGGAGCTGCTTTGCGTTGCTGGGGTGACCTCAGGGTCCGTCTAGACTGGTGACAGTGTTCTTGGGGACTGTCTCGAGAACCATTAAGCAAGTCGAAGCTCCTGACTTGTTTGAATGGGATCACGGAATAGCTCTGCATGCACTGCAGGGGAATGGGGCCTCATCTCGCCTCTAGGGGGAAGTCTCATCGTTTTTCTCGAGTTGCGGCGGGGACCTGGGGTATGTTCTCGACTTACGGCGGGGATGGCCCTTCAAAACACGAGTTTCTTCAGTGACGTCAGGACTCCTGTCTCGTAACGAGGGACACCTCAGGAATCTCTTCGAGGCTTGGCAGGGCCAAAGGGACGCTTCTCGAGGTGAGGCAGGGCACCCAAGGACCCTTTCCAGTAGCCACAGGGATTTTGGGATTCCTATCAGTATTCAAGAGGAGTCAGGCATCGTCACCTTTTGAAGCAATGAACTCCGCGTGCCTCTCGAGGTGTCAGCGGGATGTGAGGCATTCCGTCAAAATGAGGCAGGGACCTAGGGCTTTCTCTAAGGTCTCCACAGGGGATTCAGACATCCCTTCATGTTGTGAGATGAAAGACGAGCCTGTATTCAAGCCACTGCAAGGAAATCCGTCCTCCTTTCAAGTTAGGGCTTCTCGCTGTATATTCCCCTTGAGGCAGCAAACTCGGGGTCCCTCCCACATACCTATTGCTGAGAGAAGCCTCCTCCTGAGGTGCTTCTGGGAAGTTGGCATACGTCTTGAGCCTAAGCCAGGGAATCAGCTCGCATCTCGAGACGATTTGGGGTAGACGGAGCATTCCTCGAGTTGCTGGGCTGAAGTTGGTGTTCCTCTAGACTTGGGACAGTGTTCTCGGGGCATCTCTCGAGTTGCCTGAAGGAAGTCGAGCCACCGGTCGTGTTGAATGGGGAACGGGGAATGGCTCTGGAGTCAATGCAGGGGAATCGGGCCTCATCTCGAGTTGATTTGGGGCACATGGAGCTGCTTTGCGTTGCTGGGGTGACCTCAGGGTCCGTCTAGACTGGTGACAGTGTTCTTGGGGACTGTCTCGAGAACCATTAAGCAAGTCGAAGCTCCTGACTTGTTTGAATGGGATCACGGAATAGCTCTGCATGCACTGCAGGGGAATGGGGCCTCATCTCGCCTCTAGGGGGAAGTCTCATCGTTTTTCTCGAGTTGCGGCGGGGACCTGGGGTATGTTCTCGACTTACGGCGGGGATGGCCCTTCAAAACACGAGTTTCTTCAGTGACGTCAGGACTCCTGTCTAGTAACGAGGGACACCTCAGGAATCTCTTCGAGGCTTGGCAGGGCCAAAGGGACGCTTCTCGAGGTGAGGCAGGGCACCCAAGGACCCTTTCCAGTAGCCACAGGGATTTTGGGATTCCTATCAGTATTCAAGAGGAGTCAGGCATCGTCACCTTTTGAAGCAATGAACTCCGCGTGCCTCTCGAGGTGTCAGGGGGATGTGAGGCATTCCGTCAAAATGAGGCAGGGACCTAGGGCTTTCTCTAAGTTCTCCACAGGGGATTCAGACATCCCTTCATGTTGTGAGATGAAAGACGAGCCTGTATTCAAGCCACTGCAAGGAAATCCGGCCTCCTTTCAAGTTAGGGCTTCTCGCTGTATATTCCCCTTGAGGCAGCAAACTCGGGGTCCCTCCCACATACCTATTGCTGAGAGAAGCCTCCTCCTGAGGTGCTTCTGGGAAGTTGGCGTACGTCTTGAGCCTAAGCCAGGGAATCAGCTCGCATCTCGAGACGATTTGGGGTACACGGAGCATTCCTCGAGTTGCTGTGCTGAAGTTGGTGTTCCTCTAGACTTGGGACAGTGTTCTCGGGGCATCTCTGGAGTTGCCTGAAGGAAGTCGAGCCACCGGTCGTGTTGAATGGGGAACGGGGAATGGCTCTGGAGTCAGTGCAGGGGAATCGGGCCTCATCTCGAGTTGATTTGGGGCACATGGAGCTGCTTTGCGTTGCTGGGGTGACCTCAGGGTCCGTCTAGACTGGTGACAGTGTTCTTGGGGACTGTCTCGAGATCCATTAAGCAAGTCGAAGCTCCTGACTTGTTTGAATGGGGTCACGGAATAGCTCTGCATGCACTGCAGGGGAATGGGGCCTCATCTCGCCTCTAGGGGGAAGTCTCATGGTTTTTCTCGAGTTGCGGCGGGGACCTGGGGTATGTTCTCGACTTACGGCGGGGATGGCCCTTCAAAACACGAGTTTCTTCAGTGACGTCAGGACTCCTGTCTAGTAACGAGGGACACCTCAGGAATCTCTTCGAGGCTTGGCAGGGCCAAAGGGACGCTTCTCGAGGTGAGGCAGGGCACCCAAGGACCCTTTCCAGTAGCCACAGGGATTTTGGGATTCCTATCAGTATTCAAGAGGAGTCAGGCATCGTCACCTTTTGAAGCAATGAACTCCGCGTGCCTCTCGAGGTGTCAGCGGGATGTGAGGCATTCCGTCAAAATGAGGCAGGGACCTAGGGCTTTCTCTAAGGTCTCCACAGGGGATTCAGACATCCCTTCATGTTGTGAGATGAAAGACGAGCCTGTATTCAAGCCACTGCAAGGAAATCCGGCCTCCTTTCAAGTTAGGGCTTCTCGCTGTATATTCCCCTTGAGGCAGCAAACTCGGGGTCCCTCCCACATACCTATTGCTGAGAGAAGCCTCCTCCTGAGGTGCTTCTGGGAAGTTGGCATACGTCTTGAGCCTAAGCCAGGGAATCAGCTCGCATCTCGAGACGACTTGGGGTACACGGAGCATTCCTCGAGTTGCTGTGCTGAAGTTGGTGTTCCTCTAGACTTGGGACAGTGTTCTCGGGGCATCTCTGGAGTTGCCTGAAGGAAGTCGAGCCACCGGTCGTGTTGAATGGGGAACGGGGAATGGCTCTGGAGTCAGTGCAGGGGAATCGGGCCTCATCTCGAGTTGATTTGGGGCACATGGAGCTGCTTTGCGTTGCTGGGGTGACCTCAGGGTCCGTCTAGACTGGTGACAGTGTTCTTGGGGACTGTCTCGAGATCCATTAAGCAAGTCGAAGCTCCTGACTTGTTTGAATGGGGTCACGGAATAGCTCTGCATGCACTGCAGGGGAATGGGGCCTCATCTCGCCTCTAGGGGGAAGTCTCATGGTTTTTCTCGAGTTGCGGCGGGGACCTGGGGTATGTTCTCGACTTACGGCGGGGATGGCCCTTCAAAACACGAGTTTCTTCAGTGACGTCAGGACTCCTGTCTAGTAACGAGGGACACCTCAGGAATCTCTTCGAGGCTTGGCAGGGCCAAAGGGACGCTTCTCAAGGTGAGGCAGGGCACCCAAGGACCCTTTCCAGTAGCCACAGGGATTTTGGGATTCCTATCAGTATTCAAGAGGAGTCAGGCATCGTCACCTTTTGAAGCAATGAACTCCGCGTGCCTCTCGAGGTGTCAGCGGGATGTGAGGCATTCCGTCAAAATGAGGCAGGGACCTAGGGCTTTCTCTAAGGTCTCCACAGGGGATTCAGACATCCCTTCATGTTGTGAGATGAAAGACGAGCCTGTATTCAAGCCACTGCAAGGAAATCCGGCCTCCTTTCAAGTTAGGGCTTCTCGCTGTATATTCCCCTTGAGGCAGCAAACTCGGGGTCCCTCCCACATACCTATTGCTGAGAGAAGCCTCCTCCTGAGGTGCTTCTGGGAAGTTGGCATACGTCTTGAGCCTAAGCCAGGGAATCAGCTCGCATCTCGAGACGATTTGGGGTACACGGAGCATTCCTCGAGTTGCTGTGCTGAAGTTGGTGTTCCTCTAGACTTGGGACAGTGTTCTCGGGGCATCTCTGGAGTTGCCTGAAGGAAGTCGAGCCACCGGTCGTGTTGAATGGGGAACGGGGAATGGCTCTGGAGTCAATGCAGGGGAATCGGGCCTCATCTCGAGTTGATTTGGGGCACATGGAGCTGCTTTGCGTTGCTGGGGTGACCTCAGGGTCCGTCTAGACTGGTGACAGTGTTCTTGGGGACTGTCTCGAGATCCATTAAGCAAGTCGAAGCTCCTGACTTGTTTGAATGGGATCACGGAATAGCTCTGCATGCACTGCAGGGGAATGGGGCCTCATCTCGCCTCTAGGGGGAAGTCTCATGGTTTTTCTCGAGTTGCGGCGGGGACCTGGGGTATGTTCTCGACTTACGGCGGGGATGGCCCTTCAAAACACGAGTTTCTTCAGTGACGTCAGGACTCCTGTCTAGTAACGAGGGACACCTCAGGAATCTCTTCGAGGCTTGGCAGGGCCAAAGGGACGCTTCTCGAGGTGAGGCAGGGAACCCAAGGACCCTTTCCAGTAGCCACAGGGATTTTGGGATTCCTATCAGTATTCAAGAGGAGTCAGGCATCGTCACCTTTTGAAGCAATGAACTCCGCGTGCCTCTCGAGGTGTCAGCGGGATGTGAGGCATTCCGTCAAAATGAGGCAGGGACCTAGGGCTTTCTCTAAGGTCTCCACAGGGGATTCAGACATCCCTTCATGTTGTGAGATGAAAGACGAGCCTGTATTCAAGCCACTGCAAGGAAATCCGGCCTCCTTTCAAGTTAGGGCTTCTCGCTGTATATTCCCCTTGAGGCAGCAAACTCGGGGTCCCTCCCACATACCTATTGCTGAGAGAAGCCTCCTCCTGAGGTGCTTCTGGGAAGTTGGCATACGTCTTGAGCCTAAGCCAGGGAATCAGCTCGCATCTCGAGACGACTTGGGGTACACGGAGCATTCCTCGAGTTGCTGTGCTGAAGTTGGTGTTCCTCTAGACTTGGGACAGTGTTCTCGGGGCATCTCTGGAGTTGCCTGAAGGAAGTCGAGCCACCGGTCGTGTTGAATGGGGAACGGGGAATGGCTCTGGAGTCAATGCAGGGGAATCGGGCCTCATCTCGAGTTGATTTGGGGCACATGGAGCTGCTTTGCGTTGCTGGGGTGACCTCAGGGTCCGTCTAGACTGGTGACAGTGTTCTTGGGGACTGTCTCGAGATCCGTTAAGCAAGTCGAAGCTCCTGACTTGTTTGAATGGGATCACGGAATAGCTCTGCATGCACTGCAGGGGAATGGGGCCTCATCTCGCCTCTAGGGGGAAGTCTCATGGTTTTTCTCGAGTTGCGGCGGGGACCTGGGGTATGTTCTCGACTTACGGCGGGGATGGCCCTTCAAAACACGAGTTTCTTCAGTGACGTCAGGACTCCTGTCAAGTAACGAGGGACACCTCAGGAATCTCTTCGAGGCTTGGCAGGGCCAAAGGGACGCTTCTCGAGGTGAGGCAGGGCACCCAAGGACCCTTTCCAGTAGCCACAGGGATTTTGGGATTCCTATCAGTATTCAAGAGGAGTCAGGCATCGTCACCTTTTGAAGCAATGAACTCCACGTGCCTCTCGAGGTGTCAGCGGGATGTGAGGCATTCCGTCAAAATGAGGCAGGGACCTAGGGCTTTCTCTAAGGTCTCCACAGGGGATTCAGACATCCCTTCATGTTGTGAGATGAAAGACGAGCCTGTATTCAAGCCACTGCAAGGAAATCCGGCCTCCTTTCAAGTTAGGGCTTCTCGCTGTATATTCCCCTTGAGGCAGCAAACTCGGGGTCCCTCCCACATACCTATTGCTGAGAGAAGCCCCCTCCTGAGGTGCTTCTGGGAAGTTGGCATACGTCTTGAGCCTAAGCCAGGGAATCAGCTCGCATCTCGAGACGATTTGGGGTACACGGAGCATTCCTCGAGTTGCTGTGCTGAAGTTGGTGTTCCTCTAGACTTGGGACAGTGTTCTCGGGGCATCTCTGGAGTTGCCTGAAGGAAGTCGAGCCACCGGTCGTGTTGAATGGGGAACGGGGAATGGCTCTGGAGTCAATGCAGGGGAATCGGGCCTCATCTCGAGTTGATTTGGGGCACATGGAGCTGCTTTGCGTTGCTGGGGTGACCTCAGGGTCCGTCTAGACTGGTGACAGTGTTCTTGGGGACTGTCTCGAGATCCATTAAGCAAGTCGAAGCTCCTGACTTGTTTGAATGGGGTCACGGAATAGCTCTGCATGCACTGCAGGGGAATGGGGCCTCATCTCGCCTCTAGGGGGAAGTCTCATGGTTTTTCTCGAGTTGCGGCGGGGACCTGGGGTATGTTCTCGACTTACGGCGGGGATGGCCCTTCAAAACACGAGTTTCTTCAGTGACGTCAGGACTCCTGTCTCGTAACGAGGGACACCTCAGGAATCTCTTCGAGGCTTGGCAGGGCCAAAGGGACGCTTCTCGAGGTGAGGCAGGGCACCCAAGGACCCTTTCCAGTAGCCACAGGGATTTTGGGATTCCTATCAGTATTCAAGAGGAGTCAGGCATCGTCACCTTTTGAAGCAATGAACTCCGCGTGCCTCTCGAGGTGTCAGCGGGATGTGAGGCATTCCGTCAAAATGAGGCAGGGACCTAGGGCTTTCTCTAAGGTCTCCACAGGGGATTCAGACATCCCTTCATGTTGTGAGATGAAAGACGAGCCTGTATTCAAGCCACTGCAAGGAAATCCGGCCTCCTTTCTAGTTAGGGCTTCTCGCTGTATATTCCCCTTGAGGCAGCAAACTCGGGGTCCCTCCCACATACCTATTGCTGAGAGAAGCCTCCTCCTGAGGTGCTTCTGGGAAGTTGGCATACGTCTTGAGCCTAAGCCAGGGAATCAGCTCGCATCTCGAGACGATTTGGGGTACACGGAGCATTCCTCGAATTGCTGTGCTGAAGTTGGTGTTCCTCTAGACTTGGGACAGTGTTCTCGGGGCATCTCTGGAGTTGCCTGAAGGAAGTCGAGCCACCGGTCGTGTTGAATGGGGAACGGGAAATGGCTCTGGAGTCAGTGCAGGGGAATCGGGCCTCATCTCGAGTTGATTTGGGGCACATGGAGCTGCTTTGCATTGCTGGGGTGACCTCAGGGTCCGTCTAGACTGGTGACAGTGTTCTTGGGGACTGTCTCGAGATCCATTAAGCAAGTCGAAGCTCCTGACTTGTTTGAATGGGGTCACGGAATAGCTCTGCATGCACTGCAGGGGAATGGGGCCTCATCTCGCCTCTAGGGGGAAGTCTCATGGTTTTTCTCGAGTTGCGGCGGGGACCTGGGGTATGTTCTCGACTTACGGCGGGGATGGCCCTTCAAAACACGAGTTTCTTCAGTGACGTCAGGACTCCTGTCTAGTAACGAGGGACACCTCAGGAATCTCTTCGAGGCTTGGCAGGGCCAAAGGGACGCTTCTCGAGGTGAGGCAGGGCACCCAAGGACCCTTTCCAGTAGCCACAGGGATTTTGGGATTCCTATCAGTATTCAAGAGGAGTCAGGCATCGTCACCTTTTGAAGCAATGAACTCCGCGTGCCTCTCGAGGTGTCAGCGGGATGTGAGGCATTCCGTCAAAATGAGGCAGGGACCTAGGGCTTTCTCTAAGGTCTCCACAGGGGATTCAGACATCCCTTCATGTTGTGAGATGAAAGACGAGCCTGTATTCAAGCCACTGCAAGGAAATCCGGCCTCCTTTCAAGTTAGGGCTTCTCGCTGTATATTCCCCTTGAGGCAGCAAACTCGGGGTCCCTCCCACATACCTATTGCTGAGAGAAGCCTCCTCCTGAGGTGCTTCTGGGAAGTTGGCATACGTCTTGAGCCTAAGCCAGGGAATCAGCTCGCATCTCGAGACGATTTGGGGTACACGGAGCATTCCTCGAGTTGCTGTGCTGAAGTTGGTGTTCCTCTAGACTTGGGACAGTGTTCTCGGGGCATCTCTGGAGTTGCCTGAAGGAAGTCGAGCCACCGGTCGTGTTGAATGGGGAACGGGGAATGGCTCTGGAGTCAATGCAGGGGAATCGGGCCTCATCTCGAGTTGATTTGGGGCACATGGAGCTGCTTTGCGTTGCTGGGGTGACCTCAGGGTCCGTCTAGACTGGTGACAGTGTTCTTGGGGACTGTCTCGAGATCCATTAAGCAAGTCGAAGCTCCTGACTTGTTTGAATGGGGTCACGGAATAGCTCTGCATGCACTGCAGGGGAATGGGGCCTCATCTCGCCTCTAGGGGGAAGTCTCATGGTTTTTCTCGAGTTGCGGCGGGGACCTGGGGTATGTTCTCGACTTACGGCGGGGATGGCCCTTCAAAACACGAGTTTCTTCAGTACGTCAGGACTCCTGTCTAGTAACGAGGGACACCTCAGGAATCTCTTCGAGGCTTGGCAGGGCCAAAGGGACGCTTCTCGAGGTGAGGCAGGGCACCCAAGGACCCTTTCCAGTAGCCACAGGGATTTTGGGATTCCTATCAGTATTCAAGAGGAGTCAGGCATCGTCACCTTTTGAAGCAATGAACTCCGCGTGCCTCTCGAGGTGTCAGCGGGATGTGAGGCATTCCGTCAAAATGAGGCAGGGACCTAGGGCTTTCTCTAAGGTCTCCACAGGGGATTCAGACATCCCTTCATGTTGTGAGATGAAAGACGAGCCTGTATTCAAGCCACTGCAAGGAAATCCGGCCTCCTTTCAAGTTAGGGCTTCTCGCTGTATATTCCCCTTGAGGCAGCAAACTCGGGGTCCCTCCCACATACCTATTGCTGAGAAAAGCCTCCTCCTGAGGTGCTTCTGGGAAGTTGGCATACGTCTTGAGCCTAAGCCAGGGAATCAGCTCGCATCTCGAGACGATTTGGGGTAGACGGAGCATTCCTCGAGTTGCTGGGCTGAAGTTGGTGTTCCTCTAGACTTGGGACAGTGTTCTCGGGGCATCTCTGGAGTTGCCTGAAGGAAGTCGAGCCACCGGTCGTGTTGAATGGGGAACGGGGAATGGCTCTGGAGTCAATGCAGGGGAATCGGGCCTCATCTCGAGTTGATTTGGGGCACATGGAGCTGCTTTGCGTTGCTGGGGTGACCTCAGGGTCCGTCTAGACTGGTGACAGTGTTCTTGGGGACTGTCTCGAGAACCATTAAGCAAGTCGAAGCTCCTGACTTGTTTGAATGGGATCACGGAATAGCTCTGCATGCACTGCAGGGGAATGGGGCCTCATCTCGCCTCTAGGGGGAAGTCTCATCGTTTTTCTCGAGTTGCGGCGGGGACCTGGGGTATGTTCTCGACTTACGGCGGGGATGGCCCTTCAAAACACGAGTTTCTTCAGTGACGTCAGGACTCCTGTCTAGTAACGAGGGACACCTCAGGAATCTCTTCGAGGCTTGGCAGGGCCAAAGGGACGCTTCTCGAGGTGAGGCAGGGCACCCAAGGACCCTTTCCAGTAGCCACAGGGATTTTGGGATTCCTATCAGTATTCAAGAGGAGTCAGGCATCGTCACCTTTTGAAGCAATGAACTCCGCGTGCCTCTCGAGGTGTCAGCGGGATGTGAGGCATTCCGTCAAAATGAGGCAGGGACCTAGGGCTTTCTCTAAGTTCTCCACAGGGGATTCAGACATCCCTTCATGTTGTGAGATGAAAGACGAGCCTGTATTCAAGCCACTGCAAGGAAATCCGGCCTCCTTTCAAGTTAGGGCTTCTCGCTGTATATTCCCCTTGAGGCAGCAAACTCGGGGTCCCTCCCACATACCTATTGCTGAGAGAAGCCTCCTCCTGAGGTGCTTCTGGGAAGTTGGCGTACGTCTTGAGCCTAAGCCAGGGAATCAGCTCGCATCTCGAGACGATTTGGGGTACACGGAGCATTCCTCGAGTTGCTGTGCTGAAGTTGGTGTTCCTCTAGACTTGGGACAGTGTTCTCGGGGCATCTCTGGAGTTGCCTGAAGGAAGTCGAGCCACCGGTCGTGTTGAATGGGGAACGGGGAATGGCTCTGGAGTCAGTGCAGGGGAATCGGGCCTCATCTCGAGTTGATTTGGGGCACATGGAGCTGCTTTGCGTTGCTGGGGTGACCTCAGGGTCCGTCTAGACTGGTGACAGTGTTCTTGGGGACTGTCTCGAGATCCATTAAGCAAGTCGAAGCTCCTGACTTGTTTGAATGGGGTCACGGAATAGCTCTGCATGCACTGCAGGGGAATGGGGCCTCATCTCGCCTCTAGGGGGAAGTCTCATGGTTTTTCTCGAGTTGTGGCGGGGACCTGGGGTATGTTCTCGACTTACGGCGGGGATGGCCCTTCAAAACACGAGTTTCTTCAGTGACGTCAGGACTCCTGTCTAGTAACGAGGGACACCTCAGGAATCTCTTCGAGGCTTGGCAGGGCCAAAGGGACGCTTCTCGAGGTGAGGCAGGGCACCCAAGGACCCTTTCCAGTAGCCACAGGGATTTTGGGATTCCTATCAGTATTCAAGAGGAGTCAGGCATCGTCACCTTTTGAAGCAATGAACTCCGCGTGCCTCTCGAGGTGTCAGCGGGATGTGAGGCATTCCGTCAAAATGAGGCAGGGACCTAGGGCTTTCTCTAAGGTCTCCACAGGGGATTCAGACATCCCTTCATGTTGTGAGATGAAAGACGAGCCTGTATTCAAGCCACTGCAAGGAAATCCGGCCTCCTTTCAAGTTAGGGCTTCTCGCTGTATATTCCCCTTGAGGCAGCAAACTCGGGGTCCCTCCCACATACCTATTGCTGAGAGAAGCCTCCTCCTGAGGTGCTTCTGGGAAATTGGCATACGTCTTGAGCCTAAGCCAGGGAATCAGCTCGCATTTCGAGACGATTTGGGGTACACGGAGCATTCCTCGAGTTGCTGTGCTGAAGTTGGTGTTCCTCTAGACTTGGGACAGTGTTCTCGGGGCATCTCTGGAGTTGCCTGAAGGAAGTCGAGCCACCGGTCGTGTTGAATGGGGAACGGGGAATGGCTCTGGAGTCAATGCAGGGGAATCGGGCCTCATCTCGAGTTGATTTGGGGCACATGGAGCTGCTTTGCGTTGCTGGGGTGACCTCAGGGTCCGTCTAGACTGGTGACAGTGTTCTTGGGGACTGTCTCGAGATCCATTAAGCAAGTCGAAGCTCCTGACTTGTTTGAATGGGATCACGGAATAGCTCTGCATGCACTGCAGGGGAATGGGGCCTCATCTCGCCTCTAGGGGGAAGTCTCATGGTTTTTCTCGAGTTGCGGCGGGGACCTGGGGTATGTTCTCGACTTACGGCGGGGATGGCCCTTCAAAACACGAGTTACTTCAGTGACGTCAGGACTCGTGTCTCGTAACGAGGGACACCTCAGGAATCTCTTCGAGGCTTGGCAGGGCCAAAGGGACGCTTCTCGAGGTGAGGCAGGGCACCCAAGGACCCTTTCCAGTAGCCACAGGGATTTTGGGATTCCTATCAGTATTCAAGAGGAGTCAGGCATCGTCACCTTTTGAAGCAATGAACTCCGCGTGCCTCTCGAGGTGTCAGCGGGATGTGAGGCATTCCGTCAAAATGAGGCAGGGACCTAGGGCTTTCTCTAAGGTCTCCACAGGGGATTCAGACATCCCTTCATGTTGTGAGATGAAAGACGAGCCTGTATTCAAGCCACTGCAAGGAAATCCGGCCTCCTTTCAAGTTAGGGCTTCTCGCTGTATATTCCCCTTGAGGCAGCAAACTCGGGGTCCCTCCCACATACCTATTGCTGAGAGAAGCCTCCTCCTGAGGTGCTTCTGGGAAGTTGGCATACGTCTTGAGCCTAAGCCAGGGAATCAGCTCGCATCTCGAGACGACTTGGGGTACACGGAGCATTCCTCGAGTTGCTGTGCTGAAGTTGGTGTTCCTCTAGACTTGGGACAGTGTTCTCGGGGCATCTCTGGAGTTGCCTGAAGGAAGTCGAGCCACCGGTCGTGTTGAATGGGGAACGGGGAATGGCTCTGGAGTCAGTGCAGGGGAATCGGGCCTCATCTCGAGTTGATTTGGGGCACATGGAGCTGCTTTGCGTTGCTGGGGTGACCTCAGGGTCCGTCTAGACTGGTGACAGTGTTCTTGGGGACTGTCTCGAGATCCATTAAGCAAGTCGAAGCTCCTGACTTGTTTGAATGGGGTCACGGAATAGCTCTGCATGCACTGCAGGGGAATGGGGCCTCATCTCGCCTCTAGGGGGAAGTCTCATGGTTTTTCTCGAGTTGCGGCGGGGACCTGGGGTATGTTCTCGACTTACGGCGGGGATGGCCCTTCAAAACACGAGTTTCTTCAGTGACGTCAGGACTCGTGTCTAGTAACGAGGGACACCTCAGGAATCTCTTCGAGGCTTGGCAGGGCCAAAGGGACGCTTCTCGAGGTGAGGCAGGGCACCCAAGGACCCTTTCCAGTAGCCACAGGGATTTTGGGATTCCTATCAGTATTCAAGAGGAGTCAGGCATCGTCACCTTTTGAAGCAATGAACTCCGCGTGCCTCTCGAGGTGTCAGCGGGATGTGAGGCATTCCGTCAAAATGAGGCAGGGACCTAGGGCTTTCTCTAAGGTCTCCACAGGGGATTCAGACATCCCTTCATGTTGTGAGATGAAAGACGAGCCTGTATTCAAGCCACTGCAAGGAAATCCGGCCTCCTTTCAAGTTAGGGCTTCTCGCTGTATATTCCCCTTGAGGCAGCAAACTCGGGGTCCCTCCCACATACCTATTGCTGAGAGAAGCCTCCTCCTGAGGTGCTTCTGGGAAGTTGGCATACGTCTTGAGCCTAAGCCAGGGAATCAGCTCGCATCTCGAGACGATTTGGGGTACACGGAGCATTCCTCGAGTTGCTGTGCTGAAGTTGGTGTTCCTCTAGACTTGGGACAGTGTTCTCGGGGCATCTCTGGAGTTGCCTGAAGGAAGTCGAGCCACCGGTCGTGTTGAATGGGGAACGGGGAATGGCTCTGGAGTCAATGCAGGGGAATCGGGCCTCATCTCGAGTTGATTTGGGGCACATGGAGCTGCTTTGCGTTGCTGGGGTGACCTCAGGGTCCGTCTAGACTGGTGACAGTGTTCTTGGGGACTGTCTCGAGATCCATTAAGCAAGTCGAAGCTCCTGACTTGTTTGAATGGGATCACGGAATAGCTCTGCATGCACTGCAGGGGAATGGGGCCTCATCTCGCCTCTAGGGGGAAGTCTCATGGTTTTTCTCGAGTTGCGGCGGGGACCTGGGGTATGTTCTCGACTTACGGCGGGGATGGCCCTTCAAAACACGAGTTTCTTCAGTGACGTCAGGACTCCTGTCTAGTAACGAGGGACACCTCAGGAATCTCTTCGAGGCTTGGCAGGGCCAAAGGGACGCTTCTCGAGGTGAGGCAGGGCACCCAAGGACCCTTTCCAGTAGCCACAGGGATTTTGGGATTCCTATCAGTATTCAAGAGGAGTCAGGCATCGTCACCTTTTGAAGCAATGAACTCCGCGTGCCTCTCGAGGTGTCAGCGGGATGTGAGGCATTCCGTCAAAATGAGGCAGGGACCTAGGGCTTTCTCTAAGGTCTCCACAGGGGATTCAGACATCCCTTCATGTTGTGAGATGAAAGACGAGCCTGTATTCAAGCCACTGCAAGGAAATCCGGCCTCCTTTCAAGTTAGGGCTTCTCGCTGTATATTCCCCTTGAGGCAGCAAACTCGGGGTCCCTCCCACATACCTATTGCTGAGAGAAGCCTCCTCCTGAGGTGCTTCTGGGAAGTTGGCATACGTCTTGAGCCTAAGCCAGGGAATCAGCTCGCATCTCGAGACGATTTGGGGTACACGGAGCATTCCTCGAGTTGCTGTGCTGAAGTTGGTGTTCCTCTAGACTTGGGACAGTGTTCTCGGGGCATCTCTGGAGTTGCCTGAAGGAAGTCGAGCCACCGGTCGTGTTGAATGGGGAACGGGGAATGGCTCTGGAGTCAATGCAGGGGAATCGGGCCTCATCTCGAGTTGATTTGGGGCACATGGAGCTGCTTTGCGTTGCTGGGGTGACGTCAGGGTCCGTCTAGACTGGTGACAGTGTTCTTGGGGACTGTCTCGAGATCCATTAAGCAAGTCGAAGCTCCTGACTTGTTTGAATGGGATCACGGAATAGCTCTGCATGCACTGCAGGGGAATGGGGCCTCATCTCGCCTCTAGGGGGAAGTCTCATGGTTTTTCTCGAGTTGCGGCGGGGACCTGGGGTATGTTCTCGACTTACGGCGGGGATGGCCCTTCAAAACACGAGTTTCTTCAGTGACGTCAGGACTCCTGTCAAGTAACGAGGGACACCTCAGGAATCTCTTCGAGGCTTGGCAGGGCCAAAGGGACGCTTCTCGAGGTGAGGCAGGGCACCCAAGGACCCTTTCCAGTAGCCACAGGGATTTTGGGATTCCTATCAGTATTCAAGAGGAGTCAGGCATCGTCACCTTTTGAAGCAATGAACTCCACGTGCCTCTCGAGGTGTCAGCGGGATGTGAGGCATTCCGTCAAAATGAGGCAGGGACCTAGGGCTTTCTCTAAGGTCTCCACAGGGGATTCAGACATCCCTTCATGTTGTGAGATGAAAGACGAGCCTGTATTCAAGCCACTGCAAGGAAATCCGGCCTCCTTTCAAGTTAGGGCTTCTCGCTGTATATTCCCCTTGAGGCAGCAAACTCGGGGTCCCTCCCACATACCTATTGCTGAGAGAAGCCCCCTCCTGAGGTGCTTCTGGGAAGTTGGCATACGTCTTGAGCCTAAGCCAGGGAATCAGCTCGCATCTCGAGACGATTTGGGGTACACGGAGCATTCCTCGAGTTGCTGTGCTGAAGTTGGTGTTCCTCTAGACTTGGGACAGTGTTCTCGGGGCATCTCTGGAGTTGCCTGAAGGAAGTCGAGCCACCGGTCGTGTTGAATGGGGAACGGGGAATGGCTCTGGAGTCAATGCAGGGGAATCGGGCCTCCTCTCGAGTTGATTTGGGGCACATGGAGCTGCTTTGCGTTGCTGGGGTGACCTCAGGGTCCGTCTAGACTGGTGACAGTGTTCTTGGGGACTGTCTCGAGATCCATTAAGCAAGTCGAAGCTCCTGACTTGTTTGAATGGGGTCACGGAATAGCTCTGCATGCACTGCAGGGGAATGGGGCCTCATCTCGCCTCTAGGGGGAAGTCTCATGGTTTTTCTCGAGTTGCGGCGGGGACCTGGGGTATGTTCTCGACTTACGGCGGGGATGGCCCTTCAAAACACGAGTTTCTTCAGTGACGTCAGGACTCCTGTCTAGTAACGAGGGACACCTCAGGAATCTCTTCGAGGCTTGGCAGGGCCAAAGGGACGCTTCTCGAGGTGAGGCAGGGCACCCAAGGACCCTTTCCAGTAGCCACAGGGATTTTGGGATTCCTATCAGTATTCAAGAGGAGTCAGGCATCGTCACCTTTTGAAGCAATGAACTCCGCGTGCCTCTCGAGGTGTCAGCGGGATGTGAGGCATTCCGTCAAAATGAGGCAGGGACCTAGGGCTTTCTCTAAGTTCTCCACAGGGGATTCAGACATCCCTTCATGTTGTGAGATGAAAGACGAGCCTGTATTCAAGCCACTGCAAGGAAATCCGGCCTCCTTTCAAGTTAGGGCTTCTCGCTGTATATTCCCCTTGAGGCAGCAAACTCGGGGTCCCTCCCACATACCTATTGCTGAGAGAAGCCTCCTCCTGAGGTGCTTCTGGGAAGTTGGCGTACGTCTTGAGCCTAAGCCAGGGAATCAGCTCGCATCTCGAGACGATTTGGGGTACACGGAGCATTCCTCGAGTTGCTGTGCTGAAGTTGGTGTTCCTCTAGACTTGGGACAGTGTTCTCGGGGCATCTCTGGAGTTGCCTGAAGGAAGTCGAGCCACCGGTCGTGTTGAATGGGGAACGGGGAATGGCTCTGGAGTCAGTGCAGGGGAATCGGGCCTCATCTCGAGTTGATTTGGGGCACATGGAGCTGCTTTGCGTTGCTGGGGTGACCTCAGGGTCCGTCTAGACTGGTGACAGTGTTCTTGGGGACTGTCTCGAGATCCATTAAGCAAGTCGAAGCTCCTGACTTGTTTGAATGGGGTCACGGAATAGCTCTGCATGCACTGCAGGGGAATGGGGCCTCATCTCGCCTCTAGGGGGAAGTCTCATGGTTTTTCTCGAGTTGTGGCGGGGACCTGGGGTATGTTCTCGACTTACGGCGGGGATGGCCCTTCAAAACACGAGTTTCTTCAGTGACGTCAGGACTCCTGTCTAGTAACGAGGGACACCTCAGGAATCTCTTCGAGGCTTGGCAGGGCCAAAGGGACGCTTCTCGAGGTGAGGCAGGGCACCCAAGGACCCTTTCCAGTAGCCACAGGGATTTTGGGATTCCTATCAGTATTCAAGAGGAGTCAGGCATCGTCACCTTTTGAAGCAATGAACTCCGCGTGCCTCTCGAGGTGTCAGCGGGATGTGAGGCATTCCGTCAAAATGAGGCAGGGACCTAGGGCTTTCTCTAAGGTCTCCACAGGGGATTCAGACATCCCTTCATGTTGTGAGATGAAAGACGAGCCTGTATTCAAGCCACTGCAAGGAAATCCGGCCTCCTTTCAAGTTAGGGCTTCTCGCTGTATATTCCCCTTGAGGCAGCAAACTCGGGGTCCCTCCCACATACCTATTGCTGAGAGAAGCCTCCTCCTGAGGTGCTTCTGGGAAATTGGCATACGTCTTGAGCCTAAGCCAGGGAATCAGCTCGCATTTCGAGACGATTTGGGGTACACGGAGCATTCCTCGAGTTGCTGTGCTGAAGTTGGTGTTCCTCTAGACTTGGGACAGTGTTCTCGGGGCATCTCTGGAGTTGCCTGAAGGAAGTCGAGCCACCGGTCGTGTTGAATGGGGAACGGGGAATGGCTCTGGAGTCAATGCAGGGGAATCGGGCCTCATCTCGAGTTGATTTGGGGCACATGGAGCTGCTTTGCGTTGCTGGGGTGACCTCAGGGTCCGTCTAGACTGGTGACAGTGTTCTTGGGGACTGTCTCGAGATCCATTAAGCAAGTCGAAGCTCCTGACTTGTTTGAATGGGATCACGGAATAGCTCTGCATGCACTGCAGGGGAATGGGGCCTCATCTCGCCTCTAGGGGGAAGTCTCATGGTTTTTCTCGAGTTGCGGCGGGGACCTGGGGTATGTTCTCGACTTACGGCGGGGATGGCCCTTCAAAACACGAGTTACTTCAGTGACGTCAGGACTCGTGTCTCGTAACGAGGGACACCTCAGGAATCTCTTCGAGGCTTGGCAGGGCCAAAGGGACGCTTCTCGAGGTGAGGCAGGGCACCCAAGGACCCTTTCCAGTAGCCACAGGGATTTTGGGATTCCTATCAGTATTCAAGAGGAGTCAGGCATCGTCACCTTTTGAAGCAATGAACTCCGCGTGCCTCTCGAGGTGTCAGCGGGATGTGAGGCATTCCGTCAAAATGAGGCAGGGACCTAGGGCTTTCTCTAAGGTCTCCACAGGGGATTCAGACATCCCTTCATGTTGTGAGATGAAAGACGAGCCTGTATTCAAGCCACTGCAAGGAAATCCGGCCTCCTTTCAAGTTAGGGCTTCTCGCTGTATATTCCCCTTGAGGCAGCAAACTCGGGGTCCCTCCCACATACCTATTGCTGAGAGAAGCCTCCTCCTGAGGTGCTTCTGGGAAGTTGGCATACGTCTTGAGCCTAAGCCAGGGAATCAGCTCGCATCTCGAGACGACTTGGGGTACACGGAGCATTCCTCGAGTTGCTGTGCTGAAGTTGGTGTTCCTCTAGACTTGGGACAGTGTTCTCGGGGCATCTCTGGAGTTGCCTGAAGGAAGTCGAGCCACCGGTCGTGTTGAATGGGGAACGGGGAATGGCTCTGGAGTCAGTGCAGGGGAATCGGGCCTCATCTCGAGTTGATTTGGGGCACATGGAGCTGCTTTGCGTTGCTGGGGTGACCTCAGGGTCCGTCTAGACTGGTGACAGTGTTCTTGGGGACTGTCTCGAGATCCATTAAGCAAGTCGAAGCTCCTGACTTGTTTGAATGGGGTCACGGAATAGCTCTGCATGCACTGCAGGGGAATGGGGCCTCATCTCGCCTCTAGGGGGAAGTCTCATGGTTTTTCTCGAGTTGCGGCGGGGACCTGGGGTATGTTCTCGACTTACGGCGGGGATGGCCCTTCAAAACACGAGTTTCTTCAGTGACGTCAGGACTCGTGTCTAGTAACGAGGGACACCTCAGGAATCTCTTCGAGGCTTGGCAGGGCCAAAGGGACGCTTCTCGAGGTGAGGCAGGGCACCCAAGGACCCTTTCCAGTAGCCACAGGGATTTTGGGATTCCTATCAGTATTCAAGAGGAGTCAGGCATCGTCACCTTTTGAAGCAATGAACTCCGCGTGCCTCTCGAGGTGTCAGCGGGATGTGAGGCATTCCGTCAAAATGAGGCAGGGACCTAGGGCTTTCTCTAAGGTCTCCACAGGGGATTCAGACATCCCTTCATGTTGTGAGATGAAAGACGAGCCTGTATTCAAGCCACTGCAAGGAAATCCGGCCTCCTTTCAAGTTAGGGCTTCTCGCTGTATATTCCCCTTGAGGCAGCAAACTCGGGGTCCCTCCCACATACCTATTGCTGAGAGAAGCCTCCTCCTGAGGTGCTTCTGGGAAGTTGGCATACGTCTTGAGCCTAAGCCAGGGAATCAGCTCGCATCTCGAGACGATTTGGGGTACACGGAGCATTCCTCGAGTTGCTGTGCTGAAGTTGGTGTTCCTCTAGACTTGGGACAGTGTTCTCGGGGCATCTCTGGAGTTGCCTGAAGGAAGTCGAGCCACCGGTCGTGTTGAATGGGGAACGGGGAATGGCTCTGGAGTCAATGCAGGGGAATCGGGCCTCATCTCGAGTTGATTTGGGGCACATGGAGCTGCTTTGCGTTGCTGGGGTGACCTCAGGGTCCGTCTAGACTGGTGACAGTGTTCTTGGGGACTGTCTCGAGATCCATTAAGCAAGTCGAAGCTCCTGACTTGTTTGAATGGGATCACGGAATAGCTCTGCATGCACTGCAGGGGAATGGGGCCTCATCTCGCCTCTAGGGGGAAGTCTCATGGTTTTTCTCGAGTTGCGGCGGGGACCTGGGGTATGTTCTCGACTTACGGCGGGGATGGCCCTTCAAAACACGAGTTTCTTCAGTGACGTCAGGACTCCTGTCTAGTAACGAGGGACACCTCAGGAATCTCTTCGAGGCTTGGCAGGGCCAAAGGGACGCTTCTCGAGGTGAGGCAGGGCACCCAAGGACCCTTTCCAGTAGCCACAGGGATTTTGGGATTCCTATCAGTATTCAAGAGGAGTCAGGCATCGTCACCTTTTGAAGCAATGAACTCCGCGTGCCTCTCGAGGTGTCAGCGGGATGTGAGGCATTCCGTCAAAATGAGGCAGGGACCTAGGGCTTTCTCTAAGGTCTCCACAGGGGATTCAGACATCCCTTCATGTTGTGAGATGAAAGACGAGCCTGTATTCAAGCCACTGCAAGGAAATCCGGCCTCCTTTCAAGTTAGGGCTTCTCGCTGTATATTCCCCTTGAGGCAGCAAACTCGGGGTCCCTCCCACATACCTATTGCTGAGAGAAGCCTCCTCCTGAGGTGCTTCTGGGAAGTTGGCATACGTCTTGAGCCTAAGCCAGGGAATCAGCTCGCATCTCGAGACGATTTGGGGTACACGGAGCATTCCTCGAGTTGCTGTGCTGAAGTTGGTGTTCCTCTAGACTTGGGACAGTGTTCTCGGGGCATCTCTGGAGTTGCCTGAAGGAAGTCGAGCCACCGGTCGTGTTGAATGGGGAACGGGGAATGGCTCTGGAGTCAATGCAGGGGAATCGGGCCTCATCTCGAGTTGATTTGGGGCACATGGAGCTGCTTTGCGTTGCTGGGGTGACGTCAGGGTCCGTCTAGACTGGTGACAGTGTTCTTGGGGACTGTCTCGAGATCCATTAAGCAAGTCGAAGCTCCTGACTTGTTTGAATGGGATCACGGAATAGCTCTGCATGCACTGCAGGGGAATGGGGCCTCATCTCGCCTCTAGGGGGAAGTCTCATGGTTTTTCTCGAGTTGCGGCGGGGACCTGGGGTATGTTCTCGACTTACGGCGGGGATGGCCCTTCAAAACACGAGTTTCTTCAGTGACGTCAGGACTCCTGTCAAGTAACGAGGGACACCTCAGGAATCTCTTCGAGGCTTGGCAGGGCCAAAGGGACGCTTCTCGAGGTGAGGCAGGGCACCCAAGGACCCTTTCCAGTAGCCACAGGGATTTTGGGATTCCTATCAGTATTCAAGAGGAGTCAGGCATCGTCACCTTTTGAAGCAATGAACTCCACGTGCCTCTCGAGGTGTCAGCGGGATGTGAGGCATTCCGTCAAAATGAGGCAGGGACCTAGGGCTTTCTCTAAGGTCTCCACAGGGGATTCAGACATCCCTTCATGTTGTGAGATGAAAGACGAGCCTGTATTCAAGCCACTGCAAGGAAATCCGGCCTCCTTTCAAGTTAGGGCTTCTCGCTGTATATTCCCCTTGAGGCAGCAAACTCGGGGTCCCTCCCACATACCTATTGCTGAGAGAAGCCCCCTCCTGAGGTGCTTCTGGGAAGTTGGCATACGTCTTGAGCCTAAGCCAGGGAATCAGCTCGCATCTCGAGACGATTTGGGGTACACGGAGCATTCCTCGAGTTGCTGTGCTGAAGTTGGTGTTCCTCTAGACTTGGGACAGTGTTCTCGGGGCATCTCTGGAGTTGCCTGAAGGAAGTCGAGCCACCGGTCGTGTTGAATGGGGAACGGGGAATGGCTCTGGAGTCAATGCAGGGGAATCGGGCCTCCTCTCGAGTTGATTTGGGGCACATGGAGCTGCTTTGCGTTGCTGGGGTGACCTCAGGGTCCGTCTAGACTGGTGACAGTGTTCTTGGGGACTGTCTCGAGATCCATTAAGCAAGTCGAAGCTCCTGACTTGTTTGAATGGGGTCACGGAATAGCTCTGCATGCACTGCAGGGGAATGGGGCCTCATCTCGCCTCTAGGGGGAAGTCTCATGGTTTTTCTCGAGTTGCGGCGGGGACCTGGGGTATGTTCTCGACTTACGGCGGGGATGGCCCTTCAAAACACGAGTTTCTTCAGTGACGTCAGGACTCGTGTCTAGTAACGAGGGACACCTCAGGAATCTCTTCGAGGCTTGGCAGGGCCAAAGGGACGCTTCTCGAGGTGAGGCAGGGCACCCAAGGACCCTTTCCAGTAGCCACAGGGATTTTGGGATTCCTATCAGTATTCAAGAGGAGTCAGGCATCGTCACCTTTTGAAGCAATGAACTCCGCGTGCCTCTCGAGGTGTCAGCGGGATGTGAGGCATTCCGTCAAAATGAGGCAGGGACCTAGGGCTTTCTCTAAGGTCTCCACAGGGGATTCAGACATCCCTTCATGTTGTGAGATGAAAGACGAGCCTGTATTCAAGCCACTGCAAGGAAATCCGGCCTCCTTTCAAGTTAGGGCTTCTGGCTCTATATTCCCCTTGAGGCAGCAAACTCGGGGTCCCTCCCACATACCTATTGCTGAGAGAAGCCTCCTCCTGAGGTGCTTCTGGGAAGTTGGCATACGTCTTGAGCCTAAGCCAGGGAATCAGCTCGCATCTCGAGACGATTTGGGGTACACGGAGCATTCCTCGAATTGCTGTGCTGAAGTTGGTGTTCCTCTAGACTTGGGACAGTGTTCTCGGGGCATCTCTGGAGTTGCCTGAAGGAAGTCGAGCCACCGGTCGTGTTGAATGGGGAACGGGGAATGGCTCTGGAGTCAGTGCAGGGGAATCGGGCCTCATCTCGAGTTGATTTGGGGCACATGGAGCTGCTTTGCATTGCTGGGGTGACTTCAGGGTCCGTCTAGACTGGTGACAGTGTTCTTGGGGACTGTCTCGAGATCCATTAAGCAAGTCGAAGCTCCTGACTTGTTTGAATGGGGTCACGGAATAGCTCTGCATGCACTGCAGGGGAATGGGGCCTCATCTCGCCTCTAGGGGGAAGTCTCATCGTTTTTCTCGAGTTGCGGCGGGGACCTGGGGTATGTTCTCGACTTACGGCGGGGATGGCCCTTCAAAACACGAGTTTCTTCAGTGACGTCAGGACTCCTGTCTAGTAACGAGGGACACCTCAGGAATCTCTTCGAGGCTTGGCAGGGCCAAAGGGACGCTTCTCGAGGTGAGGCAGGGCACCCAAGGACCCTTTCCAGTAGCCACAGGGATTTTGGGATTCCTATCAGTATTCAAGAGGAGTCAGGCATCGTCACCTTTTGAAGCAATGAACTCCGCGTGCCTCTCGAGGTGTCAGCGGGATGTGAGGCATTCCGTCAAAATGAGGCAGGGACCTAGGGCTTTCTCTAAGGTCTCCACAGGGGATTCAGACATCCCTTCATGTTGTGAGATGAAAGACGAGCCTGTATTCAAGCCACTGCAAGGAAATCCGGCCTCCTTTCAAGTTAGGGCTTCTCGCTGTATATTCCCCTTGAGGCAGCAAACTCGGGGTCCCTCCCACATACCTATTGCTGAGAGAAGCCTCCTCCTGAGGTGCTTCTGGGAAGTTGGCATACGTCTTGAGCCTAAGCCAGGGAATCAGCTCGCATCTCGAGACGATTTGGGGTACACGGAGCATTCCTCGAGTTGCTGTGCTGAAGTTGGTGTTCCTCTAGACTTGGGACAGTGTTCTCGGGGCATCTCTGGAGTTGCCTGAAGGAAGTCGAGCCACCGGTCGTGTTGAATGGGGAACGGGGAATGGCTCTGGAGTCAATGCAGGGGAATCGGGCCTCATCTCGAGTTGATTTGGGGCACATGGAGCTGCTTTGCGTTGCTGGGGTGACCTCAGGGTCCGTCTAGACTGGTGACAGTGTTCTTGGGGACTGTCTCGAGATCCATTAAGCAAGTCGAAGCTCCTGACTTGTTTGAATGGGGTCACGGAATAGCTCTGCATGCACTGCAGGGGAATGGGGCCTCATCTCGCCTCTAGGGGGAAGTCTCATGGTTTTTCTCGAGTTGCGGCGGGGACCTGGGGTATGTTCTCGACTTACGGCGGGGATGGCCCTTCAAAACACGAGTTTCTTCAGTACGTCAGGACTCCTGTCTAGTAACGAGGGACACCTCAGGAATCTCTTCGAGGCTTGGCAGGGCCAAAGGGACGCTTCTCGAGGTGAGGCAGGGCACCCAAGGACCCTTTCCAGTAGCCACAGGGATTTTGGGATTCCTATCAGTATTCAAGAGGAGTCAGGCATCGTCACCTTTTGAAGCAATGAACTCCGCGTGCCTCTCGAGGTGTCAGCGGGATGTGAGGCATTCCGTCAAAATGAGGCAGGGACCTAGGGCTTTCTCTAAGGTCTCCACAGGGGATTCAGACATCCCTTCATGTTGTGAGATGAAAGACGAGCCTGTATTCAAGCCACTGCAAGGAAATCCGGCCTCCTTTCTAGTTAGGGTTTCTCGCTGTATATGCCCCTTGAGGCAGCAAACTCGGGGTCCCTCCCACATACCTATTGCTGAGAGAAGCCTCCTCCTGAGGTGCTTCTGGGAAGTTGGCATACGTCTTGAGCCTAAGCCAGGGAATCAGCTCGCATCTCGAGACGATTTGGGGTACACGGAGCATTCCTCGAGTTGCTGTGCTGAAGTTGGTGTTCCTCTAGACTTGGGACAGTGTTCTCGGGGCATCTCTGGAGTTGCCTGAAGGAAGTCGAGCCACCGGTCGTGTTGAATGGGGAACGGGGAATGGCTCTGGAGTCAATGCAGGGGAATCGGGCCTCATCTCGAGTTGATTTGGGGCACATGGAGCTGCTTTGCGTTGCTGGGGTGACCTCAGGGTCCGTCTAGACTGGTGACAGTGTTCTTGGGGACTGTCTCGAGATCCATTAAGCAAGTCGAAGCTCCTGACTTGTTTGAATGGGATCACGGAATAGCTCTGCATGCACTGCAGGGGAATGGGGCCTCATCTCGCCTCTAGGGGGAAGTCTCATGGTTTTTCTCGAGTTGCGGCGGGGACCTGGGGTATGTTCTCGACTTACGGCGGGGATGGCCCTTCAAAACACGAGTTTCTTCAGTGACGTCAGGACTCCTGTCTAGTAACGAGGGACACCTCAGGAATCTCTTCGAGGCTTGGCAGGGCCAAAGGGACGCTTCTCGAGGTGAGGCAGGGCACCCAAGGACCCTTTCCAGTAGCCACAGGGATTTTGGGATTCCTATCAGTATTCAAGAGGAGTCAGGCATCGTCACCTTTTGAAGCAATGAACTCCACGTGCCTCTCGAGGTGTCAGCGGGATGTGAGGCATTCCGTCAAAATGAGGCAGGGACCTAGGGCTTTCTCTAAGGTCTCCACAGGGGATTCAGACATCCCTTCATGTTGTGAGATGAAAGACGAGCCTGTATTCAAGCCACTGCAAGGAAATCCGGCCTCCTTTCAAGTTAGGGCTTCTCGCTGTATATTCCCCTTGAGGCAGCAAACTCGGGGTCCCTCCCACATACCTATTGCTGAGAGAAGCCTCCTCCTGAGGTGCTTCTGGGAAGTTGGCATACGTCTTGAGCCTAAGCCAGGGAATCAGCTCGCATCTCGAGACGACTTGGGGTACACGGAGCATTCCTCGAGTTGCTGTGCTGAAGTTGGTGTTCCTCTAGACTTGGGACAGTGTTCTCGGGGCATCTCTGGAGTTGCCTGAAGGAAGTCGAGCCACCGGTCGTGTTGAATGGGGAACGGGGAATGGCTCTGGAGTCAATGCAGGGGAATCGGGCCTCATCTCGAGTTGATTTGGGGCACATGGAGCTGCTTTGCGTTGCTGGGGTGACCTCAGGGTCCGTCTAGACTGGTGACAGTGTTCTTGGGGACTGTCTCGAGATCCATTAAGCAAGTCGAAGCTCCTGACTTGTTTGAATGGGATCACGGAATAGCTCTGCATGCACTGCAGGGGAATGGGGCCTCATCTCGCCTCTAGGGGGAAGTCTCATGGTTTTTCTCGAGTTGCGGCGGGGACCTGGGATATGTTCTCTACTTACGGCGGGGATGGCCCTTCAAAACACGAGTTTCTTCAGTGATGTCAGGACTCCTGTCTAGTAACGAGGGACACCTCAGGAATCTCTTCGAGGCTTGGCAGGGCCAAAGGGACGCTTCTCGAGGTGAGTCAGGGCACCCAAGGACCCTTTCCAGTAGCCACAGGGATTTTGGGATTCCTATCAGTATTCAAGAGGAGTCAGGCATCGTCACCTTTTGAAGCAATGAACTCCGCGTGCCTCTCGAGGTGTCAGCGGGATGTGAGGCATTCCGTCAAAATGAGGCAGGGACCTAGGGCTTTCTCTAAGGTCTCCACAGGGGATTCAGACATCCCTTCATGTTGTGAGATGAAAGACGAGCCTGTATTCAAGCCACTGCAAGGAAATCCGGCCTCCTTTCAAGTTAGGGCTTCTCGCTGTATATTGCCCTTGAGGCAGTAAACTCGGGGTCCCTCCCACATACCTATTGCTGAGAGAAGCCCCCTCCTGAGGTGCTTCTGGGAAGTTGGCATACGTCTTGAGCCTAAGCCAGGGAATCAGCTCGCATCTCGAGACGACTTGGGGTACACGGAGCATTCCTCGAGTTGCTGTGCTGAAGTTGGTGTTCCTCTAGACTTGGGACAGTGTTCTCGGGGCATCTCTGGAGTTGCCTGAAGGAAGTCGAGCCACCGGTCGTGTTGAATGGGGAACGGGGAATGGCTCTGGAGTCAATGCAGGGGAATCGGGCCTCCTCTCGAGTTGATTTGGGGCACATGGAGCTGCTTTGCGTTGCTGGGGTGACCTCAGGGTCCGTCTAGACTGGTGACAGTGTTCTTGGGGACTGTCTCGAGATCCATTAAGCAAGTCGAAGCTCCTGACTTGTTTGAATGGGATCACGGAATAGCTCTGCATGCACTGCAGGGGAATGGGGCCTCATCTCGCCTCTAGGGGGAAGTCTCATGGTTTTTCTCGAGTTGCGGCGGGGACCTGGGATATGTTCTCTACTTACGGCGGGGATGGCCCTTCAAAACACGAGTTTCTTCAGTGACGTCAGGACTCGTGTCTAGTAACGAGGGACACCTCAGGAATCTCTTCGAGGCTTGGCAGGGCCAAAGGGACGCTTCTCGAGGTGAGGCAGGGCACCCAAGGACCCTTTCCAGTAGCCACAGGGATTTTGGGATTCCTATCAGTATTCAAGAGGAGTCAGGCATCGTCACCTTTTGAAGCAATGAACTCCGCGTGCCTCTCGAGGTGTCAGCGGGATGTGAGGCATTCCGTCAAAATGAGGCAGGGACCTAGGGCTTTCTCTAAGGTCTCCACAGGGGATTCAGACATCCCTTCATGTTGTGAGATGAAAGACGAGCCTGTATTCAAGCCACTGCAAGGAAATCCGGCCTCCTTTCAAGTTAGGGCTTCTGGCTCTATATTCCCCTTGAGGCAGCAAACTCGGGGTCCCTCCCACATACCTATTGCTGAGAGAAGCCTCCTCCTGAGGTGCTTCTGGGAAGTTGGCATACGTCTTGAGCCTAAGCCAGGGAATCAGCTCGCATCTCGAGACGATTTGGGGTACACGGAGCATTCCTCGAGTTGCTGTGCTGAAGTTGGTGTTCCTCTAGACTTGGGACAGTGTTCTCGGGGCATCTCTGGAGTTGCCTGAAGGAAGTCGAGCCACCGGTCGTGTTGAATGGGGAACGGGGAATGGCTCTGGAGTCAATGCAGGGGAATCGGGCCTCATCTCGAGTTGATTTGGGGCACATGGAGCTGCTTTGCGTTGCTGGGGTGACCTCAGGGTCCGTCTAGACTGGTGACAGTGTTCTTGGGGACTGTCTCGAGATCCATTAAGCAAGTCGAAGCTCCTGACTTGTTTGAATGGGGTCACGGAATAGCTCTGCATGCACTGCAGGGGAATGGGGCCTCATCTCGCCTCTAGGGGGAAGTCTCATGGTTTTTCTCGAGTTGCGGCGGGGACCTGGGGTATGTTCTCGACTTACGGCGGGGATGGCCCTTCAAAACACGAGTTTCTTCAGTGACGTCAGGACTCCTGTCTAGTAACGAGGGACACCTCAGGAATCTCTTCGAGGCTTGGCAGGGCCAAAGGGACGCTTCTCGAGGTGAGGCAGGGCACCCAAGGACCCTTTCCAGTAGCCACAGGGATTTTGGGATTCCTATCAGTATTCAAGAGGAGTCAGGCATCGTCACCTTTTGAAGCAATGAACTCCGCGTGCCTCTCGAGGTGTCAGCGGGATGTGAGGCATTCCGTCAAAATGAGGCAGGGACCTAGGGCTTTCTCTAAGGTCTCCACAGGGGATTCAGACATCCCTTCATGTTGTGAGATGAAAGACGAGCCTGTATTCAAGCCACTGCAAGGAAATCCGGCCTCCTTTCTAGTTAGGGCTTCTCGCTGTATATTCCCCTTGAGGCAGCAAACTCGGGGTCCCTCCCACATAACTATTGCTGAGAGAAGCCTCCTCCTGAGGTGCTTCTGGGAAGTTGGCATACGTCTTGAGCCTAAGCCAGGGAATCAGCTCGCATCTCGAGACGATTTGGGGTACACGGAGCATTCCCCGAATTGCTGTGCTGAAGTTGGTGTTCCTCTAGACTTGGGACAGTGTTCTCGGGGCATCTCTGGAGTTGCCTGAAGGAAGTCGAGCCACCGGTCGTGTTGAATGGGGAACGGGGAATGGCTCTGGAGTCAGTGCAGGGGAATCGGGCCTCATCTCGAGTTGATTTGGGGCACATGGAGCTGCTTTGCATTGCTGGAGTGACCTCAGGGTCCGTCTAGACTGGTGACAGTGTTCTTGGGGACTGTCTCGAGATCCATTAAGCAAGTCGAAGCTCCTGACTTGTTTGAATGGGGTCACGGAATAGCTCTGCATGCACTGCAGGGGAATGGGGCCTCATCTCGCCTCTAGGGGGAAGTCTCATGGTTTTTCTCGAGTTGCGGCGGGGACCTGGGGTATGTTCTCGACTTACGGCGGGGATGGCCCTTCAAAACACGAGTTTCTTCAGTGACGTCAGGACTCCTGTCTAGTAACGAGGGACACCTCAGGAATCTCTTCGAGGCTTGGCAGGGCCAAAGGGACGCTTCTCGAGGTGAGGCAGGGCACCCAAGGACCCTTTCCAGTAGCCACAGGGATTTTGGGATTCCTATCAGTATTCAAGAGGAGTCAGGCATCGTCACCTTTTGAAGCAATGAACTCCACGTGCCTCTCGAGGTGTCAGCGGGATGTGAGGCATTCCGTCACAATGAGGCAGGGACCTAGGGCTTTCTCTAAGGTCTCCACAGGGGATTCAGACATCCCTTCATGTTGTGAGATGAAAGACGAGCCTGTATTCAAGCCACTGCAAGGAAATCCGGCCTCCTTTCAAGTTAGGGCTTCTCGCTGTATATTCCCCTTGAGGCAGCAAACTCGGGGTCCCTCCCACATACCTATTGCTGAGAGAAGCCTCCTCCTGAGGTGCTTCTGGGAAGTTGGCATACGTCTTGAGCCTAAGCCAGGGAATCAGCTCGCATCTCGAGACGATTTGGGGTACACGGAGCATTCCTCGATTTGCTGTGCTGAAGTTGGTGTTCCTCTAGACTTGGGACAGTGTTCTCGGGGCATCTCTGGAGTTGCCTGAAGGAAGTCGAGCCAACGGTCGTGTTGAATGGGGAACGGGGAATGGCTCTGGAGTCAATGCAGGGGAATCGGGCCTCATCTCGAGTTGATTTGGGGCAAATGGAGCTGCTTTGCGTTGCTGGGGAGACCTCAGGGTCCGTCTAGACTGGTGACAGTGTTCTTGGGGACTGTCTCGAGATCCATTAAGCAAGTCGAAGCTCCTGACTTGTTTGAATGGGGTCACGGAATAGCTCTGCATGCACTGCAGGGGAATGGGGCCTCATCTCGCCTCTAGGGGGAAGTCTCATGGTTTTTCTCGAGTTGCGGCGGGGACCTGGGGTATGTTCTCGACTTACGGCGGGGATGGCCCTTCAAAACACGAGTTTCTTCAGTACGTCAGGACTCCTGTCTAGTAACGAGGGACACCTCAGGAATCTCTTCGAGGCTTGGCAGGGCCAAAGGGACGCTTCTCGAGGTGAGGCAGGGCACCCAAGGACCCTTTCCAGTAGCCACAGGGATTTTGGGATTCCTATCAGTATTCAAGAGGAGTCAGGCATCGTCACCTTTTGAAGCAATGAACTCCGCGTGCCTCTCGAGGTGTCAGCGGGATGTGAGGCATTCCGTCAAAATGAGGCAGGGACCTAGGGCTTTCTCTAAGGTCTCCACAGGGGATTCAGACATCCCTTCATGTTGTGAGATGAAAGACGAGCCTGTATTCAAGCCACTGCAAGGAAATCCGGCCTCCTTTCTAGTTAGGGTTTCTCGCTGTATATTCCCCTTGAGGCAGCAAACTCGGGGTCCCTCCCACATACCTATTGCTGAGAGAAGCCTCCTCCTGAGGTGCTTCTGGGAAGTTGGCATACGTCTTGAGCCTAAGCCAGGGAATCAGCTCGCATCTCGAGACGATTTGGGGTACACGGAGCATTCCTCGAGTTGCTGTGCTGAAGTTGGTGTTCCTCTAGACTTGGGACAGTGTTCTCGGGGCATCTCTGGAGTTGCCTGAAGGAAGTCGAGCCACCGGTCGTGTTGAATGGGGAACGGGGAATGGCTCTGGAGTCAATGCAGGGGAATCGGGCCTCATCTCGAGTTGATTTGGGGCACATGGAGCTGCTTTGCGTTGCTGGGGTGACCTCAGGGTCCGTCTAGACTGGTGACAGTGTTCTTGGGGACTGTCTCGAGATCCATTAAGCAAGTCGAAGCTCCTGACTTGTTTGAATGGGATCACGGAATAGCTCTGCATGCACTGCAGGGGAATGGGGCCTCATCTCGCCTCTAGGGGGAAGTCTCATGGTTTTTCTCGAGTTGCGGCGGGGACCTGGGGTATGTTCTCGACTTACGGCGGGGATGGCCCTTCAAAACACGAGTTTCTTCAGTGACGTCAGGACTCCTGTCTAGTAACGAGGGACACCTCAGGAATCTCTTCGAGGCTTGGCAGGGCCAAAGGGACGCTTCTCGAGGTGAGGCAGGGCACCCAAGGACCCTTTCCAGTAGCCACAGGGATTTTGGGATTCCTATCAGTATTCAAGAGGAGTCAGGCATCGTCACCTTTTGAAGCAATGAACTCCACGTGCCTCTCGAGGTGTCAGCGGGATGTGAGGCATTCCGTCAAAATGAGGCAGGGACCTAGGGCTTTCTCTAAGGTCTCCACAGGGGATTCAGACATCCCTTCATGTTGTGAGATGAAAGACGAGCCTGTATTCAAGCCACTGCAAGGAAATCCGGCCTCCTTTCAAGTTAGGGCTTCTCGCTGTATATTCCCCTTGAGGCAGCAAACTCGGGGTCCCTCCCACATACCTATTGCTGAGAGAAGCCTCCTCCTGAGGTGCTTCTGGGAAGTTGGCATACGTCTTGAGCCTAAGCCAGGGAATCAGCTCGCATCTCGAGACGACTTGGGGTACACGGAGCATTCCTCGAGTTGCTGTGCTGAAGTTGGTGTTCCTCTAGACTTGGGACAGTGTTCTCGGGGCATCTCTGGAGTTGCCTGAAGGAAGTCGAGCCACCGGTCGTGTTGAATGGGGAACGGGGAATGGCTCTGGAGTCAATGCAGGGGAATCGGGCCTCATCTCGAGTTGATTTGGGGCACATGGAGCTGCTTTGCGTTGCTGGGGTGACCTCAGGGTCCGTCTAGACTGGGGACAGTGTTCTTGGGGACTGTCTCGAGATCCATTAAGCAAGTCGAAGCTCCTGACTTGTTTGAATGGGATCACGGAATAGCTCTGCATGCACTGCAGGGGAATGGGGCCTCATCTCGCCTCTAGGGGGAAGTCTCATGGTTTTTCTCGAGTTGCGGCGGGGACCTGGGATATGTTCTCTACTTACGGCGGGGATGGCCCTTCAAAACACGAGTTTCTTCAGTGACGTCAGGACTCCTGTCTAGTAACGAGGGACACCTCAGGAATCTCTTCGAGGCTTGGCAGGGCCAAAGGGACGCTTCTCGAGGTGAGGCAGGGCACCCAAGGACCCTTTCCAGTAGCCACAGGGATTTTGGGATTCCTATCAGTATTCAAGAGGAGTCAGGCATCGTCACCTTTTGAAGCAATGAACTCCGCGTGCCTCTCGAGGTGTCAGCGGGATGTGAGGCATTCCGTCAAAATGAGGCAGGGACCTAGGGCTTTCTCTAAGGTCTCCACAGGGGATTCAGACATCCCTTCATGTTGTGAGATGAAAGACGAGCCTGTATTCAAGCCACTGCAAGGAAATCCGGCCTCCTTTCTAGTTAGGGCTTCTCGCTCTATATTCCCCTTGAGGCAGCAAACTCGGGGTCCCTCCCACATACCTATTGCTGAGAGAAGCCTCCTCCTGAGGTGCTTCTGGGAAGTTGGCATACGTCTTGAGCCTAAGCCAGGGAATCAGCTCGCATCTCGAGACGATTTGGGGTACACGGAGCATTCCTCGAGTTGCTGTGCTGAAGTTGGTGTTCCTCTAGACTTGGGACAGTGTTCTCGGGGCATCTCTGGAGTTGCCTGAAGGAAGTCGAGCCACCGGTCGTGTTGAATGGGGAACGGGGAATGGCTCTGGAGTCAGTGCAGGGGAATCGGGCCTCATCTCGAGTTGATTTGGGGCACATGGAGCTGCTTTGCGTTGCTGGGGTGACCTCAGGGTCCGTCTAGACTGGTGACAGTGTTCTTGGGGACTGTCTCGAGATCCATTAAGCAAGTCGAAGCTCCTGACTTGTTTGAATGGGGTCACGGAATAGCTCTGCATGCACTGCAGGGGAATGGGGCCTCATCTCGCCTCTAGGGGGAAGTCTCATGGTTTTTCTCGAGTTGCGGCGGGGACCTGGGGTATGTTCTCGACTTACGGCGGGGATGGCCCTTCAAAACACGAGTTTCTTCAGTGACGTCAGGACTCCTGTCTAGTAACGAGGGACACCTCAGGAATCTCTTCGAGGCTTGGCAGGGCCAAAGGGACGCTTCTCGAGGTGAGGCAGGGCACCCAAGGACCCTTTCCAGTAGCCACAGGGATTTTGGGATTCCTATCAGTATTCAAGAGGAGTCAGGCATCGTCACCTTTTGAAGCAATGAACTCCGCGTGCCTCTCGAGGTGTCAGCGGGATGTGAGGCATTCCGTCAAAATGAGGCAGGGACCTAGGGCTTTCTCTAAGGTCTCCACAGGGGATTCAGACATCCCTTCATGTTGTGAGATGAAAGACGAGCCTGTATTCAAGCCACTGCAAGGAAATCCGGCCTCCTTTCAAGTTAGGGCTTCTCGCTGTATATTCCCCTTGAGGCAGCAAACTCGGGGTCCCTCCCACATACCTATTGCTGAGAGAAGCCTCCTCCTGAGGTGCTTCTGGGAAGTTGGCATACGTCTTGAGCCTAAGCCAGGGAATCAGCTCGCATCTCGAGACGATTTGGGGTACACGGAGCATTCCTCGAGTTGCTGTGCTGAAGTTGGTGTTCCTCTAGACTTGGGACAGTGTTCTCGGGGCATCTCTGGAGTTGCCTGAAGGAAGTCGAGCCACCGGTCGTGTTGAATGGGGAACGGGGAATGGCTCTGGAGTCAATGCAGGGGAATCGGGCCTCATCTCGAGTTGATTTGGGGCACATGGAGCTGCTTTGCGTTGCTGGGGTGACCTCAGGGTCCGTCTAGACTGGTGACAGTGTTCTTGGGGACTGTCTCGAGATCCATTAAGCAAGTCGAAGCTCCTGACTTGTTTGAATGGGATCACGGAATAGCTCTGCATGCACTGCAGGGGAATGGGGCCTCATCTCGCCTCTAGGGGGAAGTCTCATGGTTTTTCTCGAGTTGCGGCGGGGACCTGGGATATGTTCTCGACTTACGCTGGGGATGGCCCTTCAAAACACGAGTTTCTTCAGTGACGTCAGGACTCCTGTCTAGTAACGAGGGACACCTCAGGAATCTCTTCGAGGCTTGGCAGGGCCAAAGGGACGCTTCTCGAGGTGAGGCAGGGCACCCAAGGACCCTTTCCAGTAGCCACAGTGATTTTGGGATTCCTATCAGTATTCAAGAGGAGTCAGGCATCGTCACCTTTTGAAGCAATGAACTCCGCGTGCCTCTCGAGGTGTCAGCGGGATGTGAGGCATTCCGTCAAAATGAGGCAGGGACCTAGGGCTTTCTCTAAGGTCTCCACAGGGGATTCAGACATCCCTTCATGTTGTGAGATGAAGGACGAGCCTGTATTCAAGCCACTGCAAGGAAATCCGGCCTCCTTTCAAGTTAGGGCTTCTCGCTGTATATTCCCCTTGAGGCAGCAAACTCGGGGTCCCTCCCACATACCTATTGCTGAGAGAAGCCCCCTCCTGAGGTGCTTCTGGGAAGTTGGCATACGTCTTGAGCCTAAGCCAGGGAATCAGCTCGCATCTCGAGACGATTTGGGGTACACGGAGCATTCCTCGAGTTGCTGTGCTGAAGTTGGTGTTCCTCTAGACTTGGGACAGTGTTCTCGGGGCATCTCTGGAGTTGCCTGAAGGAAGTCGAGCCACCGGTCGTGTTGAATGGGGAACGGCGAATGGCTCTGGAGTCAGTGCAGGGGAATCGGGCCTCATCTCGAGTTGATTTGGGGCACATGGAGCTGCTTTGCGTTGCTGGGGTGACCTCAGGGTCCGTCTAGACTGGTGACAGTGTTCTTGGGGACTGTCTCGAGATCCATTAAGCAAGTCGAAGCTCCTGACTTGTTTGAATGGGGTCACGGAATAGCTCTGCATGCACTGCAGGGGAATGGGGCCTCATCTCGCCTCTAGGGGGAAGTCTCATGGTTTTTCTCGAGTTGCGGCGGGGACCTGGGGTATGTTCTCGACTTACGGCGGGGATGGCCCTTCAAAACACGAGTTTCTTCAGTGACGTCAGGACTCCTGTCTAGTAACGAGGGACACCTCAGGAATCTCTTCGAGGCTTGGCAGGGCCAAAGGGACGCTTCTCGAGGTGAGGCAGGGCACCCAAGGACCCTTTCCAGTAGCCACAGGGATTTTGGGATTCCTATCAGTATTCAAGAGGAGTCAGGCATCGTCACCTTTTGAAGCAATGAACTCCGCGTGCCTCTCGAGGTGTCAGCGGGATGTGAGGCATTCCGTCAAAATGAGGCAGGGACCTAGGGCTTTCTCTAAGGTCTCCACAGGGGATTCAGACATCCCTTCATGTTGTGAGATGAAAGACGAGCCTGTATTCAAGCCACTGCAAGGAAATCCGGCCTCCTTTCAAGTTAGGGCTTCTCGCTGTATATTCCCCTTGAGGCAGCAAACTCGGGGTCCCTCCCACATACCTATTGCTGAGAGAAGCCTCCTCCTGAGGTGCTTCTGGGAAGTTGGCATACGTCTTGAGCCTAAGCCAGGGAATCAGCTCGCATCTCGAGACGATTTGGGGTACACGGAGCATTCCTCGAGTTGCTGTGCTGAAGTTGGTGTTCCTCTAGACTTGGGACAGTGTTCTCGGGGCATCTCTGGAGTTGCCTGAAAGAAGTCGAGCCACCGGTCGTGTTGAATGGGGAACGGGGAATGGCTCTGGAGTCAATGCAGGGGAATCGGGCCTCATCTCGAGTTGATTTGGGGCACATGGAGCTGCTTTGCGTTGCTGGGGTGACCTCAGGGTCCGTCTAGACTGGTGACAGTGTTCTTGGGGACTGTCTCGAGATCCATTAAGCAAGTCGAAGCTCCTGACTTGTTTGAATGGGATCACGGAATAGCTCTGCATGCACTGCAGGGGAATGGGGCCTCATCTCGCCTCTAGGGGGAAGTCTCATGGTTTTTCTCGAGTTGCGGCGGGGACCTGGGGTATGTTCTCGACTTACGGCGGGGATGGCCCTTCAAAACACGAGTTTCTTCAGTGACGTCAGGACTCCTGTCTAGTAACGAGGGACACATCAGGAATCTCTTCGAGGCTTGGCAGGGCCAAAGGGACGCTTCTCGAGGTGAGGCAGGGCACCCAAGGACCCTTTCCAGTAGCCACAGGGATTTTGGGATTCCTATCAGTATTCAAGAGGAGTCAGGCATCGTCACCTTTTGAAGCAATGAACTCCGCGTGACTCTCGAGGTGTCAGCGTGATGTGAGGCATTCCGTCAAAATGAGGCAGGGACCTAGGGCTTTCTCTAAGGTCTCCACAGGGGATTCAGACATCCCTTCATGTTGTGAGATGAAAGACGAGCCTGTATTCAAGCCACTGCAAGGAAATCCGGCCTCCTTTCAAGTTAGGGCTTCTCGCTGTATATTCCCCTTGAGGCAGCAAACTCGGGGTCCCTCCCACATACCTATTGCTGAGAGAAGCCTCCTCCTGAGGTGCTTCTGGGAAGTTGGCATACGTCTTGAGCCTAAGCCAGGGAATCTGCTCGCATCTCGAGACGATTTGGGGTACACGGAGCATTCCTCGAGTTGCTGTGCTGAAGTTGGTGTTCCTCTAGACTTGGGACAGTGTTCTCGGGGCATCTCTGGAGTTGCCTGAAGGAAGTCGAGCCACCGGTCGTGTTGAATGGGGAACGGGGAATGGCTCTGGAGTCAATGCAGGGGAATCGGGCCTCATCTCGAGTTGATTTGGGGCACATGGAGCTGCTTTGCGTTGCTGGGGTGACCTCAGGGTCCGTCTAGACTGGTGACAGTGTTCTTGGGGACTGTCTCGAGATCCATTAAGCAAGTCGAAGCTCCTGACTTGTTTGAATGGGGTCACGGAATAGCTCTGCATGCACTGCAGGGGAATGGGGCCTCATCTCGCCTCTAGGGGGAAGTCTCATGGTTTTTCTCGAGTTGCGGCGGGGACCTGGGGTATGTTCTCGACTTACGGCGGGGATGGCCCTTCAAAACACGAGTTTCTTCAGTGACGTCAGGACTCCTGTCTAGTAACGAGGGACACCTCAGGAATCTCTTCGAGGCTTGGCAGGGCCAAAGGGACGCTTCTCGAGGTGAGGCAGGGCACCCAAGGACCCTTTCCAGTAGCCACAGGGATTTTGGGATTCCTATCAGTATTCAAGAGGAGTCAGGCATCGTCACCTTTTGAAGCAATGAACTCCGCGTGCCTCTCGAGGTGTCAGCGGGATGTGAGGCATTCCGTCAAAATGAGGCAGGGACCTAGGGCTTTCTCTAAGGTCTCCACAGGGGATTCAGACATCCCTTCATGTTGTGAGATGAAAGACGAGCCTGTATTCAAGCCACTGCAAGGAAATCCGGCCTCCTTTCTAGTTAGGGCTTCTCGCTGTATATTCCCCTTGAGGCAGCAAACTCGGGGTCCCTCCCACATACCTATTGCTGAGAGAAGCCTCCTCCTGAGGTGCTTCTGGGAAGTTGGCATACGTCTTGAGCCTAAGCCAGGGAATCAGCTCGCATCTCGAGACGATTTGGGGTACACGGAGCATTCCTCGAGTTGCTGTGCTGAAGTTGGTGTTCCTCTAGACTTGGGACAGTGTTCTCGGGGCATCTCTGGAGTTGCCTGAAGGAAGTCGAGCCACCGGTCGTGTTGAATGGGGAACGGGGAATGGCTCTGGAGTCAATGCAGGGGAATCGGGCCTCATCTCGAGTTGATTTGGGGCACATGGAGCTGCTTTGCGTTGCTGGGGTGACCTCAGGGTCCGTCTAGACTGGTGACAGTGTTCTTGGGGACTGTCTCGAGATCCATTAAGCAAGTCGAAGCTCCTGACTTGTTTGAATGGGATCACGGAATAGCTCTGCATGCACTGCAGGGGAATGGGGCCTCATCTCGCCTCTAGGGGGAAGTCTCATGGTTTTTCTCGAGTTGCGGCGGGGACCTGGGGTATGTTCTCGACTTACGGCGGGGATGGCCCTTCAAAACACGAGTTTCTTCAGTGACGTCAGGACTCCTGTCTAGTAACGAGGGACACCTCAGGAATCTCTTCGAGGCTTGGCAGGGCCAAAGGGACGCTTCTCGAGGTGAGGCAGGGCACCCAAGGACCCTTTCCAGTAGCCACAGGGATTTTGGGATTCCTATCAGTATTCAAGAGGAGTCAGGCATCGTCACCTTTTGAAGCAATGAACTCCGCGTGCCTCTCGAGGTGTCAGCAGGATGTGAGGCATTCCGTCAAAATGAGGCAGGGACCTAGGGCTTTCTCTAAGGTCTCCACAGGGGATTCAGACATCCCTTCATGTTATGAGATGAAAGACGAGCCTGTATTCAAGCCACTGCAAGGAAATCCGGCCTCCTTTCAAGTTAGGGCTTCTCGCTGTATATTCCCCTTGAGGCAGCAAACTCGGGGTCCCTCCCACATACCTATTGCTGAGAGAAGCCTCCTCCTGAGGTGCTTCTGGGAAGTTGGCATACGTCTTGAGCCTAAACCAGGGAATCAGCTCGCCTCTCGAGACGATTTGGGGTACACGGAGCATTCCTCGAGTTGCTGTGCTGAAGTTGGTGTTCCTCTAGACTTGGGACAGTGTTCTCGGGGCATCTCTGGAGTTGCCTGAAGGAAGTCGAGCCACCGGTCGTGTTGAATGGGGAACGGGGAATGGCTCTGGAGTCAATGCAGGGGAATCGGGCCTCATCTCGAGTTGATTTGGGGCACATGGAGCTGCTTTGCGTTGCTGGGGTGACCTCAGGGTCCGTCTAGACTGGTGACAGTGTTCTTGGGGACTGTCTCGAGATCCATTAAGCAAGTCGAAGCTCCTGACTTGTTTGAATGGGATCACGGAATAGCTCTGCATGCACTGCAGGGGAATGGGGCCTCATCTCGCCTCTAGGGGGAAGTCTCATGGTTTTTCTCGAGTTGCGGCGGGGACCTGGGGTATGTTCTCGACTTACGGCGGGGATGGCCCTTCAAAACACGAGTTTCTTCAGTGACGTCAGGACTCCTGTCTAGTAACGAGGGACACCTCAGGAATCTCTTCGAGGCTTGGCAGGGCCAAAGGGACGCTTCTCGAGGTGAGGCAGGGCACCCAAGGACCCTTTCCAGTAGCCACAGGGATTTTGGGATTCCTATCAGTATTCAAGAGGAGTCAGGCATCGTCACCTTTTGAAGCAATGAACTCCGCCTGCCTCTCGAGGTGTCAGCGGGATGTGAGGCATTCCGTCAAAATGAGGCAGGGACCTAGGGCTTTCTCTAAGGTCTCCACAGGGGATTCAGACATCCCTTCATGTTGTGAGATGAAAGACGAGCCTGTATTCAAGCCACTGCAAGGAAATCCGGCCTCCTTTCAAGTTAGGGCTTCTCGCTGTATATTCCCCTTGAGGCAGCAAACTCGGGGTCCCTCCCACATACCTCTTACTGAGAGAAGCCTCCTCCTGAGGTGCTTCTGGGATGTTGGCATACGTCTTGAGCCTAAGCCAGGGAATCAGCTCGCATCTCGAGACGATTTGGGGTACACGGAGCATTCCTCGAGTTGCTGTGCTGAAGTTGGTGTTCCTCTAGACTTGGGACAGTGTTCTCGGGGCATCTCTGGAGTTGCCTGAAGGAAGTCGAGCCACCGGTCGTGTTGAATGGGGAACGGGGAATGGCTCTGGAGTCAATGCAGGGGAATCGGGCCTCATCTCGAGTTGATTTGGGACACATGGAGCTGCTTTGCGTTGCTGGGGTGACCTCAGGGTCCGTCTAGACTGGTGACAGTGTTCTTGGGGACTGTCTCGAGATCCATTAAGCAAGTCGAAGCTCCTGACTTGTTTGAATGGGGTCACGGAATAGCTCTGGGAATGGGGCCTCATCTCGCCTCTAGGGGGAAGTCTCATGGTTTTTCTCGAGTTGCGGCGGGGTCCTGGGGTATGTTCTCGACTTACGGCGGGGATGGCCCTTCAAAACACGAGTTTCTTCAGTGACGTCAGGACTCCTGTCTAGTAACGAGGGACACCTCAGGAATCTCTTCGAGGCTTGGCAGGGCCAAAGGGACGCTTCTCGAGGTGAGACAGGGCACCCAAGGACCCTTTCCAGTAGCCACAGGGATTTTGGGATTCCTATCAGTATTCAAGAGGAGTCAGGCATCGTCACCTTTTGAAGCAATGAACTCCGCGTGCCTCTCGAGGTGTCAGCGGGATGTGAGGCATTCCGTCAAAATGAGGCAGGGACCTAGGGCTTTCTCTAAGGTCTCCACAGGGGATTCAGACATCCTTTCATGTTGTGAGATGAAAGACGAGCCTGTATTCAAGCCACTGCAAGGAAATCCGGCCTCCTTTCAAGTTAGGGCTTCTCGCTGTATATTCCCCTTGAGGCAGCAAACTCGGGGTCCCTCCCACATACCTATTGCTGAGAGAAGCCTCCTCCTGAGGTGCTTCTGGGAAGTTGGCATACGTCTTGAGCCTAAGCCAGGGAATCAGCTCGCCTCTCGAGACGATTTGGGGTACACGGAGCATTCCTTGAGTTGCTGTGCTGAAGTTGGTGTTCCTCTAGACTTGGGACAGTGTTCTCGGGTCATCTCTGGAGTTGCCTGAAGGAAGTCGAGCCACCGGTCGTGTTGAATGGGGAACGGGGAATGGCTCTGGAGTCAATGCAGGGGAATCGGGCCTCATCTCGAGTTGATTTGGGGCACATGGAGCTGCTTTGCGTTGCTGGGGTGACCTCAGGGTCCGTCTAGACTGGTGACAGTGTTCTTGGGGACTGTCTCGAGATCCATTAAGCAAGTCGAAGCTCCTGACTTGTTTGAATGGGGTCACGGAATAGCTCTGCATGCACTGCAGGGGAATGGGGCCTCATCTCGCCTCTAGGGGGAAGTCTCATGGTTTTTCTCGAGTTGCGGCGGGGACCTGGGGTATGTTCTCGACTTACGGCGGGGATGGCCCTTCAAAACACGAGTTTCTTCAGTGACGTCAGGACTCCTGTCTAGTAACGAGGGACACCTCAGGAATCTCTTCGAGGCTTGGCAGGGCCAAAGGGACGCTTCTCGAGGTGAGGCAGGGCACCCAAGGACCCTTTCCAGTAGCCACAGGGATTTTGGGATTCCTATCAGTATTCAAGAGGAGTCAGGCATCGTCACCTTTTGAAGCAATGAACTCCGCGTGCCTCTCGAGGTGTCAGCGGGATGTGAGGCATTCCGTCAAAATGAGGCAGGGACCTAGGGCTTTCTCTAAGGTCTCCACAGGGGATTCAGACATCCCTTCATGTTGTGAGATGAAAGACGAGCCTGTATTCAAACCACTGCAAGGAAATCTGGCCTCCTTTCAAGTTAGGGCTTCTCGCTGTATATTCCCCTTGAGGCAGCAAACTCGGGGTCCCTCCCACATACCTATTGCTGAGAGAAGCCTCCTCCTCAGGTGCTTCTGGGAACTTGGCATACGTCTTGACCCTAAGCCAGGGAATCAGCTCGCCTCTCGAGACGATTTGGGGTACACGGAGCATTCCTCGAGTTGCTGTGCTGAAGTTGGTGTTCCTCTAGACTTGGGACAGTGTTCTCGGGGCATCTCTGGAGTTGCCTGAAGGAAGTCGAGCCACCGGTCGTGTTGAATGGGGAACGGGGAATGGCTCTGGAGTCAATGCAGGGGAATCGGGCCTCATCTCGAGTTGATTTGGGGCACATGGAGCTGCTTTGCGTTGCTGGGGTGACGTCAGGGTCCGTCTAGACTGGTGACAGTGTTCTTGGGGACTGTCTCGAGATCCATTAAGCAAGTCGAAGCTCCTGACTTGTTTGAATGGGGTCACGGAATAGCTCTGCATGCACTGCAGGGGAATGGGGCCTCATCTCGCCTCTAGGGGGAAGTCTCATGGTTTTTCTCGAGTTGCGGCGGGGACCTGGGGTATGTTCTCGACTTACGGCGGGGATGGCCCTTCAAAACACGAGTTTCTTCAGTGACGTCAGGACTCCTGTCTAGTAACGAGGGACACCTCAGGAATCTCTTCGAGGCTTGGCAGGGCCAAAGGGACGCTTCTCGAGGTGAGGCAGGGCACCCAAGGACCCTTTCCAGTAGCCACAGGGATTTTGGGATTCCTATCAGTATTCAAGAGGAGTCAGGCATCGTCACCTTTTGAAGCAATGAACTCCGCGTGCCTCTCGAGGTGTCAGCGGGATGTGAGGCATTCCGTCAAAATGAGGCAGGGACCTAGGGCTTTCTCTAAGGTCTCCACAGGGGATTCAGACATCCCTTCATGTTGTGAGATGAAAGACGAGCCTGTATTCAAGCCACTGCAAGGAAATCCGGCCTCCTTTCAAGTTAGGGCTTCTCGCTGTATATTCCCCTTGAGGCAGCAAACTCGGGGTCCCTCCCACATACCTATTGCTGAGAGAAGCCTCCTCCTGAGGTGCTTCTGGGAAGTTGGCATACGTCTTGAGCCTAAGCCAGGGAATCAGCTCGCATCTCGAGACGATTTGGGGTACACGGAGCATTCCTCGAGTTGCTGTGCTGAAGTTGGTGTTCCTCTAGACTTGGGACAGTGTTCTCGGGGCATCTCTGGAGTTGCCTGAAGGAAGTCGAGCCACCGGTCGTGTTGAATGGGGAACGGGGAATGGCTCTGGAGTCAATGCAGGGGAATCGGGCCTCATCTCGAGTTGATTTGGGGCACATGGAGCTGCTTTGCGTTGCTGGGGTGACGTCAGGGTCCGTCTAGACTGGTGACAGTGTTCTTGGGGACTGTCTCGAGATCCATTAAGCAAGTCGAAGCTCCTGACTTGTTTGAATGGGGTCACGGAATAGCTCTGCATGCACTGCAGGGGAATGGGGCCTCATCTCGCCTCTAGGGGGAAGTCTCATGGTTTTTCTCGAGTTGCGGCGGGGACCTGGGGTATGTTCTCGACTTACGGCGGGGATGGCCCTTCAAAACACGAGTTTCTTCAGTGACGTCAGGACTCCTGTCTAGTAACGAGGGACACCTCAGGAATCTCTTCGAGGCTTGGCAGGGCCAAAGGGACGCTTCTCGAGGTGAGGCAGGGCACCCAAGGACCCTTTCCAGTAGCCACAGGGATTTTGGGATTCCTATCAGTATTCAAGAGGAGTCAGGCATCGTCACCTTTTGAAGCAATGAACTCCGCGTGCCTCTCGAGGTGTCAGCGGGATGTGAGGCATTCCGTCAAAATGAGGCAGGGACCTAGGGCTTTCTCTAAGGTCTCCACAGGGGATTCAGACATCCCTTCATGTTGTGAGATGAAAGACGAGCCTGTATTCAAGCCACTGCAAGGAAATCCGGCCTCCTTTCAAGTTAGGGCTTCTCGCTGTATATTCCCCTTGAGGCAGCAAACTCGGGGTCCCTCCCACATACCTATTGCTGAGAGAAGCCTCCTCCTGAGGTGCTTCTGGGAAGCTGGCATACGTCTTGAGCCTAAGCCAGGGAATCAGCTCACATCTCGAGACGATTTGGGGTACACGGAGCATTCCTCGAGTTGCTGTGCTGAAGTTGCTGTTCCTCTAGACTTGGGACAGTGTTCTCGGGGCATCTCTGGAGTTGCCTGAAGGAAGTCGAGCCACCGGTCGTGTTGAATGGGGAACGGGGAATGGCTCTGGAGTCAATGCAGGGGAATCGGGCCTCATCTCGAGTTGATTTGGGGCACATGGAGCTGCTTTGCGTTGCTGGGGTGACCTCAGGGTCCGTCTAGACTGGTGACAGTGTTCTTGGGGACTGTCTCGAGATCCATTAAGCAAGTCGAAGCTCCTGACTTGTTTGAATGGGATCACGGAATAGCTCTGCATGCACTGCAGGGGAATGGGGCCTCATCTCGCCTCTAGGGGGAAGTCTCATGGTTTTTCTCGAGTTGCGGCGGGGACCTGGGGTATGTTCTCGACTTACGGCGGGGATGGCCCTTCAAAACACGAGTTTCTTCAGTGACGTCAGGACTCCTGTCTAGTAACGAGGGACACCTCAGGAATCTCTTCGAGGCTTGGCAGGGCCAAAGGGACGCTTCTCGAGGTGAGGCAGGGCACCCAAGGACCCTTTCCAGTAGCCACAGGGATTTTGGGATTCCTATCAGTATTCAAGAGGAGTCAGGCACGTCACCTTTTGAAGCAATGAACTCCACGTGCCTCTCGAGGTGTCAGCGGGATGTGAGGCATTCCGTCAAAATGAGGCAGGGACCTAGGGCTTTCTCTAAGGTCTCCACAGGGGATTCAGACATCCCTTCATGTTGTGAGATGAAAGACGAGCCTGTATTCAAGCCACTGCAAGGAAATCCGGCCTCCTTTCAAGTTAGGGCTTCTCGCTGTATATTCCCCTTGAGGCAGCAAACTCGGGGTCCCTCCCACATACCTATTGCTGAGAGAAGCCTCCTCCTGAGGTGCTTCTGGGAAGTTGGCATACGTCTTGAGCCTAAGCCAGGGCATCAGCTCGCATCTCGAGACGACTTGGGGTACACGGAGCATTCCTCGAGTTGCTGTGCTGAAGTTGGTGTTCCTCTAGACTTGGGACAGTGTTCTCGGGGCATCTCTGGAGTTGCCTGAAGGAAGTCGAGCCACCGGTCGTGTTGAATGGGGAACGGGGAATGGCTCTGGAGTCAATGCAGGGGAATCGGGCCTCATCTCGAGTTGATTTGGGGCACATGGAGCTGCTTTGCGTTGCTGGGGTGACGTCAGGGTCCGTCTAGACTGGTGACAGTGTTCTTGGGGACTGTCTCGAGATCCATTAAGCAAGTCGAAGCTCCTGACTTGTTTGAATGGGATCACGGAATAGCTGTGCATGCACTGCAGGGGAATGGGGCCTCATCTCGCCTCTAGGGGGAAGTCTCATGGTTTTTCTCGAGTTGCGGCGGGGACCTGGGGTATGTTCTCGACTTACGGCGGGGATGGCCCTTCAAAACACGAGTTTCTTCAGTGACGTCAGGACTCCTGTCTAGTAACGAGGGACACCTCAGGAATCTCTTCGAGGCTTGGCAGGGCCAAAGGGACGCTTCTCGAGGTGAGGCAGGGCACCCAAGGACCCTTTCCAGTAGCCACAGGGATTTTGGGATTCCTATCAGTATTCAAGAGGAGTCAGGCATCGTCACCTTTTGAAGCAATGAACTCCGCGTGCCTCTCGAGGTGTCAGCGGGATGTGAGGCATTCCGTCAAAATGAGGCAGGGACCTAGGGCTTTCTCTAAGGTCTCCACAGGGGATTCAGACATCCCTTCATGTTGTGAGATGAAAGACAAGCCTGTATTCAAGCCACTGCAAGGAAATCCGGCCTCCTTTCAAGTTAGGGCTTCTCGCTGTATATTCCCCTTGAGGCAGCAAACTCGGGGTCCCTCCCACATACCTATTGCTGAGAGGAGCCTCCTCCTGAGGTGCTTCTGGGAAGTTGGCATACGTCTTGAGCCTAAGCCAGGGAATCAGCTCGCATCTCGAGACGATTTGGGGTACACGGAGCATTCCTCGAGTTGCTGTGCTGAAGTTGGTGTTCCTCTAGACTTGGGACAGTGTTCTCGGGGCATCTCTGGAGTTGCCTGAAGGAAGTCGAGCCACCGGTCGTGTTGAATGGGGAACGGGGAATGGCTCTGGAGTCAATGCAGGGGAATCGGGCCTCATCTCGAGTTGATTTGGGGCACATGGAGCTGCTTTGCGTTGCTGGGGTGACCTCAGGGTCCGTCTAGACTGGTGACAGTGTTCTTGGGGACTGTCTCGAGATCCATTAAGCAAGTCGAAGCTCCTGACTTGTTTGAATGGGATCACGGAATAGCTCTGCATGCACTGCAGGGGAATGGGGCCTCATCTCGCCTCTAGGGGGAAGTCTCATGGTTTTTCTCGAGTTGCGGCGGGGACCTGGGGTATGTTCTCGACTTACGGCGGGGATGGCCCTTCAAAACACGAGTTTCTTCAGTGACGTCAGGACTCCTGTCTAGTAACGAGGGACACCTCAGGAATCTCTTCGAGGCTTGGCAGGGCCAAAGGGACGCTTCTCGAGGTGAGGCAGGGCACCCAAGGACCCTTTCCAGTAGCCACAGGGATTTTGGGATTCCTATCAGTATTCAAGAGGAGTCAGGCATCGTCACCTTTTGAAGCAATGAACTCCGCGTGCCTCTCGAGGTGTCAGCAGGATGTGAGGCATTCCGTCAAAATGAGGCAGGGACCTAGGGCTTTCTCTAAGGTCTCCACAGGGGATTCAGACATCCCTTCATGTTGTGAGATGAAAGACGAGCCTGTATTCAAGCCACTGCAAGGAAATCCGGCCTCCTTTCAAGTTAGGGCTTCTCGCTGTATATTCCCCTTGAGGCAGCAAACTCGGGGTCCCACCCACATACCTATTGCTGAGAGAAGCCTCCTCCTGAGGTGCTTCTGGGAAGTTGGCATACGTCTTGAGCCTAAACCAGGGAATCAGCTCGCCTCTCGAGACGATTTGGGGTACACGGAGCATTCCTCGAGTTGCTGTGCTGAAGTTGGTGTTCCTCTAGACTTGGGACAGTGTTCTCGGGGCATCTCTGGAGTTGCCTGAAGGAAGTCGAGCCACCGGTCGTGTTGAATGGGGAACGGGGAATGGCTCTGGAGTCAATGCAGGGGAATCGGGCCTCATCTCGAGTTGATTTGGGGCACATGGAGCTGCTTTGCGTTGCTGGGGTGACCTCAGGGTCCGTCTAGACTGGTGACAGTGTTCTTGGGGACTGTCTCGAGATCCATTAAGCAAGTCGAAGCTCCTGACTTGTTTGAATGGGATCACGGAATAGCTCTGCATGCACTGCAGGGGAATGGGGCCTCATCTCGCCTCTAGGGGGAAGTCTCATGGTTTTTCTCGAGTTGCGGCGGGGACCTGGGGTATGTTCTCGACTTACGGCGGGGATGGCCCTTCAAAACACGAGTTTCTTCAGTGACGTCAGGACTCCTGTCTAGTAACGAGGGACACCTCAGGAATCTCTTCGAGGCTTGGCAGGGCCAAAGGGACGCTTCTCGAGGTGAGGCAGGGCACCCAAGGACCCTTTCCAGTAGCCACAGGGATTTTGGGATTCCTATCAGTATTCAAGAGGAGTCAGGCATCGTCACCTTTTGAAGCAATGAACTCCGCCTGCCTCTCGAGGTGTCAGCGGGATGTGAGACATTCCGTCAAAATGAGGCAGGGACCTAGGGCTTTCTCTAAGGTCTCCACAGGGGATTCAGACATCCCTTCATGTTGTGAGATGAAAGACGAGCCTGTATTCAAGCCACTGCAAGGAAATCCGGCCTCCTTTCAAGTTAGGGCTTCTCGCTGTATATTCCCCTTGAGGCAGCAAACTCGGGGTCCCTCCCACATACCTCTTACTGAGAGAAGCCTCCTCCTGAGGTGCTTCTGGGATGTTGGCATACGTCTTGAGCCTAAGCCAGGGAATCAGCTCGCATCTCGAGACGATTTGGGGTACACGGAGCATTCCTCGAGTTGCTGTGCTGAAGTTGGTGTTCCTCTAGACTTGGGACAGTGTTCTCGGGGCATCTCTGGAGTTGCCTGAAGGAAGTCGAGCCACCGGTCGTGTTGAATGGGGAACGGGGAATGGCTCTGGAGTCAATGCAGGGGAATCGGGCCTCATCTCGAGTTGATTTGGGACACATGGAGCTGCTTTGCGTTGCTGGGGTGACCTCAGGGTCCGTCTAGACTGGTGACAGTGTTCTTGGGGACTGTCTCGAGATCCATTAAGCAAGTCGAAGCTCCTGACTTGTTTGAATGGGGTCACGGAATAGCTCTGGGAATGGGGCCTCATCTCGCCTCTAGGGGGAAGTCTCATGGTTTTTCTCGAGTTGCGGCGGGGTCCTGGGGTATGTTCTCGACTTACGGCGGGGATGGCCCTTCAAAACACGAGTTTCTTCAGTGACGTCAGGACTCCTGTCTAGTAACGAGGGACACCTCAGGAATCTCTTCGAGGCTTGGCAGGGCCAAAGGGACGCTTCTCGAGGTGAGACAGGGCACCCAAGGACCCTTTCCAGTAGCCACAGGGATTTTGGGATTCCTATCAGTATTCAAGAGGAGTCAGGCATCGTCACCTTTTGAAGCAATGAACTCCGCGTGCCTCTCGAGGTGTCAGCGGGATGTGAGGCATTCCGTCAAAATGAGGCAGGGACCTAGGGCTTTCTCTAAGGTCTCCACAGGGGATTCAGACATCCTTTCATGTTGTGAGATGAAAGACGAGCCTGTATTCAAGCCACTGCAAGGAAATCCGGCCTCCTTTCAAGTTAGGGCTTCTCGCTGTATATTCCCCTTGAGGCAGCAAACTCGGGGTCCCTCCCACATACCTATTGCTGAGAGAAGCCTCCTCCTGAGGTGCTTCTGGGAAGTTGGCATACGTCTTGAGCCTAAGCCAGGGAATCAGCTCGCCTCTCGAGACGATTTGGGGTACACGGAGCATTCCTTGAGTTGCTGTGCTGAAGTTGGTGTTCCTCTAGACTTGGGACAGTGTTCTCGGGTCATCTCTGGAGTTGCCTGAAGGAAGTCGAGCCACCGGTCGTGTTGAATGGGGAACGGGGAATGGCTCTGGAGTCAATGCAGGGGAATCGGGCCTCATCTCGAGTTGATTTGGGGCACATGGAGCTGCTTTGCGTTGCTGGGGTGACCTCAGGGTCCGTCTAGACTGGTGACAGTGTTCTTGGGGACTGTCTCGAGATCCATTAAGCAAGTCGAAGCTCCTGACTTGTTTGAATGGGGTCACGGAATAGCTCTGCATGCACTGCAGGGGAATGGGGCCTCATCTCGCCTCTAGGGGGAAGTCTCATGGTTTTTCTCGAGTTGCGGCGGGGACCTGGGGTATGTTCTCGACTTACGGCGGGGATGGCCCTTCAAAACACGAGTTTCTTCAGTGACGTCAGGACTCCTGTCTAGTAACGAGGGACACCTCAGGAATCTCTTCGAGGCTTGGCAGGGCCAAAGGGACGCTTCTCGAGGTGAGGCAGGGCACCCAAGGACCCTTTCCAGTAGCCACAGGGATTTTGGGATTCCTATCAGTATTCAAGAGGAGTCAGGCATCGTCACCTTTTGAAGCAATGAACTCCGCGTGCCTCTCGAGGTGTCAGCGGGATGTGAGGCATTCCGTCAAAATGAGGCAGGGACCTAGGGCTTTCTCTAAGGTCTCCACAGGGGATTCAGACATCCCTTCATGTTGTGAGATGAAAGACGAGCCTGTATTCAAACCACTGCAAGGAAATCTGGCCTCCTTTCAAGTTAGGGCTTCTCGCTGTATATTCCCCTTGAGGCAGCAAACTCGGGGTCCCTCCCACATACCTATTGCTGAGAGAAGCCTCCTCCTCAGGTGCTTCTGGGAACTTGGCATACGTCTTGAGCCTAAGCCAGGGAATCAGCTCGCCTCTCGAGACGATTTGGGGTACACGGAGCATTCCTCGAGTTGCTGTGCTGAAGTTGGTGTTCCTCTAGACTTGGGACAGTGTTCTCGGGGCATCTCTGGAGTTGCCTGAAGGAAGTCGAGCCACCGGTCGTGTTGAATGGGGAACGGGGAATGGCTCTGGAGTCAATGCAGGGGAATCGGGCCTCATCTCGAGTTGATTTGGGGCACATGGAGCTGCTTTGCGTTGCTGGGGTGACGTCAGGGTCCGTCTAGACTGGTGACAGTGTTCTTGGGGACTGTCTCGAGATCCATTAAGCAAGTCGAAGCTCCTGACTTGTTTGAATGGGGTCACGGAATAGCTCTGCATGCACTGCAGGGGAATGGGGCCTCATCTCGCCTCTAGGGGGAAGTCTCATGGTTTTTCTCGAGTTGCGGCGGGGACCTGGGGTATGTTCTCGACTTACGGCGGGGATGGCCCTTCAAAACACGAGTTTCTTCAGTGACGTCAGGACTCCTGTCTAGTAACGAGGGACACCTCAGGAATCTCTTCGAGGCTTGGCAGGGCCAAAGGGACGCTTCTCGAGGTGAGGCAGGGCACCCAAGGACCCTTTCCAGTAGCCACAGGGATTTTGGGATTCCTATCAGTATTCAAGAGGAGTCAGGCATCGTCACCTTTTGAAGCAATGAACTCCGCGTGCCTCTCGAGGTGTCAGCGGGATGTGAGGCATTCCGTCAAAATGAGGCAGGGACCTAGGGCTTTCTCTAAGGTCTCCACAGGGGATTCAGACATCCCTTCATGTTGTGAGATGAAAGACGAGCCTGTATTCAAGCCACTGCAAGGAAATCCGGCCTCCTTTCAAGTTAGGGCTTCTCGCTGTATATTCCCCTTGAGGCAGCAAACTCGGGGTCCCTCCCACATACCTATTGCTGAGAGAAGCCTCCTCCTGAGGTGCTTCTGGGAAGTTGGCATACGTCTTGAGCCTAAGCCAGGGAATCAGCTCGCATCTCGAGACGATTTGGGGTACACGGAGCATTCCTCGAGTTGCTGTGCTGAAGTTGGTGTTCCTCTAGACTTGGGACAGTGTTCTCGGGGCATCTCTGGAGTTGCCTGAAGGAAGTCGAGCCACCGGTCGTGTTGAATGGGGAACGGGGAATGGCTCTGGAGTCAATGCAGGGGAATCGGGCCTCATCTCGAGTTGATTTGGGGCACATGGAGCTGCTTTGCGTTGCTGGGGTGACGTCAGGGTCCGTCTAGACTGGTGACAGTGTTCTTGGGGACTGTCTCGAGATCCATTAAGCAAGTCGAAGCTCCTGACTTGTTTGAATGGGGTCACGGAATAGCTCTGCATGCACTGCAGGGGAATGGGGCCTCATCTCGCCTCTAGGGGGAAGTCTCATGGTTTTTCTCGAGTTGCGGCGGGGACCTGGGGTATGTTCTCGACTTACGGCGGGGATGGCCCTTCAAAACACGAGTTTCTTCAGTGACGTCAGGACTCCTGTCTAGTAACGAGGGACACCTCAGGAATCTCTTCGAGGCTTGGCAGGGCCAAAGGGACGCTTCTCGAGGTGAGGCAGGGCACCCAAGGACCCTTTCCAGTAGCCACAGGGATTTTGGGATTCCTATCAGTATTCAAGAGGAGTCAGGCATCGTCACCTTTTGAAGCAATGAACTCCGCGTGCCTCTCGAGGTGTCAGCGGGATGTGAGGCATTCCGTCAAAATGAGGCAGGGACCTAGGGCTTTCTCTAAGGTCTCCACAGGGGATTCAGACATCCCTTCATGTTGTGAGATGAAAGACGAGCCTGTATTCAAGCCACTGCAAGGAAATCCGGCCTCCTTTCAAGTTAGGGCTTCTCGCTGTATATTCCCCTTGAGGCAGCAAACTCGGGGTCCCTCCCACATACCTATTGCTGAGAGAAGCCTCCTCCTGAGGTGCTTCTGGGAAGTTGGCATACGTCTTGAGCCTAAGCCAGGGAATCAGCTCGCATCTCGAGACGATTTGGGGTACACGGAGCATTCCTCGAGTTGCTGTGCTGAAGTTGGTGTTCCTCTAGACTTGGGACAGTGTTCTCGGGGCATCTCTGGAGTTGCCTGAAGGAAGTCGAGCCACCGGTCGTGTTGAATGGGGAACGGGGAATGGCTCTGGAGTCAATGCAGGGGAATCGGGCCTCATCTCGAGTTGATTTGGGGCACATGGAGCTGCTTTGCGTTGCTGGGGTGACGTCAGGGTCCGTCTAGACTGGTGACAGTGTTCTTGGGGACTGTCTCGAGATCCATTAAGCAAGTCGAAGCTCCTGACTTGTTTGAATGGGGTCACGGAATAGCTCTGCATGCACTGCAGGGGAATGGGGCCTCATCTCGCCTCTAGGGGGAAGTCTCATGGTTTTTCTCGAGTTGCGGCGGGGACCTGGGGTATGTTCTCGACTTACGGCGGGGATGGCCCTTCAAAACACGAGTTTCTTCAGTGACGTCAGGACTCCTGTCTAGTAACGAGGGACACCTCAGGAATCTCTTCGAGGCTTGGCAGGGCCAAAGGGACGCTTCTCGAGGTGAGGCAGGGCACCCAAGGACCCTTTCCAGTAGCCACAGGGATTTTGGGATTCCTATCAGTATTCAAGAGGAGTCAGGCATCGTCACCTTTTGAAGCAATGAACTCCGCGTGCCTCTCGAGGTGTCAGCGGGATGTGAGGCATTCCGTCAAAATGAGGCAGGGACCTAGGGCTTTCTCTAAGGTCTCCACAGGGGATTCAGACATCCCTTCATGTTGTGAGATGAAAGACGAGCCTGTATTCAAGCCACTGCAAGGAAATCCGGCCTCCTTTCAAGTTAGGGCTTCTCGCTGTATATTCCCCTTGAGGCAGCAAACTCGGGGTCCCTCCCACATACCTATTGCTGAGAGAAGCCTCCTCCTGAGGTGCTTCTGGGAAGTTGGCATACGTCTTGAGCCTAAGCCAGGGAATCAGCTCGCATCTCGAGACGATTTGGGGTACACGGAGCATTCCTCGAGTTGCTGTGCTGAAGTTGGTGTTCCTCTAGACTTGGGACAGTGTTCTCGGGGCATCTCTGGAGTTGCCTGAAGGAAGTCGAGCCACCGGTCGTGTTGAATGGGGAACGGGGAATGGCTCTGGAGTCAATGCAGGGGAATCGGGCCTCATCTCGAGTTGATTTGGGGCACATGGAGCTGCTTTGCGTTGCTGGGGTGACGTCAGGGTCCGTCTAGACTGGTGACAGTGTTCTTGGGGACTGTCTCGAGATCCATTAAGCAAGTCGAAGCTCCTGACTTGTTTGAATGGGGTCACGGAATAGCTCTGCATGCACTGCAGGGGAATGGGGCCTCATCTCGCCTCTAGGGGGAAGTCTCATGGTTTTTCTCGAGTTGCGGCGGGGACCTGGGGTATGTTCTCGACTTACGGCGGGGATGGCCCTTCAAAACACGAGTTTCTTCAGTGACGTCAGGACTCCTGTCTAGTAACGAGGGACACCTCAGGAATCTCTTCGAGGCTTGGCAGGGCCAAAGGGACGCTTCTCGAGGTGAGGCAGGGCACCCAAGGACCCTTTCCAGTAGCCACAGGGATTTTGGGATTCCTATCAGTATTCAAGAGGAGTCAGGCATCGTCACCTTTTGAAGCAATGAACTCCGCGTGCCTCTCGAGGTGTCAGCGGGATGTGAGGCATTCCGTCAAAATGAGGCAGGGACCTAGGGCTTTCTCTAAGGTCTCCACAGGGGATTCAGACATCCCTTCATGTTGTGAGATGAAAGACGAGCCTGTATTCAAGCCACTGCAAGGAAATCCGGCCTCCTTTCAAGTTAGGGCTTCTCGCTGTATATTCCCCTTGAGGCAGCAAACTCGGGGTCCCTCCCACATACCTATTGCTGAGAGAAGCCTCCTCCTGAGGTGCTTCTGGGAAGCTGGCATACGTCTTGAGCCTAAGCCAGGGAATCAGCTCACATCTCGAGACGATTTGGGGTACACGGAGCATTCCTCGAGTTGCTGTGCTGAAGTTGCTGTTCCTCTAGACTTGGGACAGTGTTCTCGGGGCATCTCTGGAGTTGCCTGAAGGAAGTCGAGCCACCGGTCGTGTTGAATGGGGAACGGGGAATGGCTCTGGAGTCAATGCAGGGGAATCGGGCCTCATCTCGAGTTGATTTGGGGCACATGGAGCTGCTTTGCGTTGCTGGGGTGACCTCAGGGTCCGTCTAGACTGGTGACAGTGTTCTTGGGGACTGTCTCGAGATCCATTAAGCAAGTCGAAGCTCCTGACTTGTTTGAATGGGATCACGGAATAGCTCTGCATGCACTGCAGGGGAATGGGGCCTCATCTCGCCTCTAGGGGGAAGTCTCATGGTTTTTCTCGAGTTGCGGCGGGGACCTGGGGTATGTTCTCGACTTACGGCGGGGATGGCCCTTCAAAACACGAGTTTCTTCAGTGACGTCAGGACTCCTGTCTAGTAACGAGGGACACCTCAGGAATCTCTTCGAGGCTTGGCAGGGCCAAAGGGACGCTTCTCGAGGTGAGGCAGGGCACCCAAGGACCCTTTCCAGTAGCCACAGGGATTTTGGGATTCCTATCAGTATTCAAGAGGAGTCAGGCACGTCACCTTTTGAAGCAATGAACTCCACGTGCCTCTCGAGGTGTCAGCGGGATGTGAGGCATTCCGTCAAAATGAGGCAGGGACCTAGGGCTTTCTCTAAGGTCTCCACAGGGGATTCAGACATCCCTTCATGTTGTGAGATGAAAGACGAGCCTGTATTCAAGCCACTGCAAGGAAATCCGGCCTCCTTTCAAGTTAGGGCTTCTCGCTGTATATTCCCCTTGAGGCAGCAAACTCGGGGTCCCTCCCACATACCTATTGCTGAGAGAAGCCTCCTCCTGAGGTGCTTCTGGGAAGTTGGCATACGTCTTGAGCCTAAGCCAGGGCATCAGCTCGCATCTCGAGACGACTTGGGGTACACGGAGCATTCCTCGAGTTGCTGTGCTGAAGTTGGTGTTCCTCTAGACTTGGGACAGTGTTCTCGGGGCATCTCTGGAGTTGCCTGAAGGAAGTCGAGCCACCGGTCGTGTTGAATGGGGAACGGGGAATGGCTCTGGAGTCAATGCAGGGGAATCGGGCCTCATCTCGAGTTGATTTGGGGCACATGGAGCTGCTTTGCGTTGCTGGGGTGACCTCAGGGTCCGTCTAGACTGGTGACAGTGTTCTTGGGGACTGTCTCGAGATCCATTAAGCAAGTCGAAGCTCCTGACTTGTTTGAATGGGATCACGGAATAGCTGTGCATGCACTGCAGGGGAATGGGGCCTCATCTCGCCTCTAGGGGGAAGTCTCATGGTTTTTCTCGAGTTGCGGCGGGGACCTGGGGTATGTTCTCGACTTACGGCGGGGATGGCCCTTCAAAACACGAGTTTCTTCAGTGACGTCAGGACTCCTGTCTAGTAACGAGGGACACCTCAGGAATCTCTTCGAGGCTTGGCAGGGCCAAAGGGACGCTTCTCGAGGTGAGGCAGGGCACCCAAGGACCCTTTCCAGTAGCCACAGGGATTTTGGGATTCCTATCAGTATTCAAGAGGAGTCAGGCATCGTCACCTTTTGAAGCAATGAACTCCGCGTGCCTCTCGAGGTGTCAGCGGGATGTGAGGCATTCCGTCAAAATGAGGCAGGGACCTAGGGCTTTCTCTAAGGTCTCCACAGGGGATTCAGACATCCCTTCATGTTGTGAGATGAAAGACAAGCCTGTATTCAAGCCACTGCAAGGAAATCCGGCCTCCTTTCAAGTTAGGGCTTCTCGCTGTATATTCCCCTTGAGGCAGCAAACTCGGGGTCCCTCCCACATACCTATTGCTGAGAGGAGCCTCCTCCTGAGGTGCTTCTGGGAAGTTGGCATACGTCTTGAGCCTAAGCCAGGGAATCAGCTCGCATCTCGAGACGATTTGGGGTACACGGAGCATTCCTCGAGTTGCTGTGCTGAAGTTGGTGTTCCTCTAGACTTGGGACAGTGTTCTCGGGGCATCTCTGGAGTTGCCTGAAGGAAGTCGAGCCACCGGTCGTGTTGAATGGGGAACGGGGAATGGCTCTGGAGTCAATGCAGGGGAATCGGGCCTCATCTCGAGTTGATTTGGGGCACATGGAGCTGCTTTGCGTTGCTGGGGTGACCTCAGGGTCCGTCTAGACTGGTGACAGTGTTCTTGGGGACTGTCTCGAGATCCATTAAGCAAGTCGAAGCTCCTGACTTGTTTGAATGGGATCACGGAATAGCTCTGCATGCACTGCAGGGGAATGGGGCCTCATCTCGCCTCTAGGGGGAAGTCTCATGGTTTTTCTCGAGTTGCGGCGGGGACCTGGGGTATGTTCTCGACTTACGGCGGGGATGGCCCTTCAAAACACGAGTTTCTTCAGTGACGTCAGGACTCCTGTCTAGTAACGAGGGACACCTCAGGAATCTCTTCGAGGCTTGGCAGGGCCAAAGGGACGCTTCTCGAGGTGAGGCAGGGCACCCAAGGACCCTTTCCAGTAGCCACAGGGATTTTGGGATTCCTATCAGTATTCAAGAGGAGTCAGGCATCGTCACCTTTTGAAGCAATGAACTCCGCGTGCCTCTCGAGGTGTCAGCAGGATGTGAGGCATTCCGTCAAAATGAGGCAGGGACCTAGGGCTTTCTCTAAGGTCTCCACAGGGGATTCAGACATCCCTTCATGTTGTGAGATGAAAGACGAGCCTGTATTCAAGCCACTGCAAGGAAATCCGGCCTCCTTTCAAGTTAGGGCTTCTCGCTGTATATTCCCCTTGAGGCAGCAAACTCGGGGTCCCACCCACATACCTATTGCTGAGAGAAGCCTCCTCCTGAGGTGCTTCTGGGAAGTTGGCATACGTCTTGAGCCTAAACCAGGGAATCAGCTCGCCTCTCGAGACGATTTGGGGTACACGGAGCATTCCTCGAGTTGCTGTGCTGAAGTTGGTGTTCCTCTAGACTTGGGACAGTGTTCTCGGGGCATCTCTGGAGTTGCCTGAAGGAAGTCGAGCCACCGGTCGTGTTGAATGGGGAACGGGGAATGGCTCTGGAGTCAATGCAGGGGAATCGGGCCTCATCTCGAGTTGATTTGGGGCACATGGAGCTGCTTTGCGTTGCTGGGGTGACCTCAGGGTCCGTCTAGACTGGTGACAGTGTTCTTGGGGACTGTCTCGAGATCCATTAAGCAAGTCGAAGCTCCTGACTTGTTTGAATGGGATCACGGAATAGCTCTGCATGCACTGCAGGGGAATGGGGCCTCATCTCGCCTCTAGGGGGAAGTCTCATGGTTTTTCTCGAGTTGCGGCGGGGACCTGGGGTATGTTCTCGACTTACGGCGGGGATGGCCCTTCAAAACACGAGTTTCTTCAGTGACGTCAGGACTCCTGTCTAGTAACGAGGGACACCTCAGGAATCTCTTCGAGGCTTGGCAGGGCCAAAGGGACGCTTCTCGAGGTGAGGCAGGGCACCCAAGGACCCTTTCCAGTAGCCACAGGGATTTTGGGATTCCTATCAGTATTCAAGAGGAGTCAGGCATCGTCACCTTTTGAAGCAATGAACTCCGCCTGCCTCTCGAGGTGTCAGCGGGATGTGAGACATTCCGTCAAAATGAGGCAGGGACCTAGGGCTTTCTCTAAGGTCTCCACAGGGGATTCAGACATCCCTTCATGTTGTGAGATGAAAGACGAGCCTGTATTCAAGCCACTGCAAGGAAATCCGGCCTCCTTTCAAGTTAGGGCTTCTCGCTGTATATTCCCCTTGAGGCAGCAAACTCGGGGTCCCTCCCACATACCTCTTACTGAGAGAAGCCTCCTCCTGAGGTGCTTCTGGGATGTTGGCATACGTCTTGAGCCTAAGCCAGGGAATCAGCTCGCATCTCGAGACGATTTGGGGTACACGGAGCATTCCTCGAGTTGCTGTGCTGAAGTTGGTGTTCCTCTAGACTTGGGACAGTGTTCTCGGGGCATCTCTGGAGTTGCCTGAAGGAAGTCGAGCCACCGGTCGTGTTGAATGGGGAACGGGGAATGGCTCTGGAGTCAATGCAGGGGAATCGGGCCTCATCTCGAGTTGATTTGGGACACATGGAGCTGCTTTGCGTTGCTGGGGTGACCTCAGGGTCCGTCTAGACTGGTGACAGTGTTCTTGGGGACTGTCTCGAGATCCATTAAGCAAGTCGAAGCTCCTGACTTGTTTGAATGGGGTCACGGAATAGCTCTGGGAATGGGGCCTCATCTCGCCTCTAGGGGGAAGTCTCATGGTTTTTCTCGAGTTGCGGCGGGGTCCTGGGGTATGTTCTCGACTTACGGCGGGGATGGCCCTTCAAAACACGAGTTTCTTCAGTGACGTCAGGACTCCTGTCTAGTAACGAGGGACACCTCAGGAATCTCTTCGAGGCTTGGCAGGGCCAAAGGGACGCTTCTCGAGGTGAGACAGGGCACCCAAGGACCCTTTCCAGTAGCCACAGGGATTTTGGGATTCCTATCAGTATTCAAGAGGAGTCAGGCATCGTCACCTTTTGAAGCAATGAACTCCGCGTGCCTCTCGAGGTGTCAGCGGGATGTGAGGCATTCCGTCAAAATGAGGCAGGGACCTAGGGCTTTCTCTAAGGTCTCCACAGGGGATTCAGACATCCTTTCATGTTGTGAGATGAAAGACGAGCCTGTATTCAAGCCACTGCAAGGAAATCCGGCCTCCTTTCAAGTTAGGGCTTCTCGCTGTATATTCCCCTTGAGGCAGCAAACTCGGGGTCCCTCCCACATACCTATTGCTGAGAGAAGCCTCCTCCTGAGGTGCTTCTGGGAAGTTGGCATACGTCTTGAGCCTAAGCCAGGGAATCAGCTCGCCTCTCGAGACGATTTGGGGTACACGGAGCATTCCTTGAGTTGCTGTGCTGAAGTTGGTGTTCCTCTAGACTTGGGACAGTGTTCTCGGGTCATCTCTGGAGTTGCCTGAAGGAAGTCGAGCCACCGGTCGTGTTGAATGGGGAACGGGGAATGGCTCTGGAGTCAATGCAGGGGAATCGGGCCTCATCTCGAGTTGATTTGGGGCACATGGAGCTGCTTTGCGTTGCTGGGGTGACCTCAGGGTCCGTCTAGACTGGTGACAGTGTTCTTGGGGACTGTCTCGAGATCCATTAAGCAAGTCGAAGCTCCTGACTTGTTTGAATGGGGTCACGGAATAGCTCTGCATGCACTGCAGGGGAATGGGGCCTCATCTCGCCTCTAGGGGGAAGTCTCATGGTTTTTCTCGAGTTGCGGCGGGGACCTGGGGTATGTTCTCGACTTACGGCGGGGATGGCCCTTCAAAACACGAGTTTCTTCAGTGACGTCAGGACTCCTGTCTAGTAACGAGGGACACCTCAGGAATCTCTTCGAGGCTTGGCAGGGCCAAAGGGACGCTTCTCGAGGTGAGGCAGGGCACCCAAGGACCCTTTCCAGTAGCCACAGGGATTTTGGGATTCCTATCAGTATTCAAGAGGAGTCAGGCATCGTCACCTTTTGAAGCAATGAACTCCGCGTGCCTCTCGAGGTGTCAGCGGGATGTGAGGCATTCCGTCAAAATGAGGCAGGGACCTAGGGCTTTCTCTAAGGTCTCCACAGGGGATTCAGACATCCCTTCATGTTGTGAGATGAAAGACGAGCCTGTATTCAAACCACTGCAAGGAAATCTGGCCTCCTTTCAAGTTAGGGCTTCTCGCTGTATATTCCCCTTGAGGCAGCAAACTCGGGGTCCCTCCCACATACCTATTGCTGAGAGAAGCCTCCTCCTCAGGTGCTTCTGGGAACTTGGCATACGTCTTGAGCCTAAGCCAGGGAATCAGCTCGCCTCTCGAGACGATTTGGGGTACACGGAGCATTCCTCGAGTTGCTGTGCTGAAGTTGGTGTTCCTCTAGACTTGGGACAGTGTTCTCGGGGCATCTCTGGAGTTGCCTGAAGGAAGTCGAGCCACCGGTCGTGTTGAATGGGGAACGGGGAATGGCTCTGGAGTCAATGCAGGGGAATCGGGCCTCATCTCGAGTTGATTTGGGGCACATGGAGCTGCTTTGCGTTGCTGGGGTGACGTCAGGGTCCGTCTAGACTGGTGACAGTGTTCTTGGGGACTGTCTCGAGATCCATTAAGCAAGTCGAAGCTCCTGACTTGTTTGAATGGGGTCACGGAATAGCTCTGCATGCACTGCAGGGGAATGGGGCCTCATCTCGCCTCTAGGGGGAAGTCTCATGGTTTTTCTCGAGTTGCGGCGGGGACCTGGGGTATGTTCTCGACTTACGGCGGGGATGGCCCTTCAAAACACGAGTTTCTTCAGTGACGTCAGGACTCCTGTCTAGTAACGAGGGACACCTCAGGAATCTCTTCGAGGCTTGGCAGGGCCAAAGGGACGCTTCTCGAGGTGAGGCAGGGCACCCAAGGACCCTTTCCAGTAGCCACAGGGATTTTGGGATTCCTATCAGTATTCAAGAGGAGTCAGGCATCGTCACCTTTTGAAGCAATGAACTCCGCGTGCCTCTCGAGGTGTCAGCGGGATGTGAGGCATTCCGTCAAAATGAGGCAGGGACCTAGGGCTTTCTCTAAGGTCTCCACAGGGGATTCAGACATCCCTTCATGTTGTGAGATGAAAGACGAGCCTGTATTCAAGCCACTGCAAGGAAATCCGGCCTCCTTTCAAGTTAGGGCTTCTCGCTGTATATTCCCCTTGAGGCAGCAAACTCGGGGTCCCTCCCACATACCTATTGCTGAGAGAAGCCTCCTCCTGAGGTGCTTCTGGGAAGTTGGCATACGTCTTGAGCCTAAGCCAGGGAATCAGCTCGCATCTCGAGACGATTTGGGGTACACGGAGCATTCCTCGAGTTGCTGTGCTGAAGTTGGTGTTCCTCTAGACTTGGGACAGTGTTCTCGGGGCATCTCTGGAGTTGCCTGAAGGAAGTCGAGCCACCGGTCGTGTTGAATGGGGAACGGGGAATGGCTCTGGAGTCAATGCAGGGGAATCGGGCCTCATCTCGAGTTGATTTGGGGCACATGGAGCTGCTTTGCGTTGCTGGGGTGACGTCAGGGTCCGTCTAGACTGGTGACAGTGTTCTTGGGGACTGTCTCGAGATCCATTAAGCAAGTCGAAGCTCCTGACTTGTTTGAATGGGGTCACGGAATAGCTCTGCATGCACTGCAGGGGAATGGGGCCTCATCTCGCCTCTAGGGGGAAGTCTCATGGTTTTTCTCGAGTTGCGGCGGGGACCTGGGGTATGTTCTCGACTTACGGCGGGGATGGCCCTTCAAAACACGAGTTTCTTCAGTGACGTCAGGACTCCTGTCTAGTAACGAGGGACACCTCAGGAATCTCTTCGAGGCTTGGCAGGGCCAAAGGGACGCTTCTCGAGGTGAGGCAGGGCACCCAAGGACCCTTTCCAGTAGCCACAGGGATTTTGGGATTCCTATCAGTATTCAAGAGGAGTCAGGCATCGTCACCTTTTGAAGCAATGAACTCCGCGTGCCTCTCGAGGTGTCAGCGGGATGTGAGGCATTCCGTCAAAATGAGGCAGGGACCTAGGGCTTTCTCTAAGGTCTCCACAGGGGATTCAGACATCCCTTCATGTTGTGAGATGAAAGACGAGCCTGTATTCAAGCCACTGCAAGGAAATCCGGCCTCCTTTCAAGTTAGGGCTTCTCGCTGTATATTCCCCTTGAGGCAGCAAACTCGGGGTCCCTCCCACATACCTATTGCTGAGAGAAGCCTCCTCCTGAGGTGCTTCTGGGAAGCTGGCATACGTCTTGAGCCTAAGCCAGGGAATCAGCTCACATCTCGAGACGATTTGGGGTACACGGAGCATTCCTCGAGTTGCTGTGCTGAAGTTGCTGTTCCTCTAGACTTGGGACAGTGTTCTCGGGGCATCTCTGGAGTTGCCTGAAGGAAGTCGAGCCACCGGTCGTGTTGAATGGGGAACGGGGAATGGCTCTGGAGTCAATGCAGGGGAATCGGGCCTCATCTCGAGTTGATTTGGGGCACATGGAGCTGCTTTGCGTTGCTGGGGTGACCTCAGGGTCCGTCTAGACTGGTGACAGTGTTCTTGGGGACTGTCTCGAGATCCATTAAGCAAGTCGAAGCTCCTGACTTGTTTGAATGGGATCACGGAATAGCTCTGCATGCACTGCAGGGGAATGGGGCCTCATCTCGCCTCTAGGGGGAAGTCTCATGGTTTTTCTCGAGTTGCGGCGGGGACCTGGGGTATGTTCTCGACTTACGGCGGGGATGGCCCTTCAAAACACGAGTTTCTTCAGTGACGTCAGGACTCCTGTCTAGTAACGAGGGACACCTCAGGAATCTCTTCGAGGCTTGGCAGGGCCAAAGGGACGCTTCTCGAGGTGAGGCAGGGCACCCAAGGACCCTTTCCAGTAGCCACAGGGATTTTGGGATTCCTATCAGTATTCAAGAGGAGTCAGGCATCGTCACCTTTTGAAGCAATGAACTCCACGTGCCTCTCGAGGTGTCAGCGGGATGTGAGGCATTCCGTCAAAATGAGGCAGGGACCTAGGGCTTTCTCTAAGGTCTCCACAGGGGATTCAGACATCCCTTCATGTTGTGAGATGAAAGACGAGCCTGTATTCAAGCCACTGCAAGGAAATCCGGCCTCCTTTCAAGTTAGGGCTTCTCGCTGTATATTCCCCTTGAGGCAGCAAACTCGGGGTCCCTCCCACATACCTATTGCTGAGAGAAGCCTCCTCCTGAGGTGCTTCTGGGAAGTTGGCATACGTCTTGAGCCTAAGCCAGGGCATCAGCTCGCATCTCGAGACGACTTGGGGTACACGGAGCATTCCTCGAGTTGCTGTGCTGAAGTTGGTGTTCCTCTAGACTTGGGACAGTGTTCTCGGGGCATCTCTGGAGTTGCCTGAAGGAAGTCGAGCCACCGGTCGTGTTGAATGGGGAACGGGGAATGGCTCTGGAGTCAATGCAGGGGAATCGGGCCTCATCTCGAGTTGATTTGGGGCACATGGAGCTGCTTTGCGTTGCTGGGGTGACGTCAGGGTCCGTCTAGACTGGTGACAGTGTTCTTGGGGACTGTCTCGAGATCCATTAAGCAAGTCGAAGCTCCTGACTTGTTTGAATGGGGTCACGGAATAGCTCTGCATGCACTGCAGGGGAATGGGGCCTCATCTCGCCTCTAGGGGGAAGTCTCATGGTTTTTCTCGAGTTGCGGCGGGGACCTGGGGTATGTTCTCGACTTACGGCGGGGATGGCCCTTCAAAACACGAGTTTCTTCAGTGACGTCAGGACTCCTGTCTAGTAACGAGGGACACCTCAGGAATCTCTTCGAGGCTTGGCAGGGCCAAAGGGACGCTTCTCGAGGTGAGGCAGGGCACCCAAGGACCCTTTCCAGTAGCCACAGGGATTTTGGGATTCCTATCAGTATTCAAGAGGAGTCAGGCATCGTCACCTTTTGAAGCAATGAACTCCGCGTGCCTCTCGAGGTGTCAGCGGGATGTGAGGCATTCCGTCAAAATGAGGCAGGGACCTAGGGCTTTCTCTAAGGTCTCCACAGGGGATTCAGACATCCCTTCATGTTGTGAGATGAAAGACGAGCCTGTATTCAAGCCACTGCAAGGAAATCCGGCCTCCTTTCAAGTTAGGGCTTCTCGCTGTATATTCCCCTTGAGGCAGCAAACTCGGGGTCCCTCCCACATACCTATTGCTGAGAGAAGCCTCCTCCTCAGGTGCTTCTGGGAAGTTGGCATACGTCTTGAGCCTAAGCCAGGGAATCAGCTCGCCTCTCGAGACGATTTGGGGTACACGGAGCATTCCTCGAGTTGCTGTGCTGAAGTTGGTGTTCCTTTAGACTTGGGACAGTGTTCTCGGGGCATCTCTGGAGTTGCCTGAAGGAAGTCGAGCCACCGGTCGTGTTGAATGGGGAACGGGGAATGGCTCTGGAGTCAATGCAGGGGAATCGGGCCTCATCTCGAGTTGATTTGGGGCACATGGAGCTGCTTTGCGTTGCTGGGGTGACGTCAGGGTCCGTCTAGACTGGTGACAGTGTTCTTGGGGACTGTCTCGAGATCCATTAAGCAAGTCGAAGCTCCTGACTTGTTTGAATGGGGTCACGGAATAGCTCTGCATGCACTGCAGGGGAATGGGGCCTCATCTCGCCTCTAGGGGGAAGTCTCATGGTTTTTCTCGAGTTGCGGCGGGGACCTGGGGTATGTTCTCGACTTACGGCGGGGATGGCCCTTCAAAACACGAGTTTCTTCAGTGACGTCAGGACTCCTGTCTAGTAACGAGGGACACCTCAGGAATCTCTTCGAGGCTTGGCAGGGCCAAAGGGACGCTTCTCGAGGTGAGGCAGGGCACCCAAGGACCCTTTCCAGTAGCCACAGGGATTTTGGGATTCCTATCAGTATTCAAGAGGAGTCAGGCATCGTCACCTTTTGAAGCAATGAACTCCGCGTGCCTCTCGAGGTGTCAGCGGGATGTGAGGCATTCCGTCAAAATGAGGCAGGGACCTAGGGCTTTCTCTAAGGTCTCCACAGGGGATTCAGACATCCCTTCATGTTGTGAGATGAAAGACGAGCCTGTATTCAAGCCACTGCAAGGAAATCCGGCCTCCTTTCAAGTTAGGGCTTCTCGCTGTATATTCCCCTTGAGGCAGCAAACTCGGGGTCCCTCCCACATACCTATTGCTGAGAGAAGCCTCCTCCTGAGGTGCTTCTGGGAAGTTGGCATACGTCTTGAGCCTAAGCCAGGGAATCAGCTCGCCTCTCGAGACGATTTGGGGTACACGGAGCATTCCTTGAGTTGCTGTGCTGAAGTTGGTGTTCCTCTAGACTTGGGACAGTGTTCTCGGGGCATCTCTGGAGTTGCCTGAAGGAAGTCGAGCCACCGGTCGTGTTGAATGGGGAACGGGGAATGGCTCTGGAGTCAATGCAGGGGAATCGGGCCTCATCTCGAGTTGATTTGGGGCACATGGAGCTGCTTTGCGTTGCTGGGGTGACCTCAGGGTCCGTCTAGACTGGTGACAGTGTTCTTGGGGACTGTCTCGAGATCCATTAAGCAAGTCGAAGCTCCTGACTTGTTTGAATGGGGTCACGGAATAGCTCTGCATGCACTGCAGGGGAATGGGGCCTCATCTCGCCTCTAGGGGGAAGTCTCATGGTTTTTCTCGAGTTGCGGCGGGGACCTGGGGTATGTTCTCGACTTACGGCGGGGATGGCCCTTCAAAACACGAGTTTCTTCAGTGACGTCAGGACTCCTGTCTAGTAACGAGGGACACCTCAGGAATCTCTTTGAGGCTTGGCAGGGCCAAAGGGACGCTTCTCGAGGTGAGGCAGGGCACCCAAGGACCCTTTCCAGTAGCCACAGGGATTTTGGGATTCCTATCAGTATTCAAGAGGAGTCAGGCATCGTCACCTTTTGAAGCAATGAACTCCGCGTGCCTCTCGAGGTGTCAGCGGGATGTGAGGCATTCCGTCAAAATGAGGCAGGGACCTAGGGCTTTCTCTAAGGTCTCCACAGGGGATTCAGACATCCCTTCATGTTGTGAGATGAAAGACGAGCCTGTATTCAAGCCACTGCAAGGAAATCCGGCCTCCTTTCAAGTTAGGGCTTCTCGCTGTATATTCCCCTTGAGGCAGCAAACTCGGGGTCCCTCCCACATACCTATTGCTGAGAGAAGCCTCCTCCTGAGGTGCTTCTGGGAAGTTGGCATACGTCTTGAGCCTAAGCCAGGGAATCAGCTCGCATCTCGAGACGATTTGGGGTACACGGAGCATGCCTCGAGTTGCTGTGCTGAAGTTGGTGTTCCTCTAGACTTGGGACAGTGTTCTCGGGGCATCTCTGGAGTTGCCTGAAGGAAGTCGAGCCACCGGTCGTGTTGAATGGGGAACGGGGAATGGCTCTGGAGTCAATGCAGGGGAATCAGGCCTCATCTCGAGTTGATTTGGGGCACATGGAGCTGCTTTGCGTTGCTGGGGTGACCTCAGGGTCCGTCTAGACTGGTGACAGTGTTCTTGGGGACTGTCTCGAGATCCATTAAGCAAGTCGAAGCTCCTGACTTGTTTGAATGGGGTCACGGAATAGCTCTGCATGCACTGCAGGGGAATGGGGCCTCATCTCGCCTCTAGGGGGAAGTCTCATGGTTTTTCTCGAGTTGCGGCGGGGACCTGGGGTATGTTCTCGACTTACGGCGGGGATGGCCCTTCAAAACACGAGTTTCTTCAGTGACGTCAGGACTCCTGTCTAGTAACGAGGGACACCTCAGGAATCTCTTCGAGGCTTGGCAGGGCCAAAGGGACGCTTCTCGAGGTGAGGCAGGGCACCCAAGGACCCTTTCCAGTAGCCACAGGGATTTTGGGATTCCTATCAGTATTCAAGAGGAGTCAGGCATCGTCACCTTTTGAAGCAATGAACTCCGCGTGCCTCTCGAGGTGTCAGCGGGATGTGAGGCATTCCGTCAAAATGAGGCAGGGACCTAGGGCTTTCTCTAAGGTCTCCACAGGGGATTCAGACATCCCTTCATGTTGTGAGATGAAAGACGAGCCTGTATTCAAGCCACTGCAAGGAAATCCGGCCTCCTTTCAAGTTAGGGCTTCTCGCTGTATATTCCCCTTGAGGCAGCAAACTCGGGGTCCCTCCCACATACCTATTGCTGAGAGAAGCCTCCTCCTGAGGTGCTTCTGGGAAGTTGGCATACGTCTTGAGCCTAAGCCAGGGAATCAGCTCGCATCTCGAGACGACTTGGGGTACACGGAGCATTCCTCGAGTTGCTGTGCTGAAGTTGGTGTTCCTCTAGACTTGGGACAGTGTTCTCGGGGCATCTCTGGAGTTGCCTGAAGGAAGTCGAGCCACCGGTCGTGTTGAATGGGGAACGGGGAATGGCTCTGGAGTCAATGCAGGGGAATCGGGCCTCATCTCGAGTTGATTTGGGGCACATGGAGCTGCTTTGCGTTGCTGGGGTGACCTCAGGGTCCGTCTAGACTGGTGACAGTGTTCTTGGGGACTGTCTCGAGATCCATTAAGCAAGTCGAAGCTCCTGACTTGTTTGAATGGGGTCACGGAATAGCTCTGCATGCACTGCAGGGGAATGGGGCCTCATCTCGCCTCTAGGGGGAAGTCTCATGGTTTTTCTCGAGTTGCGGCGGGGACCTGGGGTATGTTCTCGACTTACGGCGGGGATGGCCCTTCAAAACACGAGTTTCTTCAGTGACGTCAGGACTCCTGTCTAGTAACGAGGGACACCTCAGGAATCTCTTCGAGGCTTGGCAGGGCCAAAGGGACGCTTCTCGAGGTGAGGCAGGGCACCCAAGGACCCTTTCCAGTAGCCACAGGGATTTTGGGATTCCTATCAGTATTCAAGAGGAGTCAGGCATCGTCACCTTTTGAAGCAATGAACTCCGCGTGCCTCTCGAGGTGTCAGCGGGATGTGAGGCATTCCGTCAAAATGAGGCAGGGACCTAGGGCTTTCTCTAAGGTCTCCACAGGGGATTCAGACATCCCTTCATGTTGTGAGATGAAAGACGAGCCTGTATTCAAGCCACTGCAAGGAAATCCGGCCTCCTTTCAAGTTAGGGCTTCTCGCTGTATATTCCCCTTGAGGCAGCAAACTCGGGGTCCCTCCCACATACCTATTGCTGAGAGAAGCCTCCTCCTCAGGTGCTTCTGGGAAGTTGGCATACGTCTTGAGCCTAAGCCAGGGAATCAGCTCGCCTCTCGAGACGATTTGGGGTACACGGAGCATTCCTCGAGTTGCTGTGCTGAAGTTGGTGTTCCTTTAGACTTGGGACAGTGTTCTCGGGGCATCTCTGGAGTTGCCTGAAGGAAGTCGAGCCACCGGTCGTGTTGAATGGGGAACGGGGAATGGCTCTGGAGTCAATGCAGGGGAATCGGGCCTCATCTCGAGTTGATTTGGGGCACATGGAGCTGCTTTGCGTTGCTGGGGTGACGTCAGGGTCCGTCTAGACTGGTGACAGTGTTCTTGGGGACTGTCTCGAGATCCATTAAGCAAGTCGAAGCTCCTGACTTGTTTGAATGGGGTCACGGAATAGCTCTGCATGCACTGCAGGGGAATGGGGCCTCATCTCGCCTCTAGGGGGAAGTCTCATGGTTTTTCTCGAGTTGCGGCGGGGACCTGGGGTATGTTCTCGACTTACGGCGGGGATGGCCCTTCAAAACACGAGTTTCTTCAGTGACGTCAGGACTCCTGTCTAGTAACGAGGGACACCTCAGGAATCTCTTCGAGGCTTGGCAGGGCCAAAGGGACGCTTCTCGAGGTGAGGCAGGGCACCCAAGGACCCTTTCCAGTAGCCACAGGGATTTTGGGATTCCTATCAGTATTCAAGAGGAGTCAGGCATCGTCACCTTTTGAAGCAATGAACTCCGCGTGCCTCTCGAGGTGTCAGCGGGATGTGAGGCATTCCGTCAAAATGAGGCAGGGACCTAGGGCTTTCTCTAAGGTCTCCACAGGGGATTCAGACATCCCTTCATGTTGTGAGATGAAAGACGAGCCTGTATTCAAGCCACTGCAAGGAAATCCGGCCTCCTTTCAAGTTAGGGCTTCTCGCTGTATATTCCCCTTGAGGCAGCAAACTCGGGGTCCCTCCCACATACCTATTGCTGAGAGAAGCCTCCTCCTGAGGTGCTTCTGGGAAGTTGGCATACGTCTTGAGCCTAAGCCAGGGAATCAGCTCGCCTCTCGAGACGATTTGGGGTACACGGAGCATTCCTTGAGTTGCTGTGCTGAAGTTGGTGTTCCTCTAGACTTGGGACAGTGTTCTCGGGGCATCTCTGGAGTTGCCTGAAGGAAGTCGAGCCACCGGTCGTGTTGAATGGGGAACGGGGAATGGCTCTGGAGTCAATGCAGGGGAATCGGGCCTCATCTCGAGTTGATTTGGGGCACATGGAGCTGCTTTGCGTTGCTGGGGTGACCTCAGGGTCCGTCTAGACTGGTGACAGTGTTCTTGGGGACTGTCTCGAGATCCATTAAGCAAGTCGAAGCTCCTGACTTGTTTGAATGGGGTCACGGAATAGCTCTGCATGCACTGCAGGGGAATGGGGCCTCATCTCGCCTCTAGGGGGAAGTCTCATGGTTTTTCTCGAGTTGCGGCGGGGACCTGGGGTATGTTCTCGACTTACGGCGGGGATGGCCCTTCAAAACACGAGTTTCTTCAGTGACGTCAGGACTCCTGTCTAGTAACGAGGGACACCTCAGGAATCTCTTCGAGGCTTGGCAGGGCCAAAGGGACGCTTCTCGAGGTGAGGCAGGGCACCCAAGGACCCTTTCCAGTAGCCACAGGGATTTTGGGATTCCTATCAGTATTCAAGAGGAGTCAGGCATCGTCACCTTTTGAAGCAATGAACTCCGCGTGCCTCTCGAGGTGTCAGCGGGATGTGAGGCATTCCGTCAAAATGAGGCAGGGACCTAGGGCTTTCTCTAAGGTCTCCACAGGGGATTCAGACATCCCTTCATGTTGTGAGATGAAAGACGAGCCTGTATTCAAGCCACTGCAAGGAAATCCGGCCTCCTTTCAAGTTAGGGCTTCTCGCTGTATATTCCCCTTGAGGCAGCAAACTCGGGGTCCCTCCCACATACCTATTGCTGAGAGAAGCCTCCTCCTGAGGTGCTTCTGGGAAGTTGGCATACGTCTTGAGCCTAAGCCAGGGAATCAGCTCGCATCTCGAGACGATTTGGGGTACACGGAGCATGCCTCGAGTTGCTGTGCTGAAGTTGGTGTTCCTCTAGACTTGGGACAGTGTTCTCGGGGCATCTCTGGAGTTGCCTGAAGGAAGTCGAGCCACCGGTCGTGTTGAATGGGGAACGGGGAATGGCTCTGGAGTCAATGCAGGGGAATCGGGCCTCATCTCGAGTTGATTTGGGGCACATGGAGCTGCTTTGCGTTGCTGGGGTGACCTCAGGGTCCGTCTAGACTGGTGACAGTGTTCTTGGGGACTGTCTCGAGATCCATTAAGCAAGTCGAAGCTCCTGACTTGTTTGAATGGGGTCACGGAATAGCTCTGCATGCACTGCAGGGGAATGGGGCCTCATCTCGCCTCTAGGGGGAAGTCTCATGGTTTTTCTCGAGTTGCGGCGGGGACCTGGGGTATGTTCTCGACTTACGGCGGGGATGGCCCTTCAAAACACGAGTTTCTTCAGTGACGTCAGGACTCCTGTCTAGTAACGAGGGACACCTCAGGAATCTCTTCGAGGCTTGGCAGGGCCAAAGGGACGCTTCTCGAGGTGAGGCAGGGCACCCAAGGACCCTTTCCAGTAGCCACAGGGATTTTGGGATTCCTATCAGTATTCAAGAGGAGTCAGGCATCGTCACCTTTTGAAGCAATGAACTCCGCGTGCCTCTCGAGGTGTCAGCGGGATGTGAGGCATTCCGTCAAAATGAGGCAGGGACCTAGGGCTTTCTCTAAGGTCTCCACAGGGGATTCAGACATCCCTTCATGTTGTGAGATGAAAGACGAGCCTGTATTCAAGCCACTGCAAGGAAATCCGGCCTCCTTTCAAGTTAGGGCTTCTCGCTGTATATTCCCCTTGAGGCAGCAAACTCGGGGTCCCTCCCACATACCTATTGCTGAGAGAAGCCTCCACCTGAGGTGCTTCTGGGAAGTTGGCATACGTCTTGAGCCTAAGCCAGGGAATCAGCTCGCATCTCGAGACGACTTGGGGTACACGGAGCATTCCTCGAGTTGCTGTGCTGAAGTTGGTGTTCCTCTAGACTTGGGACAGTGTTCTCGGGGCATCTCTGGAGTTGCCTGAAGGAAGTCGAGCCACCGGTCGTGTTGAATGGGGAACGGGGAATGGCTCTGGAGTCAATGCAGGGGAATCGGGCCTCATCTCGAGTTGATTTGGGGCACATGGAGCTGCTTTGCGTTGCTGGGGTGACCTCAGGGTCCGTCTAGACTGGTGACAGTGTTCTTGGGGACTGTCTCGAGATCCATTAAGCAAGTCGAAGCTCCTGACTTGTTTGAATGGGGTCACGGAATAGCTCTGCATGCACTGCAGGGGAATGGGGCCTCATCTCGCCTCTAGGGGGAAGTCTCATGGTTTTTCTCGAGTTGCGGCGGGGACCTGGGGTATGTTCTCGACTTACGGCGGGGATGGCCCTTCAAAACACGAGTTTCTTCAGTGACGTCAGGACTCCTGTCTAGTAACGAGGGACACCTCAGGAATCTCTTCGAGGCTTGGCAGGGCCAAAGGGACGCTTCTCGAGGTGAGGCAGGGCACCCAAGGACCCTTTCCAGTAGCCACAGGGATTTTGGGATTCCTATCAGTATTCAAGAGGAGTCAGGCATCGTCACCTTTTGAAGCAATGAACTCCGCGTGCCTCTCGAGGTGTCAGCGGGATGTGAGGCATTCCGTCAAAATGAGGCAGGGACCTAGGGCTTTCTCTAAGGTCTCCACAGGGGATTCAGACATCCCTTCATGTTGTGAGATGAAAGACGAGCCTGTATTCAAGCCACTGCAAGGAAATCCGGCCTCCTTTCAAGTTAGGGCTTCTCGCTGTATATTCCCCTTGAGGCAGCAAACTCGGGGTCCCTCCCACATACCTATTGCTGAGAGAAGCCTCCTCCTGAGGTGCTTCTGGGAAGTTGGCATACGTCTTGAGCCTAAGCCAGGGAATCAGCTCGCATCTCGAGACGACTTGGGGTACACGGAGCATTCCTCGAGTTGCTGTGCTGAAGTTGCTGTTCCTCTAGACTTGGGACAGTGTTCTCGGGGCATCTCTGGAGTTGCCTGAAGGAAGTCGAGCCACCGGTCGTGTTGAATGGGGAACGGGGAATGGCTCTGGAGTCAATGCAGGGGAATCGGGCCTCATCTCGAGTTGATTTGGGGCACATGGAGCTGCTTTGCGTTGCTGGGGTGACGTCAGGGTCCGTCTAGACTGGTGACAGTGTTCTTGGGGACTGTCTCGAGATCCATTAAGCAAGTCGAAGCTCCTGACTTGTTTGAATGGGGTCACGGAATAGCTCTGCATGCACTGCAGGGGAATGGGGCCTCATCTCGCCTCTAGGGGGAAGTCTCATGGTTTTTCTCGAGTTGCGGCGGGGACCTGGGGTATGTTCTCGACTTACGGCGGGGATGGCCCTTCAAAACACGAGTTTCTTCAGTGACGTCAGGACTCCTGTCTAGTAACGAGGGACACCTCAGGAATCTCTTCGAGGCTTGGCAGGGCCAAAGGGACGCTTCTCGAGGTGAGGCAGGGCACCCAAGGACCCTTTCCAGTAGCCACAGGGATTTTGGGATTCCTATCAGTATTCAAGAGGAGTCAGGCATCGTCACCTTTTGAAGCAATGAACTCCGCGTGCCTCTCGAGGTGTCAGCGGGATGTGAGGCATTCCGTCAAAATGAGGCAGGGACCTAGGGCTTTCTCTAAGGTCTCCACAGGGGATTCAGACATCCCTTCATGTTGTGAGATGAAAGACGAGCCTGTATTCAAGCCACTGCAAGGAAATCCGGCCTCCTTTCAAGTTAGGGCTTCTCGCTGTATATTCCCCTTGAGGCAGCAAACTCGGGGTCCCTCCCACATACCTATTGCTGAGAGAAGCCTCCTCCTCAGGTGCTTCTGGGAAGTTGGCATACGTCTTGAGCCTAAGCCAGGGAATCAGCTCGCCTCTCGAGACGATTTGGGGTACACGGAGCATTCCTCGAGTTGCTGTGCTGAAGTTGGTGTTCCTTTAGACTTGGGACAGTGTTCTCGGGGCATCTCTGGAGTTGCCTGAAGGAAGTCGAGCCACCGGTCGTGTTGAATGGGGAACGGGGAATGGCTCTGGAGTCAATGCAGGGGAATCGGGCCTCATCTCGAGTTGATTTGGGGCACATGGAGCTGCTTTGCGTTGCTGGGGTGACCTCAGGGTCCGTCTAGACTGGTGACAGTGTTCTTGGGGACTGTCTCGAGATCCATTAAGCAAGTCGAAGCTCCTGACTTGTTTGAATGGGGTCACGGAATAGCTCTGCATGCACTGCAGGGGAATGGGGCCTCATCTCGCCTCTAGGGGGAAGTCTCATGGTTTTTCTCGAGTTGCGGCGGGGACCTGGGGTATGTTCTCGACTTACGGCGGGGATGGCCCTTCAAAACACGAGTTTCTTCAGTGACGTCAGGACTCCTGTCTAGTAACGAGGGACACCTCAGGAATCTCTTCGAGGCTTGGCAGGGCCAAAGGGACGCTTCTCGAGGTGAGGCAGGGCACCCAAGGACCCTTTCCAGTAGCCACAGGGATTTTGGGATTCCTATCAGTATTCAAGAGGAGTCAGGCATCGTCACCTTTTGAAGCAATGAACTCCGCGTGCCTCTCGAGGTGTCAGCGGGATGTGAGGCATTCCGTCAAAATGAGGCAGGGACCTAGGGCTTTCTCTAAGGTCTCCACAGGGGATTCAGACATCCCTTCATGTTGTGAGATGAAAGACGAGCCTGTATTCAAGCCACTGCAAGGAAATCCGGCCTCCTTTCAAGTTAGGGCTTCTCGCTGTATATTCCCCTTGAGGCAGCAAACTCGGGGTCCCTCCCACATACCTATTGCTGAGAGAAGCCTCCTCCTGAGGTGCTTCTGGGAAGTTGGCATACGTCTTGAGCCTAAGCCAGGGAATCAGCTCGCCTCTCGAGACGATTTGGGGTACACGGAGCATTCCTTGAGTTGCTGTGCTGAAGTTGGTGTTCCTCTAGACTTGGGACAGTGTTCTCGGGGCATCTCTGGAGTTGCCTGAAGGAAGTCGAGCCACCGGTCGTGTTGAATGGGGAACGGGGAATGGCTCTGGAGTCAATGCAGGGGAATCGGGCCTCATCTCGAGTTGATTTGGGGCACATGGAGCTGCTTTGCGTTGCTGGGGTGACCTCAGGGTCCGTCTAGACTGGTGACAGTGTTCTTGGGGACTGTCTCGAGATCCATTAAGCAAGTCGAAGCTCCTGACTTGTTTGAATGGGGTCACGGAATAGCTCTGCATGCACTGCAGGGGAATGGGGCCTCATCTCGCCTCTAGGGGGAAGTCTCATGGTTTTTCTCGAGTTGCGGCGGGGACCTGGGGTATGTTCTCGACTTACGGCGGGGATGGCCCTTCAAAACACGAGTTTCTTCAGTGACGTCAGGACTCCTGTCTAGTAACGAGGGACACCTCAGGAATCTCTTCGAGGCTTGGCAGGGCCAAAGGGACGCTTCTCGAGGTGAGGCAGGGCACCCAAGGACCCTTTCCAGTAGCCACAGGGATTTTGGGATTCCTATCAGTATTCAAGAGGAGTCAGGCATCGTCACCTTTTGAAGCAATGAACTCCGCGTGCCTCTCGAGGTGTCAGCGGGATGTGAGGCATTCCGTCAAAATGAGGCAGGGACCTAGGGCTTTCTCTAAGGTCTCCACAGGGGATTCAGACATCCCTTCATGTTGTGAGATGAAAGACGAGCCTGTATTCAAGCCACTGCAAGGAAATCCGGCCTCCTTTCAAGTTAGGGCTTCTCGCTGTATATTCCCCTTGAGGCAGCAAACTCGGGGTCCCTCCCACATACCTATTGCTGAGAGAAGCCTCCTCCTGAGGTGCTTCTGGGAAGTTGGCATACGTCTTGAGCCTAAGCCAGGGAATCAGCTCGCATCTCGAGACGACTTGGGGTACACGGAGCATTCCTCGAGTTGCTGTGCTGAAGTTGCTGTTCCTCTAGACTTGGGACAGTGTTCTCGGGGCATCTCTGGAGTTGCCTGAAGGAAGTCGAGCCACCGGTCGTGTTGAATGGGGAACGGGGAATGGCTCTGGAGTCAATGCAGGGGAATCGGGCCTCATCTCGAGTTGATTTGGGGCACATGGAGCTGCTTTGCGTTGCTGGGGTGACCTCAGGGTCCGTCTAGACTGGTGACAGTGTTCTTGGGGACTGTCTCGAGATCCATTAAGCAAGTCGAAGCTCCTGACTTGTTTGAATGGGGTCACGGAATAGCTCTGCATGCACTGCAGGGGAATGGGGCCTCATCTCGCCTCTAGGGGGAAGTCTCATGGTTTTTCTCGAGTTGCGGCGGGGACCTGGGGTATGTTCTCGACTTACGGCGGGGATGGCCCTTCAAAACACGAGTTTCTTCAGTGACGTCAGGACTCCTGTCTAGTAACGAGGGACACCTCAGGAATCTCTTCGAGGCTTGGCAGGGCCAAAGGGACGCTTCTCGAGGTGAGGCAGGGCACCCAAGGACCCTTTCCAGTAGCCACAGGGATTTTGGGATTCCTATCAGTATTCAAGAGGAGTCAGGCATCGTCACCTTTTGAAGCAATGAACTCCGCGTGCCTCTCGAGGTGTCAGCGGGATGTGAGGCATTCCGTCAAAATGAGGCAGGGACCTAGGGCTTTCTCTAAGGTCTCCACAGGGGATTCAGACATCCCTTCATGTTGTGAGATGAAAGACGAGCCTGTATTCAGGCCACTGCAAGGAAATCCGGCCTCCTTTCAAGTTAGGGCTTCTCGCTGTATATTCCCCTTGAGGCAGCAAACTCGGGGTCCCTCCCACATACCTATTGCTGAGAGAAGCCTCCTCCTGAGGTGCTTCTGGGAAGTTGGCATACGTCTTGAGCCTAAGCCAGGGAATCAGCTCGCATCTCGAGACGATTTGGGGTACACGGAGCATTCCTCGAGTTGCTGTGCTGAAGTTGGTGTTCCTCTAGACTTGGGACAGTGTTCTCGGGGCATCTCTGGAGTTGCCTGAAGGAAGTCGAGCCACCGGTCGTGTTGAATGGGGAACGGGGAATGGCTCTGGAGTCAATGCAGGGGAATCGGGCCTCATCTCGAGTTGATTTGGGGCACATGGAGCTGCTTTGCGTTGCTGGGGTGACCTCAGGGTCCGTCTAGACTGGTGACAGTGTTCTTGGGGACTGTCTCGAGATCCATTAAGCAAGTCGAAGCTCCTGACTTGTTTGAATGGGATCACGGAATAGCTCTGCATGCACTGCAGGGGAATGGGGCCTCATCTCGCCTCTAGGGGGAAGTCTCATGGTTTTTCTCGAGTTGCGGCGGGGACCTGGGGTATGTTCTCGACTTACGGCGGGGATGGCCCTTCAAAACACGAGTTTCTTCAGTGACGTCAGGACTCCTGTCTAGTAACGAGGGACACCTCAGGAATCTCTTCGAGGCTTGGCAGGGCCAAAGGGACGCTTCTCGAGGTGAGGCAGGGCACCCAAGGACCCTTTCCAGTAGCCACAGGGATTTTGGGATTCCTATCAGTATTCAAGAGGAGTCAGGCATCGTCACCTTTTGAAGCAATGAACTCCGCGTGCCTCTCGAGGTGTCAGCGGGATGTGAGGCATTCCGTCAAAATGAGGCAGGGACCTAGGGCTTTCTCTAAGGTCTCCACAGGGGATTCAGACATCCCTTCATGTTGTGAGATGAAAGACGAGCCTGTATTCAAGCCACTGCAAGGAAATCCGGCCTCCTTTCAAGTTAGGGCTTCTCGCTGTATATTCCCCTTGAGGCAGCAAACTCGGGGTCCCTCCCACATACCTATTGCTGAGAGAAGCCTCCTCCTGAGGTGCTTCTGGGAAGTTGGCATACGTCTTGAGCCTAAGCCAGGGAATCAGCTCGCATCTCGAGACGATTTGGGGTACACGGAACATTCCTCGAGTTGCTGTGCTGAAGTTGGTGTTCCTCTAGACTTGGGACAGTGTTCTCGGGGCATCTCTGGAGTTGCCTGAAGGAAGTCGAGCCACCGGTCGTGTTGAGTGGGGAACGGGGAATGGCTCTGGAGTCAATGCAGGGGAATCGGGCCTCATCTCGAGTTGATTTGGGGCACATGGAGCTGCTTTGCGTTGCTGGGGTGACCTCAGCGTCCGTCTAGACTGGTGACAGTGTTCTTGGGGACTGTCTCGAGATCCATTAAGCAAGTCGAAGCTCCTGACTTGTTTGAATGGGATCACGGAATAGCTCTGCATGCACTGCAGGGGAATGGGGCCTCATCTCGCCTCTAGGGGGAAGTCTCATGGTTTTTCTCGAGTTGCGGCGGGGACCTGGGGTATGTTCTCGACTTACGGCGGGGATGGCCCTTCAAAACACGAGTTTCTTCAGTGACGTCAGGACTCCTGTCTAGTAACGAGGGACACCTCAGGAATCTCTTCGAGGCTTGGCACGGCCAAAGGGACGCTTCTCGAGGTGAGGCAGGGCACCCAAGGACCCTTTCCAGTAGCCACAGGGATTTTGGGATTCCTATCAGTATTCAAGAGGAGTCAGGCATCGTCACCTTTTGAAGCAATGAACTCCGCGTGCCTCTCGAGGTGTCAGCGGGATGTGAGGCATTCCGTCAAAATGAGGCAGGGACCTAGGGCTTTCTCTAAGGTCTCCACAGGGGATTCAGACATCCCTTCATGTTGTGAGATGAAAGACGAGCCTGTATTCAAGCCACTGCAAGGAAATCCGGCCTCCTTTCAAGTTAGGGCTTCTCGCTGTATATTCCCCTTGAGGCAGCAAACTCGGGGTCCCTCCCACATACCTATTGCTGAGAGAAGCCTCCTCCTGAGGTGCTTCTGGGAAGTTGGCATACGTCTTGAGCCTAAGCCAGGGAATCAGCTCACATCTCGAGACGATTTGGGGTACACGGAGCATTCCTCGAGTTGCTGTGCTGAAGTTGGTGTTCCTCTAGACTTGGGACAGTGTTCTCGGGGCATCTCTGGAGTTGCCTGAAGGAAGTCGAGCCACCGGTCGTGTTGAATGGGGAACGGGGAATGGATCTGGAGTCAATGCAGGGGAATCGGGCCTCATCTCGAGTTGATTTGGGGCACATGGAGCTGCTTTGCGTTGCTGGGGTGACCTCAGGGTCCGTCTAGACTGGTGACAGTGTTCTTGGGGACTGTCTCGAGATCCATTAAGCAAGTCGAAGCTCCTGACTTGTTTGAATGGGGTCACGGAATAGCTCTGCATGCACTGCAGGGGAATGGGGCCTCATCTCGCCTCTAGGGGGAAGTCTCATGGTTTTTCTCGAGTTGCGGCGGGGACCTGGGGTATGTTCTCGACTTACGGCGGGGATGGCCCTTCAAAACACGAGTTTCTTCAGTGACGTCAGGACTCCTGTCTAGTAACGAGGGACACCTCAGGAATCTCTTCGAGGCTTGGCAGGGCCAAAGGGACGCTTCTCGAGGTGAGGCAGGGCACCCAAGGACCCTTTCCAGTAGCCACAGGGATTTTGGGATTCCTATCAGTATTCAAGAGGAGTCAGGCATCGTCACCTTTTGAAGCAATGAACTCCGCGTGCCTCTCGAGGTGTCAGCGGGATGTGAGGCATTCCGTCAAAATGAGGCAGGGACCTAGGGCTTTCTCTAAGGTCTCCACAGGGGATTCAGACATCCCTTCATGTTGTGAGATGAAAGACGAGCCTGTATTCAAGCCACTGCAAGGAAATCCGGCCTCCTTTCAAGTTAGGGCTTCTCGCTGTATATTCCCCTTGAGGCAGCAAACTCGGGGTCCCTCCCACATACCTATTGCTGAGAGAAGCCTCCTCCTGAGGTGCTTCTGGGAAGTTGGCATACGTCTTGAGCCTAAGCCAGGGAATCAGCTCGCCTCTCGAGACGATTTGGGGTACACGGAGCATTCCTCGAGTTGCTGTGCTGAAGTTGGTGTTCCTCTAGACTTGGGACAGTGTTCTCGGGGCATCTCTGGAGTTGCCTGAAGGAAGTCGAGCCACCGGTCGTGTTGAATGGGGAACGGGGAATGGCTCTGGAGTCAATGCAGGGGAATCGGGCCTCATCTCGAGTTGATTTGGGGCACATGGAGCTGCTTTGCGTTGCTGGGGTGACCTCAGGGTCCGTCTAGACTGGTGACAGTGTTCTTGGGGACTGTCTCGAGATCCATTAAGCAAGTCGAAGCTCCTGACTTGTTTGAATGGGGTCACGGAATAGCTCTGCATGCACTGCAGGGGAATGGGGCCTCATCTCGCCTCTAGGGGGAAGTCTCGTGGTTTTCCTCGAGTTGCGGCGGGGACCTGGGGTATGTTCTCGACTTACGGCGGGGATGGCCCTTCAAAACACGAGTTTCTTCAGTGACGTCAGGACTCCTGTCTAGTAACGAGGGACACCTCAGGAATCTCTTCGAGGCTTGGCAGGGCCAAAGGGACGCTTCTCGAGGTGAGGCAGGGCACCCAAGGACCCTTTCCAGTAGCCACAGGGATTTTGGGATTCCTATCAGTATTCAAGAGGAGTCAGGCATCGTCACCTTTTGAAGCAATGAACTCCGCGTGCCTCTCGAGGTGTCAGCGGGATGTGAGGCATTCCGTCAAAATGAGGCAGGGACCTAGGGCTTTCTCTAAGGTCTCCACAGGGGATTCAGACATCCCTTCATGTTGTGAGATGAAAGACGAGCCTGTATTCAAGCCACTGCAAGGAAATCCGGCCTCCTTTCAAGTTAGGGCTTCTCGCTGTATATTCCCCTTGAGGCAGCAAACTCGGGGTCCCTCCCACATACCTATTGCTGAGAGAAGCCTCCTCCTGAGGTGCTTCTGGGAAGTTGGCATACGTCTTGAGCCTAAGCCAGGGAATCAGCTCGCATCTCGAGACGATTTGGGGTACACGGAGCATTCCTCGAGTTGCTGTGCTGAAGTTGCTGTTCCTCTAGACTTGGGACAGTGTTCTCGGGGCATCTCTGGAGTTGCCTGAAGGAAGTCGAGCCACCGGTCGTGTTGAATGGGGAACGGGGAATGGCTCTGGAGTCAATGCAGGGGAATCGGGCCTCATCTCGAGTTGATTTGGGGCACATGGAGCTGCTTTGCGTTGCTGGGGTGACCTCAGGGTCCGTCTAGACTGGTGACAGTGTTCTTGGGGACTGTCTCGAGATCCATTAAGCAAGTCGAAGCTCCTGACTTGTTTGAATGGGGTCACGGAATAGCTCTGCATGCACTGCAGGGGAATGGGGCCTCATCTCGCCTCTAGGGGGAAGTCTCATGGTTTTTCTCGAGTTGCGGCGGGGACCTGGGGTATGTTCTCGACTTACGGCGGGGATGGCCCTTCAAAACACGAGTTTCTTCAGTGACGTCAGGACTCCTGTCTAGTAACGAGGGACACCTCAGGAATCTCTTCGAGGCTTGGCAGGGCCAAAGGGACGCTTCTCGAGGTGAGGCAGGGCACCCAAGGACCCTTTCCAGTAGCCACAGGGATTTTGGGATTCCTATCAGTATTCAAGAGGAGTCAGGCATCGTCACCTTTTGAAGCAATGAACTCCGCGTGCCTCTCGAGGTGTCAGCGGGATGTGAGGCATTCCGTCAAAATGAGGCAGGGACCTAGGGCTTTCTCTAAGGTCTCCACAGGGGATTCAGACATCCCTTCATGTTGTGAGATGAAAGACGAGCCTGTATTCAAGCCACTGCAAGGAAATCCGGCCTCCTTTCAAGTTAGGGCTTCTCGCCGTATATTCCCCTTGAGGCAGCAAACTCGGGGTCCCTCCCACATACCTATTGCTGAGAGAAGCCTCCTCCTGAGGTGCTTCTGGGAAGTTGGCATACGTCTTGAGCCTAAGCCAGGGAACCAGCTCGCATCTCGAGACGATTTGGGGTACACGGAGCATTCCTCGAGTTGCTGTGCTGAAGTTGGTGTTCCTCTAGACTTGGGACAGTGTTCTCGGGGCATCTCTGGAGTTGCCTGAAGGAAGTCGAGCCACCGGTCGTGTTGAATGGGGAACGGGGAATGGCTCTGGAGTCAATGCAGGGGAATCGGGCCTCATCTCGAGTTGATTTGGGGCACATGGAGCTGCTTTGCGTTGCTGGGGTGACCTCAGGGTCCGTCTAGACTGGTGACAGTGTTCTTGGGGACTGTCTCGAGATCCATTAAGCAAGTCGAAGCTCCTGACTTGTTTGAATGGGATCACGGAATAGCTCTGCATGCACTGCAGGGGAATGGGGCCTCATCTCGCCTCTAGGGGGAAGTCTCATGGTTTTTCTCGAGTTGCGGCGGGGACCTGGGGTATGTTCTCGACTTACGGCGGGGATGGCCCTTCAAAACACGAGTTTCTTCAGTGACGTCAGGACTCCTGTCTAGTAACGAGGGACACCTCAGGAATCTCTTCGAGGCTTGGCAGGGCCAAAGGGACGCTTCTCGAGGTGAGGCAGGGCACCCAAGGACCCTTTCCAGTAGCCACAGGGATTTTGGGATTCCTATCAGTATTCAAGAGGAGTCAGGCATCGTCACCTTTTGAAGCAATGAACTCCGCGTGCCTCTCAAGGTGTCAGCGGGATGTGAGGCATTCCGTCAAAATGAGGCAGGGACCTAGGGCTTTCTCTAAGGTCTCCACAGGGGATTCAGACATCCCTTCATGTTGTGAGATGAAAGACGAGCCTGTATTCAAGCCACTGCAAGGAAATCCGGCCTCCTTTCAAGTTAGGGCTTCTCGCTGTATATTGCCCTTGAGGCAGCAAACTCGGGGTCCCTCCCACATACCTATTGCTGAGAGAAGCCTCCTCCTGAGGTGCTTCTGGGAAGTTGGCATACGTCTTGAGCCTAAGCCAGGGAATCAGCTCGCATCTCGAGACGATTTGGGGTACACGGAGCATTCCTCGAGTTGCTGTGCTGAAGTTGCTGTTCCTCTAGACTTGGGACAGTGTTCTCGGGGCATCTCTGGAGTTGCCTGAAGGAAGTCGAGCCACCGGTCGTGTTGAATGGGGAACGGGGAATGGCTCTGGAGTCAATGCAGGGGAATCGGGCCTCATCTCGAGTTGATTTGGGGCACATGGAGCTGCTTTGCGTTGCTGGGGTGACCTCAGGGTCCGTCTAGACTGGTGACAGTGTTCTTGGGGACTGTCTCGAGATCCATTAAGCAAGTCGAACCTCCTGACTTGTTTGAATGGGGTCACGGAATAGCTCTGCATGCACTGCAGGGGAATGGGGCCTCATCTCGCCTCTAGGGGGAAGTCTCATGGTTTTTCTCGAGTTGCGGCGGGGACCTGGGGTATGTTCTCGACTTACGGCGGGGATGGCCCTTCAAAACACGAGTTTCTTCAGTGACGTCAGGACTCCTGTCTAGTAACGAGGGACACCTCAGGAATCTCTTCGAGGCTTGGCAGGGCCAAAGGGACGCTTCTCGAGGTGAGGCAGGGCACCCAAGGACCCTTTCCAGTAGCCACAGGGATTTTGGGATTCCTATCAGTATTCAAGAGGAGTCAGGCATCGTCACCTTTTGAAGCAATGAACTCCGCGTGCCTCTCGAGGTGTCAGCGGGATGTGAGGCATTCCGTCAAAATGAGGCAGGGACCTAGGGCTTTCTCTAAGGTCTCCACAGGGGATTCAGACATCCCTTCATGTTGTGAGATGAAAGACGAGCCTGTATTCAAGCCACTGCAAGGAAATCCGGCCTCCTTTCAAGTTAGGGCTTCTCGCTGTATATTCCCCTTGAGGCAGCAAACTCGGGGTCCCTCCCACATACCTATTGCTGAGAGAAGCCTCCTCCTGAGGTGCTTCTGGGAAGTTGGCATACGTCTTGAGCCTAAGCCAGGGAATCAGCTCGCATCTCGAGACGATTTGGGGTACACGGAGCATTCCTCGAGTTGCTGTGCTGTAGTTGCTGTTCCTCTAGACTTGGGACAGTGTTCTCGGGGCATCTCTGGAGTTGCCTGAAGGAAGTCGAGCCACCGGTCGTGTTGAATGGGGAACGGGGAATGGCTCTGGAGTCAATGCAGGGGAATCGGGCGTCATCTCGAGTTGATTTGGGGCACATGGAGCTGCTTTGCGTTGCTGGGGTGACCTCAGGGTCCGTCTAGACTGGTGACAGTGTTCTTGGGGACTGTCTCGAGATCCATTAAGCAAGTCGAAGCTCCTGACTTGTTTGAATGGGGTCACGGAATAGCTCTGCATGCACTGCAGGGGAATGGGGCCTCATCTCGCCTCTAGGGGGAAGTCTCATGGTTTTTCTCGAGTTGCGGCGGGGACCTGGGGTATGTTCTCGACTTACGGCGGGGATGGCCCTTCAAAACACGAGTTTCTTCAGTGACGTCAGGACTCCTGTCTAGTAACGAGGGACACCTCAGGAATCTCTTCGAGGCTTGGCAGGGCCAAAGGGACGCTTCTCGAGGTGAGGCAGGGCACCCAAGGACCCTTTCCAGTAGCCACAGGGATTTTGGGATTCCTATCAGTATTCAAGAGGAGTCAGGCATCGTCACCTTTTGAAGCAATGAACTCCGCGTGCCTCTCGAGGTGTCAGCGGGATGTGAGGCATTCCGTCAAAATGAGGCAGGGACCTAGGGCTTTCTCTAAGGTCTCCACAGGGGATTCAGACATCCCTTCATGTTGTGAGATGAAAGACGAGCCTGTATTCAAGCCACTGCAAGGAAATCCGGCCTCCTTTCAAGTTAGGGCTTCTCGCTGTATATTCCCCGTGAGGCAGCAAACTCGGGGTCCCTCCCACATACCTATTGCTGAGAGAAGCCTCCTCCTGAGGTGCTTCTGGGAAGTTGGCATACGTCTTGAGCCTAAGCCAGGGAATCAGCTCGCATCTCGAGACGATTTGGGGTACACGGAGCATTCCTCGAGTTGCTGTGCTGAAGTTGCTGTTCCTCTAGACTTGGGACAGTGTTCTCGGGGCATCTCTGGAGTTGCCTGAAGGAAGTCGAGCCACCGGTCGTGTTGAATGGGGAACGGGGAATGGCTCTGGAGTCAATGCAGGGGAATCGGGCCTCATCTCGAGTTGATTTGGGGCACATGGAGCTGCTTTGCGTTGCTGGGGTGACCTCAGGGTCCGTCTAGACTGGTGACAGTGTTCTTGGGGACTGTCTCGAGATCCATTAAGCAAGTCGAAGCTCCTGACTTGTTTGAATGGGGTCACGGAATAGCTCTGCATGCACTGCAGGGGAATGGGGCCTCATCTCGCCTCTAGGGGGAAGTCTCATGGTTTTTCTCGAGTTGCGGCGGGGACCTGGGGTATGTTCTCGACTTACGGCGGGGATGGCCCTTCAAAACACGAGTTTCTTCAGTGACGTCAGGACTCCTGTCTAGTAACGAGGGACACCTCAGGAATCTCTTCGAGGCTTGGCAGGGCCAAAGGGACGCTTCTCGAGGTGAGGCAGGGCACCCAAGGACCCTTTCCAGTAGCCACAGGGATTTTGGGATTCCTATCAGTATTCAAGAGGAGTCAGGCATCGTCACCTTTTGAAGCAATGAACTCCGCGTGCCTCTCGAGGTGTCAGCGGGATGTGAGGCATTCCGTCAAAATGAGGCAGGGACCTAGGGCTTTCTCTAAGGTCTCCACAGGGGATTCAGACATCCCTTCATGTTGTGAGATGAAAGACGAGCCTGTATTCAAGCCACTGCAAGGAAATCCGGCCTCCTTTCAAGTTAGGGCTTCTCGCTGTATATTCCCCTTGAGGCAGCAAACTCGGGGTCCCTCCCACATACCTATTGCTGAGAGAAGCCTCCTCCTGAGGTGCTTCTGGGAAGTTGGCATACGTCTTGAGCCTAAGCCAGGGAATCAGCTCGCCTCTCGAGACGATTTGGGGTACACGGAGCATTCCTCGAGTTGCTGTGCTGAAGTTGCTGTTCCTCTAGACTTGGGACAGTGTTCTCGGGGCATCTCTGGAGTTGCCTGAAGGAAGTCGAGCCACCGGTCGTGTTGAATGGGGAACGGGGAATGGCTCTGGAGTCAATGCAGGGGAATCGGGCCTCATCTCGAGTTGATTTGGGGCACATGGAGCTGCTTTGCGTTGCTGGGGTGACCTCAGGGTCCGTCTAGACTGGTGACAGTGTTCTTGGGGACTGTCTCGAGATCCATTAAGCAAGTCGAAGCTCCTGACTTGTTTGAATGGGGTCACGGAATAGCTCTGCATGCACTGCAGGGGAATGGGGCCTCATCTCGCCTCTAGGGGGAAGTCTCATGGTTTTTCTCGAGTTGCGGCGGGGACCTGGGGTATGTTCTCGACTTACGGCGGGGATGGCCCTTCAAAACACGAGTTTCTTCAGTGACGTCAGGACTCCTGTCTAGTAACGAGGGACACCTCAGGAATCTCTTCGAGGCTTGGCAGGGCCAAAGGGACGCTTCTCGAGGTGAGGCAGGGCACCCAAGGACCCTTTCCAGTAGCCACAGGGATTTTGGGATTCCTATCAGTATTCAAGAGGAGTCAGGCATCGTCACCTTTTGAAGCAATGAACTCCGCGTGCCTCTCGAGGTGTCAGCGGGATGTGAGGCATTCCGTCAAAATGAGGCAGGGACCTAGGGCTTTCTCTAAGGTCTCCACAGGGGATTCAGACATCCCTTCATGTTGTGAGATGAAAGACGAGCCTGTATTCAAGCCACTGCAAGGAAATCCGGCCTCCTTTCAAGTTAGGGCTTCTCGCTGTATATTCCCCTTGAGGCAGCAAACTCGGGGTCCCTCCCACATACCTATTGCTGAGAGAAGCCTCCTCCTGAGGTGCTTCTGGGAAGTTGGCATACGTCTTGAGCCTAAGCCAGGGAATCAGCTCGCCTCTCGAGACGATTTGGGGTACACGGAGCATTCCTCGAGTTGCTGTGCTGAAGTTGGTGTTCCTCTAGACTTGGGACAGTGTTCTCCGGGCATCTCTGGAGTTGCCTGAAGGAAGTCGAGCCACCGGTCGTGTTGAATGGGGAACGGGGAATGGCTCTGGAGTCAATGCAGGGGAATCGGGCCTCATCTCGAGTTGATTTGGGGCACATGGAGCTGCTTTGCGTTGCTGGGGTGACCTCAGGGTCCGTCTAGACTGGTGACAGTGTTCTTGGGGACTGTCTCGAGATCCATTAAGCAAGTCGAAGCTCCTGACTTGTTTGAATGGGATCACGGAATAGCTCTGCATGCACTGCAGGGGAATGGGGCCTCATCTCGCCTCTAGGGGGAAGTCTCATGGTTTTTCTCGAGTTGCGGCGGGGACCTGGGGTATGTTCTCGACTTACGGCGGGGATGGCCCTTCAAAACACGAGTTTCTTCAGTGACGTCAGGACTCCTGTCTAGTAACGAGGGACACCTCAGGAATCTCTTCGAGGCTTGGCAGGGGCAAAGGGACGCTTCTCGAGGTGAGGCAGGGCACCCAAGGACCCTTTCCAGTAGCCACAGGGATTTTGGGATTCCTATCAGTATTCAAGAGGAGTCAGGCATCGTCACCTTTTGAAGCAATGAACTCCGCGTGCCTCTCGAGGTGTCAGCGGGATGTGAGGCATTCCGTCAAAATGAGGCAGGGACCTAGGGTTTTCTCTAAGGTCTCCACAGGGGATTCAGACATCCCTTCATGTTGTGAGATGAAAGACGAGCCTGTATTCAAGCCACTGCAAGGAAATCCGGCCTCCTTTCAAGTTAGGGCTTCTCGCTGTATATTCCCCTTGAGGCAGCAAACTCGGGGTCCCTCCCACATACCTATTGCTGAGAGAAGCCTCCTCCTGAGGTGCTTCTGGGAAGTTGGCATACGTCTTGAGCCTAAGCCAGGGAATCAGCTCGCATCTCGAGACGATTTGGGGTACACGGAGCATTCCTCGAGTTGCTGTGCTGAAGTTGCTGTTCCTCTAGACTTGGGACAGTGTTCTCGGGGCATCTCTGGAATTGCCTGAAGGAAGTCGAGCCACCGGTCGTGTTGAATGGGGAACGGGGAATGGCTCTGGAGTCAATGCAGGGGAATCGGGCGTCATCTCGAGTTGATTTGGGGCACATGGAGCTGCTTTGCGTTGCTGGGGTGACCTCAGGGTCCGTCTAGACTGGTGACAGTGTTCTTGGGGACTGTCTCGAGATCCATTAAGCAAGTCGAAGCTCCTGACTTATTTGAATGGGGTCACGGAATAGCTCTGCATGCACTGCAGGGGAATGGGGCCTCATCTCGCCTCTAGGGGGAAGTCTCATGGTTTTTCTCGAGTTGCGGCGGGGACCTGGGGTATGTTCTCGACTTACGGCGGGGATGGCCCTTCAAAACACGAGTTTCTTCAGTGACGTCAGGACTCCTGTCTAGTAACGAGGGATACCTCAGGAATCTCTTCGAGGCTTGGCAGGGCCAAAGGGACGCTTCTCGAGGTGAGGCAGGGCACCCAAGGACCCTTTCCAGTAGCCACAGGGATTTTGGGATTCCTATCAGTATTCAAGAGGAGTCAGGCATCGTCACCTTTTGAAGCAATGAACTCCGCGTGCCTCTCGAGGTGTCAGCGGGATGTGAGGCATTCCGTCAAAATGAGGCAGGGACCTAGGGCTTTCTCTAAGGTCTCCACAGGGGATTCAGACATCCCTTCATGTTGTGAGATGAAAGACGAGCCTGTATTCAAGCCACTGCAAGGAAATCCGGCCTCCATTCAAGTTAGGGCTTCTCGCTGTATATTCCCCTTGAGGCAGCAAACTCGGGGTCCCTCCCACATACCTATTGCTGAGAGAAGCCTCCTCCTGAGGTGCTTCTGGGAAGTTGGCATACGTCTTGAGCCTAAGCCAGGGAATCAGCTCGCCTCTCGAGACGATTTGGGGTACACGGAGCATTCCTCGAGTTGCTGTGCTGAAGTTGGTGTTCCTCTAGACTTGGGACAGTGTTCTCGGGGCATCTCTGGAGTTGCCTGAAGGAAGTCGAGCCACCGGTCGTGTTGAATGGGGAACGGGGAATGGCTCTGGAGTCAATGCAGGGGAATCGGGCCTCATCTCGAGTTGATTTGGGGCACATGGAGCTGCTTTGCGTTGCTGGGGTGACCTCAGGGTCCGTCTAGACTGGTGACAGTGTTCTTGGGGACCTTCTCGAGATCCATTAAGCAAGTCGAAGCTCCTGACTTGTTTGAATGGGATCACGGAATAGCTCTGCATGCACTGCAGGGGAATGGGGCCTCATCTCGCCTCTAGGGGGAAGTCTCATGGTTTTTCTCGAGTTGCGGCGGGGACCTGGGGTATGTTCTCGACTTACGGCGGGGATGGCCCTTCAAAACACGAGTTTCTTCAGTGACGTCAGGACTCCTGTCTAGTAACGAGGGACACCTCAGGAATCTCTTCGAGGCTTGGCAGGGCCAAAGGGACGCTTCTCGAGGTGAGGCAGGGCACCCAAGGACCCTTTCCAGTAGCCACAGGGATTTTGGGATTCCTATCAGTATTCAAGAGGAGTCAGGCATCGTCACCTTTTGAAGCAATGAACTCCGCGTGCCTCTCGAGGTGTCAGCGGGATGTGAGGCATTCCGTCAAAATGAGGCAGGGACCTAGGGCTTTCTCTAAGGTCTCCACAGGGGATTCAGACATCCCTTCATGTTGTGAGATGAAAGACGAGCCTGTATTCAAGCCACTGCAAGGAAATCCGGCCTCCTTTCAAGTTAGGGCTTCTCGCTGTATATTCCCCTTGAGGCAGCAAACTCGGGGTCCCTCCCACATACCTATTGCTGAGAGAAGCCTCCTCCTGAGGTGCTTCTGGGAAGTTGGCATACGTCTTGAGCCTAAGCCAGGGAATCAGCTCGCATCTCGAGACGATTTGGGGTACACGGAGCATTCCTCGAGTTGCTGTGCTGAAGTTGCTGTTCCTCTAGACTTGGGACAGTGTTCTCGGGGCATCTCTGGAGTTGCCTGAAGGAAGTCGAGCCACCGGTCGTGTTGAATGGGGAACGGGGAATGGCTCTGGAGTCAATGCAGGGGAATCGGGCCTCATCTCGAGTTGATTTGGGGCACATGGAGCTGCTTTGCGTTGCTGGGGTGACCTCAGGGTCCGTCTAGACTGGTGACAGTGTTCTTGGGGACTGTCTCGAGATCCATTAAGCAAGTCGAAGCTCCTGACTTGTTTGAATGGGGTCACGGAATAGCTCTGCATGCACTGCAGGGGAATGGGGCCTCATCTCGCCTCTAGGGGGAAGTCTCATGGTTTTTCTCGAGTTGCGGCGGGGACCTGGGGTATGTTCTCGACTTACGGCGGGGATGGCCCTTCAAAACACGAGTTTCTTCAGTGACGTCAGGACTCCTGTCTAGTAACGAGGGACACCTCAGGAATCTCTTCGAGGCTTGGCAGGGCCAAAGGGACGCTTCTCGAGGTGAGGCAGGGCACCCAAGGACCCTTTCCAGTAGCCACAGGGATTTTGGGATTCCTATCAGTATTCAAGAGGAGTCAGGCATCGTCACCTTTTGAAGCAATGAACTCCGCGTGCCTCTCGAGGTGTCAGCGGGATGTGAGGCATTCCGTCAAAATGAGGCAGGGACCTAGGGCTTTCTCTAAGGTCTCCACAGGGGATTCAGACATCCCTTCATGTTGTGAGATGAAAGACGAGCCTGTATTCAAGCCACTGCAAGGAAATCCGGCCTCCTTTCAAGTTAGGGCTTCTCGCTGTATATTCCCCTTGAGGCAGCAAACTCGGGGTCCCTCCCACATACCTATTGCGGAGAGAAGCCTCCTCCTGAGGTGCTTCTGGGAAGTTGGCATACGTCTTGAGCCTAAGCCAGGGAATCAGCTCGCCTCTCGAGACGATTTGGGGTACACGGAGCATTCCTCGAGTTGCTGTGCTGAAGTTGCTGTTCCTCTAGACTTGGGACAGTGTTCTCGGGGCATCTCTGGAGTTGCCTGAAGGAAGTCGAGCCACCGGTCGTGTTGAATGGGGAACGGGGAATGGCTCTGGAGTCAATGCAGGGGAATCGGGCCTCATCTCGAGTTGATTTGGGGCACATGGAGCTGCTTTGCGTTGCTGGGGTGACCTCAGGGTCCGTCTAGACTGGTGACAGTGTTCTTGGGGACTGTCTCGAGATCCATTAAGCAAGTCGAAGCTCCTGACTTGTTTGAATGGGGTCACGGAATAGCTCTGCATGCACTGCAGGGGAATGGGGCCTCATCTCGCCTCTAGGGGGAAGTCTCATGGTTTTTCTCGAGTTGCGGCGGGGACCTGGGGTATGTTCTCGACTTACGGCGGGGATGGCCCTTCAAAACACGAGTTTCTTCAGTGACGTCAGGACTCCTGTCTAGTAACGAGGGACACCTCAGGAATCTCTTCGAGGCTTGGCAGGGCCAAAGGGACGCTTCTCGAGGTGAGGCAGGGCACCCAAGGACCCTTTCCAGTAGCCACAGGGATTTTGGGATTCCTATCAGTATTCAAGAGGAGTCAGGCATCGTCACCTTTTGAAGCAATGAACTCCGCGTGCCTCTCGAGGTGTCAGCGGGATGTGAGGCATTCCGTCAAAATGAGGCAGGGACCTAGGGCTTTCTCTAAGGTCTCCACAGGGGATTCAGACATCCCTTCATGTTGTGAGATGAAAGACGAGCCTGTATTCAAGCCACTGCAAGGAAATCCGGCCTCCTTTCAAGTTAGGGCTTCTCGCTGTATATTCCCCTTGAGGCAGCAAACTCGGGGTCCCTCCCACATACCTATTGCTGAGAGAAGCCTCCTCCTGAGGTGCTTCTGGGAAGTTGGCATACGTCTTGAGCCTAAGCCAGGGAATCAGCTCGCATCTCGAGACGATTTGGGGTACACGGAGCATTCCTCGAGTTGCTGTGCTGAAGTTGCTGTTCCTCTAGACTTGGGACAGTGTTCTCGGGGCATCTCTGGAGTTGCCTGAAGGAAGTCGAGCCACCGGTCGTGTTGAATGGGGAACGGGGAATGGCTCTGGAGTCAATGCAGGGGAATCGGGCCTCATCTCGAGTTGATTTGGGGCACATGGAGCTGCTTTGCGTTGCTGGGGTGACCTCAGGGTCCGTCTAGACTGGTGACAGTGTTCTTGGGGACTGTCTCGAGATCCATTAAGCAAGTCGAAGCTCCTGACTTGTTTGAATGGGGTCACGGAATAGCTCTGCATGCACTGCAGGGGAATGGGGCCTCATCTCGCCTCTAGGGGGAAGTCTCATGGTTTTTCTCGAGTTGCGGCGGGGACCTGGGGTATGTTCTCGACTTACGGCGGGGATGGCCCTTCAAAACACGAGTTTCTTCAGTGACGTCAGGACTCCTGTCTAGTAACGAGGGACACCTCAGGAATCTCTTCGAGGCTTGGCAGGGCCAAAGGGACGCTTCTCGAGGTGAGGCAGGGCACCCAAGGACCCTTTCCAGTAGCCACAGGGATTTTGGGATTCCTATCAGTATTCAAGAGGAGTCAGGCATCGTCACCTTTTGAAGCAATGAACTCCGCGTGCCTCTCGAGGTGTCAGCGGGATGTGAGGCATTCCGTCAAAATGAGGCAGGGACCTAGGGCTTTCTCTAAGGTCTCCACAGGGGATTCAGACATCCCTGCATGTTGTGAGATGAAAGACGAGCCTGTATTCAAGCCACTGCAAGGAAATCCGGCCTCCTTTCAAGTTAGGGCTTCTCGCTGTATATTCCCCTTGAGGCAGCAAACTCGGGGTCCCTCCCACATACCTATTGCTGAGAGAAGCCTCCTCCTGAGGTGCTTCTGGGAAGTTGGCATACGTCTTGAGCCTAAGCCAGGGAATCAGCTCGCCTCTCGAGACGATTTGGGGTACACGGAGCATTCCTCGAGTTGCTGTGCTGAAGTTGCTGTTCCTCTAGACTTGGGACAGTGTTCTCGGGGCATCTCTGGAGTTGCCTGAAGGAAGTCGAGCCACCGGTCGTGTTGAATGGGGAACGGGGAATGGCTCTGGAGTCAATGCAGGGGAATCGGGCCTCATCTCGAGTTGATTTGGGGCACATGGAGCTGCTTTGCGTTGCTGGGGTGACCTCAGGGTCCGTCTAGACTGGTGACAGTGTTCTTGGGGACTGTCTCGAGATCCATTAAGCAAGTCGAAGCTCCTGACTTGTTTGAATGGGGTCACGGAATAGCTCTGCATGCACTGCAGGGGAATGGGGCCTCATCTCGCCTCTAGGGGGAAGTCTCATGGTTTTTCTCGAGTTGCGGCGGGGACCTGGGGTATGTTCTCGACTTACGGCGGGGATGGCCCTTCAAAACACGAGTTTCTTCAGTGACGTCAGGACTCCTGTCTAGTAACGAGGGACACCTCAGGAATCTCTTCGAGGCTTGGCAGGGCCAAAGGGACGCTTCTCGAGGTGAGGCAGGGCACCCAAGGACCCTTTCCAGTAGCCACAGGGATTTTGGGATTCCTATCAGTATTCAAGAGGAGTCAGGCATCGTCACCTTTTGAAGCAATGAACTCCGCGTGCCTCTCGAGGTGTCAGCGGGATGTGAGGCATTCCGTCAAAATGAGGCAGGGACCTAGGGCTTTCTCTAAGGTCTCCACAGGGGATTCAGACATCCCTTCATGTTGTGAGATGAAAGACGAGCCTGTATTCAAGCCACTGCAAGGAAATCCGGCCTCCTTTCAAGTTAGGGCTTCTCGCTGTATATTCCCCTTGAGGCAGCAAACTCGGGGTCCCTCCCACATACCTATTGCTGAGAGAAGCCTCCTCCTGAGGTGCTTCTGGGAAGTTGGCATACGTCTTGAGCCTAAGCCAGGGAATCAGCTCGCCTCTCGAGACGATTTGGGGTACACGGAGCATTCCTCGAGTTGCTGTGCTGAAGTTGCTGTTCCTCTAGACTTGGGACAGTGTTCTCGGGGCATCTCTGGAGTTGCCTGAAGGAAGTCGAGCCACCGGTCGTGTTGAATGGGGAACGGGGAATGGCTCTGGAGTCAATGCAGGGGAATCGGGCCTCATCTCGAGTTGATTTGGGGCACATGGAGCTGCTTTGCGTTGCTGGGGTGACCTCAGGGTCCGTCTAGACTGGTGACAGTGTTCTTGGGGACTGTCTCGAGATCCATTAAGCAAGTCGAAGCTCCTGACTTGTTTGAATGGGGTCACGGAATAGCTCTGCATGCACTGCAGGGGAATGGGGCCTCATCTCGCCTCTAGGGGGAAGTCTCATGGTTTTTCTCGAGTTGCGGCGGGGACCTGGGGTATGTTCTCGACTTACGGCGGGGATGGCCCTTCAAAACACGAGTTTCTTCAGTGACGTCAGGGCTCCTGTCTAGTAACGAGGGACACCTCAGGAATCTCTTCGAGGCTTGGCAGGGCCAAAGGGACGCTTCTCGAGGTGAGGCAGGGCACCCAAGGACCCTTTCCAGTAGCCACAGGGATTTTGGGATTCCTATCAGTATTCAAGAGGAGTCAGGCATCGTCACCTTTTGAAGCAATGAACTCCGCGTGCCTCTCGAGGTGTCAGCGGGATGTGAGGCATTCCGTCAAAATGAGGCAGGGACCTAGGGCTTTCTCTAAGGTCTCCACAGGGGATTCAGACATCCCTTCATGTTGTGAGATGAAAGACGAGCCTGTATTCAAGCCACTGCAAGGAAATCCGGCCTCCTTTCAAGTTAGGGCTTCTCGCTGTATATTCCCCTTGAGGCAGCAAACTCGGGGTCCCTCCCACATACCTATTGCTGAGAGAAGCCTCCTCCTGAGGTGCTTCTGGGAAGTTGGCATACGTCTTGAGCCTAAGCCAGGGAATCAGCTCGCCTCTCGAGACGATTTGGGGTACACGGAGCATTCCTCGAGTTGCTGTGCTGAAGTTGCTGTTCCTCTAGACTTGGGACAGTGTTCTCGGGGCATCTCTGGAGTTGCCTGAAGGAAGTCGAGCCACCGGTCGTGTTGAATGGGGAACGGGGAATGGCTCTGGAGTCAATGCAGGGGAATCGGGCCTCATCTCGAGTTGATTTGGGGCACATGGAGCTGCTTTGCGTTGCTGGGGTGACCTCAGGGTCCGTCTAGACTGGTGACAGTGTTCTTGGGGACTGTCTCGAGATCCATTAAGCAAGTCGAAGCTCCTGACTTGTTTGAATGGGATCACGGAATAGCTCTGCATGCACTGCAGGGGAATGGGGCCTCATCTCGCCTCTAGGGGGAAGTCTCATGGTTTTTCTCGAGTTGCGGCGGGGACCTGGGGTATGTTCTCGACTTACGGCGGGGATGGCCCTTCAAAACACGAGTTTCTTCAGTGACGTCAGGACTCCTGTCTAGTAACGAGGGACACCTCAGGAATCTCTTCGAGGCTTGGCAGGGCCAAAGGGACGCTTCTCGAGGTGAGGCAGGGCACCCAAGGACCCTTTCCAGTAGACACAGGGATTTTGGGATTCCTATCAGTATTCAAGAGGAGTCAGGCTTCGTCACCTTTTGAAGCAATGAACTCCGCGTGCCTCTCGAGGTGTCAGCGGGATGTGAGGCATTCCGTCAAAATGAGGCAGGGACCTAGGGCTTTCTCTAAGGTCTCCACAGGGGATTCAGACATCCCTTCATGTTGTGAGATGAAAGACGAGCCTGTATTCAAGCCACTGCAAGGAAATCCGGCCTCCTTTCAAGTTAGGGCTTCTCGCTGTATATTCCCCTTGAGGCAGCAAACTCGGGGTCCCTCCCACATACCTATTGCTGAGAGAAGCCTCCTCCTGAGGTGCTTCTGGGAAGTTGGCATACGTCTTGAGCCTAAGCCAGGGAATCAGCTCTCCTCTCGAGACGATTTGGGGTACACGGAGCATTCCTCGAGTTGCTGTGCTGAAGTTGCTGTTCCTCTAGACTTGGGACAGTGTTCTCGGGGCATCTCTGGAGTTGCCTGAAGGAAGTCGAGCCACCGGTCGTGTTGAATGGGGAACGGGGAATGGCTCTGGAGTCAATGCAGGGGAATCGGGCCTCATCTCGAGTTGATTTGGGGCACATGGAGCTGCTTTGCGTTGCTGGGGTGACCTCAGGGTCCGTCTAGACTGGTGACAGTGTTCTTGGGGACTGTCTCGAGATCCATTAAGCAAGTCGAACCTCCTGACTTGTTTGAATGGGGTCACGGAATAGCTCTGCATGCACTGCAGGGGAATGGGGCCTCATCTCGCCTCTAGGGGGAAGTCTCATGGTTTTTCTCGAGTTGCGGCGGGGACCTGGGGTATGTTCTCGACTTACGGCGGGGATGGCCCTTCAAAACACGAGTTTCTTCAGTGACGTCAGGACTCCTGTCTAGTAACGAGGGACACCTCAGGAATCTCTTCGAGGCTTGGCAGGGCCAAAGGGACGCTTCTCGAGGTGAGGCAGGGCACCCAAGGACCCTTTCCAGTAGCCACAGGGATTTTGGGATTCCTATCAGTATTCAAGAGGAGTCAGGCATCGTCACCTTTTGAAGCAATGAACTCCGCGTGCCTCTCGAGGTGTCAGCGGGATGTGAGGCATTCCGTCAAAATGAGGCAGGGACCTAGGGCTTTCTCTAAGGTCTCCACAGGGGATTCAGACATCCCTTCATGTTGTGAGATGAAAGACGAGCCTGTATTCAAGCCACTGCAAGGAAATCCGGCCTCCTTTCAAATTAGGGCTTCTCGCTGTATATTCCCCTTGAGGCAGCAAACTCGGGGTCCCTCCCACATACCTATTGCTGAGAGAAGCCTCCTCCTGAGGTGCTTCTGGGAAGTTGGCATACGTCTTGAGCCTAAGCCAGGGAATCAGCTCGCATCTCGAGACGATTTGGGGTACACGGAGCATTCCTCGAGTTGCTGTGCTGAAGTTGGTGTTCCTCTAGACTTGGGACAGTGTTCTCGGGGCATCTCTGGAGTTGCCTGAAGGAAGTCGAGCCACCGGTCGTGTTGAATGGGGAACGGGGAATGGCTCTGGAGTCAATGCAGGGGAATCGGGCCTCATCTCGAGTTGATTTGGGGCACATGGAGCTGCTTTGCGTTGCTGGGGTGACCTCAGGGTCCGTCTAGACTGGTGACAGTGTTCTTGGGGACTGTCTCGAGATCCATTAAGCAAGTCGAAGCTCCTGACTTGTTTGAATGGGGTCACGGAATAGCTCTGCATGCACTGCAGGGGAATGGGGCCTCATCTCGCCTCTAGGGGGAAGTCTCATGGTTTTTCTCGAGTTGCGGCGGGGACCTGGGGTATGTTCTCGACTTACGGCGGGGATGGCCCTTCAAAACACGAGTTTCTTCAGTGACGTCAGGACTCCTGTCTAGTAACGAGGGACACCTCAGGAATCTCTTCGAGGCTTGGCAGGGCCAAAGGGACGCTTCTCGAGGTGAGGCAGGGCACCCAAGGACCCTTTCCAGTAGCCACAGGGATTTTGGGATTCCTATCAGTATTCAAGAGGAGTCAGGCATCGTCACCTTTTGAAGCAATGAACTCCGCGTGCCTCTCGAGGTGTCAGCGGGATGTGAGGCATTCCGTCAAAATGAGGCAGGGACCTAGGGCTTTCTCTAAGGTCTCCACAGGGGATTCAGACATCCCTTCATGTTGTGAGATGAAAGACGAGCCTGTATTCAAGCCACTGCAAGGAAATCCGGCCTCCTTTCAAGTTAGGGCTTCTCGCTGTATATTCCCCTTGAGGCAGCAAACTCGGGGTCCCTCCCACATACCTATTGCTGAGAGAAGCCTCCTCCTGAGGTGCTTCTGGGAAGTTGGCATACGTCTTGAGCCTAAGCCAGGGAATCAGCTCGCATCTCGAGACGATTTGGGGTACACGGAGCATTCCTCGAGTTGCTGTGCTGAAGTTGGTGTTCCTCTAGACTTGGGACAGTGTTCTCGGGGCATCTCTGGAGTTGCCTGAAGGAAGTCGAGCCACCGGTCGTGTTGAATGGGGAACGGGGAATGGCTCTGGAGTCAATGCAGGGGAATCGGGCCTCATCTCGAGTTGATTTGGGGCACATGGAGCTGCTTTGCGTTGCTGGGGTGACCTCAGGGTCCGTCTAGACTGGTGACAGTGTTCTTGGGGACTGTCTCGAGATCCATTAAGCAAGTCGAAGCTCCTGACTTGTTTGAATGGGGTCACGGAATAGCTCTGCATGCACTGCAGGGGAATGGGGCCTCATCTCGCCTCTATGGGTGAAGTCTCGTGGTTTTCCTCGAGTTGCGGCGGGGACCTGGGGTATGTTCTCGACTTACGGCGGGGATGGCCCTTCAAAACACGAGTTTCTTCAGTGACGTCAGGACTCCTGTCTAGTAACGAGGGACACCTCAGGAATCTCTTCGAGGCTTGGCAGGGCCAAAGGGACGCTTCTCGAGGTGAGGCAGGGCACCCAAGGACCCTTTCCAGTAGCCACAGGGATTTTGGGATTCCTATCAGTATTCAAGAGGAGTCAGGCATCGTCACCTTTTGAAGCAATGAACTCCGCGTGCCTCTCGAGGTGTCAGCGGGATGTGAGGCATTCCGTCAAAATGAGGCAGGGACCTAGGGCTTTCTCTAAGGTCTCCACAGGGGATTCAGACATCCCTTCATGTTGTGAGATGAAAGACGAGCCTGTATTCAAGCCACTGCAAGGAAATCCGGCCTCCTTTCAAGTTAGGGCTTCTCGCTGTATATTCCCCTTGAGGCAGCAAACTCGGGGTCCCTCCCACATACCTATTGCTGAGAGAAGCCTCCTCCTGAGGTGCTTCTGGGAAGTTGGCATACGTCTTGAGCCTAAGCCAGGGAATCAGCTCGCATCTCGAGACGATTTGGGGTACACGGAGCATTCCTCGAGTTGCTGTGCTGAAGTTGGTGTTCCTCTAGACTTGGGACAGTGTTCTCGGGGCATTTCTGGAGTTGCCTGAAGGAAGTCGAGCCACCGGTCGTGTTGAATGGGGAACGGGGAATGGCTCTGGAGTCAATGCAGGGGAATCGGGCCTCATCTCGAGTTGATTTGGGGCACATGGAGCTGCTTTGCGTTGCTGGGGTGACCTCAGGGTCCGTCTAGACTGGTGACAGTGTTCTTGGGGACTGTCTCGAGATCCATTAAGCAAGTCGAAGCTCCTGACTTGTTTGAATGGGGTCACGGAATAGCTCTGCATGCACTGCAGGGGAATGGGGCCTCATCTCGCCTCTATGGGTGAAGTCTCGTGGTTTTCCTCGAGTTGCGGCGGGGACCTGGGGTATGTTCTCGACTTACGGCGGGGATGGCCCTTCAAAACACGAGTTTCTTCAGTGACGTCAGGACTCCTGTCTAGTAACGAGGGACACCTCAGGAATCTCTTCGAGGCTTGGCAGGGCCAAAGGGACGCTTCTCGAGGTGAGGCAGGGCACCCAAGGACCCTTTCCAGTAGCCACAGGGATTTTGGGATTCCTATCAGTATTCAAGAGGAGTCAGGCATCGTCACCTTTTGAAGCAATGAACTCCGCGTGCCTCTCGAGGTGTCAGCGGGATGTGAGGCATTCCGTCAAAATGAGGCAGGGACCTAGGGCTTTCTCTAAGGTCTCCACAGGGGATTCAGACATCCCTTCATGTTGTGAGATGAAAGACGAGCCTGTATTCAAGCCACTGCAAGGAAATCCGGCCTCCTTTCAAGTTAGGGCTTCTCGCTGTATATTCCCCTTGAGGCAGCAAACTCGGGGTCCCTCCCACATACCTATTGCTGAGAGAAGCCTCCTCCTGAGGTGCTTCTGGGAAGTTGGCATACGTCTTGAGCCTAAGCCAGGGAATCAGCTCGCATCTCGAGACGATTTGGGGTACACGGAGCATTCCTCGAGTTGCTGTGCTGAAGTTGCTGTTCCTCTAGACTTGGGACAGTGTTCTCGGGGCATCTCTGGAGTTGCCTGAAGGAAGTCGAGCCACCGGTCGTGTTGAATGGGGAACGGGGAATGGCTCTGGAGTCAATGCAGGGGAATCGGGCGTCATCTCGAGTTGATTTGGGGCACATGGAGCTGCTTTGCGTTGCTGGGGTGACCTCAGGGTCCGTCTAGACTGGTGACAGTGTTCTTGGGGACTGTCTCGAGATCCATTAAGCAAGTCGAAGCTCCTGACTTGTTTGAATGGGGTCACGGAATAGCTCTGCATGCACTGCAGGGGAATGGGGCCTCATCTCGCCTCTAGGGGGAAGTCTCGTGGTTTTCCTCGAGTTGCGGCGGGGACCTGGGGTATGTTCTCGACTTACGGCGGGGATGGCCCTTCAAACCACGAGTTTCTTCAGTGACGTCAGGACTCCTGTCTAGTAACGAGGGACACCTCAGGAATCTCTTCGAGGCTTGGCAGGGCCAAAGGGACGCTTCTCGAGGTGAGGCAGGGCACCCAAGGACCCTTTCCAGTAGCCACAGGGACTTTGGGATTCCTATCAGTATTCAAGAGGAGTCAGGCATCGTCACCTTTTGAAGCAATGAACTCCGCGTGCCTCTCGAGGTGTCAGCGGGATGTGAGGCATTCCGTCAAAATGAGGCAGGGACCTAGGGCTTTCTCTAAGGTCTCCACAGGGGATTCAGACATCCCTTCATGTTGTGAGATGAAAGACGAGCCTGTATTCAAGCCACTGCAAGGAAATCCGGCCTCCTTTCTAGTTAGGGCTTCTCGCTGTATATTCCCCTTGAGGCAGCAAACTCGGGGTCCCTCCCACATACCTATTGCTGAGAGAAGCCTCCTCCTGAGGTGCTTCTGGGAAGTTGGCATACGTCTTGAGCCTAAGCCAGGGAATCAGCTCGCATCTCGAGACGATTTGGGGTACACGGAGCATTCCTCGAGTTGCTGTGCTGAAGTTGCTGTTCCTCTAGACTTGGGACAGTGTTCTCGGGGCATCTCTGGAGTTGCCTGAAGGAAGTCGAGCCACCGGTCGTGTTGAATGGGGAACGGGGAATGGCTCTGGAGTCAATGCAGGGGAATCGGGCCTCATCTCGAGTTGATTTGGGGCACATGGAGCTGCTTTGCGTTGCTGGGGTGACCTCAGGGTCCGTCTAGACTGGTGACAGTGTTCTTGGGGACTGTCTCGAGATCCATTAAGCAAGTCGAAGCTCCTGACTTGTTTGAATGGGATCACGGAATAGCTCTGCATGCACTGCAGGGGAATGGGGCCTCATCTCGCCTCTAGGGGGAAGTCTCATGGTTTTCCTCGAGTTGCGGCGGGGACCTGGGTATGTTCTCGACTTACGGCGGGGATGGCCCTTCAAAACACGAGTTTCTTCAGTGACGTCAGGACTCCTGTCTAGTAACGAGGGACACCTCAGGAATCTCTTCGAGGCTTGGCAGGGCCAAAGGGACGCTTCTCGAGGTGAGGCAGGGCACCCAAGGACCCTTTCCAGTAGCCACAGGGATTTTGGGATTCCTATCAGTATTCAAGAGGAGTCAGGCATCGTCACCTTTTGAAGCAATGAACTCCGCGTGCCTCTCGAGGTGTCAGCGGGATGTGAGGCATTCCGTCAAAATGAGGCAGGGACCTAGGGCTTTCTCTAAGGTCTCCACAGGGGATTCAGACATCCCTTCATGTTGTGAGATGAAAGACGAGCCTGTATTCAAGCCACTGCAAGGAAATCCGGCCTCCTTTCAAGTTAGGGCTTCTCGCTGTATATTCCCCTTGAGGCAGCAAACTCGGGGTCCCTCCCACATACCTATTGCTGAGAGAAGCCTCCTCCTGAGGTGCTTCTGGGAAGTTGGCATACGTCTTGAGCCTAAGCCAGGGAATCAGCTCGCATCTCGAGACGATTTGCGGTACACGGAGCATTCCTCGAGTTGCTGTGCTGAAGTTGGTGTTCCTCTAGACTTGGGACAGTGTTCTCGGGGCATCTCTGGAGTTGCCTGAAGGAAGTCGAGCCACCGGTCGTGTTGAATGGGGAACGGGGAATGGCTCTGGAGTCAATGCAGGGGAATCGGGCCTCATCTCGAGTTGATTTGGGGCACATGGAGCTGCTTTGCGTTGCTGGGGTGACCTCAGGGTCCGTCTAGACTGGTGACAGTGTTCTTGGGGACTGTCTCGAGATCCATTAAGCAAGTCGAAGCTCCTGACTTGTTTGAATGGGATCACGGAATAGCTCTGCATGCACTGCAGGGGAATGGGGCCTCATCTCGCCTCTAGGGGGAAGTCTCATGGTTTTTCTCGAGTTGCGGCGGGGACCTGGGGTATGTTCTCGACTTACGGCGGGGATGGCCCTTCAAAACACGAGTTTCTTCAGTGACGTCAGGACTCCTGTCTAGTAACGAGGGACACCTCAGGAATCTCTTCGAGGCTTGGCAGGGCCAAAGGGACGCTTCTCGAGGTGAGGCAGGGCACCCAAGGACCCTTTCCAGTAGCCACAGGGATTTTGGGATTCCTATCAGTATTCAAGAGGAGTCAGGCATCGTCACCTTTTGAAGCAATGAACTCCGCGTGCCTCTCGAGGTGTCAGCGGGATGTCAGGCATTCCGTCAAAATGAGGCAGGGACCTAGGGCTTTCTCTAAGGTCTCCACAGGGGATTCAGACATCCCTTCATGTTGTGAGATGAAAGACGAGCCTGTATTCAAGCCACTGCAAGGAAATCCGGCCTCCTTTCAAGTTAGGGCTTCTCGCTGTATATTCCCCTTGAGGCAGCAAACTCGGGGTCCCTCCCACATACCTATTGCTGAGAGAAGCCTCCTCCTGAGGTGCTTCTGGGAAGTTGGCATACGTCTTGAGCCTAAGCCAGGGAATCAGCTCGCATCTCGAGACGATTTGGGGTACACGGAGCATTCCTCGAGTTGCTGTGCTGAAGTTGCTGTTCCTCTAGACTTGGGACAGTGTTCTCGGGGCATCTCTGGAGTTGCCTGAAGGAAGTCGAGCCACCGGTCGTGTTGAATGGGGAACGGGGAATGGCTCTGGAGTCAATGCAGGGGAATCGGGCCTCATCTCGAGTTGATTTGGGGCACATGGAGCTGCTTTGCGTTGCTGGGGTGACCTCAGGGTCCGTCTAGACTGGTGACAGTGTTCTTGGGGACTGTCTCGAGATCCATTAAGCAAGTCGAAGCTCCTGACTTGTTTGAATGGGGTCACGGAATAGCTCTGCATGCACTGCAGGGGAATGGGGCCTCATCTCGCCTCTAGGGGGAAGTCTCATGGTTTTTCTCGAGTTGCGGCGGGGACCTGGGGTATGTTCTCGACTTACGGCGGGGATGGCCCTTCAAAACACGAGTTTCTTCAGTGACGTCAGGACTCCTGTCTAGTAACGAGGGACACCTCAGGAATCTCTTCGAGGCTTGGCAGGGCCAAAGGGACGCTTCTCGAGGTGAGGCAGGGCACCCAAGGACCCTTTCCAGTAGCCACAGGGATTTTGGGATTCCTATCAGTATTCAAGAGGAGTCAGGCATCGTCACCTTTTGAAGCAATGAACTCCGCGTGCCTCTCGAGGTGTCAGCGGGATGTGAGGCATTCCGTCAAAATGAGGCAGGGACCTAGGGCTTTCTCTAAGGTCTCCACAGGGGATTCAGACATCCCTTCATGTTGTGAGATGAAAGACGAGCCTGTATTCAAGCCACTGCAAGGAAATCCGGCCTCCTTTCAAGTTAGGGCTTCTCGCTGTATATTCCCCTTGAGGCAGCAAACTCGGGGTCCCTCCCACATACCTATTGCTGAGAGAAGCCTCCTCCTGAGGTGCTTCTGGGAAGTTGGCATACGTCTTGAGCCTAAGCCAGGGAATCAGCTCGCATCTCGAGACGATTTGGGGTACACGGAGCATTCCTCGAGTTGCTGTGCTGAAGTTGGTGTTCCTCTAGACTTGGGACAGTGTTCTCGGGGCATCTCTGGAGTTGCCTGAAGGAAGTCGAGCCACCGGTCGTGTTGAATGGGGAACGGGGAATGGCTCTGGAGTCAATGCAGGGGAATCGGGCCTCATCTCGAGTTGATTTGGGGCACATGGAGCTGCTTTGCGTTGCTGGGGTGACCTCAGGGTCCGTCTAGACTGGTGACAGTGTTCTTGGGGACTGTCTCGAGATCCATTAAGCAAGTCGAAGCTCCTGACTTGTTTGAATGGGGTCACGGAATAGCTCTGCATGCACTGCAGGGGAATGGGGCCTCATCTCGCCTCTAGGGGGAAGTCTCATGGTTTTTCTCGAGTTGCGGCGGGGACCTGGGGTATGTTCTCGACTTACGGCGGGGATGGCCCTTCAAAACACGAGTTTCTTCAGTGACGTCAGGACTCCTGTCTAGTAACGAGGGACACCTCAGGAATCTCTTCGAGGCTTGGCAGGGCCAAAGGGACGCTTCTCGAGGTGAGGCAGGGCACCCAAGGACCCTTTCCAGTAGCCACAGGGATTTTGGGATTCCTATCAGTATTCAAGAGGAGTCAGGCATCGTCACCTTTTGAAGCAATGAACTCCGCGTGCCTCTCGAGGTGTCAGCGGGATGTGAGGCATTCCGTCAAAATGAGGCAGGGACCTAGGGCTTTCTCTAAGGTCTCCACAGGGGATTCAGACACCCCTTCATGTTGTGAGATGAAAGACGAGCCTGTATTCAAGCCACTGCAAGGAAATCCGGCCTCCTTTCAAGTTAGGGCTTCTCGCTGTATATTCCCCTTGAGGCAGCAAACTCGGGGTCCCTCCCACATACCTATTGCTGAGAGAAGCCTCCTCCTCAGGTGCTTCTGGGAACTTGGCATACGTCTTGAGCCTAAGCCAGGGAATCAGCTCGCATCTCGAGACGATTTGGGGTACACGGAGCATTCCTCGAGTTGCTGTGCTGAAGTTGGTGTTCCTCTAGACTTGGGACAGTGTTCTCGGGGCATCTCTGGAGTTGCCTGAAGGAAGTCGAGCCACCGGTCGTGTTGAATGGGGAACGGGGAATGGCTCTGGAGTCAATGCAGGGGAATCGGGCCTCATCTCGAGTTGATTTGGGGCACATGGAGCTGCTTTGCGTTGCTGGGGTGACCTCAGGGTCCGTCTAGACTGGTGACAGTGTTCTTGGGGACTGTCTCGAGATCCATTAAGCAAGTCGAAGCTCCTGACTTGTTTGAATGGGGTCACGGAATAGCTCTGCATGCACTGCAGGGGAATGGGGCCTCATCTCGCCTCTAGGGGGAAGTCTCATGGTTTTTCTCGAGTTGCGGCGGGGACCTGGGGTATGTTCTCGACTTACGGCGGGGATGGCCCTTCAAAACACGAGTTTCTTCAGTGACGTCAGGACTCCTGTCTAGTAACGAGGGACACCTCAGGAATCTCTTCGAGGCTTGGCAGGGCCAAAGGGACGCTTCTCGAGGTGAGGCAGGGCACCCAAGGACCCTTTCCAGTAGCCACAGGGATTTTGGGATTCCTATCAGTATTCAAGAGGAGTCAGGCATCTTCACCTTTTGAAGCAATGAACTCCGCGTGCCTCTCGAGGTGTCAGCGGGATGTGAGGCATTCCGTCAAAATGAGGCAGGGACCTACGGCTTTGTTTAAGGTCTCCACAGGGGATTCAGACATCCCTTCATGTTGTGAGATGAAAGACAAGCCTGTATTCAAGCTACTGCAAGGAAATCCGGCCTCCTTTCAAGTTAGGGCTTCTCGATGTATATTCCCCTTGAGGCAGCAAACTCGGAGTCCCTCCCACATACCTATTGCTGAGAAGCCTCCTCCTGAGGTGCTTCTGGAAAGTTGGCATACGTCTTGAGCCTAAGCCAGGGAATCAGCTCTCATCTCGAGACGATTTGGTGTACACGGAGCATTCCTCGAGTTGCTGTGCTGAAGTTGGTGTTCCTCTAGACTTGGGACAGTGTTCTCGGGGCCTCTCTGGAGTTGCCTGAAGGAAGGCGAGCCTCCGTTCGTGTTGAAGGGGGAACGGGAATGGCTCTGGAGTCAATGCATTGGAATCGGGCCTCATCTCGAGTTGATCTGGGGCACATGGAGCTGCTTTGCGTTGCTGGGGTGACCTCAGGGTCCGTCTAGACTGGTGACAGTGTTCTTGGGGACTGTCTCGAGATCCATTAAGCAAGTCGAAGCTCCTGACTTGTTTGAATGGGATCACGGAATAGCTCTGCATGCACTGCAGGGGAATGGGGCCTCATCTCGCCTCTAGGGGGAAGTCTCATGGTTTTTCTCGAGTTGCGGCGGGGACCTGGGGTATGTTCTCGACTTACGGCGGGGATGGCCCTTCAAAACACGAGTTTCTTCAGTGACGTCAGGACTCCTGTCTAGTAACGAGGGACACCTCAGGAATCTCTTCGAGGCTTGGCAGGGCCAAAGGGACGCTTCTCGAGGTGAGGCAGGGCACCCAAGGACCCTTTCCAGTAGCCACAGGGATTTTGGGATTCCTATCAGTATTCAAGAGGAGTCAGGCATCTTCACCTTTTGAAGCAATGAACTCCGCGTGCCTCTCGAGGTGTCAGCGGGATGTGAGGCATTCCGTCAAAATGAGGCAGGGACCTACGGCTTTGTTTAAGGTCTCCACAGGGGATTCAGACATCCCTTCATGTTGTGAGATGAAAGACAAGCCTGTATTCAAGCTACTGCAAGGAAATCCGGCCTCCTTTCAAGTTAGGGCTTCTCGATGTATATTCCCCTTGAGGCAGCAAACTCGGAGTCCCTCCCACATACCTATTGCTGAGAAGCCTCCTCCTGAGGTGCTTCTGGAAAGTTGGCATACGTCTTGAGCCTAAGCCAGGGAATCAGCTCTCATCTCGAGACGATTTGGTGTACACGGAGCATTCCTCGAGTTGCTGTGCTGAAGTTGGTGTTCCTCTAGACTTGGGAGAGTGTTCTCGGGGCCTCTCTGGAGTTGCCTGAAGGAAGGCGAGCCTCCGTTCGTGTTGAAGGGGGAACGGGAATGGCTCTGGAGTCAATGCATTGGAATCGGGCCTCATCTCGAGTTGATCTGGGGCACATGGAGCTGCTTTGCGTTGCTGGGGTGACCTCAGGGTCCGTCTAGACTGGTGACAGTGTTCTTGGGGACTGTCTCGAGATCCATTAAGCAAGTCGAAGCTCCTGACTTGTTTGAATGGGATCACGGAATAGCTCTGCATGCACTGCAGGGGAATGGGGCCTCATCTCGCCTCTAGGGGGAAGTCTCATGGTTTTTCTCGAGTTGCGGCGGGGACCTGGGGTATGTTCTCGACTTACGGCGGGGATGGCCCTTCAAAACACGAGTTTCTTCAGTGACGTCAGGACTCCTGTCTAGTAATGAGGGACACCTCAGCAATCTCTTCGAGGCTTGGCAGGGCAAAAGGGACGCTTCTCGAGGTGAGGCAGGGCACCCAAGGACCCTTTCCAGTAGCCACAGTGATTTTGGGATTCCTATAAGTATTCAAGAGTAGTCAGGCATCGACAACTTTTCAAGCAATGAACTCTGCGTGCCTCTCGTGGTGTCAGGGGGATGTGAGGTATTCCGTCAAAATGAGGCAGGGACCTAGGGCTTCCTCTAAGGTCTACACAGGGGATTCAGACATCCCTTCATGTTGTCAGATCAAAGACGAGCCTGTATTCAAGCCACTGCAAGGAAATCTGGCCTCCGTTCACATTAGGGCTTCTCCCTGTGTATTCCCCTTGAGGCAGCAAACTCGGGGTCCCTCCCACATACCTTGCTGAGAGAAGCCTCCTCCTGAGGTGCTTCTGGGAAGTTGGCATACGTCTTGAGCCTAAGCCAGGAAATCAGCTCGCATCTCGAGACGATTTGGGGTACACGGAGCATTCCTCGAGTTGCTGTGCTGAAGTTGCTGTTCCTCTAGACTTGGGACAGTGTTCTCGGGGCATCTCTGGAGTTGCCTGAAGGAAGTCGAGCCACCGGTCGTGTTGAATGGGGAACGGGGAATGGCTCTGGAGTCAATGCAGGGGAATCGGGCCTCATCTCGAGTTGATTTGGAGCACATGGAGCTGCTTTGCATTGCTGGGTGACCTCAGGCTCCGTCTAGACTGGTGACAGTGTTCTTGGGGACTGTCTCGAGATCCATTAAGCAAGTCGAAGCTCCTGACTTGTTTGAATGGGATCACGGAATAGCTCTGCATGCACTGCAGGGGAATGGGGCCTCATCTCGCCTCTAGGGGGAAGTCTCACGGTTTTTCTCGAGTTGCGGCGGGGACCTGGGGTATGTTCTCGACTTACGGCGGGGATGGCCCTTCAAAACACGAGTTTCTTCAGTGACGTCAGGACTCCTGTCTAGTATCGAGGGACACCTCAGCAATCTCTTCGAGGCTTGGCAGGGCAAAAGGGACGCTTCTCGAAGTGAGCCAGGGCACCCAAGGACCCTTTCCAGTAGCCACAGGGATTTTGGGATTCCTATAAGTATTCAAGAGGAGTCAGGCATCGTAACCTTTTGAAGCAATGAACTCCGCGTGCCTCTCGAGGTGTCAGCGGGATGTGACGATTCCGTCAAAATGAGGCAGGGACCTAGGGCTTCCTCTAAGGTCTCCACAGGGGATTCAGACATCCCTTCAGGTTGTGAGATGAAAGACGAGCCTGTATTCAAGCCACTGCAAGGAAATCCGGCCTCCTTTCAAGTTAGGGCTTCTCGCTGTATATTCCCCTTGAGGCAGCAAACTCGGGGTCCCTCCCACATACCTATTGCTGAGAGAAGCCTCCTCCTGAGGTGCTTCTGGAAAGTTGGCATACGTCTTGAGCCTAAGCCAGGGAATCAGCTCTCATCTTGAGACGATTTGGTGTACACAAAGCATTCCTCGAGTTGCTGTGCTGAAGTTGGTGGTCCTATAGACTTGGGACAGTGTTCTCGGGGCATCTCTGGAGTTGCCTGAAGGAAGTCGAGCCACCGGTCGTGTTGAATGGGGAACGGGGAATGGCTCTGGAGTCAATGCAGGGGAATACGGCCTCATCTCGAGTTGATTTGGGGCACATGGAGCTGCTTTGCATTGCTGGGTGACCTCAGGGTCCGTCTATACTTGTGACAGTGTTCTTGGGGACTGTTTCGAGATCCATTAAGCAAGTCGAAGCTCCTGACTTGTTTGAATGGGATCACGGAATAGTTCTGCATGCACTGCAGGGGAATGGGGCCTCATCTCGCCTCTAGGGGGAAGTCTCATGGTTTTTCTCGAGTTGCGGCGGGGACCTGGGGTATGTTCTCGACTTACGGCGGGGATGGCCCTTCAAAACACGAGTTTCTTCAGTGACGTCAGGACTCCTGTCTAGTAATGAGGGACACTTCAGCAATCTCTTCGAGGCTTGGCAGGGCAAAAGGGACGCTTCTCGATGTGAGCCAGGACACCCAAGGACCCTTTCCAGTAGCCACAGGGATTTTGGGATTCCTATAAGTATTCAAGAGGAGTCAGGCATCGTCACCTTTTCAAGCAATGAACTCTGCGTGCCTCTCGAGGTGTCAGGGGGATGTGAGGTATTCCGTCAAAATGAGGCAGGGACCTAGGGCTTCCTCTAAGTACTCCACAGGGGATTCAGACATCCCTTCATGTTGTCAGATCAAAGACGAGCCTGTATTCAAGCCACTGCAAGGAAATCTGGCCTCCGTTCACATTAGGGCTCTCCCTGTGTATTCCCCTTGAGGCAGCAAACTCGGGGTCCCTCCCGCATACCTATTGCTGAGAGAAGCCTCCTCCTGAGGTGCTTCTGGAAAGTTGGCATACGTCTTGAGCCTAAGCCAGGGAATCAGCTCTCATCTCGAGATGATTTGGGGTGCACGGAGCATTCCTCGAGTTGCTGTGCTGAAATTGGTGTTCCTCTAGACTTGGGACAGTGTTCTCGGGGCATCTCTGGAGTTGCCTGAAGGAAGTCGAGCAACCGGTCGTGTTGAATGGGGAACGGGGAATGGCTCTGGAGTCAATGCAGGGGAATCGGGCCTCATCTCGAGTTGATTTGGGACACATGGAGCAGCTTTGCGTTGCTGGGGTGACCTCAGGGTCCATCTAGACTGGTGACAGTGTTCTTGGGGACTGTCTTGAGATCCATTAGGCAAGTCGAAGCTCCTGACTTGTTTGAATGGGATCACGGAATATCTCTGCATGCACTGCAGGGGAATGGGGCCTCATCTCGCCTCTAGGGGGAAGTCTCATGGTTTTTCTCGAGTTGCGGCGGGGACCTGGGGTATGTTCTCGACTTACGGCGGGGATGGCCCTTCAAAACACGAGTTTCTTCAGTGACGTCAGGACTCCTGTCTAGTAATGAGGGACACCTCAGCAATCTCTTCGAGGCTTGGCAGGGCAAAAGGGACGCTTCTCGAGGTGAGCCAGGGCACCCAAGGGCGCTTTCCGGTAGCCACAGGGATTTTGGGATTCCTATAAGTATTCAAGAAGAGTCAGGCATCGTCAACTTTTAAAGCAATGAACTCTGCGTGTCTCTCGAAGTGTCAGGGGGATGTGAGGTATTCCGTCAAAATGAGGCAGGGACCTAGGGCTTCCTCTAAGGTCTCCACAGGGGATTCAGACAACCCTTCATGTTGTCAGACCAAAGACGAGCCTGTATTCAAGCAACTGCAAGGAAATCTGGCCTCCGTTCACATTAGGGCTTCTCCCTGTGTATTCTCCTTGAGGCAGCAAACTCGGGGCCTCTCCCACATACCTATTGCTGAGAGAAGCCTCCTCCTGAGGTGCTTCTGGGAAGTTGGCATACGTCTTGAGCCTAAGCCAGGGAATCAGCTCTCATCTCGAGATGATTTGGGGTTCACGGAGCATTCCTCGAGTTGCTGTGCTGAAGTTTGTGTTCCTCTAGACTTGGGACAGTGTTCTTGGGGCATCTCTGGAGTTGCCTGAAGGAAGTCGAGCCACCGGTCGTGTTGAATGGGGAACGGGGAATGGCTCTGGAGTCAATGCAGGGGATTCCGGCCTCATCTCGAGTTGATTTGGGGCACATGGAGCTGCTTTGCATTGCTGTGTGACCTCAGGGTCCGTCTAGACTGGTTACAGTGTTCTTGGGGACTGTCTCGAGATCCATTAAGCAAGTCGAAGCTCCTGACTTGTTTGAATGGGGTCACGGAATAGCTCTACATGCACTGCAGGGGAATGGGGCCTCATCTCGCCTCTAGGGGGAAGTCTCACGGTTTTTCTCGAGTTGCGGCGGGGAGCTGGGGTATGTTCTCGACTTACGGCGGGGATGGCCCCTCAAAACACGAGTTTCTCCAGTGACGTCAGGACTCCTGCCTAGTAACGAGGGACACCTCAGCAATCTCTTCGAGGCTTGGCAGGGCAAAAGGGACGCTTCTCGAGGTGAGGCAGGGCACCCAAGGACCCTTTCCAGTAGCCACAGGGATTTTGGGATTCCTATCAGTATTCAAGAGGAGTCAGGCATCGTCACCTTTTGAAGCAATGAACTCCGCGTGCCTCTCGAGGTGTCAGCGGGATGTGAGGATTCCGTCAAAATGAGGCAGGGACCTAGGGCTTCCTCTAAGGTCTCCACAGGGGATTCAGACATCCCTTCATGTTGTGAGATGAAAGACGAGCCTGTATTCAAGCCACTGCAAGGAAATCCGGCCTCCTTTCAAGTTAGGGCTTCTCGCTGTATATTCCCCTTGAGGCAGCAAACTCGGGGTCCCTCCCACATACCTATTGCTGAGAGAAGCCTCCTCCTGAGGTGCTTCTGGGAAGTTGGCATACGTCTTGAGCCTAAGCCAGGGAATCAGCTCTCATCTCGAGATGATTTGGGGTACACAGAGCATTCCTCGAGTTGCTGTGCTAAAGTTGGGGTTCCTCTAGACTTGGGACAGTGTTCTCGGGGCATCTCTGGAGTTGCCTGAAGGAAGTCGAGCCACCGGTCGTGTTGAGTGGGGAACGGGGAATGGCTCTGGAGTCAATGCAGGGGAATCCGGCCTCATCTCGAGTTGATTTGGGGCACATGGAGCTGCTTTGCATTGCTGGGTGACCTCAGGGTCCGTCTAGACTGGTGACAGTGTTCTTGGGGACTGTCTCCAGATCCATTAACCAAGTCGAAGCTCCTGACTTGTTTGAATGGGATCACGGAATAGCTCTGCATGCACTGCAGGGGAATGGGGCCTCATCTCGCCTCTAGGGGGAAGTCTCACGGTTTTTCTCGAGTTGCGGTGGGGACCTGTAGTATGTTCTCGACTTACGGCGGGGATGGCCCTTCAAAACACGAGTTTCTTCAGTGACGTCAGGACTCCTGTCTAGTAACGAGGGACACTTCAGCAATCTCTTCGAGGCTTGGCAGGGCAAAAGGGACGCTTCTCGAGGTGAGGCAGGGCACCCAAGGACCCTTTCCAGTAGCCACAGGGATTTTGGGATTCCTATCAGTATACAAGAGGAGTCAGGCATCGTCACCTTTTGAAGCAATGAACTCTGCGTGCCTCTCGAGGTGTCAGCGGGATGTGAGGATTCCGTCAAAATGAGGCAGGGACCTAGGGCTTCCTCTAAGGTCTCCACAGGGGATTCAGACTTCCCTTCAGGTTGTGAGATGAAAGACGAGCCTGTATTCAAGCCACTGCAAGGAAATCCGGCCTCCTTTCAAGTTAGGGCTTCTCGCTGTATATTCCCCTTGAGGCAGCAAACTCGGGGTCCCTCCCACATACCTATTGCTGAGAGAAGCCTCCTCCTGAGGTGCTTCTGGGAAGTTGGCATACGTCTTGAGCCTAAGCCAGGGAATCAGCTCTCATCTTGAGACGATTTGGGGTACACAAAGCATTCCTCGAGTTGCTGTGCTGAAGTTGGTGGTCCTCTAGACTTGGGACAGGGTTCTCGGGGCATCTCTGGACTTGCCTGAAGGAAGTCGAGCCACCGGTCGTGTTGAATGGGGAACGGGGAATGGCTCTGGAGTCAATGCAGGGGAATACGGCCTCATCTCGAGTTGATTTGGGGCACATGGAGCTGCTTTGCATTGCTGGGTGACCTCAGGGTCCGTCTAGACTGGTGACAGTGTTCTTGGGGACTGTCTCGAGATCCATTAAGCAAGTCGAAGCTCCTGACTTGTTTGAATGGGATCACGGAATAGCTCTGCATGCACTGCAGGGGAATGGGGCCTCATCTCGCCTCTAGGGGGAAGTCTCATGGTTTTTCTCGAGTTGCGGCGGGGACCTGGGGTATGTTCTCGACTTACGGCGGGGATGGCCCTTCAAAACACGAGTTTCTCCAGTGACGTCAGGACTCCTGCCTAGTAACGAGGGACACCTCAGGAATCTCTTCGAGGCTTGGCAGGGCCAAAGGGACGCTTCTCGAGGTGAGGCAGGGCACCCAAGGACCCTTTCCAGTAGCCACAGGGATTTTGGGATTCCTATCAGTATTCAAGAGGAGTCAGGCATCGTCACCTTTTGAAGCAATGAACTCCGCGTGCCTCTCCACGTGTCAGCGGGATGTGAGGCATTCAGTCAAAATGAGGCAGGGCCCTAGGGCTTTCTCTAAGGTCTCCACAGGTTATTCAGACATCCCTTCATGTTGTCAGATCAAAGACGAGCCTGTATTCAAGCCACTGCAAGGAAATCCGGCCTCCTTTCAAGTTAGGGCTTCTCGCTGTATATTCCCCTTGAGGCAGCAAACTCGGGGTCCCTCCCACATACCTATTGCTGAGAGAAGCCTCCTCCTGAGGTGGTTCTGGAAAGTTGGCATACGTCTTGAGCCTAAGCCAGGGAATCAGCTCTCATCTCGAGATGATTTGGGGTACACGGAGCATTCCTCGAGTTGCTGGGCTGAAGTTGGTGTTCCTCTAGACTTGGGACAGTGTTCTCGGGGCATCTCTGGAGTTGCCTGAAGGAAGTCGAGCCACCGGTCGTGTTGAATGGGGAACGGGGAATGGCTCTGGAGTCAATGCAGGGGAATCGGGCCTCATCTCGAGTTGATTTGGGGCACATGGATCTGCTTTGCATTGCTGGGTGACCTCAGGGTCCGTCTAGACTGGTGACAGTGTTCTTGGGGACTGTATCGAGATCCATTAAGCAAGTGGAAGCTCCTGACTTGTTTGAATGGGATCACGGAATAGCTCTGCATGCACTGCAGGGGAATGGGGCCTCATCTCGCCTCTAGGGGGAAGTCTCATGGTTTTTCTCGAGTTGCGGCGGGGACCTGGGGTATGTTCTCGACTTACGGCGGGGATGGCCCTTCAAAACACGAGTTTCTTCAGTGACGTCAGGACTCCTGTCTAGTAATGAGGGACACCTCAGCAATCTCTTCGAGGCTTGGCAGGGCAAAAGGGACGCTTCTCGAGGTGAGCCAGGGCACCCAAGGGCGCTTTCCGGTAGCCACAGGGATTTTGGGATTCCTATAAGTATTCAAGAAGAGTCAGGCATCGTCAACTTTTAAAGCAATGAACTCTGCGTGTCTCTCGAAGTGTCAGGGGGATGTGAGGTATTCCGTCAAAATGAGGCAGGGACCTAGGGCTTCCTCTAAGGTCTCCACAGGGGATTCAGACATCCCTTCATGTTGTGAGATGAAAGACGAGCCTGTATTCAAGCCACTGCAAGGAAATCCGGCCTCCTTTCAAGTTAGGGCTTCTCGCTGTATATTCCCCTTGAGGCAGCAAACTCGGGGTCCCTCCCACATACCTATTGCTGAGAGAAGCCTCCTCCTGAGGTGCTTCTGGGAAGTTGGCATACGTCTTGAGCCTAAGCCAGGGAATCAGCTCTCATCTCGAGATGATTTGGGGTACACGGAGCATTCCTCGAGTTGCTGTGCTAAAGTTGGGGTTCCTCTAGACTTGGGACAGTGTTCTCGAGGCATCTCTGGAGTTGCCTGAAGGAAGTCGAGCCACCGGTCGTGTTGAGTGGGGAACGGGGAATGGCTCTGGAGTCAATGCAGGGGAATCCGGCCTCATCTCGAGTTGATTTGGGGCACATGGAGCTGCTTTGCATTGCTGGGTGACCTCAGGGTCCGTCTAGAATGGTGACAGTGTTCTTGGGGACTGTCTCCAGATCCATTAACCAAGTCGAAGCTCCTGACTTGTTTGAATGGGATCACGGAATAGCTCTGCATGCACTGCAGGGGAATGGGGCCTCATCTCGCCTCTAGGGGGAAGTCTCACGGTTTTTCCCGAGTTGCGGTGGGGACCTGTAGTATGTTCTCGACTTACGGCGGGGATGGCCCTTCAAAACACGAGTTTCTTCAGTGACGTCAGGACTCCTGTCTAGTAACGAGGGACACTTCAGCAATCTCTTCGAGGCTTGGCAGGGCAAAAGGGACGCTTCTCGAGGTGAGGCAGGGCACCCAAGGACCCTTTCCAGTAGCCACAGGGATTTTGGGATTCCTATCAGTATACAAGAGGAGTCAGGCATCGTCACCTTTTGAAGCAATGAACTCTGCGTGCCTCTCGAGGTGTCAGCGGGATGTGAGGATTCCGTCAAAATGAGGCAGGGACCTAGGGCTTCCTCTAAGGTCTCCACAGGGGATTCAGACATCCCTTCAGGTTGTGAGATGAAAGACGAGCCTGTATTCAAGCCACTGCAAGGAAATCCGGCCTCCTTTCAAGTTAGGGCTTCTCGCTGTATATTCCCCTTGAGGCAGCAAACTCGGGGTCCCTCCCACATACCTATTGCTGAGAGAAGCCTCCTCCTGAGGTGCTTCTGGAAAGTTGGCATACGTCTTGAGCCTAATCCAGGGAATCAGCTCTCATCTTGAGACGATTTGGGGTACACAAAGCATTCCTCGAGTTGCTGTGCTGAAGTTGGTGGTCCTCTAGACTTGGGACAGGGTTCTCGGGGCATCTCTGGAGTTGCCTGAAGGAAGTCGAGCCACCGGTCGTGTTGAATGGGGAACGGGGAATGGCTCTGGAGTCAATGCAGGGGAATCCGGCCTCATCTCGAGTTGATTTGGGGCACATGGAGCTGCTTTGCATTGCTGGGTGACCTCAGGGTCCGTCTAGACTGGTGACAGTGTTCTTGGGGACTGTCTCGAGATCCATTAAGCAAGTCGAAGCTCCTGACTTGTTTGAATGGGATCACGGAATAGCTCTGCATGCACTGCAGGGGAATGGGGCCTCATCTCGCCTCTAGGGGGAAGTCTCATGGTTTTTCTCGAGTTGCGGCGGGACCTGGGGTATGTTCTCGACTTACGGCGGGGATGGCCCTTCAAAACACGAGTTTCTCCAGTGACGTCAGGACTCCTGCCTAGTAACGAGGGACACCTCAGGAATCTCTTCGAGGCTTGGCAGGGCCAAAGGGACGCTTCTCGAGGTGAGGCAGGGCACCCAAGGACCCTTTCCAGTAGCCACAGGGATTTTGGGATTCCTATCAGTATTCAAGAGGAGTCAGGCATCGTCACCTTTTGAAGCAATGAACTCCGCGTGCCTCTCCACGTGTCAGCGGGATGTGAGGCATTCAGTCAAAATGAGGCAGGGCCCTAGGGCTTTCTCTAAGGTCTCCACAGGTTATTCAGACATCCCTTCATGTTGTCAGATCAAAGACGAGCCTGTATTCAAGCCACTGCAAGGAAATCCGGCCTCCTTTCAAGTTAGGGCTTCTCGCTGTATATTCCCCTTGAGGCAGCAAACTCGGGGTCCCTCCCACATACCTATTGCTGAGAGAAGCCTCCTCCTGAGGTGGTTCTGGAAAGTTGGCATACGTCTTGAGCCTAAGCCAGGGAATCAGCTCTCATCTCGAGATGATTTGGGGTACACGGAGCATTCCTCGAGTTGCTGGGCTGAAGTTGGTGTTCCTCTAGACTTGGGACAGTGTTCTCGGGGCATCTCTGGAGTTGCCTGAAGGAAGTCGAGCCACCGGTCGTGTTGAATGGGGAACGGGGAATGGCTCTGGAGTCAATGCAGGGGAATCGGGCCTCATCTCGAGTTGATTTGGGGCACATGGAGCTGCTTTGCATTGCTGGGTGACCTCAGGGTCCGTCTAGACTGGTGACAGTGTTCTTGGGGACTGTATCGAGATCCATTAAGCAAGTGGAAGCTCCTGACTTGTTTGAATGGGATCACGGAATAGCTCTGCATGCACTGCAGGGGAATGGGGCCTTATCTCGCCTCTAGGGAGAAGTCTCATGGTTTTTCTGGAGTTCCGACGGGGAACTGGGGAATGTTCACGACTTACGGCGGGGATGGCCCTTCAAAACACGAGTTTCTCCAGTGACGTCAGGACTCCTGCCTAGTAACGAGGGACACCTCAGAAATCTCTTCGAGGCTTGGCAGGGCAAAAAGGACGCTTCTCGAGGTGAGGCAGGGCACCCAAGGACCCTTTCCAGTAGCCACAGGGATTTTGGGATTCCTATCAGTATTCAAGAGGAGTCAGGCATCGTCACCTTTTGAAGCAATGAACACCGCGAGCCTCTCGAGGTGTCAGCGGGATGTGAGGCATTCCGTCAAAATGAGGCAGGGTCCTAGGGCTTTCTCTAAGGTCTCCACAGGGGATTCAGACATCCCTTCATGTTGTGAGATGAAAGACAAGCCTGTATTCAAGCTACTGCAAGGAAATCTGGCCTCCTTTCAAGTTAGGGCTTCTCGCTGTATATTCCCCTTGAGGCAGCAAACTCAGAGTCCCTCCCACATACCTATTGCTGAGAAGCCTCCTCCTGAGGTGCTTCTGGAAAGTTGGCATACGTCTTGAGCCTAAGCCAGGGAATCAGCTCGCATCTCGAGGCGATTTGGGGTACACAGAGCATTCCTCGAGTTGCTGTGCTGAAGTTGGTGTTCCTCTAGACTTGGGACAGTGTTCTCGGGGCATCTCTGGAGTTGCCAGAAGGAAGGCGAGCCACCGGTCGTGTTGAACGGGGAACGGGGAATGGCTCTGGAGTCAATGCAGGGGAATCCGGCCTCATCTCGAGTTGATTTGGGGCACATGGAGCTGCTTTGCGTTGCTGGGGTGACATCAGGGTCCGTCTAGACTTGTGACAGTGTTCTTGGGGACTGTCTCGAGATCCAATAAGCAAGTCGAAGCTCCTGACTTGTTTGAATGGGATCACGGAATAGCTCTGCATGCACTGCAGGGGAATGGGGCCTCATCTCTCCTCTAAGGGGCAGTCTCACGGTTTTTCTCGAGTTGCGGCGGGGGCCTGGGTTACGTTCTCGACTTACAGCGGGGATGGCCCTTCAAAACACGAGTTTCTCCAGTGACGTCAGGACTCCTGCCTAGTAACGAGGGACACCTCAGGAATCTCTTGGAGGCTTGGCAGGGCAAAAGGGACGCTTCTCGAGGTGAGGCAGGGCACCCAAGGACCCTTTCCAGTAGCCACAGGGATTTTGGGATTCCTATCAGTATTCAAGAGGAGTCAGGCTTCGTCACCTTTTGAAGCAATGAAATCCGCGAGCCTCTCGAGGTGTCAGCGGGATGTGAGGCATTCCGTCAAAATGAGGCAGGGACCTAGGGCTTTCTCTAAGGTCTCCACAGGGGATTCAGACATCCCTTCATGTTGTCAGATCAAACACGAGCCTGTATTCAAGCCACTGCAAGGAAATCTGGCCTCCTTTCAAGTTAGGGCTTCTCGCTGTATATTCCACTTGAGGCAGCAAACTCGGGGTCCCTCCCACATAACTATTGCTGAGAGAAGCCTCCTCCTGAGGTGCTTCTGGAAAGTTGGCATACGTCTTGAGCCTAAGCCAGGGAATCAGCTCTCATCTCGAGATGATTTGGGGTACACGGAGCATTCCTCGAGTTGCTGTGCTGAAGTTGTTGTTCCTATAGACTTGGGACAGTGTTCTCGGGGCATCTCTGGAGTTGCCTGAAGGAAGTCGAGCCACCGGTCGTGTTGAATGGGGAACGGGGAATGGCTCTGGAGTCAATGCAGGGGAATCGGGGCTCATCTCGAGTTGATTTGGGGCACATGGAGCAGCTTTGCGTTGCTGGGGTGACCTCAGGGTCCGTCTTGACTGGTGACAGTGTCCTTGGGGACTGTCTCGAGATCCATTAAGCAAGTCGAAGCTCCTGACTTGTTTGAATGGGATCACGGAATAGCTCTGGATGCACTGCAGGGGAATGGGGCCTCATCTCGCCTCTAGGGGGAAATCTCATGATTTTTCTCGAGTTGCGGCGGGGACCTGGGGTATGTTCTCGACTTACGGCGGGGATGGCCCTTCAAAACACGAGTTTCTTCACTGACGTCAGGACTCCTGCCTAGTAACGAGGGACACCTCAGGAATCTCTTCGAGGCTTGGCAGGGCAAAAGGGACGCTTCTCGAGGTGAGGCAGGGCACCCAAGGACCCTTTCCAGTAGTCACAGGGATTTTGGGATTCCTATCAGTATTCAAGAGCAGTCAGGCATCGTCACCTTTTGAAGCAATGAACTCCGCGTGCCTCTCGATGTGTCAGCGGGATGTGAGGCATTCCGTCAAAATGACGCAGGGACATAGGGCTTTCTCTAAGGTCTCCACAGGGGATTCAGACATCCCTTCAAGTTGTGAGATGAAAGACGAGCCTAGTATTCAAGCCACTGCAAAGAAATCCGGCTTCCTTTCAAGTTAGGGCTTCTCCCTGTGTATTCCCCTTGAGGCAGCAAACTCGGGGTCCCTCCCACATACCTATTGCTGAGAGAAGCCTCCTCCTGAGGTGCTTCTGGAAAGTTGGCATACGTCTTGAGCCTAAGCCAGGGAATCAGCTCTCATCTCGAGACGATTTGGGGTACACGGAGCTTTCCTCGAGTTGCTGTGCTGAAGTTGGTGTTCCTCTAGACTTGGGACAGTGTTATCGGGGCATCTCTGGAGTTGCCTGAAGGAAGTCGAGCCACCGGTCATGTTGAATGGGGAACGGGGAATTGCTCTGGAGTCAATGCAGGGGAATCGGGCCTCATCTCCAGTTGATGTGGGGCACATGGAGCTGCTTTGCGTTGCTGGGATGACCTCAGGGTCCGTCTAGACTGGTGACAGTGTTCTTGGGGACTGTCTCGAGATCCATTAAGCAAGTCGAAGCTCCTGACTTGTTTGAATGGGGTCACGGAATAGCTCTGCATGCACTGCAGGGGAATGGGGCCTCATCTCGCCTCTAGGGGGAAGTCTCATGGTTTTTCTCGAGTTGCGGCGGGGACCTGGGGTATGTTCTCGACTTACGGCGGGGATGGCCCTTCACAACACGAGTTTCTTCAGTGACGTCAGGACTCCTGTCTAGTAACGAGGGACACCTCAGGAATCTCTTCGAGGCTTGGCAGGGCCAAAGGGACGCTTCTCGAGGTGAGGCAGGGCACCCAAGGACCCTTTCCAGTAGCCACAGGGATTTTGGGATTCCTATCAGTATTCAAGAGGAGTCAGGCATCTTCACCTTTTGAAGCAATGAACTCCGCGTGCCTCTCGAGGTGTCAGCGGGATGTGAGGCATTCCGTCAAAATGAGGCAGGGACCTACGGCTTTGTTTAAGGTCTCCACAGGGGATTCAGACATCCCTTCATGTTGTGAGATGAAAGACAAGCCTGTATTCAAGCTACTGCAAGGAAATCCGGCCTCCTTTCAAGTTAGGGCTTCTCGATGTATATTCCCCTTGAGGCAGCAAACTCGGAGTCCCTCCCACATACCTATTGCTGAGAAGCCTCCTCCTGAGGTGCTTCTGGAAAGTTGGCATACGTCTTGAGCCTAAGCCAGGGAATCAGCTCTCATCTCGAGACGATTTGGTGTACACGGAGCATTCCTCGAGTTGCTGTGCTGAAGTTGGTGTTCCTCTAGACTTGGGACAGTGTTCTCGGGGCCTCTCTGGAGTTGCCTGAAGGAAGGCGAGCCTCCGTTCGTGTTGAAGGGGGAACGGGAATGGCTCTGGAGTCAATGCATTGGAATCGGGCCTCATCTCGAGTTGATCTGGGGCACATGGAGCTGCTTTGCGTTGCTGGGGTGACCTCAGGGTCCGTCTAGACTGGTGACAGTGTTCTTGGGGACTGTCTCGAGATCCATTAAGCAAGTCGAAGCTCCTGACTTGTTTGAATGGGATCACGGAATAGCTCTGCATGCACTGCAGGGGAATGGGGCCTCATCTCGCCTCTAGGGGGAAGTCTCATGGTTTTTCTCGAGTTGCGGCGGGGACCTGGGGTATGTTCTCGACTTACGGCGGGGATGGCCCTTCAAAACACGAGTTTCTTCAGTGACGTCAGGACTCCTGTCTAGTAACGAGGGACACCTCAGGAATCTCTTCGAGGCTTGGCAGGGCCAAAGGGACGCTTCTCGAGGTGAGGCAGGGCACCCAAGGACCCTTTCCAGTAGCCACAGGGATTTTGGGATTCCTATCAGTATTCAAGAGGAGTCAGGCATCTTCACCTTTTGAAGCAATGAACTCCGCGTGCCTCTCGAGGTGTCAGCGGGATGTGAGGCATTCCGTCAAAATGAGGCAGGGACCTACGGCTTTGTTTAAGGTCTCCACAGGGGATTCAGACATCCCTTCATGTTGTGAGATGAAAGACAAGCCTGTATTCAAGCTACTGCAAGGAAATCCGGCCTCCTTTCAAGTTAGGGCTTCTCGATGTATATTCCCCTTGAGGCAGCAAACTCGGAGTCCCTCCCACATACCTATTGCTGAGAAGCCTCCTCCTGAGGTGCTTCTGGAAAGTTGGCATACGTCTTGAGCCTAAGCCAGGGAATCAGCTCTCATCTCGAGACGATTTGGTGTACACGGAGCATTCCTCGAGTTGCTGTGCTGAAGTTGGTGTTCCTCTAGACTTGGGAGAGTGTTCTCGGGGCCTCTCTGGAGTTGCCTGAAGGAAGGCGAGCCTCCGTTCGTGTTGAAGGGGGAACGGGAATGGCTCTGGAGTCAATGCATTGGAATCGGGCCTCATCTCGAGTTGATCTGGGGCACATGGAGCTGCTTTGCGTTGCTGGGGTGACCTCAGGGTCCGTCTAGACTGGTGACAGTGTTCTTGGGGACTGTCTCGAGATCCATTAAGCAAGTCGAAGCTCCTGACTTGTTTGAATGGGATCACGGAATAGCTCTGCATGCACTGCAGGGGAATGGGGCCTCATCTCGCCTCTAGGGGGAAGTCTCATGGTTTTTCTCGAGTTGCGGCGGGGACCTGGGGTATGTTCTCGACTTACGGCGGGGATGGCCCTTCAAAACACGAGTTTCTTCAGTGACGTCAGGACTCCTGTCTAGTAATGAGGGACACCTCAGCAATCTCTTCGAGGCTTGGCAGGGCAAAAGGGACGCTTCTCGAGGTGAGGCAGGGCACCCAAGGACCCTTTCCAGTAGCCACAGTGATTTTGGGATTCCTATAAGTATTCAAGAGTAGTCAGGCATCGACAACTTTTCAAGCAATGAACTCTGCGTGCCTCTCGTGGTGTCAGGGGGATGTGAGGTATTCCGTCAAAATGAGGCAGGGACCTAGGGCTTCCTCTAAGGTCTACACAGGGGATTCAGACATCCCTTCATGTTGTCAGATCAAAGACGAGCCTGTATTCAAGCCACTGCAAGGAAATCTGGCCTCCGTTCACATTAGGGCTTCTCCCTGTGTATTCCCCTTGAGGCAGCAAACTCGGGGTCCCTCCCACATACCTTGCTGAGAGAAGCCTCCTCCTGAGGTGCTTCTGGGAAGTTGGCATACGTCTTGAGCCTAAGCCAGGAAATCAGCTCGCATCTCGAGACGATTTGGGGTACACGGAGCATTCCTCGAGTTGCTGTGCTGAAGTTGCTGTTCCTCTAGACTTGGGACAGTGTTCTCGGGGCATCTCTGGAGTTGCCTGAAGGAAGTCGAGCCACCGGTCGTGTTGAATGGGGAACGGGGAATGGCTCTGGAGTCAATGCAGGGGAATCGGGCCTCATCTCGAGTTGATTTGGAGCACATGGAGCTGCTTTGCATTGCTGGGTGACCTCAGGCTCCGTCTAGACTGGTGACAGTGTTCTTGGGGACTGTCTCGAGATCCATTAAGCAAGTCGAAGCTCCTGACTTGTTTGAATGGGATCACGGAATAGCTCTGCATGCACTGCAGGGGAATGGGGCCTCATCTCGCCTCTAGGGGGAAGTCTCACGGTTTTTCTCGAGTTGCGGCGGGGACCTGGGGTATGTTCTCGACTTACGGCGGGGATGGCCCTTCAAAACACGAGTTTCTTCAGTGACGTCAGGACTCCTGTCTAGTATCGAGGGACACCTCAGCAATCTCTTCGAGGCTTGGCAGGGCAAAAGGGACGCTTCTCGAAGTGAGCCAGGGCACCCAAGGACCCTTTCCAGTAGCCACAGGGATTTTGGGATTCCTATAAGTATTCAAGAGGAGTCAGGCATCGTCACCTTTTGAAGCAATGAACTCCGCGTGCCTCTCGAGGTGTCAGCGGGATGTGACGATTCCGTCAAAATGAGGCAGGGACCTAGGGCTTCCTCTAAGGTCTCCACAGGGGATTCAGACATCCCTTCAGGTTGTGAGATGAAAGACGAGCCTGTATTCAAGCCACTGCAAGGAAATCCGGCCTCCTTTCAAGTTAGGGCTTCTCGCTGTATATTCCCCTTGAGGCAGCAAACTCGGGGTCCCTCCCACATACCTATTGCTGAGAGAAGCCTCCTCCTGAGGTGCTTCTGGAAAGTTGGCATACGTCTTGAGCCTAAGCCAGGGAATCAGCTCTCATCTTGAGACGATTTGGTGTACACAAAGCATTCCTCGAGTTGCTGTGCTGAAGTTGGTGGTCCTATAGACTTGGGACAGTGTTCTCGGGGCATCTCTGGAGTTGCCTGAAGGAAGTCGAGCCACCGGTCGTGTTGAATGGGGAACGGGGAATGGCTCTGGAGTCAATGCAGGGGAATACGGCCTCATCTCGAGTTGATTTGGGGCACATGGAGCTGCTTTGCATTGCTGGGTGACCTCAGGGTCCGTCTATACTTGTGACAGTGTTCTTGGGGACTGTTTCGAGATCCATTAAGCAAGTCGAAGCTCCTGACTTGTTTGAATGGGATCACGGAATAGTTCTGCATGCACTGCAGGGGAATGGGGCCTCATCTCGCCTCTAGGGGGAAGTCTCATGGTTTTTCTCGAGTTGCGGCGGGGACCTGGGGTATGTTCTCGACTTACGGCGGGGATGGCCCTTCAAAACACGAGTTTCTTCAGTGACGTCAGGACTCCTGTCTAGTAATGAGGGACACTTCAGCAATCTCTTCGAGGCTTGGCAGGGCAAAAGGGACGCTTCTCGATGTGAGCCAGGACACCCAAGGACCCTTTCCAGTAGCCACAGGGATTTTGGGATTCCTATAAGTATTCAAGAGGAGTCAGGCATCGTCACCTTTTCAAGCAATGAACTCTGCGTGCCTCTCGAGGTGTCAGGGGGATGTGAGGTATTCCGTCAAAATGAGGCAGGGACCTAGGGCTTCCTCTAAGTACTCCACAGGGGATTCAGACATCCCTTCATGTTGTCAGATCAAAGACGAGCCTGTATTCAAGCCACTGCAAGGAAATCTGGCCTCCGTTCACATTAGGGCTCTCCCTGTGTATTCCCCTTGAGGCAGCAAACTCGGGGTCCCTCCCGCATACCTATTGCTGAGAGAAGCCTCCTCCTGAGGTGCTTCTGGAAAGTTGGCATACGTCTTGAGCCTAAGCCAGGGAATCAGCTCTCATCTCGAGATGATTTGGGGTGCACGGAGCATTCCTCGAGTTGCTGTGCTGAAATTGGTGTTCCTCTAGACTTGGGACAGTGTTCTCGGGGCATCTCTGGAGTTGCCTGAAGGAAGTCGAGCAACCGGTCGTGTTGAATGGGGAACGGGGAATGGCTCTGGAGTCAATGCAGGGGAATCGGGCCTCATCTCGAGTTGATTTGGGACACATGGAGCAGCTTTGCGTTGCTGGGGTGACCTCAGGGTCCATCTAGACTGGTGACAGTGTTCTTGGGGACTGTCTTGAGATCCATTAGGCAAGTCGAAGCTCCTGACTTGTTTGAATGGGATCACGGAATATCTCTGCATGCACTGCAGGGGAATGGGGCCTCATCTCGCCTCTAGGGGGAAGTCTCATGGTTTTTCTCGAGTTGCGGCGGGGACCTGGGGTATGTTCTCGACTTACGGCGGGGATGGCCCTTCAAAACACGAGTTTCTTCAGTGACGTCAGGACTCCTGTCTAGTAATGAGGGACACCTCAGCAATCTCTTCGAGGCTTGGCAGGGCAAAAGGGACGCTTCTCGAGGTGAGCCAGGGCACCCAAGGGCGCTTTCCGGTAGCCACAGGGATTTTGGGATTCCTATAAGTATTCAAGAAGAGTCAGGCATCGTCAACTTTTAAAGCAATGAACTCTGCGTGTCTCTCGAAGTGTCAGGGGGATGTGAGGTATTCCGTCAAAATGAGGCAGGGACCTAGGGCTTCCTCTAAGGTCTCCACAGGGGATTCAGACAACCCTTCATGTTGTCAGACCAAAGACGAGCCTGTATTCAAGCAACTGCAAGGAAATCTGGCCTCCGTTCACATTAGGGCTTCTCCCTGTGTATTCTCCTTGAGGCAGCAAACTCGGGGCCTCTCCCACATACCTATTGCTGAGAGAAGCCTCCTCCTGAGGTGCTTCTGGGAAGTTGGCATACGTCTTGAGCCTAAGCCAGGGAATCAGCTCTCATCTCGAGATGATTTGGGGTTCACGGAGCATTCCTCGAGTTGCTGTGCTGAAGTTTGTGTTCCTCTAGACTTGGGACAGTGTTCTTGGGGCATCTCTGGAGTTGCCTGAAGGAAGTCGAGCCACCGGTCGTGTTGAATGGGGAACGGGGAATGGCTCTGGAGTCAATGCAGGGGATTCCGGCCTCATCTCGAGTTGATTTGGGGCACATGGAGCTGCTTTGCATTGCTGTGTGACCTCAGGGTCCGTCTAGACTGGTTACAGTGTTCTTGGGGACTGTCTCGAGATCCATTAAGCAAGTCGAAGCTCCTGACTTGTTTGAATGGGGTCACGGAATAGCTCTACATGCACTGCAGGGGAATGGGGCCTCATCTCGCCTCTAGGGGGAAGTCTCACGGTTTTTCTCGAGTTGCGGCGGGGAGCTGGGGTATGTTCTCGACTTACGGCGGGGATGGCCCCTCAAAACACGAGTTTCTCCAGTGACGTCAGGACTCCTGCCTAGTAACGAGGGACACCTCAGCAATCTCTTCGAGGCTTGGCAGGGCAAAAGCGACGCTTCTCGAGGTGAGGCAGGGCACCCAAGGACCCTTTCCAGTAGCCACAGGGATTTTGGGATTCCTATCAGTATTCAAGAGGAGTCAGGCATCGTCACCTTTTGAAGCAATGAACTCCGCGTGCCTCTCGAGGTGTCAGCGGGATGTGAGGATTCCGTCAAAATGAGGCAGGGACCTAGGGCTTCCTCTAAGGTCTCCACAGGGGATTCAGACATCCCTTCATGTTGTGAGATGAAAGACGAGCCTGTATTCAAGCCACTGCAAGGAAATCCGGCCTCCTTTCAAGTTAGGGCTTCTCGCTGTATATTCCCCTTGAGGCAGCAAACTCGGGGTCCCTCCCACATACCTATTGCTGAGAGAAGCCTCCTCCTGAGGTGCTTCTGGGAAGTTGGCATACGTCTTGAGCCTAAGCCAGGGAATCAGCTCTCATCTCGAGATGATTTGGGGTACACAGAGCATTCCTCGAGTTGCTGTGCTAAAGTTGGGGTTCCTCTAGACTTGGGACAGTGTTCTCGGGGCATCTCTGGAGTTGCCTGAAGGAAGTCGAGCCACCGGTCGTGTTGAGTGGGGAACGGGGAATGGCTCTGGAGTCAATGCAGGGGAATCCGGCCTCATCTCGAGTTGATTTGGGGCACATGGAGCTGCTTTGCATTGCTGGGTGACCTCAGGGTCCGTCTAGACTGGTGACAGTGTTCTTGGGGACTGTCTCCAGATCCATTAACCAAGTCGAAGCTCCTGACTTGTTTGAATGGGATCACGGAATAGCTCTGCATGCACTGCAGGGGAATGGGGCCTCATCTCGCCTCTAGGGGGAAGTCTCACGGTTTTTCTCGAGTTGCGGTGGGGACCTGTAGTATGTTCTCGACTTACGGCGGGGATGGCCCTTCAAAACACGAGTTTCTTCAGTGACGTCAGGACTCCTGTCTAGTAACGAGGGACACTTCAGCAATCTCTTCGAGGCTTGGCAGGGCAAAAGGGACGCTTCTCGAGGTGAGGCAGGGCACCCAAGGACCCTTTCCAGTAGCCACAGGGATTTTGGGATTCCTATCAGTATACAAGAGGAGTCAGGCATCGTCACCTTTTGAAGCAATGAACTCTGCGTGCCTCTCGAGGTGTCAGCGGGATGTGAGGATTCCGTCAAAATGAGGCAGGGACCTAGGGCTTCCTCTAAGGTCTCCACAGGGGATTCAGACTTCCCTTCAGGTTGTGAGATGAAAGACGAGCCTGTATTCAAGCCACTGCAAGGAAATCCGGCCTCCTTTCAAGTTAGGGCTTCTCGCTGTATATTCCCCTTGAGGCAGCAAACTCGGGGTCCCTCCCACATACCTATTGCTGAGAGAAGCCTCCTCCTGAGGTGCTTCTGGGAAGTTGGCATACGTCTTGAGCCTAAGCCAGGGAATCAGCTCTCATCTTGAGACGATTTGGGGTACACAAAGCATTCCTCGAGTTGCTGTGCTGAAGTTGGTGGTCCTCTAGACTTGGGACAGGGTTCTCGGGGCATCTCTGGACTTGCCTGAAGGAAGTCGAGCCACCGGTCGTGTTGAATGGGGAACGGGGAATGGCTCTGGAGTCAATGCAGGGGAATACGGCCTCATCTCGAGTTGATTTGGGGCACATGGAGCTGCTTTGCATTGCTGGGTGACCTCAGGGTCCGTCTAGACTGGTGACAGTGTTCTTGGGGACTGTCTCGAGATCCATTAAGCAAGTCGAAGCTCCTGACTTGTTTGAATGGGATCACGGAATAGCTCTGCATGCACTGCAGGGGAATGGGGCCTCATCTCGCCTCTAGGGGGAAGTCTCATGGTTTTTCTCGAGTTGCGGCGGGGACCTGGGGTATGTTCTCGACTTACGGCGGGGATGGCCCTTCAAAACACGAGTTTCTCCAGTGACGTCAGGACTCCTGCCTAGTAACGAGGGACACCTCAGGAATCTCTTCGAGGCTTGGCAGGGCCAAAGGGACGCTTCTCGAGGTGAGGCAGGGCACCCAAGGACCCTTTCCAGTAGCCACAGGGATTTTGGGATTCCTATCAGTATTCAAGAGGAGTCAGGCATCGTCACCTTTTGAAGCAATGAACTCCGCGTGCCTCTCCACGTGTCAGCGGGATGTGAGGCATTCAGTCAAAATGAGGCAGGGCCCTAGGGCTTTCTCTAAGGTCTCCACAGGTTATTCAGACATCCCTTCATGTTGTCAGATCAAAGACGAGCCTGTATTCAAGCCACTGCAAGGAAATCCGGCCTCCTTTCAAGTTAGGGCTTCTCGCTGTATATTCCCCTTGAGGCAGCAAACTCGGGGTCCCTCCCACATACCTATTGCTGAGAGAAGCCTCCTCCTGAGGTGGTTCTGGAAAGTTGGCATACGTCTTGAGCCTAAGCCAGGGAATCAGCTCTCATCTCGAGATGATTTGGGGTACACGGAGCATTCCTCGAGTTGCTGGGCTGAAGTTGGTGTTCCTCTAGACTTGGGACAGTGTTCTCGGGGCATCTCTGGAGTTGCCTGAAGGAAGTCGAGCCACCGGTCGTGTTGAATGGGGAACGGGGAATGGCTCTGGAGTCAATGCAGGGGAATCGGGCCTCATCTCGAGTTGATTTGGGGCACATGGATCTGCTTTGCATTGCTGGGTGACCTCAGGGTCCGTCTAGACTGGTGACAGTGTTCTTGGGGACTGTATCGAGATCCATTAAGCAAGTGGAAGCTCCTGACTTGTTTGAATGGGATCACGGAATAGCTCTGCATGCACTGCAGGGGAATGGGGCCTCATCTCGCCTCTAGGGGGAAGTCTCATGGTTTTTCTCGAGTTGCGGCGGGGACCTGGGGTATGTTCTCGACTTACGGCGGGGATGGCCCTTCAAAACACGAGTTTCTTCAGTGACGTCAGGACTCCTGTCTAGTAATGAGGGACACCTCAGCAATCTCTTCGAGGCTTGGCAGGGCAAAAGGGACGCTTCTCGAGGTGAGCCAGGGCACCCAAGGGCGCTTTCCGGTAGCCACAGGGATTTTGGGATTCCTATAAGTATTCAAGAAGAGTCAGGCATCGTCAACTTTTAAAGCAATGAACTCTGCGTGTCTCTCGAAGTGTCAGGGGGATGTGAGGTATTCCGTCAAAATGAGGCAGGGACCTAGGGCTTCCTCTAAGGTCTCCACAGGGGATTCAGACATCCCTTCATGTTGTGAGATGAAAGACGAGCCTGTATTCAAGCCACTGCAAGGAAATCCGGCCTCCTTTCAAGTTAGGGCTTCTCGCTGTATATTCCCCTTGAGGCAGCAAACTCGGGGTCCCTCCCACATACCTATTGCTGAGAGAAGCCTCCTCCTGAGGTGCTTCTGGAAATTTGGAATACGTCTTGAGCCTAAGCCAGGGAATCAGCTCTCATCTCGAGATGATTTGGGGTACACGGAGCATTCCTCGAGTTGCTGTGCTAAAGTTGGGGTTCCTCTAGACTTGGGACAGTGTTCTCGAGGCATCTCTGGAGTTGCCTGAAGGAAGTAGAGCCACCGGTCGTGTTGAGTGGGGAACGGGGAATGGCTCTGGAGTCAATGCAGGGGAATCCGGCCTCATCTCGAGTTGATTTGGGGCACATGGAGCTGCTTTGCATTGCTGGGTGACCTCAGGGTCCGTCTAGAATGGTGACAGTGTTCTTGGGGACTGTCTCCAGATCCATTAACCAAGTCGAAGCTCCTGACTTGTTTGAATGGGATCACGGAATAGCTCTGCATGCACTGCAGGGGAATGGGGCCTCATCTCGCCTCTAGGGGGAAGTCTCACGGTTTTTCCCGAGTTGCGGTGGGGACCTGTAGTATGTTCTCGACTTACGGCGGGGATGGCCCTTCAAAACACGAGTTTCTTCAGTGACGTCAGGACTCCTGTCTAGTAACGAGGGACACTTCAGCAATCTCTTCGAGGCTTGGCAGGGCAAAAGGGACGCTTCTCGAGGTGAGGCAGGGCACCCAAGGACCCTTTCCAGTAGCCACAGGGATTTTGGGATTCCTATCAGTATACAAGAGGAGTCAGGCATCGTCACCTTTTGAAGCAATGAACTCTGCGTGCCTCTCGAGGTGTCAGCGGGATGTGAGGATTCCGTCAAAATGAGGCAGGGACCTAGGGCTTCCTCTAAGGTCTCCACAGGGGATTCAGACATCCCTTCAGGTTGTGAGATGAAAGACGAGCCTGTATTCAAGCCACTGCAAGGAAATCCGGCCTCCTTTCAAGTTAGGGCTTCTCGCTGTATATTCCCCTTGAGGCAGCAAACTCGGGGTCCCTCCCACATACCTATTGCTGAGAGAAGCCTCCTCCTGAGGTGCTTCTGGAAAGTTGGCATACGTCTTGAGCCTAATCCAGGGAATCAGCTCTCATCTTGAGACGATTTGGGGTACACAAAGCATTCCTCGAGTTGCTGTGCTGAAGTTGGTGGTCCTCTAGACTTGGGACAGGGTTCTCGGGGCATCTCTGGAGTTGCCTGAAGGAAGTCGAGCCACCGGTCGTGTTGAATGGGGAACGGGGAATGGCTCTGGAGTCAATGCAGGGGAATCCGGCCTCATCTCGAGTTGATTTGGGGCACATGCAGCTGCTTTGCATTGCTGGGTGACCTCAGGGTCCGTCTAGACTGGTGACAGTGTTCTTGGGGACTGTCTCGAGATCCATTAAGCAAGTCGAAGCTCCTGACTTGTTTGAATGGGATCACGGAATAGCTCTGCATGCACTGCAGGGGAATGGGGCCTCATCTCGCCTCTAGGGGGAAGTCTCATGGTTTTTCTCGAGTTGCGGCGGGACCTGGGGTATGTTCTCGACTTACGGCGGGGATGGCCCTTCAAAACACGAGTTTCTCCAGTGACGTCAGGACTCCTGCCTAGTAACGAGGGACACCTCAGGAATCTCTTCGAGGCTTGGCAGGGCCAAAGGGACGCTTCTCGAGGTGAGGCAGGGCACCCAAGGACCCTTTCCAGTAGCCACAGGGATTTTGGGATTCCTATCAGTATTCAAGAGGAGTCAGGCATCGTCACCTTTTGAAGCAATGAACTCCGCGTGCCTCTCCACGTGTCAGCGGGATGTGAGGCATTCAGTCAAAATGAGGCAGGGCCCTAGGGCTTTCTCTAAGGTCTCCACAGGTTATTCAGACATCCCTTCATGTTGTCAGATCAAAGACGAGCCTGTATTCAAGCCACTGCAAGGAAATCCGGCCTCCTTTCAAGTTAGGGCTTCTCGCTGTATATTCCCCTTGAGGCAGCAAACTCGGGGTCCCTCCCACATACCTATTGCTGAGAGAAGCCTCCTCCTGAGGTGGTTCTGGAAAGTTGGCATACGTCTTGAGCCTAAGCCAGGGAATCAGCTCTCATCTCGAGATGATTTGGGGTACACGGAGCATTCCTCGAGTTGCTGGGCTGAAGTTGGTGTTCCTCTAGACTTGGGACAGTGTTCTCGGGGCATCTCTGGAGTTGCCTGAAGGAAGTCGAGCCACCGGTCGTGTTGAATGGGGAACGGGGAATGGCTCTGGAGTCAATGCAGGGGAATCGGGCCTCATCTCGAGTTGATTTGGGGCACATGGAGCTGCTTTGCATTGCTGGGTGACCTCAGGGTCCGTCTAGACTGGTGACAGTGTTCTTGGGGACTGTATCGAGATCCATTAAGCAAGTGGAAGCTCCTGACTTGTTTGAATGGGATCACGGAATAGCTCTGCATGCACTGCAGGGGAATGGGGCCTTATCTCGCCTCTAGGGAGAAGTCTCATGGTTTTTCTGGAGTTCCGACGGGGAACTGGGGAATGTTCACGACTTACGGCGGGGATGGCCCTTCAAAACACGAGTTTCTCCAGTGACGTCAGGACTCCTGCCTAGTAACGAGGGACACCTCAGAAATCTCTTCGAGGCTTGGCAGGGCAAAAAGGACGCTTCTCGAGGTGAGGCAGGGCACCCAAGGACCCTTTCCAGTAGCCACAGGGATTTTGGGATTCCTATCAGTATTCAAGAGGAGTCAGGCATCGTCACCTTTTGAAGCAATGAACACCGCGAGCCTCTCGAGGTGTCAGCGGGATGTGAGGCATTCCGTCAAAATGAGGCAGGGTCCTAGGGCTTTCTCTAAGGTCTCCACAGGGGATTCAGACATCCCTTCATGTTGTGAGATGAAAGACAAGCCTGTATTCAAGCTACTGCAAGGAAATCTGGCCTCCTTTCAAGTTAGGGCTTCTCGCTGTATATTCCCCTTGAGGCAGCAAACTCAGAGTCCCTCCCACATACCTATTGCTGAGAAGCCTCCTCCTGAGGTGCTTCTGGAAAGTTGGCATACGTCTTGAGCCTAAGCCAGGGAATCAGCTCGCATCTCGAGGCGATTTGGGGTACACAGAGCATTCCTCGAGTTGCTGTGCTGAAGTTGGTGTTCCTCTAGACTTGGGACAGTGTTCTCGGGGCATCTCTGGAGTTGCCAGAAGGAAGGCGAGCCACCGGTCGTGTTGAACGGGGAACGGGGAATGGCTCTGGAGTCAATGCAGGGGAATCCGGCCTCATCTCGAGTTGATTTGGGGCACATGGAGCTGCTTTGCGTTGCTGGGGTGACATCAGGGTCCGTCTAGACTTGTGACAGTGTTCTTGGGGACTGTCTCGAGATCCAATAAGCAAGTCGAAGCTCCTGACTTGTTTGAATGGGATCACGGAATAGCTCTGCATGCACTGCAGGGGAATGGGGCCTCATCTCTCCTCTAAGGGGCAGTCTCACGGTTTTTCTCGAGTTGCGGCGGGGGCCTGGGTTACGTTCTCGACTTACAGCGGGGATGGCCCTTCAAAACACGAGTTTCTCCAGTGACGTCAGGACTCCTGCCTAGTAACGAGGGACACCTCAGGAATCTCTTGGAGGCTTGGCAGGGCAAAAGGGACGCTTCTCGAGGTGAGGCAGGGCACCCAAGGACCCTTTCCAGTAGCCACAGGGATTTTGGGATTCCTATCAGTATTCAAGAGGAGTCAGGCTTCGTCACCTTTTGAAGCAATGAAATCCGCGAGCCTCTCGAGGTGTCAGCGGGATGTGAGGCATTCCGTCAAAATGAGGCAGGGACCTAGGGCTTTCTCTAAGGTCTCCACAGGGGATTCAGACATCCCTTCATGTTGTCAGATCAAACACGAGCCTGTATTCAAGCCACTGCAAGGAAATCTGGCCTCCTTTCAAGTTAGGGCTTCTCGCTGTATATTCCACTTGAGGCAGCAAACTCGGGGTCCCTCCCACATAACTATTGCTGAGAGAAGCCTCCTCCTGAGGTGCTTCTGGAAAGTTGGCATACGTCTTGAGCCTAAGCCAGGGAATCAGCTCTCATCTCGAGATGATTTGGGGTACACGGAGCATTCCTCGAGTTGCTGTGCTGAAGTTGTTGTTCCTCTAGACTTGGGACAGTGTTCTCGGGGCATCTCTGGAGTTGCCTGAAGGAAGTCGAGCCACCGGTCGTGTTGAATGGGGAACGGGGAATGGCTCTGGAGTCAATGCAGGGGAATCGGGGCTCATCTCGAGTTGATTTGGGGCACATGGAGCAGCTTTGCGTTGCTGGGGTGACCTCAGGGTCCGTCTTGACTGGTGACAGTGTCCTTGGGGACTGTCTCGAGATCCATTAAGCAAGTCGAAGCTCCTGACTTGTTTGAATGGGATCACGGAATAGCTCTGGATGCACTGCAGGGGAATGGGGCCTCATCTCGCCTCTAGGGGGAAATCTCATGATTTTTCTCGAGTTGCGGCGGGGACCTGGGGTATGTTCTCGACTTACGGCGGGGATGGCCCTTCAAAACACGAGTTTCTTCACTGACGTCAGGACTCCTGCCTAGTAACGAGGGACACCTCAGGAATCTCTTCGAGGCTTGGCAGGGCAAAAGGGACGCTTCTCGAGGTGAGGCAGGGCACCCAAGGACCCTTTCCAGTAGTCACAGGGATTTTGGGATTCCTATCAGTATTCAAGAGCAGTCAGGCATCGTCACCTTTTGAAGCAATGAACTCCGCGTGCCTCTCGATGTGTCAGCGGGATGTGAGGCATTCCGTCAAAATGACGCAGGGACATAGGGCTTTCTCTAAGGTCTCCACAGGGGATTCAGACATCCCTTCAAGTTGTGAGATGAAAGACGAGCCTAGTATTCAAGCCACTGCAAAGAAATCCGGCTTCCTTTCAAGTTAGGGCTTCTCCCTGTGTATTCCCCTTGAGGCAGCAAACTCGGGGTCCCTCCCACATACCTATTGCTGAGAGAAGCCTCCTCCTGAGGTGCTTCTGGAAAGTTGGCATACGTCTTGAGCCTAAGCCAGGGAATCAGCTCTCATCTCGAGACGATTTGGGGTACACGGAGCTTTCCTCGAGTTGCTGTGCTGAAGTTGGTGTTCCTCTAGACTTGGGACAGTGTTATCGGGGCATCTCTGGAGTTGCCTGAAGGAAGTCGAGCCACCGGTCATGTTGAATGGGGAACGGGGAATTGCTCTGGAGTCAATGCAGGGGAATCGGGCCTCATCTCCAGTTGATGTGGGGCACATGGAGCTGCTTTGCGTTGCTGGGATGACCTCAGGGTCCGTCTAGACTGGTGACAGTGTTCTTGGGGACTGTCTCGAGATCCATTAACCAAGTCGAAGCTCCTGACTTGTTTGAATGGGATCACGGAATAGCTCTGCATGCACTGCAGGGGAATGGGGCCTCATCTCGCCTCTAGGGGGAAGTCTCATGGTGTTTCTCGAGTTGCGGCGGGGACCTGAGGTATGTTCTCGACTTACAGAGGGCAGGGCCCTTCAAAACACGAGTTTCTTCAGTGACGTCAGGACTCCTGTCTAGTAACGAGGGACAACTCAGGAATCACTTCGAGGCTTGGCAGGGCAAAAGGGACGCTTCTCGAGGTGAGGCTGGGCACCCAAGGTCCCTTTCCAGTAGTCACAGGGATTTTGGGATTCCTATCAGTATTCAAGAGGAGTCAGGTATCCTCACCTTTTGAAGCAATGAACTCCGCATGCAAGCATTCTCGCCGGGTGTTCCCGCAAGGCTCGCAATCTGGTCTCAAAGCCGGGAGAAAAGCGCTTTGGGGTGGGCCTCTCTCAGGGCCCATGGCCCTGAGCCTGGGGACCAGCTAGGGGGTCCACACTCCCAGGCCAAGGCAGAACCACATGCACACGTCTGTTCCTGCCCCCTGCACCTTCAGACAGCTCGGCTGATCCGCAGTCTCTCAAGCAGTTTCCTGGCAGCCCCGGCAGCACTGCCTGTGTGGGAAGGGGGAGAGCTGACCTAGGTGCACTGTGGGCCTCCTGATCTCCCTGCTTCCCTGAGGCTGCTGGGCCAAAGAGGGCTTGGCTACCTACCCCCTTTCTCCCCTCTTCCCTCTGCCAGAAGGCTCTGCCCCCGGGGCTGTTGCAGTGTGGAGACAGCCCCTGCCAGCACCTCCACTCCCAGTAGGCCTCAGCAGAGGCCTAGGCCCAGGGAACGGCCCAGGCAGGGCTGCGTTGAGGGAGGCGCGAGGGCATGTCTGGACACACTCCCCACAGCCTGTTCCTTCATGGGGCAGTTACACTGGAGGCCAGGAAGGCCTGGGCAGGGCTGGCCAAGAGCAGGGGCATTGCTGGGTTCTGCCTCTGGCCTGTGGGGCCTCTGAGCAGGACCTGCCCTCTCCCTCTGGAAGTCCTCCCCACCGGCGTGCAAATCCCCGATTGCAAGCACTCTGGCCGGGTGTTCCCGCAAGGCTCGCACTCTGGTCTCAAAGCCGGGAGAAAAGCGCTTTGGGGTGGGCCTCTCTCAGGGCCCATGGCCCTGAGCCTGGGGACCAGCTAGGGGGTCCACACTCCCAGGCCAGGGCAGAACCACATGAACACGTCTGTTCCTGCCCCCTGCCCCTTCAGAGAGCTCGGCTGAGCCGCAGTCTCTCAGGCAGTTCCCTGGCAGCCCCGGCAGCACTGCCTGTGTGGGAAGGGGGAGAGCCGACCTAGGGGCACTGTGGGCCTCTTGCTCTCCCTGCTGCCCTGAGGCTGCTGGGACAAAGAGGGCTTGGCTACCTACCCCCTTTCTCCCCTCTTCCCTCTTCCAGAAGGCTCTGCCCCCGGGGCTGTTGCAGTGTGGAGACAGCCCCTGCCAGCACCTCCAATCCCAGTAGGCCTCAGCAGAGGCCTAGGCCCAGGGAACGGCCCAGGCAGGGCTGCGTTGAGGGAGGCGCAAGGGCATGTCTGGACACACTCCCCACAGCCTGTTCCTTCTTGGGGCAGTTACACTGGAGGCCAGGAAGGCCTGGGCAGGGCTGGCCAAGAGCAGGGGCATTGCTGGGTTCTGCCTCTGGCCTGTGGGGCCTCTGAGCAGGACCTGCCCTCTCCCTCTGGAAGACCTCACCGCCTGCTTGCAAATCCCCGTTTGCAAGCACTCTGGCCGGGTGTTCCCGCAAGGCTCGCACTCTGGTCTCAAAGCCGGGAGAAAAGCGCTTTGGGGTGGGCCTCTCTCAGGGCCCATGGCCCTGAGCCTGGGGACCAGCTAGGGGGTCCACACTCCCAGGCCAGGGCAGAACCACATGCACACGTCTGTTCCTGCCCCCTGCCCCTTCAGAGAGCTCGGCTGAGCCGCAGTCTCTCAGGCAGTTCCCTGGCAGCCCCGGCAGCACTGCCTGTGTGGGAAGGGGGAGAGCCGACCTAGGGGCACTGTGGGCCTCTTGCTCTCCCTGCTGCCCTGAGGCTGCTGGGCCAAAGAGGGCTTGGCTACCTACCCCCTTTCTCCCCTCTTCCCTCTGCCAGAAGGCTCTGCCCCCGGGGCTGTTGCAGTGTGGAGACAGCCCCTGCCAGCACCTCCACTCCCAGTAGGCCTCAGCAGAGGCCTAGGCCCAGGGAACGGCCCAGGCAGGGCTGCGTTGAGGGAGGCGCAAGGGCATGTCTGGACACACTCCCCACAGCCTGTTCCTACATGGGGCAGTTACACTGGAGGCCAGGAAGGCCTGGGCAGGGCTGGCCAAGAGCAGGGGCATTGCTGGGTTCTGCCTCTGGCCTGTGCGACCTCTGAGCAGGACCTGCCCCCTCCCTCTGGAAGACCTCCCCGCCTGCGTGCAAATCCCCGTTTGCAAGCACTCTGGCCGGGTGTTCCCGCAAGGCTCGCACTCTGGTCTCAAAGCCGGGAGAAAAGCGCTTTGGGGTGGGCCTCTCTCAGGGCCCATGGCCCTGAGCCTGGGGACCAGCTAGTGGGTCCACACTCCCAGGCCAGGGCAGAACCACATGCACACGTCTGTTCCTGCCCCCTGCCCCTTCAGAGTGCTCGGCTGAGCCGCAGTCTCTCAGGCAGTTCCCTGGCAGCCCCGGCAGCACTGCCTGGGTGGGAAGGGGGAGAGCCGACCTAGGTGCACTGTGGGCCCCTTGCTCTCCCTGCTGCCCTGAGGCTGCTGGGCCAAAGAGGGCTTGGCTACCTACCCCCTTTCTCCCCTCTTCCCTCTGCCAGAAGGCTCTGCCCCCGGGGCTGTTGCAGTGTGGAGACAGCCCCTGCCAGCACCTCCACTCCCAGTAGGCCTCAGCAGAGGCCTAGGCCCAGGGAACGGCCCAGGCAGGGCTGCGTTGAGGGAGGCGCAAGGGCATGTCTGGACACACTCCCCACAGCCTGTTCCTTCATGGGGCAGTTACACTGGAGGCCAGGAAGGCCTGGGCAGGCCTGGCCAAAAGCAGGGGCATTGCTGGGTTCTGCCTCTGGCCTGTGGGACCTCTGAGCAGGACCTGCCCTCTCCCTCTGGAAGACCTCCCCGCCTGCGTGCAAATCCCCGTTTGCAAGCACTCTGGCCGGGTGTTCCCGCAAGGCTCGCACTCTGGTCTCAAAGCCGGGAGAAAAGCGCTTTGGGGTGGGCCTCTCTCAGGGCCCATGGCCCTGAGCCTGGGGACCAGCTAGGGGGTCCACACTCCCAGGCCAGGGCAGAACCACATGCACACGTCTGTTCCTGCCCCCTGCCCCTTCAGAGAGCTCGGCTGAGCCGCAGTCTCTCAGGCAGTTCCCTGGCAGCCCCGGCAGCACTGCCTGGGTGGGAAGGGGGAGAGCCGACCTAGGGGCACTGTGGGCCTCTTGCTCTCCCTGCTGCCCTGAGGCTGCTGGGCCAAAGAGGGCTTGGCTACCTACCCCCTTTCTCCCCTCTTCCCTCTGCCAGAAGGCTCTGCCCCCGGGGCTGTTGCAGTGTGGAGACAGCCCCTGCCAGCACCTCCACTCCCAGTAGGCCTCAGCAGAGGCCTAGGCCCAGGGAACGGCCCAGGCAGGGCTGCGTTGAGGGAGGCGCAAGGGCATGTCTGGACACACTCCCCACAGCCTGTTCCTTCATGGGGCAGTTACACTGGAGGCCAGGAAGGCCTGGGTAGGGCTGGCCAAGAGCAGGGGCATTGCTGGGTTCTGCCTCTGGCCTGTGGGGCCTATGAGCAGGACCTGCCCTCTCCCTCTGGAAGACCTCCCCGCCTGCGTGCAAATCCCCGTTTGCAAGCACTCTGGCCGGGTGTTCCCGCAAGGCTCGCACTCTGGTCTCAAAGCCGGGACAAAAGCGCTTTGGGGTGGGCCTCTCTCAGGGCCCATGGCCCTGACCCTGGGCACCAGCTAGGGGGTCCACACTCCCAGGCCAGGGCAGAACCACATGCACACGTCTGTTCCTGCCCCCTGCCCCTTCAGAGAGCTCGGCTGAGCCGCAGTCTCTCAGGCAGTTCCCTGGCAGCCCCGGCAGCACTGCCTGTGTGAGAAGGGGGAGAGCCGACCTAGGGGCACTGTGGGCCTCTTGCTCTCCCTGCTGCCCTGAGGCTGCTGGGCCAAAGAGGGCTTGGCTATCTACCCCGTTTCTCCCCTCTTCCCTCTGCCAGAAGGCTCTGCCCCCGGGGCTGTTGCAGTGTGGAGACAGCCCCTGCCAGCACCTCCACTCCCAGTAGGCCTCAGCAGAGGCCTAGGCCCAGGGAACGGCCCAGGCAGGGCTGTGTTGAGGGAGGCGCAAGGGCATGTCTGGACACACTCCCCACAGCCTGTTCCTTCATGGGGCAGTTACCCTGGAGGCCAGGAAGGCCTGGGCAGGGCTGGCCAAGAGCAGGGGCATTGCTGGGTTCTGCCTCTGGCCTGTGGGGCCTCTGAGCAGGACCTGCCCTCTCCCTCTGGAAGACCTCCCCGCCTGCGTGCAAATCCCCGTTTGCAAGCACTCTGGCCGGGTGTTCCCGCAAGGCTCGCACTCTGGTCTCAAAGCCGGGAGAAAAGCGCTTTGGGGTGGGCCTCTCTCAGGGCCCATGGCCCTGAGCCTGGGGACCAGCTAGGGGGTCCACACCCCCAGGCCAGGGCAGAACCACATGCA